TACGTTTACAACGTAACCAATGACATTAAACAACATGATGCGCAACTCCGGCATTTGGCCGAAGATCGTATCCGATAGCACGCTCCAATGCACATACTTGACGAGACGAAAACGAGCGGATGTGTGCTGCTTTCAAGGCATAGCAGTGGCACAAATGGTGTTCGTGCCTGCTTTGACAGTTGTTGTCGATTTTAATGATATTTTGGAAAATTGAAGGTAAAAAGAAATCGGAAAAAGGTAAGGTAAATACTATTGTTGTATATCACACCCGGGCATAGCACTGTTAAGTACATGTGGGGAAGCCAGCTTTTGTCATATACTACGAAGTTATCAAATCAATATGGTACGTAGTTGCCCATTTGCCGAAATTGCATATTTACTTACCCCTTATGGTTTCAAATAGTTCATGCACCTCCATTTAGATTTTTCTAATCAGTGTAGAAATATATACTCATTGCTGTAGCATACTATTGCTCATTCACTTTTATTGGCGTATTGAATCAAAGGGTTAACAAGTTCACCTAACATTTCACTCATACCGGTCTATATTGTATAGTCTGATCTCTCAAGTATTTGGAGCCACGAATGCTTGTAATTTTCTGACAAAATCCCTTTATTAGTTGATTTATATACCAAAGTCAGTAAAACATTTTTTACATTGAACATGAGATATAGGATTTATTAGCTTTTCCATTCTAATACATATAGACTGCGTTATTTATTCTTAACGAAAATTAATAAATCTCCTCTCTTTCTTCAGATGTGAAAGTTGTGGACAAACCTGTCTAAGCATTGTGAGACTCCTGCAGCACAAGAGCTAATAGCAAAAATAGCACGTATATCAATCAAAAAATTAAGCCGACATAAAGCAAAACTTTCAACTATTGGTCTAATCTCAATTTCCTATTATTTATTCACAGGACAACTGTAGCAGAAGGGGAGATATCAGAAGTCTGGCGACATATCAGTGACAGTGTGATTCCAAGAAATATATTTATAATACTCCATAAATGTTTGCAATAGAAGAACAACCTATGAGGCATGCAAAGGCATTTGACCCTCCGGTAGAGTTGTGTATGGCCCCTACATCCTGCAAGGCTTGAGGAAAATAACTAAAAATTCCAATGCGTAAGATTACATAAGCGGTCTTATTTGTGAAAAAGCACTAAACATGCCAGACATACTTGAAACAGCTTTGAAAAATGAGGATTACGGGTCACTCACCTGCGTTATATTCGGTTCATCAACTTTTGGTAGTACTATAGAAGAAATTCAGGAAAGGGTATAATCATGATTCATGATAAAATGCTGTTATATATTTTGGACAACTTCAATCTAGACCAGGGATGTCAAACTCGCGGCCCCAGAGAACTTCCAGTGCGGCCCTCGAACGCTTAACAATAATTGTAATAGTATTTTGGAAGTTTTTTTTTTATCTAAATGTAACAGATTTGTCAAACTTTTTAAAGTAGAATTGAATATTCACACAGGAAACAATTTACTGAACGTAGTTTTGATAAATTAAATTTTTTTTGTTCACATTTTGACCCATTTAAGAATACACATCAAGCTAGCAAAAGAATACTTGAATAAAACACTTGAGTGATTAAATTAAACGCAAAGTACATGAAGAAGGTGGCATTTTCGAAGAAAATGGGAGTTGCAATATTTCTGCATTTTACAAAATTTTCTGAAGCACATTGTTTAATTTGTCATATTTCCATCTGTACTGTACAATAAAAAAAACACAATAAGCTCAGCAGTCAATATGACAAATTCGAAGACCAACTTCGAACAGAAAATTTCCATGTGTTTGTATATCAATATAATTATACAACGACTTAGTTACTAAAAATCAATATCGATAATAATTTAAGCAATCCTATGCCATGCAATGTAGCGCGAAATGTCTTGTCGAAAAAATCTGTCATTTGTTTTTTTACTGATCTATACATGGAATGGAATGATAAAAGTAACTTTTTTGCATTACTGAAATTAATTAAACATTCGCAAAGATCCAGATTAACCCATGATCATGTGACCGCGTTAGTTAGAGTTGGTACTATTAAATCATTTCAGCCTGGCCTTAGTATGCTGGTGACACAAAAAAGATGCCAAACGTCAGGACAAATGTAATTAAAAAAACATTGAGTTTATATTGTAATATTTTTGTTAATTTTAGGTCCATATATTTAGATTAAGTCATTTTTTAGTGTATGTATTATTCTTTCCTTATCCAAAGCTTGTTCAGAAATGATTTCGATGGTTGTACATAGAATTTTATGATTTTTTGTGATAAATACAGTAACTTGCAATAATAGTGGAATGCAAATAATAATATGTAATTGCATTTGAAATTAAAGAAAATAATAAATCTTAATCCCACTGTTTAGTTGCATCCCAATATATGTCACAAACTAAAACTATCTTGAAAATATCTTTCAAGTATACATTATCAAAAACTGTTTGCGGCCTTTTTTACAATTTCCAACATGCAATGCGGCTCTCGAAAACCCATGAGTTTGACACCACTGATCTATTCTGGACGATTCAAGCATTGCTTTGGGAAATAATATCACTTCAATTAAATTGAAAAAATCTTGCTGTATTAAATACAAAATCGTTGCTATCATAAAGGTAAACTAATTCAGCCACTCGGAATATATTGGCATAAATGTATTGTCTTGTTTATTACCTCAGCTTGGAGTATTGACAAGAAAAAGGTGCCAGTAAATTACGTAAAATTTTTTTTAACTCTTTGTTATAATCAGAATTCACAATTAATAGGAATTATAAACAGCCAACAATCAATGAGAATTATATGCGAATCCCTCAGAATAAATTTGTCTTCTAAAATCGGAGGAAGGCAAAACATATAGGTAGTTTCCATTCACACAAGTCTTTCAAGAAGATTTGTTCGAGCCAAACTAAATGAGCATCGTCAGGTGATCGGTAAGGCTGCAAGTTAAATCTGCCCTGCAACCTCCTGCATATAAGATAACATTAATTAGTGGGCTATGAGCTAAATTCCTAAATTTAGACACAAACCTATCTACGAGGCATTATGTACCAGCAATGTTACCTACGATTAACTAAATATGTCTAATAAATTCACCTAAAAAAAGCAAGTTCGATAGATGCAAACTTTGTGTTATGGAATTGTATCACAGCACCGTTATTGTATCACAGCACCGTTAAGAGAAGTAAAAACAGTTTTGCTGTTTTGTATGACACCCTCTTTGAATGAAATTTCACTGTTAAAGCCAAACATTAAAATTACTAACTTTGAACTTTGTCATTATCTGCAAAATGTCCCACATAAATCTTTACGCTATCGCGTTTGCAATCTTCTCTGATAAAAAAAAAACGTCTATGATGTCCAGAATTACTCTTTACAGCTTGTCTGCCATTTCAGCTTTCCAAGTGAGCAAAACTTCTTGGATATAGAGATTATTTTCTTTCGTTACAGGCGCAGAACGGCAGGCACCACACGTAAAGAAGACGCCGAGTAGCAAAAGCGAGCGGAAAACGGTCGCGAAAGACGACGAGAAATATGTGCATTGGAGCGTATCATGAAATACAAGCTTTCGTATGTAGTCTTATGGAGTGACGTCAGAGTTGCCTATCATGTTGTTTAATGTCATTGACGTAACAGACGATGCTTAAATATATGGACACGAAGCAATATGCAATCTATCAGGGTAGATTACAGTGCCGGAACAGCAGTCTTACGGGTGACACGAACTTAAATAACAACATCATCTCTAATAATGACAGATTTAGGTGGATATTCATGTTGTGCTACATAGTTACAATACCTGCACAAGAATGTTTGTGGAAACAATTTTTATTTGTTTCAATCTGAATCTATGACTACGTTATCTTATCTACAAGGAAAATTAAAGACTAATAACATGTAAGAGGGTTTTGATTATCAATTTTTATCATCAATTCATATTGATAAGAGATGATTCAGGAATTCATTGCTCAATTTACATCCGCTAGGTGGCGTAAAATGAAATTGTTATTTTCTATCATTCTATCCCCCTCAATTTTCCCATTTTACTTGGGAAATCGCTTGGAGGGACATAAAATGTCCTTCGCAAGATATCTACAAGTCCGTTATGGTAGGTTTATGTAGGTTTTCCACTCCGTTCCGGCAAATTAGGGTCCGTTCCGGTAATTGAAGAAAATTAATTTTACCACTGTCCCCCCCAAGTTTGCCGATTTATTATAAAAATTGCAAGGAAGTATATGAAATGACATTTGCAAGACATCTAAAGGTCCGTTCCGGTAGGTTTATGTTGGTTTTCCACTCCGTTCCGGCAAATTAGGGTCCGTTCCGGTAATTAAAGAAAATTAAATTTACCACTGTACCCCCCTAGTTTGCCGATTTAATATAAAAATTGCATGGAAGTATATGAAATGACATTTGCAAGACATCTAAGGGTCCGTTCCGGGAGGTTTATGTATGTTTTCCACCCCGTTCTGGTCCGTTCCGGTAATTTAGGGTCCGTTCCGGTAATTAAAGGAACCCGATACGGTACTGGTAGCTATTTTAGTAGGGAAATATCGGGATTTTAAAAAGGACATACCGGTAGACTACAGACATACCGTAGCTGCATAGTGGACATAGCCATTTTGGTACTGTAGTATGGGCATAACCATTTTACTAGGAACACATCGTGATTTTAGACGGGACATTGCCATTTTAGTATGGACATATCGAGATTTTAGAAAGGACCGTAATCATTGTAGTGAGGACATATCGGTACGGTACCGGTAGTACGGGACCGTACGTGCATGGACTTCGCTGGATTCATGAAAGTTCAGAAGTTCCTGTGTTAGGAAGAAAGCATTGTTTATTTAGCATTGCAGCAATGAATTTTCAGCAAACAGCGGGATTTCACTTACGCACTTTGGTTGCACTTAGCCAGTCGGTACCGTACATACGGTACCGTAATACAGTAATACTGTACGATACTACAGTAAATTGAATATTTCCTGATTTCTAGGGGTTATTTTCTATTACAGTATTATATGTGTTTTTACACAATTATCTGAATACAATCTTCAGTACTGTGGGATGAAAGACACCTGACCATGCATCGATTTCGTGTTCGTCTAAAAAACTTTACTACCAACATCTATCGTGGTGCTTATCAGAATAAACATGGGTCTTTATGGTACTCGAGCAGTTCGAAAAATGTGCAACTGGAGAATGAAATGTCGACTCGAAATATAAGAAAACTAGTAATAGCTAATAGGGGTGAAATAGCATGTAGAGTTATGAAGACCGCAAAAAGGTAAGATAAATCAGAATGCATGGTGTCATCTTCTATATGTCTTATCATTAATGGTTAGTACAATTTACATCTACACCTGAGTACTAACAGGACTGCTAGCATTAGTATCTAAGATGAAAGGTAATCTGTGTCTCAATTACGAAATTTGCCAAAGATTTGATTCATTTGTTTGTTTTCTTGCTTTAATTCTATTTGAATGCAGTATCACATCGTCATACCTAAAATTTACTTATTTGTTCATTATATGAACTGAGTGCAATATACCTTCAGCATAACATTTATATTATATTTTTTACAATATTGTATCAGGAATTGTTTGGAGATTTTGATTTGATGAAGCTTAGTTTCTATTTATTTTAGAATGGGAATTTCAACTGTAGCAGTTTACAGTGAGCCTGACAAACATCAACTACATGTTGAAGTGGCAGATGAAGCATATTGTATTGGACCTGCAGCCTCGCAGCTTAGCTATCTAAATACGGAAAATATATTCAATGTAAATTATTTTATTATTTGATATGTTTAATTCAATTCTATTGAAAGTGTATGGTATAGAATATATTAAATTCCTCATGATTTTTACCTTTTCTGCACCACACAAAAACAGATGAATTTCTCTATAAAAAATTATTTCATATGAATTGTTATTAGTTGCGCAACATATCTCAATTTTCACATACATCAATGGCAATGACTCTTTAATTTTGTAGATTAGAATAAAGTGTGAAATGGGGTTTGTATCATTTATATATACCGGACTTTTAGTACAATGCAATTTTGAGGATATGGATAAAAGTGATTATCAAGCCAATGCAAACCCCTATTGTTGAGGTTATTTATTATTGGTAGTCTTTTAATATTAATATATTTTCAGGTGATTCGCACAAGTGGCGCTGAGGCTGTTCATCCTGGTTATGGGTTTCTTTCAGAAAATGCAGAATTTGCTGATGCTTGTGAAAGTAAAGGTGTAATATTTGTTGGACCACCTTCATCTGCAATTAGGGACATGGGTATAAAAAGCACATCTAAGAAGATTATGTCATCTGCAGGAGTACCCATTATTGAAGGTATTTTTATTGCAATGAAATATGGAAATAATGTTCACTGATATACGTTTGTACAGGATGGACCTAGTCTTCATAACATTTCAGTCTCCTACATATCTTGTTTGTAAACGACCTAGCTAGAAGAATCTGAAAACTTATTGTATAAAGCAAATGAACTATATTTTTAATCAAGATATTTATTTTGAAAAATGAATACCATAATTTTTTTTTTCAAATGGTAATCTGAGTCTGACATGTTTACAAGATCTTTCCGTTCTTTCATCAATTACTTCTTCCCAATATACGATTGATTATTCAACTAAATTAAACACAAAATCTCATTCAGGTATTGTAGAGTGTTCAGCTTTGTAACTAATTTCTATGCTAACATTTTTACCTTGATAACTTCCTCAGATGCAAATTTTTATTGGTATTTCATTTATTATGTATTAAGGTTATCATGGAGAAAACCAAGATGATTCTTTTTTACTGAAAAAAGCACAAGAAATTGGATTTCCTGTCATGATCAAGGCAGTTAGAGGCGGAGGTGGTAAGGGAATGAGAATTGCAGAAACAGAAAGTGAATTTCAGGAACAACTTGAGTCAGCAAGGCGTGAATCCAAAAAATCCTTCAATGATGATATAGTTTTGATTGAAAAATTTGTAGAAAGACCAAGACATGTTGAAGTTCAGGTATTGCATTGTCAATGTTAACACAGTACCAAGTTCAATACTATCAAATCTATAGTAGATTACCAAAACCACAATATTTCTAGAATGTTTGTGATGCGAATGATCTTCATGATCATGGTTTTGTTATATATTATGTTATATATTATCAACAGGTGTTCGGGGATAGTCATGGAAATGCTGTTTATTTGTTTGAAAGAGACTGCAGTGTTCAAAGGCGGCATCAAAAAATTATAGAAGAGGCTCCTGCTCCTAATATATTAGAAAAGACTCAAAAACGAATGGGTGAAGCAGCAGTGCGTGCTGCTCTGGCTGTTGGATATGTTGGAGCAGGAACGGTGGAATTTGTTATGGACCCTAATGAAAATTTTTATTTTATGGAGATGAATACCAGGTTACAGGTTGGTATAGTTTCAATGTTTAGTATTGCAAACTTCCTTTTAATGGGAATAGCATGGAAATCATTTCATTTTTGTGTAATTGGAATCGTTTTGGGATACACAATGACTTGAGAGAAAACTGGGCAGGACCAATTCGACTTATTGTTTTTTTTTTGAGTATCTTATCCAGGTGTTCTCACTAAGTTTATGAACATCGCAAATTTTAACAAATCCATTTACATGACATGTTTAATGAGCCAATTGAGAAAGCAATTGGACAGAATGTAACATACATTTTCAGAGTAGTAATTTTTTATTAGTTTGCCTGAGTGTTTTTCTTCCTATTCAGGTTGAACATCCTGTGACGGAAATGATATCTTCAACTGACTTAGTAGAATGGCAACTTCGAGTTGCTCAAGGTGAAAAAATCCCGATGAATCAGGTATAATAGTCGTTTAAACTTAGAATAATCCACAATTAGTTTTTTTTTCCTTCCAGTGGAAAACCCAAGAGATCATTTTAATATGCATTAGTAGCACGTTTCTCAACCAGAAAAATTTGCTTTGTAGAAGGAATTTTTGTATTTTCCATGGTATTGATTATATTCTTTAGTTATTTATTATTACTATAATGCCTATTTATGTACACAATATAAACTACTTGAGCTGTGCAAAACTTGGAATGCAACTTCGCACTAGCTAAGGATCCATTAAAGATTGAATAAATAAAGTAGCTCTTATGCATAATGAATGAGGAATGGAGAGTTGCAATATAGGCGCAGGGGGGATTTAACGAAAAGGTCCAACCAAAGCAGTAATTTATCTGTCATGCATGCTATAGATACTTCATGCTATTTTTAGGAGCAACTCACATGCAGAGGACATTCATTTGAAGCAAGAATTTATGCCGAAGATCCTGATAACAATTTCATGCCTGGTGCTGGAAATTTGCAACATTTATCCAGTTTGACAGATATTTACTCTGATCCTGCTGTTCGATTAGAGACTGGAGTTAGACAAGGTGATGATATTTCACCTTATTACGATCCATTGATGGCTAAATTGGTCGTTTGGGGTCCTGATAGAACCAGCGCTCTTCAGAAGTTGATACAAAATCTGGATGAATATAGTGCTGTGGGTGTGCCTACTAACATAAGATTTTTGAAAAAACTTGCTACGCATCCGGAATTTGTGAAAGGCAATGTACACACCGGATTTATTGAAGAACATGAAGCTGAACTATTCCCAAAAGCACTTTCAGTCGATCCAACAACGTTATGTAAAGCTGCACTAGCGGTTGTTTTGAACGAACAAAATCAAAATTTCATTTCTCCATTCGATCTGTCTACTGGATTCAAAGTCAATTTGCCATCACATCAAGTTATTCCAATTAAGGTTGATGAGGTTGAGTTGAAAGTTGATGTTGTAAAAAGAAATGGGCGTAATACGGAGTATACAATGAACGTTGACGGAAAGTGCTTTGAAGTATCTGGAAGTTTGGAGACAATTTCGGGAACGACCTGGGTGAGATCAGTCATCAATGGAGTTTCAAATAAAACAAAGTTGTTTTTTGACCAGACTGGGTCGAAAAAAAAGATAAGAGAGTCTGATACTCTCACACTGTTTTTGCGGGATGGAATCTGTCAAATACTTTTTCCTTTGGCCAAATTTTATGAATCTTTTTCACAAACAACAGGTAGTGGTGGCTCTGGAGCTATTGCACCAATGACTGGAACAGTAGAAAAAATACTAGTTTCTCATGGTGATGAGGTTTCAGCTGGGCAACCTCTCGCTGTGATGATTGCGATGAAAATGGAACATACGATACGAGCACCACATGCAGGTGTTATCCAGACTGTTCTTTTTAGTGAGGGTGACACAGTAGAACGTAATTCACCATTATTCACATTTAAAATAGGAGATGAGTGATATTATTTGGTTGTAGTACATTCATTTTACTTGGATATGCGTGAAATCTATTTTTGAATAGGGTAGAATATAATATTGATCATGGAGCTAATTTGTCCTGTGTTTTTTTTTTATGAGATTAGCACAAACCAGGGGTCTCGTCAATCATCATCCCAACCTTATCTTGTGGAGGAAAGCAGTCGTTGTTCGGTCCATGAGGTAGAGCTAATTTATTTCCGATTCCTGCCACCAGGTGCTGATTCAACTTAAAGATCATCGGCAATCTCATTCATAAGCGGTATGGATTGTTATAATTATTTGCCAGTTAACATAAGCCAGGTATAGTTAACCTGTTTCACAGGTTCACATTGGGGAATTACCGGTTGGGTGGTATGGTGTTAGAGTAGAGCTACCATATTTGACAAAACGGAACTCGTCACAAATTGATGTGAGTCATGCTTACCCGTTTTATAGAGATAACTTTTTTTTATTATGGTATGAATACCGGGTGAGCAAGCACATTTCTGCAGTCGCTTTCTCGAAAGATGACCTGCTCCTGGTTACATTGAACTATTACGTATATAGCAGAATAAAACTCATCTCATGCTTGCATGTTTGAAATTCTGTACATAAATTCACGCCGTTTCGTTTCGAACGTTCTTATATCATGCCATGAAAAGTTTTGCAATACGGATTCCGTATGTCACATTTCCTTAGCTCAGGGCTTCCCAACCATTTTTCGCCATGAACTCCTAAATTGTTATTAAAGGTCGTATAGCCCTCTAACCGCAGCCTCCTGTCCAGTTCCTAATCGATATCGGGTATGGGATTGGTTAGCCAGCGTTTACGTGAACCACCCAACGACGGCGAAAAGTCCAGCAATTTTCCCGTACGGTTCCATTATCTTTGCACCCACGGAATGTATACCCATGAACAATTGCACATAAAGATTGCACCCATGACCATTTGCACCCACGGATATTCGCATATATAGAGGACTTGCACGGGTCACGTGACTTTGTTACTGGACGGCAATAAAATAAAAAACGTCCATTTGGCTCCTGTCAGTTGCAAGTCGGATTATACGTTTCCGTTTTGTTTGGCTGTTGAAAATGGTTATTCCGTATTGTTCCGTTGGCTGTACGTATAGTATAGACAACGAAATGGATCTTTAGTTATATTCCACTGATTTCAGAAGATCCGGAACGTCGCCCAATGTGGATATCATCTATTGCCTTTTGACAGAACTGGTTGGTGTCAAGTTCAGAAGCCATCTTACTTGTGTTTCACTGTTTGCGGTCAGCACTTCGTTGATGGTGAGTGATAATGTGGTGATAGTGTGCCGTTATCAATTTCTTTAAATATTCACAAGCTCCCTCATTTCAATGGAAAGCAGATGACAAACTACTGTTATTAGTAGGCCTAGGCGTGGGCCTACTTGCAGTTGCAGATCTGACTTGTGTAAGGCAGTAAGGAATTAATAATCAATTGCTATAAGGTATTGTTTGCCTAATTAGCACCAGTGGTCATGCAAAAAATAACCAGAATTCAATTGAATTCGCCATCTAGGAATACGCTCGCCACCGCATCTCTGATCACCCTGGTAGTTTCACAGGTTTCAATCCCATGCGGGGATAGTTATGTGCTAGAGGATTGCAGCTCTACTCCCACCGAGGGTGGTTCAAATGACCGCTGATCGGTTACGACCATTCCCCACCATCCAAGTCCATGATGCTTCTGAAAACAAATAACTGCCCCCCCAAATAAATCCTATCCTAATGGTGTTGAACAACTGATCCAAAATGTCTTTTTATTGTCATTGGTAAAAAAGATATGCTACCCGGAATCAAATTCATCCACGACTAGTGGCTGTGGTGGTATATGAACATAAATTTCACACTCCTTGATCGTTAGATTTTATGAAAACTCTATCTGTATCCATTATCTTACAAATATGGGTGCGACCATGGAATAGATGGATGGCAAAGTATAAGTTGCAACAGGACCACAGTGGCACAAGACCTTAGCTTGCGTGACTTAATAATACATCCTCAGTATCCATTTATTGATGCTTATCGCAATGAAAAAGTAACTTGTGATTACTGTGGATTGGTGGAGATAAAGTGTCCATTGTGCTTCAACGAAAGCAACTTCAAGACGACCCTATCAAGAAAAAAAAATTGTTTTGGTTTCACACACTTTACAGTAATTATAAAGTATATTTGAAAAATAAAGCACATCAAAAATGTATTTTTAAAAAACAATTGGTTTTATCTGCAGATACTAGGTTGATATTGAGATTGACCATTTCAATGCTAAATTTTCTTTAGTCGAAAGGCACACTTGATTCGCAAAGATTTGTGAATGCGCACAGTACACCAATTTGTCTAATGTATTGATTCCATAGGCAGGAGGTTGTGGATCGTTGCTGCTCAGGATGGGATATTTTTGCCTCTAAATGCATATCACGTGTTTCACATGAATCCATCGTGCTCAGATTCGACTGTTTTCAAGGTCTGAAGGCTCCAACAGCCTTATTTTATGGGTACACAAGAGAATTTTCAGTGTGGCATGCATGGGTCAGTTGGAGTCACTAACCTCAAGATATCTTTAAGCAAGGATATAGATAACCTGGAAGTAACATTCCATAATTTAGAGTAAAAAATGTATCTGCCTCCACAGCCATTTCAAATGAAAGATATGATGCCTCGGGGATAATTTCTATCAAATATTTTACAGTATTATGGTTCTAGTGAAAAGGGGTGTAGGTGGCTTTTTTTAAGTGTGGTAGGTCTAGTCGAAAGACACATTAAATGTTTATGCTAACAACTGCAAATTAATATTGCAACGCATACAAGTTAACAGAATTTGTTGAAATGGTCCTGACTTTTTCCTTTCTGCAAAATCCCCCTTTTTCTAACTATTCTCTTCCTCTCTGGGGATGGCGAAAATTCAAATATCGATGGGACATATAAGCAGCTGATAATGGGTTATCTTCCCTTTTTCCTGAAAATAAATTAAACACTAATCATCATTTGACAGTGCCAAGTTTGTGTATCAGATCAGTAATAAATTACCTGCTAACTAACAAAACAATCAGACAACACCTTCAGACCATTAATGAAGATTTCTTTCAATTTAAAACGCAACTATGCCTACCAATGTGGGTAGTTTTCAGGATAGAATTTATCTGTGGTTGGGGACAGATTGCAAGGTGCAACATCGTACGCTTACCATTCTATGTCTGGATTAGTTAGCCAGGTATTTGTTTTAGAAGCATGGACTTGATGGGGATGTCGTAATCGACCAGCGGTCGTGTGAACCACCCTCAGTGGGAGGAGAGCTGCAATCCCCTCGCACATAACTATCCCCGCATGGGATTGGAACCTGTGAAATTCCCAGGGGGATCAGAGATGCGGTGGCGAGCGTATTCTTAGATGGAGAATTCAATTGAATTCTGGTTATTTTTTGCAGTAGCACTGGCGTTAAACTTTAGATGTCTATTCAACTTTTCACACTTACTAATAGATTACCTGCTAACTAGGGAAACAATACCTTATGGCAATTATTGATTAATACCTCACACGAGTCAAGTCTGCAAGTAGGCCTACGCCTAGGCCTACCAATAACAGTAGTTTGTCATCTGCTTTCCATTGAAATGAGGGAGCTTATGAATATTTAAAAAAATTGATAACGGCACATTATGACTCACCATCAACAAAGTGCTGTCCGTAAACAGTGAAACACGAGTGAGATGGCTTCTGGACTTGACACCAAGCAGTCCTGCCAATAGATGATATCCACATTGCGCGACGTTCCGGATCTTTTGAAAACAGTGGAATATAACTGAAGATCCATTTCGTTGTCAATACTATACGTATAGCCAGCGGAACAATACGAAATAACCATTTTCAACAGCCAAACAAAACGGAAACGTATAATCCGACTTGCAACTGACAGGAGCCAAATGGCGTGCCGTCCAGTAAACAAGGTCACGTGACCCGTGCAAGTCCTCTATATATGGACACTGCACTCATGGAATTTTGCACTCGTAAACATTTATTAGTCTTTGAAGTAAAATAGGTTATATTGCCTTTCGCGCCCAAATATAGACTTCCTAATGTTATGAATAGTAATGAAGACGAACTCACTGCAAACTCGAACTCCATCTATTAACTCAGATCGAGGTAAACCAAACGGCATCGGGATAGATACCTTATGACGCAATAATACAAAGAGTAGGAAAGTGCTGGGTGGGTGTAAACAACTTTTTACATATAAATCCTGCTTTCGCCAAGTCGACGTCATTTCTCGCTTTCTGATTTTCTCTTATCTATTTGGTTTGTACAATTGGTTTAACACTGACTTGATTAATTTATGTACGACCAATTCTTTTCGCCATCGTCTACCAACCACCGTACATTCGACCTCGTTTGCGTTATTTCATCAAAATGACCGACACAAGTGGGATAGGATTATAACACGCAATAGCACTAAATACGTAGCGACCCTCACCGGGGCTAAAATTTGTAATCCGCCTTCTTCTCGAATATATATTTATTTGTCTAAAACACGGTTATTCGCGAACATGGCGGCGAATGCATGTACGTGAAATGTCATGGATACAAATGTCCGTGAATGCAGATGTGCATTAGTGGAAATGTAGCCTACGTAGGTGCAAGTGTCCATTAGTGGAAATCTATTTGGGTGCAAATGTACATGGGTGAAAAAGTCTATGGGTGTAAATTAGAATTCCAATACGCCAAAAATTTTTCTGACATGTCCGTGATTCTAGTGGTCAAATTAGCGGCAGGGAGAAGTGTTAAAAAGTTTTGTAGCTTACGGGAGAGGATTTCCGTTTGAATTTATTTGCGTATTTGGAATGGTTTTTTTGTTGGTTGAAATAACTGAAAAGATATACTGAGGCATTAGAATGAAGTAGGAAGTCGTGGCATCTGCCAATCAGCTCTTCGTCGGTACCATAAGTTATCAAAGTGGAGTAGGGGCAGAGTAATCCTACTGTTCTGTGATTGCATTTATTGGATGGTAATTAAAGGTTTACACCGGAATTATAGCACAAAAGTAAGAATTCAGATACTCTCAAGTAAGGGCGATATAGAATACCGAATCCGGAGGATTTGAATCCCTAGGGCTCGGTTTCCGCCTCTTCGGCGCCGTGCGTCAATTTTTGTATTTCGAATTTATAATTTATTAAACAGGGACGAGCGTTATTCTCTGCGACGAAATCTGTCTCGTGTGATTATACTTGTGTTTTCTCGCAAAGAGCCCGCAAACGCGTTTGCGGCAGATATCAAACACCGTAATCCCAGTTTGAATATTCAGAACGTGAAGAAGGCGTTATTGCACCATTTTATTTATTATCATTGGTGCCGACTGCCACCTTACAGGCGATTTTCCGATTGAAACAATCTTAATTTTTTGGAATAGTGAAACATTCTTTCTTTTATATTAAATGACTACTCGAGTTCTCCCGGAAATGATGAGTACCTGACGTTAGATGATATAACATTATTTGCGATTAATTCAGATCAAATTTTACTTTACACACGCCTGGTCGAGTGTCGGTTGGTATTTTAGTAAATTAAAATTTGGTAACAGAAATGAACTTGTCTCAAGATGTTATTGTATGAGGTTGCTCTCAGAAGCAATCGTTTTCTGTCAAAGGCACAAGACATTCTAACAATATATAACGAGGGTCGGCAACCTTTTGTTGTTCGCGGGTCAAAATTAAGGCTTGTGGGTCTTAGCGGGTCGCACATATTTTTAGAAAGTTGAAAACCGAGCGGATGGCCGATAAATCACATTTTTCCACACAGATCAGGGGATGAAATTTTTAATTTTAGGCAGCACGCGATGACTGCAAAAATTCGTGAATTCAACGTAGTCGTCTTACTTGAAGAATTTTTTTTACAAATAGACTAGCATGTAATGTGACACTTTTTGTCGCATCACCCTTATTAAGTTTACGACATCACTAAATGGGAAACATTTTCTGAATGGGACACTGGATGAAAACATTTTATAAATGGTAATTCCTGATCCGAGTTCTCAGCTTGTTCTTTGTTATGTTCCAAACATTGATGGGAATTTTTTCACATTTGACCCTAGTGTAAATGCTCATGGGTGCAAATATGCAGATGTCCGTGGGTGCAAATGTACACGGGTGCAAATGTCCGCGGGTGCAAGTGTATGCCGGTGCAAATTTCCTGTGTGCAGTTTACGGGTGCAAAATGCAAATGTGCTGTCACTCTCTCGCACATAATTATCCCCGCCACACCGCCGAGTCTTCACAGGGAAACCAGTCCAGGCTAAATTTCGAACTTATTCTCATGCTTTCCGTGCAATGAATGATTCGCTTGAAAATCTTCCATTTTTGCATCCCAGTTGTACATTTCTAGTCTCGTAGTCAAAATAAATTTTTGTTTTCTTGTTTAAAAGTTAACAACAATTGTTTCTGATACCGGCAATTCTGATTCTCGAACACATTCAATTTGCTCGAAGAGCCACGTCCGCATCGAAGGCGGTCGGAATCGGAACCAAAGCGACTACCGTACTGTTTTACGTGGCTACCACGGAACTGCTGTATGTATTTATTTGCTTGTCCACATACAGACATATCGTTTTAGGAATTTATATTAATCAACGTTTTTTCACATGGCCATGAATAAATATTATTGTACGGTATAATTTTATGAGTAAAAGATATCCTGATATCAGGAGTTTGAAAAAATAATGAAATAATCGTCTGTAGATATGTGAATGAACCCTGACCGTGAACGGTAACGTTATACTGTTATAAGCATGCATTTGCACGAACTGATGTATGCATGCGGACAGTGCCCACCCCAACCGTCATATTTATGATATTCAATACTGGTAGATATCAGGGATTTAGTCTTGTAACCAGTACAGCAGTACCGTACTGTAGTATAATACTGTAATATGTTTATAAGTTATGCAGGAACAAACTCTTGATTCGTGGAATGTTGTGGTAGCCATAGCCCTTGTCTTTGTTTCTGCCTTTATAATATGGTTTAGGCAGAGCAGGACTGAAGATAAAAAAGATGATTCAGGTATGAATTTATCAAAGGCCTTTTGGTTGGGCCTATTCAGATTTAAGCTTATTTGACTGTCTGAATGTGTTTCGCGATTCATTCTGTTTTTTTATGTACATGTACACACTGATACAGGATAAGATTTTCATATTTATCCCTGAGGCAGGAAAGCCTATAAGTCTGGTGAAGCACTGCCTCTCATTCAGTTACGCAATCCTGTTGGGGTAAGAGCCGTGACCATCTGGTCGCTGCATAGGGAGGATTCCAACCGCGTGTGTTAATATTATTCATGTATTGTTTTACCTGAAAAAGGGTGGGTTCATTGCCCAGAAACGCCCCTTAAACTGTTAAATAAGAAATACTATATAAACATTTCTGGAGATATTTTATACATAACCTTCTTGGCTTGCCCAAAACAAAGACAAAATTAAAGAATCTGTTCACTATTTTACTAAGTTTCTGTAAATTATTGCATTGTGTATAGTTTTATTCTATATAAAAAAGGGGACTCTGTGCATCTTTCTACTTTAGATAGGAGGATGGATAGCTTGATATTTATGTGCTTTTGGTGTTGCTTGTGGCATATTACTGTACTACTTTGTTAGGAATGTATTATCTAGTCCTTGACATATTGCATATTCCTGGTTTAGAAGATGATTCGAAACAAGATGTGGGAACAAATAAGTCATCAAAACGTTCTCAGAAATCTTCAACTTCAAAACAGTTGAAAAAAGCTTTCAACTTTACTCATGACCTTCTTCACACAAGTCTGAAGGTGACTGTTATGTTTCAGTGTTTTGACTAGTTCTGAAAGGTGACTGTTCAGATTTATTTGGTCTCAAATTTTGGTAGCATAAATATAATGTCCAAATAATAAAAAAAAATGAAAATATATCAAATTGAAGAATATTAATAATGAATCACTTAATTTTTAAAAATGAAAGTAATATAATAAAATATTCTTCTGGGAAATACTATAGGGTCATGCTGGGAATGTACTTGGAGTTCACTTCAGTATCAATGGAAAATATTTTGCCACTGCTGCTGCTGATAGAACTGTTAGGCTATGGAGTGTCAAAGATTTCGGTTCTGGCAACAAATGTGTTCATGTCAATGTTGAACTTGATCATGCAAAGTGTATCCAATTTAGCCCGGATTCCAGGTGGGACAAGTATTGTAGCGCTTCATAATTGAGGATATAGTATCGAAGGTCTGGTAGCATTGATGTTCGGCACAGGTTTTTCGGTTTCTTGATAGTCAAAGTGCTCAAAAGTGTACTGACATTTTTACTTTCAGTAATATGGGTAACCAATGTTGTAAACTGTAATGTAATAGATCCGAATTCTCTGTCAAGCTCTGTGCATTGAAAAAAACTTATGGTAGGAATAAGTTCATCAAAGCTTGTGTAAATTTTGTAACAATATTTGAAAAATAATTCGTTTTATATGTTTCGTTTTAACGTTTTGTGGGCTGGATTTGTTTGCTTGCATTTTGAATATTTTAAAATTAACCCTTTCCGTGCGGTGGGCACGTATAGGTACCCACGACAAAACTCGCTAGATTGCGGCGGGTACGTTGATGTACTCCACTGTTTTATTTAGCAATCGGTCGCAAACTGTTGGTCTAGTTTTTCCGGGTTTTAGTTTATTGATAAGAAGTCTTCTTCGAGATTAACATAAGCGACGGTAAATCTCGCTTTCGTTTACCATGGGAATTTTATTTGCGGCGGAACGAGGGAGTGTTTTTGAAATTTATGCAAATTTCGGTGTTTTTTGGGTGGTAATAGAAGACATATTATCCCTTCCATCTACCAAAGTATTTTGAGTTAGATAACGAAATTGCTACAGCAATATTATGCTATTGTTTGCCAACCAAGAAGCGGTAACAGTAAAGGATTTAGCAAATATTTCTATTTTTTATCACGGTTTGAAGTTTCAACACCCAAGAAGAAAAAAATGCCCTTTTTCTATCCGGTTTGTGACTCAGACCACCCCTTTTAAAAAAAACATTTTTTAATCGCCAATTGCAAGCTCTTTAAATAAGCTTTCCAACGAGCCGTCAGTGGGCAGCAGAGGATCATTACTTTTTCGTTAGTCGATCGATTAGTTGTGGGGGTACAAATGCATAAAGTCGGCGTAGCAAATACGATTATTTAATAAAAAATAAAAATCGCATGGAAAGGGTTAAGTTGAACGTGCTATAATTTCAGGGCATTTGTTGTTGGCTTGGCCAGAGGCAACAATGTCAGAATATTCAGACTTGGTAAGAAGGACGACGGGACAACAATGTGCAATCCTTTGGAAAATGATTTCAAGGATGATTTCAAGTAATCTTAAAGTTCACAAAATTTTCATTTTGTCTTCCGTTGATTGTTTATCAATGTGTAAATGGCACTATAGATGAAAAAGATATATTAAATTACTCGGTGCTCCAGAAGGGTGTGTACCAATATGGAGGTAACTAGTTTTGTTCGCCTACTTTACATTAAGTTGTATAAAGGGACTGAAACCTATGGGCAGGGGGTCATTCACTTGGCTAACACAGACAGTCCCCGAACTCATAATAGAACTAAAATTAGGAAATTACTACGGGAGTAGCCCACCAATCACTCACTATGCTACTGAATGCAAACAGTATGGAAAAGTCAAGTAATACAGAAAGATGATGTAAATTGCAGAATTTGAGGGGATTTGGTGCCGTGTCAGCATTTGGCACTCAGAAATATTATTGTTTTAAAGATATCATTTATTCTTCAGACAGGAATTGCTCAATATTGGTGTTGGTGCCACATCCAGTGGTGGAAGTTTTGTTATGACTGCATACAAAGACACAACAATCATTGTTCGTGATATTAAAGGAGAAGTTTTAAACACCATCAACACCAACTTGGGAACCAATAATTATGCATGTGTGTCTCCATGTGGCAGGTATATTTTGATTCTCCATATTATATAGAAAACCAAAATAGTATTTAATGCATTTTTAAACATTTACAATTTGATTACCATTTACCACCTAAATTAATGGAAAACCCAAGTAAGGCTATGAATAAATAATCAACACCGCCTCCTAACTTGATGCTATGTGTACTGTCCTCTCTAATTGTTACCAGATAATATTTTTTATTGTATTAAATTAACTACTAGGTATGTTGGTGCTTGTGGATGGACTCCAGATGTCAAAGTGTGGGAGGTCAGGTTTACTAAGACTGGGACATATAAGGATGTTGTTCGGGCATTTGAGTTGAAGGGACACAAATCATCAGTATGGTCCTTTGCATTCAACAATGATTCAACAAGGTATATTGTTAATATTATATCAATGTAATATAAGTTCATATCAGAGCTGCTAAGGCACGTTATGCAAAAATTCTTTTATTGTCGTAGACTTCAAATTAAATCTGGAATTCATGTCTAATTTTGACTATTAGAGACCCATAGTGCTGATTTATACAAATACAAAATACATTTTTAAAATAAAAGTTCATGGATTTACCCTTTTTTTCTCATATTTTTAGGATGATCACTGTTTCCAAAAAAGGAATGTGGAGGTTCTATGACACTGATATAGAATATGAAAAAGGACAAGAGCCATGTTTGTTAAAGGAAGGCTTGTTCAATGTTGGCGACATTTCACCAGCCGATAATTTCTGTTTTACTTCTCTCTCATATGATGGTAATGTTGCTGCAATTGCATCATTGAATAGTTTTTGCGTTCTGTCAACTAGAACAGGTGAGTTATACATGTTTTCAAATTTTCCAAGTATGAATCTCTGGTATATATTTAATCAGTTTAATATTTTAGCAAGTCTGCCTTGATGTAGTCAAAATTTTTTATCTAATATAATTTGGCACTCATTTAATCATGTGAAATGGAAGCCTTATCATTTTAGTATGGGTTTTGCACTGTAGTCATTCCTTATCTGTGAAGTATCTAATCTCAACATGTTGAGTATACCATGTCAATATGTGCGTTATTTTAAACTAGGTGATATTGATCAGCAGTTTAAGGAAGTTCATTCTGAGTTGATAACCGCACTGGCATTCGATATTGGAGGAAAGTTTGTTATTTCTGCTGGGGACAGGTACATAATTTTCTTCCTATACATGTTTCAATACTAACCAGCTAAGAGTTGTAAAAAAAGTAGTGAAAAAACTGGGGGTTTTATTTTTATAGCATGTTTTACAATTACTCCTTATGTCACTGAAGCTGAGCAGTCACCTGGAAAGGCTGTTACTGCTTTTCAGAAGGACTAGGAATAGATTAACCAATTCAGTGAGATGGTGGGCATGTAGATGGACTAAAAATATTTCAAATTTTCACCCAGGATGGCAACATAGGTCCAATGCTTTACCCATCACATTGCATTTTTGTTTTCCACACATAAAATGTACATTCTGTTTTTATTTATTTGTGCCAGACATGTCCGGGTATTCCATAACATCCTCGGATATAAAGAAAGTATTGAAGTGCTGAGAGAAACTCTTCGAAAACACCCGCCAAGTTCTGCAACTCGAGAGAGATTGGAGACTCAAATCAAACTTAAGCAATCTGAACTAGATAAAATTTTATTGACGACACAAGAAAAATCTGATTCTTAATGATGTGCAAGTGGATGAAGGGCGCAACCCAGGCATATAATTTTTGTTCTGATTGTTATATGAGGAAGATCATAAAATTTGATTCAGTTTTTGGTGTTGCTAGAAAGATGTATTGTCAGATTTTATGTAACTAGGTAGTTGTATTACATTAGTTCATTTCTCTTCGATTTAATACCGAAACACCACAAGCAAGGTCAATATTGACTATACTCCTGACTTGTTTTAGTTTTATTATCAATGTGAACATTAAGCTGAACTTCTTTTGACACCGATGTGCGTCTGCCCTGAATTTATAGCTCTTAAACATTTTATTGGGCATTAGTCTGATATGGAAACTTAAAAGTTGAATACTCTGTAACTCCAATAGTATGATCAATCAATTCCTAATTACCTTATTCCTCATTAGGTTGTTTTGGTGCATTATGAACAATTGCTAGTTGCTTTCTAGAGTTAGTCTATGTGATGTTGTATTTATGTCAATCCAGTTGAAACAAAATACCTTATTAACTTTGCAAATGTTGAAGATGAAAAAGTGCAATGAAGCAACACGTGTTCTTTTCAAGTATTGGTACCGGTACCGGTACCGTCTTTAAATCATTAACTTTTGCCTTTAGCTCAAAAGGTTATTGGGTAGGGTTATTGGGTTTGGTCATTGCTAGATGTCACTAGAGTGTTACAACTGGTCGCTAGTAATGTTACAACTGAACGGTAGAAGAGTTATCTTTGCACAATTTCTTGACCGAAGGGTAGAGGCGGTGCAGTTTAGTAACTACGGTTCCATTACATTTGAACCCACGTACATTTGAACCCATGACAATTGCACCTATGGAATTTTTTTTGTTTCACGGATAGTTAAACCCATACTAACCCTAACCCATGGGTTTTAGCACCCGCATATAGATTGAACCCGTGGATATCAATCAATCATTTTATTTCGGCTCTCTGACTAAAACGGAACAATACAAAAAAGTAAACAGACAACAAATACAGAACAATACAAAAAAAGTAAACAGACAACAAATACAGAGATACTTGGAAGGCGAGCATAACTTAAAATGAAGTTAAAAAACGTACAAGTAGGTGCCCACCCACCAAAAAATAAAATAGAAATAATACGATTATACAAAAAATATGGACACGATTCAAAATCGGGCAGTCACTCAATTTAAAATATAAAAGCCAAATAATTGCTTGAATCAGTGGATAATTTACATGGAGTACGCATGGGTTCAAATGTACGGTCACCAGTAACTACGACTTGGTAGGTAGAGCTTAGCCTTAGACAGTAAGTGTATGGTCTTCGCAGCTAGTTCAAACGAAATCTACCGTAGTTTGTTTGCTCCGGTCTTCTCGCACACCAAACATTTACCGCGACTACGCCACTCGTTAAAAAAGCTGACCCTCCGTCGGATAATGTTTTTTCTGTGGTTCAGAATACGATGCGATTCTATATAAATTTAATTGGGTCAATAGTTCCAACGATTTTTGCCAATATAAGATCACTGCTACTGTAAAGTATGCCAAGGCAACTTGAAAATGCGTTGTAAACTGACCGATTATATTAAGTTTTGATTCGTATTATTGCGAATTTATCAAATTTGGCTGTTCTTGCAACACTGACGCATATCGTCAATAGAAAAATCCCAAGAGCTGCCATAGAATAAAAAATTGATTAAATACATTTACATTATTTATTGGGAAGGTAAACTTAGTGACTGTGGTCCAGCTTCCAACTTGGCATGATACATGGCATTGGCGCACAAAATTTCGCCGATTTAGAGTTTCAGAAAAGGCGTGTTTCATCTTTCCAGGGGCTCCCTTAAAATGTATGGTGTTTTTTTGTTTTACCTTCAGCTTTTACTAGCACTGTTTTCACCCTGGAGTTAGAGTAGCGCAGTTTCTCCTTTAACTTTTCAGATAATCGCGTAATAACAAGTTGACTTTTTTAAATGGACGCACATTTTCGGGCGATGAAAAAAAATAATTATTCGCGGCCTCGTGGCACCAGACGTGCATGTGACGAGGGCTGCAGAAATCTATATATATATATACAGTGTACCAACATAATACCGGTGTTTGCGGCTTATATAAATAACCACCTCACGCTAACGAAGACGATTGGTATGGAAATCCGCGTCTGAAGTAAGGGAAGTGAACAAGCGACGACTTAGTATTTTTAGCATGGTATGCAAGATATCCGTATCGGCAAACGTAGGGTATATATATATGGATCCCACTTCATTGTCCAAACTTGTATATAACTTAGCTTATCTTCTTCTCAATTTTGTCATGTAAATTGTAAGGCAACATTTCAACATAGTGCGCCAACCCATCTTTTCTACAAACCGTTAGTGTACAACCAAAATCAATCTTTGCGCACTTGTTTCGTATGCCATACTATTTCGACCATTTGTCGAATGTACATCTTCATACATCAGCAGCCTTTAACTTACTTGTGATCGCATGATCTTAATTGGATTCACAAACTGCGCAACTAAATTTCCTTTTTGGATCGTTCTGTGTACAATCGTTGGCCCAATGGTAAATCGAGCGCCAGACATCACAACAACCCACTGAACCATCTTTTGTAAATGAATTCATTTTTCAGGAGACAATGTTTCCATGTAGCGAAATATTTCTTTTTCGGTACTTTGAGTATTTCATTTTCACTTAAACATGAAACTTGTCCAAAAAATTCTTTTATGATAGGATTACCTACCGCAGTTTCTGGTTGCTGTCCAAACTAATCTTTTATTATGTCGACTCATTTAGCACCGTCGAAAAGTTTATATGCCGAGACATAATCTGTCAAAGGCATCTCAATTTTTTTTCGACTTTGTATACAACCTCTTAAATCACGAAAAATAATCTCGGTCATTCTCGCTACGTTCTCTTTTGTTTGAAATGTATGGCACGCATCATATGCATGATCAACTTTGTATTCTCAAAAATGTCGCCCAATTTCTCCAGCAGAGTCGACTTCTTGTTATTTTTTTGTTTTCTGTTGTGCATAAATCTCCATCACTTTCGTCTTTCCAACCAATCATATAAAAAAATAGCGATTGCCGTTTATGATTCGGGAGATGCCTTACCGGTGTCCACAAGGACACTTCATTTTTCCAATGTAAGGATTGCTATGTTTGAAACTAGGAGCATTTTTGTGTCTTTTTTCATAATTTGTTTTCCTCTTCTACAATTCGCCACAAAAAGTTAGAATTAGGTATTGATTTTGATCGTATGTGCTCATCCGTGGACGAAAAGGTTGAAAGAATTGACAACGAGAACGAAATGTTATTAGTTGCAAGAATTTGTGGCACCAACTGCATAGTCTACACTCTACATCACTGGCATCGGAGAGTTTTAACCATTTACGTAACTTATGATATCATAATTATCACAAACGTTGAAAATATAACTCGTGATCTCTAGGAATGAATGGACATTTCACGTGGACGTGATCGACTTGTACCAATCTACGATACTAGCAGTTTACGTAAAAAACAGTGAACGAACATCCAATTTTGAATGCGTATACGGCTGCTCGGAAACATAACCACTTGTTTTCCTGTTTATTCTTGTCTTGACCCATGTTGCTATCCAACCGAGAAGGAGGAGTATCTTTAGGAGGAATATCTGCGGTAAAGTTCGACAACCGGTCCAAGATTTTTCTCATTCGTCACTGTAAATAAACTCATGTGGCTAGTTCAAATGGATTATTGTTTATGCCTTAGCATCCGCACAATACTTTGCTGAATAATCGCACAATTTTATTTGATAATTTTTCATCAAATAAAAAGGATCGTTTGATCAAGTTTTGCATTGGGCGACGATAATTATGCTGGGCAACACAATTTTTGTTCCTGGCTTCTATCTATTGTTATTTTCTATTTGGTTACACCTAGAAGCTGAATAAAGATGAAATTATTTTTTTTGTTTAAATGCGTTCAATTTCCCTAAAACCGTGGGAAAATGTGACATAAAATAGCTTATTATAAAACTTCCATGACCAGATAGTCTGGTCTGGTGCTAATTCTTCAATGTTTTCACAATTCTAGAAATGTATATATTCCTTGAAATAAAGACACATGTTGCATATTTTTGGCAACAAAAAAGTCCTAAAATTAATCAGAGTAAATAATTTTCTACATTTTATATGGTCGAAGTCAACATCACGAATTAAAACCCGTCGCTCGCTCGTTTTACTGCAATTCTTGACGAACATTCAAAATCCAACTAAACCATCCAACCATCTCGTATCATCGTCAATCAAGAGCTTATTTCGATATTTTGTTCAAGTGGATACCCCGCGGAAAATACACCAATTCCGATGAATGAATGATATGCCCACTCGACGTCACTGCTGACTGTTGCCCAGCCTTTCCTGCTATCACTCTCTCGACCAGTCAATGGTGTGATTTGATGTGTGGGGGGTCGCCTCGTCATGCTGTAGCCTGTTACTGGTCATTTTTTTTCAATCCCCCTTTATCATCCAAGTGATATCCCGAACTTCCTCGGCACCATCGCGTGACGTTCCGTATTCACCATTTGAGCTCTTTCTTTATCGTCTTCAAACCAATAATTAACCGATTATGCCACGGTTGGAAATCATTACCCATGCCGTGCATCATTTTTTTTTGCATTTTCGTAGAAGTAATAAAGAAATTTATGCGTTCCGTTTTTGTTTTTTGTCACCCTGTACCCACCACTTGAATTGATGATACTTGAAGCAGTCAGATAGATACGTGATACCCTCATCCGCTCGCGCTTAATAAAAAGCAATTCGGATTGCATTGTTAGCATATAATACAAAATAAAAAGTTGTCAATCAAATGTGCGGCTAAAATTATATAAAATCACCGAGACGTTCACAATGAATGGGTTTCTTTATGTAAAATTTCGACGGTCATTTGGCTTCAGATAGTTAGATAACTACGACGGTTGGGCATTTTCAACCCTTCTGTTGTTATTCTTCATTAGTGTACTCAGCAAAGTAACTGTTCTGTTGTTCGTATGTGTTTCCCCACTAGAATTAATACACAATTGACTTTATTTAATAAGTAAAATCGCTTCGGACAAAATCAGTACCAACGAAGCATGATTCTTGTCTAAAATGTGACGCAAAATCAGTTTCACATACGGAAGTTATCGTCTTCTCCGCTCTCCCGAAATCGAAGCTTTCAAGCTTGTAATAAAGAAAGACCACTAAAAACGTGTAAAATGAATGGCAGACGCCCTGTCTACCATTTTTATAGATTTTTCTTCTATGTGCGGGCAAATTTTTATACGGATTCTATAAAACGTTCGAAAATAATTTACGCTTTCATCTTTTGTAAAACAAAATGTAAAGAGAAAATAGACAGCAGGTCATTCATGATAATCGAAAAATTATACGAATCAAGTATAAATAAGCAAGCATAAACTTAATGTAATCGTGTCGCCGCCACAGAATCGCTGTTGTTGTACGCTATGAAAGTGAAACATAAATAAATAGTTTTAAATTTCAAACCGGTCAATGGAGGTAAATTGACTGGAAATCACGCTCTATAGATCGAATTCAATCTTGCTAAATTGCAGTTTAAAAGTGGAATCAAAGTTTTGCGATAGGCATTACACATTTTATTGTGGGAATCAACTCAATTATCATTTTTATTAGAGCTTTTAGCATCAATTGGATATACATGAAGTTATCATTATTGGAAAGCACACAGTCGTTGATATTTATTAGTTTCGAAGGCTTTTAAAACATAGATTACAAACATCCTGCATGTAGCGTTCGGTGTTAGCATTTGATACAAATGTATATAAATAGCGCAATGCTGTATCATTCCTGAGAGTTGGGTTGGATTCTTCAACATCTCAATACAAATGTTGGATTGATAGACATATCGGACACATCGTCTCAAGTGTCGTCGAGCGATAACCAGTTTGGTTTATCGTTGTTACAGCATATTTAAAACATTCCACCGTTTATGATGTTTTCGTCACACGACAAAATAAGCAACGGATTGCTGAGAATTATTGACGATACGTTAGCCTTTGCTGCTGTTGATTAGGTGATGTCTCCGGATGTTCTTGTGTTATCAAAGAATGATTACCTAAGTTACAAAAAATAGGTATTAGACATATATATGTAAAATTACACGATGTTTCGTTCAGGGTATTTTTCCTTTACTGATGTAAATGGAATATATATTGCATACTTTGATAGAATTGGACACAAAGAATAGCTGTCTCTTTTGTGCGTGATGTTATAGAGAAATTGTGCCCCTTTTAGAGATATAAATAAATTGACATTGAAGTGCATAATCGCATTCAATGGGGGAAAATATAAGTTAGAAACATAAAAATAATATTAGGATAAGTCATTCATAGGGAAGGAGATCGTTTAAGCCCAAACATTTTGTGAGATGAATATGGAATAGGCAAATAGATAGATTGGTAGATATGACTCCATTAGTTATTAATTAAGTTATTCAACGTATAAATGTAAGGGTGAACACATCATCAATAATATCAATGGACTTACCACCAGATATCAAATTTTCTTGCCGATTATTTTCTGTTGGAATTCTCATCGAATTTACTTGGTTTTCAGTTTGAGATGCAAGAATAAACTGTTGTATTCCACCCTTTGAAAATTTAACATTACTTTGAATATAGAATAAATGTGTGAATCAGCCGGGAAGAATACATTGAATACGTCGCAAGGGAAGATAATGTGCCTATTATCATTACATGATTATGATTGAATCCGTTCCACTTCAAAAAAAAACTGTATCAGGCAAGCGTTGATAAGCATTTTTAGTAAAAGCATGTACTCGTTCCTATTCATAAATACGTATCCGGTTGTTCATTTGTCAAGATAAACAATATAACAACGGTAAGACGGTAGTGGTATAATTATCTAAAAACAAAGGTTTTTAAAAACCTGTTACTATATTAAATATGATAATTGGATATTAACTGAAAATTTTACATTATTCGTTGTTTTATCTGGATTTACAGGCAATAGACAACTAACTGTAAATATATTGTTATGTACTATTACGACTCTCTTTTTATTTGTTTCTTTTATTCACTTTTTTGTGTATCAAAGGGTGTTGTGGACCCGATGACGATGCAATCCATTCTTCACAACACCTGTCATTTCGGTAATAATTGTGGAAATAATTTTTTTTGCTGAATTGACATATAAAATGACTCTGACTCTAATAATACGTAACTCTCAATAAATTTGTTAATTATTTAGTTATCCATTATGTATATACGCCATTACTTTTTTTTTTTGAGTTTTATTCGGACCGCATAAATTCGTCCGCATGGCCATGACTTGGACCCAATACTGACATAGATGATGTTATTATAATAATAATAAAATAATAGTTTCGTAAAATGTGAAGAAATAAGGCAAATTGTTGAAAAGAAAACCAGGAAAAAAGGATCAGTCCCAATATCTGATTAATACAGTACAATGATATCTGAAATGCACTGTAGCACTCTTCTTCTTCAGTACCGAAAATCTATTTTTTTTGCTCATCGACTTTCATTCAATTTTATAGAAATCGAATCACTTCAGATTTGGATTTTTATATAGAAAAAAGTCATATATATATACCAGTAAGTGAACTCGTTTCACTCCTCAAATTGCTTTTCATGAATTTCAAATATTCACAACCTGAAACGTACTGACTATATCCTAATTAGCTCACCTCCGGGATTTGGATTCCTCCTGTTGTGCATGGTACAGATCCGGAGTACGGTGAAGCTGTTATAAATTGATATGCTCTCGTTGCGCCTTTGGTATGACACGTGACGGGGAATGCTGACTGAACGTAGTTCGCTGTGACGCAAAAAATTAGACGTGAATATTGCTTATCGAAGGTTATAATTACGCTATTCAACCATGTTTCGTTCTAGTTCTGTAAACTGTCTAAATTTGGCAAATTTACAACTTATTGAAGGTTACTTTTACCTGTTGAGTTTTGATATTGAGCAGCAAGTTGATGATGTTCATTCACGATATTTGCTGGCGACGGAGAAGACGAATTATTTGTCTGTCGTACAGTGGGCAGAGACGTCATTATGGTTCCTTGAGGAGGGAGACCTGATAAATAACAATGATTTTATTGATGGTTGTAAACATTGCCTCGTTTTCGCGGTTTTGCGTGTTATTTGTCAGATTTCAGTTGTGTTTCCGAAAATTAGTTGTAAAGGATTGAAACGAAGTATTTTAATTGGTAATAAATCTTTCAATTAGCTTCATTTTAGTTGCGATAATCAAAAATTAATCCAAAAAAAGCTGCCATGGACTATACGAGCTTGTACGAGCTCTTAGTACCCGTAAGCGGCACATAGTAGAATAATATAAAAATGAAAATAATGGTTTTGAGCATACAAATCAGTTCATAAGTGTCAAATCTCGTAAACACTCGCATAATAAACATCCAAAATGTCGCTATAGTAAAGTATAGGGAGAATTTTAAAAAAGGTCAAGGGTCGGGGAATCATACCGATCGTCGAATAAGCACAATACACTATTTCCACCTTTCCTAATACTAACCTTGTGTGAAGATTCCATTCAAAATCAACCCTTGATGTAACGGGTCTTGAGAAACAGCTGATGCATCGATACCATTGTGGCTATAATGACCTAGTCAAAAACAAACTCCATAAAGAAATGATAACAGTATTGAATATACTGATTAAAAACTATAGCAATACAATGTTTAAAATTGTGGCAAGTAAGCGCATTGTGTCTGATGAATATATACGGCTCAGTCACGACTTATATATGGGGTAATAGGAACCGATCATGATTACCAGAAATTACTCAAAGATTCCTCCACTGTGGTGGAAAAACTACTTACATTCGCAACAGAATCGACTGAAAAAACTCTGCCAATAGTAGCCGTAGACAGATTCTTAACCGACTGGGATAAAATCAAGAACAAGTAATTTCACTTATGGTGTCCGATCGGACCGTAAATAAATTGCTTTCTGTTGCACACCAATATGCGAGCAGATCATACTTTTGCTGATCTTTTGCATGTATTTCTAGATTTTTTACCTGTGATAGCGCTTTGCTGTATCTGATGGGCATTCACAATTGGTGATAATGTATTGACAGATGGCAGCGAACACATTGTCGCACCCTGCGAAATCAATATTTATATTTAGTTACTTAACAACAGTTTATCAACAAAATAATACTAATTGATAACATTTTGTAATACTAATAACTATAAAATATTGAAATTTTGGTGTAGTATCCCATCAAAGTCGTAAAATATTTGATGACTTTTCTCGATATCTCCAACTCACCTTGACTTGAGTAACATTTGTCATCATGCTATATGTATTACTAATAATTGCACCATTTTGTTCCAATCTTTGTTCAATTGATTCCTGCGGAAGTTGTGTAACGAAGGCAATACCTAAATTCATACATTTCACACACGGATTCGATAAATATATTTAGTCGTAGGCATAAATATATATACACAAATGTGAAACTGACGTATGTCAAGAATAGTCAATGATTATTTTCTCTACAAGATAGAAACGAGAATATCGGTCAGAGACCGAAAACTTATCGATCAAAAGTTAGGGGATCTCCCAAAACAGCGCTCTTACTCCATAGTGACACATTGTGTTCCATCACTAATTAATTAATAACTCGCTAATTATACGACATAATTCATCCAAAATCAATAGGCTGGTACGACATATGATGAATGCACATACAAAATCTGGAGCAGATTCAATCTCGCTTTAGTGAGATATCGCGTGCATCTAACAGACAAACAAACAGACTGACAAATACCTATCAACATACTTGCCGATTAAAATCGATAAGTAATAAGTCATTACAGAAGTTTTTAATAATACCTCCACCGCTTTGGCTGGGATGGTTGTTTAAATTGCCTGTTGCATTGCTACTCCTGTTCCCTTTCATTGGTTGGGATTTGACACTAGATCTTCTTGATGACTTCATAGGTTCTTGACTCTGTTGGTGGTGTTCCAATGAATATCGCTGAATACCTTGAAACATAAACGTAATAATTGTCTACGTCTCCATGTCAAACGATACTGCACACGTTTATATGAATCGTGCTGCTCAATGTTGTAACACCTGGTTTTTCTAGTTGCAGATTAGGTTAACAAATTTCTGAGATTAGTATTGTAGCATGGTATATTCGTTACAGTCACATTTATTGCATTTTTTAGGTGCTGGGGTTATCGAAATATTTTAGTTGGGATTTCGTAGCAATGTAAAACTACTATCAGTGTTAAGTTAATTCAGAGAACAATATTTTTATCTGACGCCGCGTTGTAAACTTCATTTTTTTTTCCAGATATATTCTGGATCGATCAAAGGGAGAGAAGTTTTTTTTATCATATGCTTGTAGACCTGTAGGGGATCGGCAGGCTCCTCCATGGGGAATATTTTTCTGTTCCATTCCCATCCTATCCCATAGAAACTATGCCTGTTCCATCCCATCCCATGGGATTCCCATTGGAATATAATTCAATAAAAATTGTTAAGTTTAGGTTTAGCGTCGACTGACTAGGACTAGATGTACGAAGAGTCACGCAAAACAACAAAATTTACAGACTTTGGTAATTTTATATTCATAACTATTATACATGTGTCCATCAGCCCCTTCACGAAGTATATTGTTAATGCTGAATATATTTTGCTCTTTTTCACTAACAAGAGTGCTATGCTCAAATATATGGACACGGAGTCCATAACGGAATGTTTTGCCATCATTTCCCTAAAAATCATACGGTTTTCGTGTCCAACGTGTCCCATGGGAAATACAAATGTGTGCTGTCCCATCTCATCTCATGGGACGTTTCCCATGAGAATCCCATTCCCATGGACAAGCCTGGGGATCGGCAGCAATCAGTTTCTGCTCGAGTCGTATCAGAAATTCCCATGATGTTTCCCGAAGGCTAAATAAGAACCATCCTTTTTCTTTTCAAAGCACCTTGATACGTTTGAAAAAGTTAGGGAAAGAAATAAGAAAAAATTTTCGTATAGAAGAAAATAGATTCCATGAGTATACTAAATTTTTAATTAGTCAATTTGGGCTTAAACATCATGATACAGGTTTAATATCATAGTCACATAATACAATATATATAACAATAACCTTTTGCATAAATATCCCCCACGGAGACCTTTAAATCTGTTGGTCTACCGTCATTAGTAATATCGACTGGTTCTGCATTCTGAAAAAGATTGAAAATATATATTTAATGTATCTGGCATGCATCGTCACATACAATTCACAACTTAGACGACGTTTGGGTGTTTATCATGAATTACACAGCGACCAATCGAACTTTTACGCATGCTTCATTATTGATTACAGCTATAGCCATAATCTGCTTCAAAGAATTGAACCCGTAGGGCGTATATGACAGAAGAAGGTTAATATTCTGTGATATCGGAATGGAATAATTTATAGAAATATGTGTTTATGGTATAGTTGTTGGTAGGTAGATCGTGCTGGTACAGGGTGTCGTGGCTTGTTACCTAATTTTTTTATAGTCACGTCATATCGCACAAAATATAAATATTGTAGATTTGACCAATTATTTGGAGATAAAGATAAAAATATATTAAACTACTGATTAATAGATGAAGATTCTACCGCATATGATCCATCTTGAGCAAGTTTATGACGAAATGCTTCTTCTTTTCGCCTGTTTGCGAACCAGTTATACACTCTCACCTTTGGAATAAAAATAAAGTATTTGTATATACAATATTGAAAACGCAACAATGTTGGATTGATTTTCTGCAAAATTAAAGTTGGACAAATACATTTTACTGTTTATTAGATTAGATTATTATAACAATAGGTTGACCATAAATAGTCAGTAAGTCAATAACACGATTTCAAACTCCAATAAAAATTGTCGCTTGTGAATGAAATTTTAAAAATGCACTAAATTTTTGCGCTTTTTCGGAATATTTCCCTCATAGTTTTTGAAACGCATACTTAACGGATGGACAATCTTTTTAAAGTTTTATGGAAAAATTTCAAGAATTTCATTACACTTTACTTGATTAATATAAAAAAAAGTATGAAATAGTGATCTTTCGTGTTCAATAGTGATATTCTATATTCAATTATTAGTTGCGCATCAACATGACAGGCTAAAATCTTTTTTACTGTTTTGGCTACTTACTGTGAGAGATTTGTCGAAAACGCCTCAATATGAAAATAGGTGTACTATTTATAATAATTACAATGTTGTTTTTGAATTTTTCTGACGTTCGGTGGCGTTCAGTTTCGATTGGACGGTAGGCAATGTATTTCGACAAGCTTATTTGGCTCGGGTTGTTATATCCCCAGAATCAGTAGATAAACATTAATACGAACCTCAGTAACTAAGTTCGATCCCAACCCACTTTCATGAGAAGGAGACACTCCACGTTGGGCACACTCAGCTCTGTTACACAGTGTGACCAGGGTTTCTCTTTCATCTTTAGTTGGATTTCGTTGTCTTTCATAGGCGTCGTATAGAATTCTCTGAAAATGTATTGTTGTGGAATATTCAAAAATCATAGTTATGGAATCAGATTGACCATACAAAGTGTTAAATTGCACATAGAAAAAAGGTATTATAGACGTCTAAGTAAAGCCTGTTCTAAGTATCGACATGACAGTCAAACTTGGTCTTTCTAACATTCTGTAAACATTGATACTGAATGTCCGGCCTTGCCTATGTACCAACGGTGGGCAAACCGCGGCTCGCGAGAGATTCAATGCGGTTCTTCTCGCTAGTAATAATTACTATCCGAATTCAACTAAGAGAAACTGTATCAGTTTATTTTTTAATTTATTAAACGGTAAAAGAAGTTTATCTATGATTAGGACAAATTATGTTTTGTATGAAAATCGTTGTGGCGTGGAATTTTAAAGCAGTCAAGCGATAAATCTTACGTCACAATGGTCAAATGTTTGTTGCTGGCGGTATGCCGTGATGGATAGAATTTGCATATTTATCTCGGGGGAGAAGACAGCTGATATGACGGCTTAATCTTATGACGAACCACGGCCTTTCGCCCGCCTACCCGTCAATGTCGGATATGGGATTAGTCACCCTACGGCGGCGAAGACTCCAGCAATCCCCTCGCACATAATTAACCCCGCATGGCAGAAATTTATGATATCCTTTGGCAAGAAATCCGATGCAATAACTGGGCGCATCTTCCAAACAAAGGCGCATCTCCCAAATCAGTACTAATTTATTAGTTACAATGCAAAATGATTTGATGAGCTCCAATATTAATAATTTTAAAAATTAAGCGGCTCTTCCATATTTCTGACTTGTTACTAAAAAATTTTGCTCGCCTCTGCTATATACTCTCTCTTTAAACTTTCATGGCATTATTCACCCATTATATTACCAGATACATGAAGTCATCGGCAGCTTTTTTCATCTGGTAGGCTTATTTAGTTAAAATTTACCATACGAATATCACGTGCATTTGGAAGTACAATACTGAAAATAATATCACCTGAAGCATATATACTCAAGGGTTGACACTGACCAAACTTGGACGTACCTGTGATGCCGGTCCCCATTTGAATCGATTCCTCCTGGCTCTTTTGCTCACACCAGCAGCTTCTTCAACTTGATCTGGAGGCAAGCCATGACTAGCAATCTGAAATTCTGTGGAGATATTTTAATAGTGATTAGTGAAATTTGGGTTTCTGACATTTTCTTAAGACTAAGCGGGAAAATAGATTTTAATGGAGTGATGGACATATTTTTATATTCAATTCAATTTGATTGGTAAAATTGGTTATAATATTGAATTTTGCGTTATTCTGCATACACATATTGCAAAAATCAGCATCCGTATACTAACGAGCGTTTATTTCTTCCTTTTTCTTGATGAACCAAGCATACAGAAGCCATCTTTTCTGCTGCTTCATAGGTGTTCCCTTGTTCAAATGTTGTGATAAATGACTTTGATTTAGACCTTAGAAAAAGAAAATTATGTAATACAAGCATAGGTGAGAATAGTTTAAACCTAACTGATTAAATCTAGAAAATAGATGAAAGATTTGTGCAGAGTTCCATTCCGCTAATATAGCCGATTCGTGATCAATTATGAATTTAGTCGCATCTGTTAACTCGTAACGAGGTTGGTTTGTCACCTCTGATTACCGATCTAAAATGATGATAATGGTAGAATAAATAAAAGTGCAGTAAGTTATGAAGTTAATAGAGTTACTACCTGTTGAATCTACTACTTCTCTTTGAGGAATATTATGCTGAGCCATGTATGCCTTCACAGACTTTGCAACACGCCATGGATCCAAACTAAACACATGCATGATAAGATAAAGCGATGTGATTTACGCAATATTCAGATGACTGATATTTCCATCTTATGATACCGGAATGATCATATACACTTTAAAATAAGGATACTCCAATAACAACAAGGGTTTTCATAATATAAAAGAAATTTCTTCATGAAAGATGCGTTCCTTCGGAAAACCGAGGTGATGCTATCATATGCCATATCAGCATTTATGGACGAATCTATACACAATATTACGCAAAATATAAATATCTAAATCAAAAAATATATATTTCAATATGTGTTTAATATACTATAAATTAAAGCTATCTTGAAATATTTCTAACTTCTATCACGAAGAAACAAAGAAACAAAACCACCTCTCTAAATTGAAATCAACATTTCACGAACAGCTAGCTACATATATATAGTTCCTTCACAACTAAGACAGTTTATATACGTCGATTAACGGATTACCAACAAATAATTGCTTAATATATGTGTAGAGAGTGTAGATTAGAAATTCGAATTCGTTCGACGAAGCGAAAGCGAGAATGTTACAATCGAGCTATATGTGCAACAAGTGAAGACATTCTCGATTGATTCCTCAGCCTATAGCATTCTGAAATGGTACGAGATGAAGTGATGTTCCGAATGTGGAATAGAGACTATTTACTGAAAGAGTTAAATATTGTTCAATTGGTTAAAATTTTATCAGGTAACACAATTTGCTAGTTTATGATTGAAATGTCACATCCTAGTTACATATTTATTCTCGTGCTTTGCTCGACACTACATGAGCTATAAAAAACAAGGCACATAAGTCTGTTTAATAAGCATGCCTCATGCTCGCACATATCCCAATTTTATATATTGAATTGAAATTATTTGACATTTTAAAATTCCGTTATGCACGATTTTATCTGAAAGAACGAGTCTGTTAAAGTTTAGCTAGAATAACAATGTAACACGCGTAAGATGCAAACAGATATTATATTTACTGGCGCTTATGATCAAACAGAACATAAAGGAACCGAATATATCCTTTTATGTTATTTAAACTTCCTGAGACGATGGATCAATCGATCACTCGTCCCTCAGCCCAGAATATAATATAAACACGGAGCGGCTTTCGTTCGAGGATGACGACCGAGCCCGAGTGGGTTCTTTCTGGTAAATCATTTGCCCGAATTTTCATTGTGTCCAGATTGGGAGCGATTTGAACAAAATTACTCATTTACCAACGGTTTAACAGAAATGTGAAATACGCACAAAGATGACTTTCTTTGCCATTTCTGATCTGACTGTGGGCAGGGAAGTTTCTTCGCTTATTATCGAGACATTATCGTCTTATGAAGTCTTGAGAATTTTCAAAAGTTGTTTGTATTGCAAAGTAAAATGTATCATTATAAGGATAAAAAAACACTGGTTATACTTTATGTCTCCAATAGTTTTTACTTCTTCCAGTATTATTGATACAGGAACCTATGCCGGATAGCATCAATGGACTTACATAAACTGTAGCTAACGTCGAAGTTCATTGGAGAAGAAATACAATTACAAACAGAAATTTATCAGGTAATTTAAAATACATTAATTTGATGCTTCAAAATTTGCTTTATTTTAGCAAATTAAGACAATAAACGTTACCTAAGCGTACAGTACACCACGCTTAAGTCTTATGTTGGCACCTAAGATCGCGCTTGACTAAGCATAGTATGCGGGTTTCCGAGCAATCATGTGGGTACAGAGACATTACAGAAGCGATTGATATATATAGTGCTTGCTTGGGTAGTTCAACCCAAATCTATTTTATCTCGCTCTAGGTACCCGAGAGGTTATTCGCCTATTCTTGACAAACATTCGTTTGTTTGCAGTCGCGCACGCCTATGTTTACATTCATAGATATGGCAACTAATCTCTAGTATTCTGGTTATCGAATCTAGAGCAGCGTGTAAATAAATTCACGCGGCAAACGCATGACGAAATAAACGATGCTATCCATAAACCGCCAAATAATATTGGATACATAAATCCAAAACTAGTAGTTGTCGTAGACAAAACTAGTTACTTGTGTGATTAACATACAATGCTATATATATATATATATATATATATATAAATGTACATTTCGCAAATCCAACCTTATTTAATTTTCTATTCTACTATCAGTATATACTAACTTTTCGAGAGAGTTGTCGCTATAAATAAGTAATAATTGGATATATATTGTTTAATCCAGCCACAACTTTGCATCCGAGTTTTAAAAATTTTGGCCCACATGAACGTTTCTTGTCATAGGTATACCTACGTTCTTTGTACGAAATTTTCCCCATGACACTTTTGTTTGCATACGCTGCAACATATATGCAGCCTTTCGCCATTTACGAAAGTTTGGTTTTTGTCACAATACAGTCAATAAATTTCTTAGTTGGGTATTGCTTCCAACGATCCAGATCAATCTCAAATTATAGCGGAATGTTGATTAACCAACGCTGGCTGGCTGTAGAGTCAAACTGCCTGAATACTTGCGGATTAATAGCAAGGTAAAACCAGTATATATGATTGAGGAAGCAATCATTTTCAACCTGCTTCCATCGCAAATCTGTGTTTAGTTTCAAACATTAGGATTTATATACCTCAGTAAATGTTCCGCTTCGGCCTTTTTGCTCTCGTTCCCTGGTGTTCCTTGCACAATATCCGTTATACTTTGGTCCGGTTCAACTAAAAATGTATACATTTTTGAGTGGTGACAGTAGCTGGAAAAGTATGAAGACTCACAAAGGGTACATCATTGAGTGTAAAATAAAACATGTGAACTGCGAGGCGGAGTGATAATTTTAACGAAATTATGTTTTTTATAATTAACCAATTCATGAATATTTTATTTTATCTTACTTTCATTTAAATTAGAATCATTAAAAGACGCCGCATCATCAGAATCATTGGGTCTCTTTTTTCCTCTGATATTTTGGCCAAGGGTACCGTTGTCCAATTCCATTTTTTCTTGCTCATATAAAGTGTCTTGCTCAAGCTTAGTTTGGTGTTGCATTTGATGTTCAGACTCATCTTCCAGTAAATGGACTTCTTGCATATTTTGACCGCCGTACAATACGTCTTCTCGTCGTTTTACTTGTGTAACGACTTCGTGACTTGGTGCTTGCATCATGTACATATCTGCGTTCATTCCAAGCGATTGTTCTTGCAGTTGCGCAAGTAGATGATGTGAATGAGTTTGATCTATACCTTGTTGGTTAAGGTTGCTACATTCTAAATTAGAGTTTACACCTTGTCTTACATCGCCTAACGAGGTCATCACCATACTTGTTGGAAATTGTACTTGCGATGCTGAATATTCGTTTTGTCGTACTATTCCCAGTTCAACATCTAGCGTTCCGGGATTGGATTGATTATTTTGCTCTGTTTTCACACTATCCCCATATACGGCTTGTCGTTCTACACCCATGTCTTGGAAATAATTGTTTGCTGAGCCGGTTTGCATTGATATTGCTTCAAAGCCACTGATAGAAGAGGATGTTATAACTGGAGGAGGAGGAGGCAAATGCATTCTTTGCTGGGTCCCATATTCATTGTCAAACGATGGAGCACGCATTGCGTTAGAAAATTGCTGTTGATCACTAAGCTGCTGTTGAGCAGTTTTCAGTTCAGCATACATGTTTGAATTATCTTGTGTGGGCATGTGAATTTGTATATTATTGTCCTGTATTCTATAGTGAGTTTGGGTTACAGACGGTTGAGATGAACTAATTCCACCACTTGGCATGATTGATTTGTTATCTTCCTTTGATAAATTACGTCCCATCTGTCCAAATCTGATAACTTCATCAGTAATTGCTCGAGATGGTTGGTAGTTGGAAGTCATGTCCATGGCTAAATTTCGTGCTATATCGAGTTGAACGAAAGCTCCCTGTTGATGTTGAATATAGCGAGTCGGCTGAAGGTTTTCAACCCTGGCTGATGAACCGCTGTAAGTTGTGCCCGAATTTGCACCGTGTGCAGCTAACTTATTGTTCAGTGAATGTGAAACATTAAGTTCCATGGGTACAATATTGTCACAATGAACTGTTTCAATTGTAACTTTTATCCCATTGTCATCCTTGTCTTGTTTGCGACTCCTATTTGCAGTTTTCACGCTTCGGGTTTTGCTTAAATCCTGTGGTTTAGGTGACAAGTCGTGAGCGGAAACGGAACCTTTTCTTTTTCTTGAACTGTTTGTTGTCCCTTTATTTCTCTCAGATGGTTTCTTTTTGTCTGAAAAATTAACAATATTTTAGTTCATAGTATTTTTTTTTATATGTTTCATATTGTAGAACTGAAGATTAAATACCTGTTCTGTTTATGTCCTCCGCTGTAATGATCATTTCTTGCTTAATATTAACGCTCGTATCTTCACATCTGTATATTCAAATAAAATAACAAGAAAATAGTACGTTGTACTTCGAGTACAATTTGGGTTGTGCTTTTCACTAAGTATATTTAAGTTTATACAAGAATAAGTGAACCCGTGAACGTAAAAATTAAACACAGATAACGCTTTAACAAAACAATATCACTCGTAAACTAAAAAAATATTTCATAAACCTGATTTTCGTTTATCTTACTTTTTGAGTGTCTTGGTTGATCCAGAATTGTCCTTTGTAGTACATGACCCTTGATGTGCCTCTCCGTCCCTGGCCAAATTTTCTAAACTTCCTCCTCTTTGTTCGTTTGTTGTCTTATAATTTTCCTTTACATCTGATTCGTTTTCATCCCAAAGAGTATAGAGTGGTGTAATATCAGTTTGTGTTCCAACGGTACTGCCAGGTTTCTGCTGTTCTGTAATTTCCAAATACTGGAACAAACATTGACGTGATACTCCGCTATTGAAAATAGCGTCAAGAAGTTGTCGTTGAAGATGAGTGAGCTTGTTCAGTTTTTCCATAGTATCGTGATTTTTATTCTATGGTTAAGAAATCATGCACGTACTATTGGTATATGAAAGTCAGAGTTAGTGCCAATTTGTCAAGTCGCTACTATTGATCTTGATCTTGAAAAATGAATTTGGAGGATAGATTCTGCAAAGTGGAATGAATCATAGGCAGAGAGTATCGATGTAATATTAGTAAGCCCAATTTATATTGGAAAAATAATTCTGTAAGACTGGAGTTGAAATATTTGATAATTAATAAATAATATATATCTGATATAAATTTCATCCACGATTCATTTGTAGTTGAAAGTGTCTGTTCGACTGGCTCAAAGCAACAATCAAGAACAATGTCTTTTATGACACTTGAAACAATCTACTATAACAAGAATTTTACAACTAATGCTAAACTTCACATACCCCACAAATAAAACGATGTTGTTGCTACACTACCTGACATTACATGTTCAGAACGCACTTCTTCATATGTTTGGATGAAATATCTGAGTACTATCTATCCTCTACAACAATAGTTTTTTAATTGACATTTATCCTATCCGTATTTGAATCGAAGCTCTTTTGCCCCCATTTTAATTTTGACTTTACATAAACGTTCATGAAATCTTTTGGCACTAAATGACTGGTACCTTATGTTTACTCTTGGTACACATACCTATGTACGATATGTACATTGAGCGACAATATCGCTGAGCAGAATTGTTCGGTTGGCCTTTTATGGTTCATGGGTGACTAACGCTTTGTGATGTTAAAACCATTTACAATCCATACATAGCCAAATGTGAATAAGAATTTTGAGCGGCAGGGAAACTATACCTTCTCATGAACTGTAGTTATATTATGAGACGGCGTATTACAACGATTAACAAATGGCTTATTGGTTTTCTACAATATCGTAATAGAATTGTATCTTATTGATATGTTTTTCGGGCACACTGAAGTGATATATTTGCAAATGCAACAATGCGGTATCATATAACGTAGAATTTTCATTCTTATCAGTTAAATTGTGCTTTGCATAAGGGTTTTGCAAAATGAAAACGGAAGATCCAACTCGAGTTAAAATATTAGGTGTTTATTCTCGTACTGTGTGTTCTACGGACTTTCCGCCCAATATTTCATGGAAATATGACATGGTCAACTGGTCGTAATAAAAATATTTCTGAGGTTTTACGGTCCTTAAAATGATGTAGGAACAAAATAGTCAAAAAAATTCTTGTCTGAGTCAAAGACAATGAGATATTGCAAATAAGACAATAGACCGGGATGTCTCTTTATATAAATATCTACTTGTATCTCCATATGTCCTTGAAATTTTTTTTGAATACCTTCAACTTTTGCTTCGAACTATAATAGGTATTCCTGACTGAGTTTTTTCCGTGAAGCATTTTTAAAAAGTTTTCCATCGTTGCAGGAATCATTAAGCTTCACCAAAATTTTAAACTGGTTACAAATGAAGTGAAATCCCCAATATAGAAATTACACACTGACAGCTAAAATTGATTAGTGAAATATTTTGCTCGTTTTTGTGTCTGAATTTAATTTTATTGCCTAACACTGACACAGCAGAAAAAACGAACTTTGCTAAAGCTGGTGTATATATGAGTTGAACATCACACAGTTTTTTGTTACTTTCGATTGCAAATATTTTTTTCTGTGACCGCTAACTTTTTATCATAGAAATAACACAGAAAAAATCAAACTCAGTTGTATGAAAGGAAGGTAATAAATACTCAACGTTTTATTATGATTAAACTAATTTCTACGTCCAATAATTAGTAAATTGAAGAAAATGAATTTGAATACAGTATGCTGCATGCGAGGTAGTTAACAAATAAATCTGCTGAACAGAAAAAAAGTGCTGATGTTGACAACAACTGGAATCGATATTTGACAATGATATAAGTACAATTGAAGAATAAACGCATGAATTATAAATTTATATCAATCGGTTGAGCAATAATTTTGAACATTTTCAACTTTCGAGTATCCCTTTTTGTTGTGTACATATAAACAAAATTGGGTACTCCCGTAGTATGTGTACCAGGTTAAGGTTAGGCCATGATTTTATTCCGATTTTCCTTATTTCAGTTCTATTACGAGTCCGGGGACTGTTTGTGTTAGGCAAGTAAATATACCCCCTTTCCATAGCCTTTCGTCCAATTACACAACTTGATGTAAAGTAGGCGAACAACATTAGTTACTTATATATTGGTATACTCCACATACTTATGGATCGGCCAAAATTAGCCTCTACCTGAACTGACCCCATTTTCCTTAGTCATTGATCATTACGAAATAGATGACAAAATCCTGCGCACTGTTTGTTTTCCAAGATTCATGGCGCAGTCTATATAATTTGTGCATTTTAAATTCCAGATCAACACCTTTGCAGTGTCAATTCCATCGAGAACCAACCAGACATTTGACTGAAATTTTGATTATCGCCAACTCAAGAGCAATAAATCAAGCAGAAGCAACACCATTCCGAAAGGCAATTTCTGATTGATATGCTTCAACGTCTAAGGATGTCACCATTTCAGAAATCTCTCGGAATTCGTCTCCCGACGTCATCGCTATATCCATGTCTTTAACCAGTTGTTTGAAAGTTGGACGACTTGAAGGAGTCCACTTCCAACATTTGAGCATAATTCCATATCTAAAGAGTTTTAATGAAATTTACTTAGTATACAGTATACTCATACTCTGCTCATGTTATAATTAGAAATACTTTGAATTTGCAATCGTCTTCACGTGTGAATGTGATATTGCCAAAGCAAGCTGATCAAAATATTGTCCAACTGTCGTCTTCAAACATCTAATTATCTGCTATGCTATTGACAGATCCAAATAGGCTACTGTATATGTAAAATAGATTATCGGTATATTGATTGCGAGCGCATTTCAGAGGCACTTTCATGTGATCTTTAAAGTTTAGTTTAGTTAGACAATCAGCTACATATCCGAAAAAACTACCGGAATCTTTTTGTTTGACATGATCTAACCAATTTACTATACACTGTGTAATGTGGTTGACATGAGCTTTAAGCCCAAGATAAATAATCTCTAAAGATTACATAGTGAAGTTTCGCACTTTAAACAACAGGAACAGGACATAATTACACATATCATTCATTATGAGGATATTCGCAATATAACGGTTAACTCACAGAGTTTCACTGCAAGTTAAAGGTCTTGCCATTCTGTCTCCGCGTTCCAGAAATTGGAATATTTCTTCTTGAGGTATTGCGGGATATGGAGATGCGCCCAATGTCACAATTTCATATAAGAGTACTCCATACGACCATCTATGAAAGAGAAAAAGGGTATTAGAACTCGGTGGAACAAATCAAGTTCACCTGATGAGTCAAATAGATGTCGATAATTCGGTACTCCCGAAATGTGTGTACCAGGTTAGGGTTAAGTCCAAATTTTAAATTTTCCTTATTTTAGTTTTATTTAGAGTTCGGGGACTGTCTGTGTTAGCCAAGTGAAAAATACCCCTTGCCTATAAGTTTCAGTCCTATACACAACTTGAGGGGCTCCCGAAGTATGCGAACCAAGATGGCGGACATCGGAATGTAATATGTGTACTAGGTTAGGGTTAGGCCATAATTTGAGCTATAAATACTACGGGAGGCTCTTGGCTAGTCTTCGAACTGATAATAGGAATAAAATAAGGAAAACTGGAAAAAAATTATCGCCTAACCCTAACCTGTTACCCATGTTACGTTCCGATGTCCGCCATCTTGGTTCGCATACTTCGGGAGCACCCAACTTGATGTAAAGTAGGCGAACAAAATTAGTTACCTCCAGAAGTGGCACACACACTTCTGGAGCACGAATAACTTTATGTCTGGCTTAATATACTGCAATTTTGCTGCATACCAATTTTTTCAATAAAACCAGTTTCTTAGGGAAATGAATATAATAAAAGAAGCTGGTTTGTACCTGAACACGATCGTGGGAGTAATATTTGGCTATAAATTTAGCTCAGTTGCTTTACTTATTTAAAGTATTCCCGTTACATTTTCACACCCAATGACTTACACGTCACTTCTCCATGTTATTGGTACTTTTCCATCCATCATACGTTCCGGACTGACCCACTTGATCGGAACACGTTTCTCCCAAGCTTCTTTTATCGCCCCATACCTATATACGTCATTCGCCAATCCAAAATCCGATATTTTACATAACAAATTCTGTAAAAAAATAGAAATTGTCCAACATTGGAATTCACGTATAAAATCAAGCTTGAGTTAATGAAAATTTGACAACCTCTCCTATAAGAATATTTCTTGCTGCCACGTCGCCGTGGATGATTTTGAGATTCGTTAAATATTGCATTCCTTCAGCAACTTCTTTTCCAATCTTATGAATATCTAGTTCTGTCAAGCAGTACGCCGGGTCCTGTGACCGCTTTGATTCCTGTAGTTAAAGTAATGGCCAGTTAAGAACAGATTGAGAGAAGAAAATGTTATGGCTAAGAAAAGAGAGAACAGGATAATGTTTGAATCAATCGTTTTATCGAAGTATTGTTTATGATAAACTTTCCAGAGTTGGTCAATGCCACATAACTAACGTTCTTGAATAAAAATAACAATACATATTTCGATTATTTAACAATTTACGAATCACACTAGTGCAATCGAGTACGACGGCTACAGAACAGAACCTTGGCAGAACAAAGTCATAAAACGCGTACAAACAGAGCATGTTATAATATATGTAGCATAACCGAGGCGCCGTTTCAAACTAATTATACTTGATTTTGAGTTCAGTGATGAGACACATGATAGATTTGCAATATTACTTTTGAAAGAGTTGCTTTAACTTTTGAACAGATATTTATTCATTTAGCCTAAATATATATTCTCTCTAACCTCTCGGGCATTCCAAAGAAAATGCAGAAGATCCCCATATTTCATAAGATCTGTGACAAAGCAAAGTGGTGAATCGCCTATGGTGCAACATCCGATAATCCCCATTATATTCCGATGGGTGCCAATATTTGATATCAAGGCTATTTCTGCTAAAAACGCATTTTTCCCAGACTCGTCGTAAGTTTCTGTGCAATAAATAATTATTAGGACGGTATAAAATCTGAAAAGTAATAATATTCTGAATGAAGAAGAAAATGTACCTGGTATCGATTTAACAGCGACTACTTTTTCTTCTGCTGGCGTTTTCAAAAGTGCTTTATGAACAACACCAAAGTTACCTCTTCCAATCACCTCTGCAATGAAAAACATACATGAATAAACTGAACATAAATGAGAACCACATTTTTTCTCAATAACAGCCAGGCTATATGCCTGGCTACCTGGTATAAATATTGTATTTCTAAGTATATTTTGAATAGATAAAGATAAGCCTTAATTGCTTGATCGCAATAGACTAGCTTAACGTTAAAAAATAATACACTTTTCTTCTTACTATGATTTATATGATTATCACCTTTGAACTCAAGATTATTTCTATCGATCTCCCATTTTTCACCAAATATGCCCAAGGTTGCCGTTTTTTGCGCATGTCCATTGGCATTTCCATTTTTCATAATATTATTCGTCTCTTTAGTTACAATGAACTTGGAGAGTTTCAGCTCAATTTCTCTGCAACAAAAATATAAATTAAAATTACATTACTAATGTGATATTGCAGAAAATTAAGAAGATAATATAAATTGCTTCCAAGGATAGCAATTTAATGATAACAGTTTCAAGCAACCATTCTGCCGTCGATATCCAACAGAAAGTCACATAATCTTCTACATTTCAACGAATCATTCCTGAATTCTAATGAAAAGTCGAATATTCCTTGAATGCATTTGATGCTCTCCGAAATTATCTTTCTTACAGTTTTTTATTGTGTCTACATAAACCAGATTAACTGTTACGTCAACTGAGTATTTACTATTTCTCACAAATTACACAATTGATGTCGCACTATTTGACTGTTTCTTTTTAAAGCGGCATCTTACTCCGACGCTGTCTTAATCAAAAATTCAACTATGTATATATTTGTAGATCACAAATTTTAAAAGAATTATGTAGATTATTGCAATCGTTTGCAGCGCTTATACCTTTTTTTTGTCACTTTAAGTCTCCATGCAGCAAGCCATAACAACAATACTGTTAAAATTGCTAAAGGTAACCCGACGCCAAGTCCAAGTACCAATGACAGGGAGGTACAGCCTGTTCCATTGATTTGTCCGTCGCCAATATGTGTTGATCTGAGTAAAATATTTGAAAAAAAATTATTAATTTCCATAAATGATTTTGAAAAAAACTAAAAATTTGTGCTTTTATAAAATGGTAATGGTCAACTCACGGGCACGTGCAGATCGCACTATAATCAGGAGGGGGGAGGTCCTTACATATGGCTTCCGAAACGCAATTATGATCATCAGCAGAGCACGAGTCGTGATCGAAACATCCAGTTCCTGATTCAAATGAGTTATTCACTCCGTTGCCATCATATCCAGCAGGACAAGAACAAATTGCCGCTGTCGTGTTTTCTGGTGCCAAATCATAGCAAGATGCAATACTGTCACAATATCTTATTTCTTCGTTTCTGTTTGCACACGCGTCAATATCTGCAATATAAAAGAATTGAAGTTTACAGGAAGAATATTTTAAATTTAGCGAGTATTTGTCTACATAGCGCAGGGGTAGGCAAGGTAGTTAAACCAGGGGCAAAAAATGTTGCCCACTTAGACTGGAAGGCCATGTGAGTGTGGCGTAAAAAGTTATATTTTATGAACAATATTTACAGTATTACAAAAGCAAAAGTGGGAAACTAAAGCCTTATTTCAAAACTAAATTTAATTGCAATCTCAACAATTGTTTTTAGCTAAAACATCAATATTTGGTTGTTGCAGCATCAGTAGGGCCAAATTGAATTATCCCAACGGGCCGGATTTGGCCCGCAGACCCTGGTTTGCCCATGTCAGACATAGCGTGACTAACTGTCCAAAGTAGCTAATAAAAGTTTAGCCACAATACTTTGCCAACGATGTATGGTTTTATATTTATTTTAATTGATTCATACCTTCGACGAAGAAAGTGTGGAGTCTCGACACTCCGTGATTGACGCATTCAAATAAACTACCATTTTCTTTGCAATTTGATGTGAATATAGGCGTCACAGTTATTACACCTTTCTTTCCAAACTTTATGTTAGATACAATATCTTCATAATAATGTTCAGTGTTGTTTTGTAATGCTATCTGAAAAGCAATGTAGTGTGTATAAGCAATTTTTTGTTTTGTTTCTTCAGGTCTAGTGGAATACTAAAGTCTAATCCGTAAAACATTTTACCTAATTTTTCTGTGAATAAAAAGAGTGACACTATATTACAGAAGTACGATTAATTCTAGTGCAAGACCATTGTGATTTTCATAAAATTCCGAAACTAAATCACAGGTTAAACACCTAAAATTAGTTTGTACGTGCACTAACTATATGAAAATAACGTAATTTAATTCACGAACAGAGATTATTGCCACTAAACATGTTATGAGTATAGTTTATAATTATTAATATATTTATATTCATGAAAGTAATAGATTTTATAAAGCACTTCCACCCATAACTGATAGAAATTTAAATCAATCGCTGGCCGATAATTCGAAAAATTTATGTCAGCAACACTTCGAGTGAAGAAACTTACTACTCTTGTCTGCTTCAATATACCATCAGTTACTGATACATCAAACGCATTCAATGTTGTTCGATGTGATATATCGTATGGCGAGTGCCAGCGAAACACAATTTCTCCCCTATTGGTCTCTAAATTTCGAGAGATCCGTACCTCTTCGAAGTCGGCTGGTGGGCCGGAGGAAGATACTAAATCTAGAACCAGAAATATTAAATTAGTTGCAAGTACTGATTCTGATCTTAACGCGTTACATAACAGAGGCATTACAGTGACAATTCGGTATTCTTTTTTTCATAAATAATATGACAAGTAGTATTATATCATTAGTGTTATCAGTATCTGAGGATATCGTTATTATATAATAAATGAACTTTCATAAAGACCGAATTTACTGTCGCTGTAATCTTAATTGTGTGGCTATGTGGTAAAATCACATAACAGCGACCCATGTTCTATTGATAAAACACCACATGCGTATGCAAACCATTAGACTGTGTTTGAGGCTAAGTAGGATTTCCATTCGCATCGTTCCTACCGCTCAATAAATTATCGACATAGTTGCATGATTACATAGCAGCAAATATTTAAATGAAATAATTTAGGATATATCAATAACTGAACGTATTAGATATTTGAAATTCATATTCTTCACCTGCAATCTTTTGCTCTTTTTTGCAAAATTCAAATGCTATGTCTTTCTCAATGCCGATTTCTTCAATTAATTTATTGTTGCAATATATTGGATCAGAAGACGGTAAATCATGGTTTTCAACATCGAAGTATTTTCCAATTGTTTTACCTCGATATGCTTTCATTTTTAAGTCATACACTCTTCCAAACTTTCCAGTTAATGTTACATTTCGAACACTCTAATACAAATATATATGTAATGTAATAAATAAATTGTCGGTGACACGATATAATAGTTTTTAATAGGATATTGCATAATAAACTTCAGTGAAGTTAATAGATATTTAGGAAGGTTGATTTATAAGATGATAAAACTATCATGCATTTGAGAGAAGTACAATCACACTCTCGCACATGACCATCGCCCTTCGGAACTTTCTACCTCTACGCGGCATCCTAAAGGATGCGATGGCGAGATTCCTCGTAACTTTCCGTCACGAGAACCAACTGAAGAGTCAATTTATGCTATTAAGCGCATGTTTCGAATTTGACACTGGCTAAAATAAACAACCCATATTGCGTTTGTTTAAAATATATCTAAACTGAGCGCGTAAACAAGGCCAGATAATAGGTCTGAAACGTATTTTTCAATGCCCATTGCCGATGCAAAATGAATAAGAAGTTTAGTTTAACATCAGCGATATCATAAGTTACAAATTAGTAAAATCAAATTCCCAAACGTCATACGTTAGCCCTTCGTCCTTGTTTGGAATTGAAATTTACACCTACTCTAATTATCGAGTATATTTTCCTAAAACAGTGTTAACTATGCTGGTTTATTACTTATCGATTTTAATCGGTAAGTATGTTGATAGGTATTTGTCTGTCTGTCTGTATGTCTGTTAGATGCACGCAATATCTCACGAAAGCGAGATTGAATCTGCTCCAGATTTTGCATGTACATTCATCATATCTCGGACCAAAGGCCTATTGATTTTGGGCGAATTATGTCGTATAATTAGCGAGTTATTAATTAATTAGTGATGGGACACAAGGTGTCACTATGGAGTAAGAGCGCTGTTTTGGGGGATCCCCTAACTTTCGATCGATAAGTCTTCGGTCTCTGACCGATATTCTCGTTTTAAACATTGAGTGCGGTCTATTCTCGTTTTAAACATTGAGTGCGGTCAGAACTGTCAGTCGTCAACCGCAACACAACTAGAATTTACCTTTGGTACTGATATATATCCGCTATTGAGTAAATTGCACAGCTCATCGGATCTGCATTCATTGGTTATATATTCTAAACATGGCATTTCACATTGATTTTCTGTACCGTTAGTACTAATCCATATCTCTTTTCCTGTTGCTTTTTTACATCTGTAATTTAGTATCGTTATTTCATGTTCAGGATTACAATAAAAAAAACTTTCAGGATTAAATAGATGAGCGCTTGCTTGATATAAATATATTCCGCCACTTTTGCAATATCTCAAGTAAGCAATCATATGAAACACGATCACACGTCATTGAGGCATGGGTTCACTCAAACTTCAAAATCTAAACTTCAAACTTTGTATGAGTTCATGCGATACTTACGCAGGGATAATTCTGCTGAATCCTCTAGAGCCGAACGGCCTAAAACGCATTTTAGTTGAACTTTTTCTCTTTTGAACTCCGTTCAAAACATCATCCCTGTCTTCAAATTTATATAAAAAGCCATCATAGTCTTCATCTATATGAGAAATTAAAAAAAATCTTGAAGTTATTTCAAAATTATTGAATACTTATATAAATGAATAATTTTGTAAACTTCAGTTACCTCCTTCGACATTCCATGAAAATGTTACATGAATGTTGTACTTTCCAATGTCGCTAACGTTAGCTAGATTAAATGTTGTGGAAGTGTTGAAAGTGATGTTTAAGCGTTCATCTAAAAAAATATCGTAAATGATTCCGTGATTTATTAAGCTTGAATAAAGAAAGAATAAGTCTCAAGTATTATGTCCAGGAAATTAGGTTTTATCGTTGATTAATATTGAATTTGCTGAGCTTCATTCACAAAACCTGATGCAAATATTAAAACTACGACAAGTTTTTTTTATCCATTTTTATTTGCTCGACTTCTATGCTCGTAGAATCACCGAGATGTGTACTATGTTGTATAATTCCCAGTCTTGGATGGGTTACAGATTATAGCCAGCAGTTGATTAGATAATCAGTACACGTCGTTTCCAAGCAATTTATTTCCAAATTTGCAGCTTAAAAAGAGGCAGTCCTGGTGTCTATTACATTTGCCCATTTCGGTTTGGTCAATACTATAGCAGTGACTTCTGATTCCGACTAGACCTCCAAGGTAGAAGGTAAATCGTGTGTGATTGCCAAAGGTAATATTTCTAATACAGTACAATTCCAATCATGTGTGATGTGCCATATCATATTAATTTTGATCATATCATATCATAATAATGTTTGAATAACTACGATTCTCATAAAGTTTTTCCAGGGGGAACAAAGCCAGAATTTACATCTGAAGTTATTCATATATGCCATGGCGTCTTTAGTCTTTTTGAAAAGTTGATGTCCTTAAAACTATAATCAATTGTAGAATTTTTTTTCGTTCCACAGAACACTAAATTTGAAATTACTCGCTGGATTAGTGTTTTACTCGACTTATTGAGAAATTGTCATCTTTTATTGATTTCCGTCAACTGCCAGTATATATATGCGTCTTGACTCAGGCTATTTTTGAATCTATTTTGAATTTATTTATGGAAACCTATCGTTTTATTTACTTTTCATAACCAAAATGAAATAATTTTGACGTTTTATTCACTCAAAATTATCTAGACATACCTAACACTTTTGCAAGTGCAGTTTTAAGTATTTTGTGGCATCTGCAGCTGCCGCAAAACTACAGCGAGATTTCCAAACCATGACCGCTATGGTCAAACCATGGCGACTGACTTTTTAACTGCAACAAACCAATGGCGTGAGGCGAGGTACCACGGCAGCAAATTGCAGACCATGTTGAGTAAAATTGTGCTGCGAGAAACCAAGGCATGTAGGCTTTAATGGCAGGACTGCCCCTGACGATGACAAACTTTGGGGAAGAACATTTTCCTTATAGATACAGTTCTGATGGATTTGGGGTTAGGTTTCAGGTTTAAGTAGCTATAATTCTGCATGATAAACTAAAATCTGGTACATGACTTTGTGAATATACTGGTAATACTGATTAATGAATAAAGCCATAAAACCATGGAACGAGACGCTGCCATGAAGTGGTAAGAACTGCGAATGCTTTACTATTTTAAAACAATAGTCATGCAAATGCTCGTAATATAAAAAGAATAGTTCTAAATACGTTTTATTGCTACGCACAGCAATCTAATTACTTTTGATTCTTTAGTTCTGGTCCATATTTTATTATATATATATATATCTAATTTGCATGTTTAGTGGTGATGTTAGGGCTTGTATGGTTTTCACGTCTATTTTCAGAAAACGAAATTCTTTTTCGAGCTTCAACGTCAGAAAGGCACAGTTGCATAGTATTACCTGCTCTTTTCATTCACACTTTTAGCTAGAATGTGTTTAAACTAAACCTTTTTTTTAATTTTGTGAAAAGTATTTGGAAATAAACTTTGATTCAAACAATCCTGCATTGTGAATGTTCTATAATAATAATTGGAAATTAACTCAGATGTATATTGAACGCAATTTGAAAGTATCTGTGGACTGTAAATCAAGTGTTTTGTCTCTTTATGCCCTGCCATGTATCAGTAGAATAAAGGAACCCCAGTTGTGAAATACTGTTTAATTATACCAGGATAAATTCAATATTTAGTTGAGCGACATGCAAACTTTGCTAAAATATGCTCATATTTTAGTTTTGTTCGATGAAACGAGTAAATAGTTGCGAAAAGCTTTAATGTTTAAATGAAATTTTGATAAATTGATCAAAATAGTAAATAGACAAAATCAACAGTGTAAAAGTAAGTAATCTTAATTGAACTTACCTATGTCACTGTGACATGGGTCCTCCATACAATGAAGCATAGATAATCTGACGATTAGTAAAAATAAAAGTACTATATTCCGGCTTGATAACATGCTAAACTTATTTACATGTAATTCCAACATTTTTTGGATCCTTATACAGCATGTCCAACACTATATGATAAAGAAATAAAAAGAAATTGTAGCGACGAATAATCGCAGAAATAACTAGAGTTCCATGAAATTTCAATACACATAACATCTTGTGATCATCAAATGCATTTTTTTAAATATTAAATTTTGAATAAATACATTCAAGCACATTATAATAACTATTACCTATTTTTACAAACTTAACGAGGACCATATTTGATTGTTAGTTATGTAGAGTCTTGAATAGAATTTACACAACAATTAAATATCAGGATGAAAATTTTTATTTCATATCATTAAAAACAATGATATTGATAAAAATGGCTCAAGAATTTTGACGCATCTAGCTGACCTATCTATTTCTATATGCATATGAGACTGCCCGTATATTTCTTTCGATTTCATTAAACCATTTATACTTGACTGAAAAATATTTTAAATCCCAACTAAATCTGATAAAGATATAATAAAACAACTACATTTTACGTATTGACTACAGTCTGATCTCGGAAGGCACTACACATAATCGATCGGTACATTCTCTATACTTTATTAGTGGCGTTATTTCATTCTATGTAATCAATAGCCTTATCTTCTGTTCGTCTTGCATGGAACTAAACTTCGCAGAAAGAATTTACGTGTTGTTTTATGTCCGATATATTCTAAATATATCTAAAACGTCAAAAATTAGATTAATGATAAATTTGCGTTTCAGCGCTCGGCACGTTTTCAGAGGTAAATTAAACTTTTTTATTTCAGACCTCAGAGTTGACCAAAAGCCTAAATTGCCATGTGTAATATGACCTATGGATTAACATGAGTTTGCCCATAATACATGAAAAGTTATAAGTAATTCGTATTCGCTCAGGAAAATGAAAAACATAAAGCTTACGACTTTATGATTATAATGTACTTTAAAATCAATCAATCAGAATTACAACAATTTCTTAATAGTAATAGAAATATTAGTTGCCAGGAATGCGACGTCATGTATGCACGTTGTCTCATTAATTTTCAACAAATCCGTTTTGATGTTTGGACAGGTGATGATCAAACTCAACAATGTTGAATGTTATTCTTAGAAGTAGGTCGACACATAGATCAATCACATTAGTCATGAATGGATGATGAACACGAACCAATTCGCACATATGAGAATTAAAGTCTTCAGATTTGTGACAATAAAATGAGTGATAAAAATTGAACGGAAACACAAACTTAATTAATATCCTTTGACATACATAACTCTTCTTGATAAACTGCCCAGATAGTCTAAGTATTGCATAAATTGAAATGTTCATATACAAGGTGATCTAAAAGAATGTTACCATTTTTACATTCATTTTGGCCCACCCTGAATATTATTATCATTGGCAAAAATATTTTCGATTTCTTCTCCATCAATATATCTCATCTCAATAATCATCTGACTAATGCACACTGCTGTATAAACCACTACGGATATGGTAAAATAAAATAGGAAAGATGTTAGTTTCTGGTCTGCAGACCTTTCCACAGCGTAACGTTTCTCAGCTTCTTTGGTTCTGCATGTGGGAGCTATTGTCTCAGACTGAGACAATTTTAGAACTCGCTTTCAATTCAGAATCGGTGATATGAAGATTTAGTTTAACCAAAGATTTTTATTTAATCATGACACATTTTCAAGTTGAGCGTCTTTTGGTTTTTGCTGTCCTATTTTTACTCTTCATAATTCTTCATGTTGTCAAACTCAGAATGAACCTTACAATTGCATACCAGCGAGACACATTGTAATCCGTAAATCTAACTAATTAAAAAGTTGCGATATAAAAGCCCATTCATCAATTAATAAGATGTGAGAAATTACCAGTGTCCAAGTATGATATTCAATGCTTTCGTTACACCCATTACTATCAATTTGCATACTATATCTACACTTCTGTATAGCATAAATTCTGAATGAATATAATAAATAATGACCGTTGAATGCGAGCAGACAATGATATATCAGTGTCATTTGCTTGTACGGTAGAAAATAGCGTACATGTAATAGTGGATCGTGACAACATCATACCATCGTGTGAGTTTGATTATAATTACCCTTCTTACAATAAACTACACATATAGAAGTTGATGAAATTTTAATGCATTGAATCATCTTTACCCTTGCCTGCTAACTGTATATTACAATTTTTGTGCAGCAAACAATCCCTATCCCTAAAAGTTCAAGAATCATTGGGGTGGTCTGAAACAATGTTATGTGTACCAGGTTGAGGTTCAGGTTGTGTGTCATCTTGGTGCCCATACTTCGGGAGCGCCATTGTTACATCACAATAATTTGCATAATAGGTGTGACATTTGGTATAAAGATTCCTGGCCAGAATTTGCATAAAAAACCTAACACAGTACGGCCAAGCAAATCACCGAGAATCGCGATCGTGAACTTAACATTAGAAAATTCAACTTAATGCCTGAATCTATTTTCTAACTAACTTGGGAATGCGTGTCGACAAATACTACATATAAAATTTGAATCCTAAATCGGAATTTACGTACATGCATACGGACGGTAAATTAAGTAAAACGTTATATGTTAACTTTTTGGCGCACCAAATTGGATATTTATCTCACAAACTTTGCGCTACATGACAGTTTTCAGTCGAAATTCTCAGACTGCATTACAACACTCAACTAATGTGACTGATACAATATTTCAATGTTTTTATGTTTGATTGGCGTCGGAAAAAAAGAATATATATTATAGGAACGACTTGTTATATAAATTCAGTCTGTCTACATCCCAGACAAAGAAATAATAACTAGACAAACGAATAAATTAAAATGACAGCTACAAAATGTCACAAAAATCTGTCACCTGTTCATAAATCAAACAACGCTTTAAGAATCCATATTGTAAAGAGTCCCTATGCGAAATTGTTGAAACACATATAAACGGACAAAAATGACAAAAAAAGTAAGTGGAGAAATAAATTTCTAGTATACCTCTCGCTTTCGCCAATATGCGCTGGTGTGCTCTTATAATTCATAAAAAACATCGGTTATTACGCAATAAATTTACTGTTTAAAATATTTTCATTAAATTTAAAAATTAAAAGCGTCTCAAGAAGTATTGTATCTCATCTAAAATTAATTTCAACAGTTGAGTTTATGGGTGGATGATAAAAAGTTAAATTATTTATATATATTTGTATTATCACTTCAATTCAGTTCATGTATATATTCAATATTTTGTGATGACCTTCCACCTATTGCGTGAGATTTGAAACACTGCCCAAAATTTATTTCGTCTCTTTAAAATTAACTTAGGACGTATTAATCGCATTTAATACTAAATAAGTATGAACCATGGATAAACAAGCATTTTATGTTCGATTTATACTTGACTAATGCATCTCAATTATCGGAAATGATATTTAATATACGCACGCTTAGAAACGTGATGAATTGATTACTTTAACGCGAAAGTGTTCTGTTTGTCTGATCTGATTCTGCGTCATACGCCAAATTAATTATGCGAAATGCTCGTTTTGTGCTTCATCTTATAACATTTTGTTATCACTCCATGCTTTCATAATGATTTATCACTTGATTAATTAAATACACTGCCCAGCTTTGGTCTTTGAAATTAATTGAAATTAAAAAAACGAATCGAAGTAAATTATGGTGATATAAAATAGTTATCCATGAGTTAATAACTTCTTTTGTATACATTCAAGGCGATGATGTTTTTAATCCGCGCAAACTTCGATCAGTATGAAGAGATGTACAGTGTGTGCGCATTGATCGATAAGCGACAACAAAATAAAAAGAAAAGTGAAATAATGTAATGACAACTTTGGAAGATTAAGTATAAATTGATCTCATCAAGGCTTCAATATCAGAATCAGACGTATGAAACAAATCAGGAAAACAAACATATGTTAGATCTCATGTTTAAACGGCTGTATCCCGTCTGGAGGCGAAATTTTTTTTTGTCTATTAATCGGGGTAACCGCACTGAAGTGTGAAATCTGTATTTAATTAAGGAGAAATTTACGATTTTGAAAACCTGTTCATCATAATTAAAACAATCATCCGGTCGGATATAAATTATCAATCAAACCATGTTTTAGTATATCTCTATCGCCAACACAAATGTTTTACAAGTTGATAGTTTTAAAATATGCTCCAATGTTTCAGGGAGATTTTTTTTTCGATGAATTTGAGTCTATATATTTTTTGGAAATTTTTCGATGTTTACTATTTACATTAGGGGTCGGCAAACTTTTGTCGCTCGCGGGCCAAAATTAAAGATTGCAAGTCATTGGCGGGCCGCACACATTTTTAGAAAGTTAAAACCGAACAGAGGGCCGCTGAAACACCTTTTCTACACACAGATCAGAAGTTAGATTTTAAGCAGCCCACGAAAACTGACCATTTGAATATTTTCCGCGCCATTAAACCATTAGAACCTATCATTAACTTTTCTGCGTTTTGTTGCCATTTGTCTAATTATAATTAAATTACAGGCTGATTAAACAAGTAATTGTGAATTATATACTTGTTAGGTTATAATATAATTTATTCTACACGTGTCTCAAAACAAATTCTGTTACGTAAAGAATAGGATCGCCAAAACTGCTGTTTTGTTACTATAATTCATGGAAGCGTCGCGGGCCGGATTGTATTGCTCCGTGGGCCAGATTCTGCCCGCGGGCCGTAGTTTGCCGACCCCTGATTTACATGAGGTCGACCTAGTTTTACACATATGAATTTTCAAAAACTGCTTCAACGAAAATCGAACGCTGTTAGGAAACGGCCTTTGATGACGTGGTACTGAAAACTCGTTCAATGCTTTTATTCATCGCGCGTTCATGAGTGGGGTGTCGTGTTCAACCTTTTGTTTTTGGCACTTAATTCTAGTTCCTCTTCGATTTGTTTCATAAAAATTGAAAGAATAGTGTAATGTTAAACGGAAATGCTAATACATAAGGCGCTCTGACTGTAAGGCAATCAATCAAGCAATGACGTTTTATGTAATGAGCTTACCCTTACTGATAGTCCGGCATTGGGCTTTGAAACATTGATTCTAGAATCTAGAGTACTTTTTTGCCACTTTATTTCGTTTCTCGGCTGTTTTATAAAATATTCAGTCAAGTTACGATGATATCAATGCACACTGTTATATAAACCGACTTTGGACCGGCATAATTTATGCATTCCATGTTTTCATCAGTATAGAATCACGTACCGTTGGCGTTAAATATGTGAATACTGGAGGACGAGATATACAATGGAGATGTTATGGAATAGATAATGATTGACCTCAAGTATAATGTGGAGATCTTGCAATCTTGCAGAGTGCGTTAAAAATGACTCTCAAAAACATCAAAACGACTTTTGATGGATGTGATAGCAGCACCATTAGTGACAAGTCCATACATGGTATTTGTGGCGTATAAGATATGAGATTAAGCCCCATGAGATAAAGCCCCACGACAGCTGATTGTGATAACATGAGGAATGTGTTGCTGCCAAAGACGACATTGAAAATCTTTTTTCAGTGAAGTATTCTTGGCCATTGGCAGTAAACTGTCGACAAACCAATCAGGTTGATGTTTGGTGCAAACTATCATTACTCATGTTACATATTGATTAATCAAGAAAGCATCGCCAGATTATTTTTATAAGATGAGGTCATGTTCGTTGATGGATTGGGGTAGTGTGCCTACGCTTACAGAAACGCGAAAACGACTCTTGATGGAAATATGAAAAACGACTTGCAACTAGCGTAAAGTAGATGTAATGAAATGTCATGATATGAGTATCATTCAGTGATGAGCCTTTACATGTTGCTTGCGCATAATAAAGCATAAAGTTGCCGGTGCATGTGGTTGACATTATAGATTGCCGTCTATTGGACATTTATCAAAAACTACGCGCACCGGCAGTTTTATATTTTCCACTGAACGCTAATTCGATTATTTTGGGGACAGTTTATTGTCAGTAGCCAAAGAATAGTTCACTGAAGAGAGATTTTCTGCCAGGACATTATCAACGACCAGATGTTGTGGGGTATTATGATATTATAGATTGGTACCTATTGCATAGTTATCATGCACTAAAAGCGCTGGTAGTTTTATGTGTTTGTGCGCAATCAACATGTAAGTAAAGCCCTTACCCCTGTATGTTAACACCGTATCGACCACTAGCCGCTTTCGATTTTTTTTTGCACTTTTTAATGCGCTAATTATATCAACGATATAATGTACATATTATAGTTCGTAGATGCAACCGCATATACATAAATTGTATTCTTATGAAATGATCTGGCAGTATTCGTACATCCCTTTAGTGGCTGTATTTGTATTTTAAGTTGGCTATACAGTATATGCATATGACTTGGCAGTATATGTATATTTGGCTGGCTGTATATGTATATGAGTTGGCGGTATATGCATATTCTTGGCAGTATATGTATGGCACTTTACCAACCCTATCGATCTTATTTGCAATTTTCATTCTTGTTCTGTTGTGAAGCTAAATAAACAACATCGTTCGGAACTGACTAAAGTTTTTTGTGTGTTTCCTATGAGGGGAGGGAAATTAATTGTTATATTAATCCCGATACAGCTCCAAGTTCAACGTCAACGAAAATTCCAGTCTTGTTGGGATCATCATCTCCAAAGATTCAAGTTGAAATGAATACATAACGTCAGTAGGTCGAAACGCGTCAATGGAGGTTGTAACTTTTTACCTTGCTTGTCGATATTTATACCGTGAGGGCGTAGTTCACTTGTATATATTACTGATACCTTCGTGTATGGAGTATTTCTATCATATATATTTAGGATGGCGCTTCTGTGATAGTACTTAACTCGTAAACCAAATTAGAAAATATATCTATAAAATATGAATGGCTCTCAATCGCAGTTGTTATTGTGCAGATATTGTCATGAATTGTATCTTTCTGAACTTTCGTAAAACATTCCTTCAAAAAAAGTTTTTAGTCGTCAAACTCGACTGGCTGTAAATTCTCAGTATACCTACCATACAAAAAAATTTATGCTTCAAGTTTTTTTCCAAGAATTACCCATGTGGAATTTACTACCGAATATATATTTGTTTTTCTGGTCGTATTGACATGACCTCACGTCAATTGGTCTCTGTTGGCGCGTATATCTACACTACAATTTCTTACAGTCGCATATATCTACACTACAATTTCTTATAGTCGCATAAGCTCTTTTCATTCTAGTGACCACTCGTAACTTCACTCACATATCTATCTCCTCAACCTCTGAGTGAGTGCGCGTGACTTCGCTTTGCAAATTTCCCCAAAATAGTAGCTCATTCTCGTTGGAACGAAATTTACGCCTCCAAATTCTCATGGTCGTATATTCTCATTCTCATGGTTGGTATATTTTAAAAATTAATTTTAATTAAGGCCAATTCAATTCTGGATCTAAAAGTTTTTGAATACACTAAAATCCTTCATAGGGCACGTACGAATTCGCTAAGTATTTAAATTCAGTTAGTTTTTCGGGTTTTGATCTATTTTATATTTCAGTATGGATCTGTTCAGATACCAATCTGCCAATAACAGACAGTGTAGCGGGTGTTGCTATCCAGTGCGAAGTCGACTAGATGAAAGAATGTACGCCTGAATTGTTCGCTTGGATTTATTAGTCTAGTAAAAGTTTATTTTATAATATAAAAAAAACATATATGAGGAACGTTGCTTAAATTCGAACTTCACGATATACAATATAGAATGAATGTTTGCTTCCCATCTCCTACAAATTACATGAACCAAATAGCCAGTGTGAACCACACAATTAAGAAGAAACTTTCTAAGGGAGACTGTTTATGAAGGGTTTGCCTTCAAATATCATATGAATTTTGGTACTAATGCTGATAGAATGAGTTACGTTCTTTGTCATCATAGAAACGAAGAATGTGTTGGGTTATGAGTGGGAAAAAGGAGATAAGGATTTGGATACAATCACGGAGTTCCTTATTGTATAAGAAACTCTTCGTGAAACTGCTTATGTCACGCCAAATTCTCGAGGTTTAAACATTTAAAAACGACTTTAAACTGTTCATTTCTGCGACCAAGATATACATACAGAGATTTAGGTTGGTATGCCGTTGACGCCTTTCAAAATCCTCGACCCGCACTGCAGCACGATTGCTTTTATTTCAATATCACACAGATGCAGTCGTTGAATAAGTGCTTGATAAAGTCATAGAATCATGGCCATGCCACCTCAAAGATGTTCTGCTCGCACCTGTGTCTTCGGTCAGTTCATTCAGGCTTCCGTTGCCAAGAGGCTGCACGAGTGTGAATTGTATATAAAAGGTTACTCAACTTTAGTTCAATTCCTTTCAAAATTAGGAATTCTAGGTTTTAAAAATATCATAATATAAGTTATTCCAGTTCATATATAAATCCGTTACAGATATGTATGGATGCTTTTTTGATGCCTAAGTCAACCTAACTCACTTATTTATGATCATTTAGTATATATACATGATATTTTGTCTTGCCTATGTCAAATTAAATGACAATGTTCGTAACTTTATTATTACTATTTGTATAATATCATATATGCATACATACCCTAACTCTAAATCTTTTTTCAACGTCATATCGACCAACTGCATGTCTTCTATAAATCCCATACATTATCAAAATGCCGCAGCACAATATCAAAAAAATGATTGCAATGGCTATTAAAACTACATGCCATGGCGGAACGCTTCCTGTAAATAAATTATGAACAAAATGGAATAACAATTCCAAAATACTTCAAACGTGAAATTCGGCCTACCGTTAATAAATTTACTATCAGAAATGTGCATGGTTATGTAGTAAATATTATTAAAATTACATAAAAACATAAGGCCAAAAATAGACAATTGCTCAATCTTGCGTTGTCATGTACGATAAAATGATGAGAAAAAAACTATGATTCATTATTTGTTGGGTTCTGAATATCGAATCCCAATACTGAAAAAATTAAGTTTACCAACAGTCACGATAGCCATACAAGTTGACATACCTGCCGAATTCACTTCAATTTCGCACAAGTCGCCGACAAAACCAGGTACACATTTGCAATAAATTTCCTGTTTTTGTGAACTTCCATCAGCTACATATCTGAATCCACATTTTCCACCGTTCGCACATCGTCTTTGGCAAAAAATACTTGCACCAGGAGCAACTGAAAGTTAGTAATAATAATAAATTACTATTATTGAAGAGTATTTTATCCTAGAAAGTAAGTAGACAGATGTATTTGTAGGTATTAGTATTACAAGAGAGCTATGCTCAAATATATGGACACGTAGAGCCATATAATTTTGATGACGTCATAGCAAAAAATAAAAGCCTTCTAGAAAAAAATTCTATCTTTAGCCACTGAAAATTCCAAAGCAATTGGTCCAGTAAGAGAAAAGCGATTTCTTCAAAACGTGTCAAAGAACAACATAACAACAAAACGATCGTTATGTCCACTACGTGTCCAATAAACCAATTTGTAACTTGAACAATATATATATATATATACTGGTGTCGATATTCATAATTAACTTACTCGGGGGATCTTTGATTGCCCCTTCCCTCCCAGTGATAATAGATGGAACGACTGTAATTTTGGACTCTACCATTGTTTCGTTAGATTTTTTCTCTGAAGACTCGTTCTCTCCGAACGGCGGGCCAATTACTGTTGATTTTCTTGTAACATATTGAATTTTGCCACTCATTGAAGCAATACCAGTCACCATACCAGGTGTCGGAACTATACGTGTTGCATGTTGTGTATAGTTGGCACCTGAATATTTGGTAGATGTAGTTACGGTTTTCAACTCTGACGCGGTAGTGTACTTTTTGGTTGCATCAGACGGAGAAACTGTGGTTCCTGAATACGTCTTTGTAGTTTTGACCGAGACTGAATTTCTTGACCATAAGAGTGTCGACGCTCTGGTCCGCGGTGAATCAGTTACTGGACTAATTATCGATAAAGTTGTTCTTGGTCTTGCGGAATTTGGAATTGTGCTAGCTAATGTACTTTCGAATCTACTCGCAGATTGACTGTTCATTGGTCGTGATGCAACTGTTGATTTTTTTGTGGTCGTTGCTGGAGGATGTGTTGATTTTGGCCTATTAGTAGATCTTATGCTGAATGAATTTTCGGTCTTCAATGTTTCCAAAGTTGGGATTTTCGTGGTGGGCGACTTTGTAGTTGCGGATTTATATTCTTTCATTTTGGACAACGGGAAACCTTGAGTTGATTTCATGGTTTCCAGATGTTTAGTTGACGTTATAGCATATTTAGACGTAGACAATTCTTGCTGCAAACCTGTAGTCATTGTATCGGAGTTTGTTGACATTGTACGCGCTTTTGTTGACGTTTTTGCTCGTGTAGAAGTCATTCGTTGTGGTAAATTAGACGAAGATGTCGACATGGTAGTAGGCCCAATAGGATTAACTCTCGACGAAGAGGTTTTTGGGTCGGAAAATTTGATATTGTGGTGGATAACGTGCTAACGAATCTACTCGCCGGTGGACTGTTCGTTGGTCGTGATGCAACTGTCGATTTTCTTGTGGTCGATGCTGGATGGTGTGTTGGTTTCGAGCTATTATGGGATTTTAAGCTGACAGACTTTTCAACCGGTTCTGAAGTGGATATTCTTGTTGTCGCCGACTGTATGTTTGAAGATGTCGACATGGTAGTAGGCCCACTAGGTTTAACTTTCGACGAAGAGGTTTTTGGCGTCGGAAAATTTGATATTGTGGTGGAAAACGTGCTAACGAATCTACTCGCCGATAGACTGTTCGTTGGTCGTGATGCAACTGTCGATTTTCTTGTGGTCGTTGCTGGATGGTGTGTTGGTTTCGACCTATTATGGGATTTTAAGCTGACAGACTTTTCAACCGGTTCAGAAGTGGGTATTCTTGTTGTCGCCGACTGTATGTTTGAAGATTTATATTCTGTCCCTGTGGTTGACTTCGTGGTTGCCACATATTTTTTTGGCGTGATAAGATAATTAGACGTAGACAATTCTGGCTGCAAAACCGTTATCATTACGTCAGGGTTGGATTTCAATGAAGACGCTTTTGTTGGCGTATCAGCTTGTGTGAGGGGATTTTGATGTGTCGAATTTGGTGCAGATCTCGGCGTTGTAATCCAGTTTTGCTCTGCGTAGATTGTTGTATTCACAATTTTATTTGATAAACTATGCTTTGTAGCATCAAACGTATCAGTGCTTTCGGTTATATTACTAGCAGTTGGACTATTTATACTTGATGGTGCATCACTTGGATCTCGATCTGCTGTCAGCATAGTGGAAAAATCACTTGGCCTAATAGCTTGGGTTGTGAATTGCGTAGGTTTTGTTGACATTGGAATTGTTGATAAACCCGACACATTATTCATCTTTGATCCTGGCGTTTTGGCGCGGGTCTCATCTTTGGTCAAGGCACTTGTTTGCGAAGTATTTTTGGACAGTGTGCTTGTTATGAAATCTGTATTAGTAAACTGTGTGGGTGTCATTAAGGTAGTTTTTTCGAAAACTGCCTTGGTTTGTGACGGAGGATCTCCATTTTGAGTATTTGCCTTTAGATTCAGATTATAGCGTCTGTTGGCATTGAATGATTGTGACCCTAATGTTGTTTTAGGCAAAGCCGTAGTTTGTTGAGTAGTTGCACTGGTTTCATTATCCAAGGTTTTAATAGCTTCAGTAAAGAACTGACGACTTGAAGAAGCTCCATGCGACGTGTACATAATTTTTGTAGCGAATATGGGCCTAATATTGTTTGTTTTTAAAATGGGAATTGTCCGCGGAGCTGACTGCGATGTTGGGCGTGTAATTTTGTTGAGCGAGACTATTTGCTGAGTGGTCTCCGGAGTATGATAGTTCGTAGGTGGTGCGGTGAGTTTTGACACGAGCTTGGTTGTTGCTGATTTCGTCGAGACAGGTGGATTAGAAACGATTTCCTTTAGTGTTCTTGGCTTCTTAGTGGTGAAGAGTTTTGAAATTGGTGCTTTCGTGGTCGTAGAAATGGAAAATTGTGATTCTAGAGAGATTGGTTGCGACGGCTTAAACGTTTGTTCTTTTGATAATGTACTTACGGTAGAAGGCTGGAAGGTATTTGTAACTGGTGCCTTCGGTGTTGTCGAGCTTTGCTGACTGCCTTCAGATATAATATATACGTCCGTGTGCATGTTAGGTGTTCGTTCAGTTGTACTTTTGATGGGGGTACGTTCAGTTGTACGTTTGATAGGAGTACCTGAGTCAGATGACACGTCCTGGTGGGATTCATTACTTTCTTTTACTGAAAATGTCATTTCAATTTTGGTGGTATCTTCTGCTGGCTCTGGTGTATTGGCCGCTCGTGTTTTAGATGAAGCCAGGGGTGTAGACTGAGAATATGCCCTTGTGCTTGCTGTCGGACTCGACTCCGCAAATAAGTTTATAACTGGAAGCGGACTGGTTGTGCTTCTTATGGAGTGTGTTTGCAAAGTAGCTTCAGTTGTTGTTTCAAGATTGACCTGAGTAAAGTTTTGTAGATGAACATCACCAATGTCGTTTTCGGTCGTCAATTCTGTATTTGGAACCTTTGTTATTGCAGTCGACAATGTAAATATGTTGTTTCCTGTAATTGTTGGCGAAAACGCTTTTTCTTGTATAAAATCATCTTCGTCCGGTACGAAATCCCTGACTTCAGGTTCTGCGAATTCATAAACATCAAGATTATTATGTTATGTTGCTGTATTGTTTATGACAATGAAAAAGAACCAACCATGTACAAATAATATGCGCAATTTTTGTTATTTATGTTTATGTCCTTATTGTCATTTAAAACATCATTTTTGCGACATTTGAAACAAACTATACCTTATTTTTGTCCTTCAGACATTTATTTTCGCTTTTGTGATTTTTTTAATTCTAGATAAATTTCAACATTTGATATTATAATAAAAGATATTATTCTAAACTTCAACAGTTCAATATTTTGATTCAAGAATGTTAAGTCAATATTATCGTGAAATAAGCGACAAGTAATATACCCCGGAGGTAAGCTTTTAGTTTACCTTCTTCTAATACTAATTCGACGTGAGTGTGAATTTTAGAATGAGCCAGCTGTACGTTGTTGTCGTGTTGAGTCACGTTCATAAGAAAACATTGTCTCGTTATCCTAATATAACTGAACGACTTGCATAGAAAACTGAAATTGATGTAATCATCACTTTAATGATCATTGCAAATACAAAAATATGTAAGTGACTAATGAGCTTTCATTTACTTGTATCAAAATGGATCTATCTCAAATGGAAATATTAATAAATACGCACATATATATATATATATAGATAGATACACGTTATAATTGTAGGGAACTATGTCTAAAAAATGCAAACCATGGTCAAACTTACGAGTTTTCAAATAATTTTAAACAAAGCTGAAAGCGTGCGTTTATGAAGTAGCCATTGAAATTGGAATAAACAAAATCGATTCTATTAAACCGCGCCATTAACTTTTGCATATCTATTACATTTAATTAAAATAAACACGCAACACGTAAAACACGCAAAAAATAACCATTTTGTGGCCTAATCGATGAACATAAAACCTCGTTATACTTACTCTTCTATAAAACAACATTTTTCCAAACACCCTCTGAATGTAGTTCTGTGATGACTATGATCTGGAATCTTGACATATCTGAGATATGACTGTTTATACGTTCTGTACCGAAGGACGCAATCTTTTGGAAAAAAAAGTAAACCAATGTTGTGTTGCAAATTAATTGAAAGAAAGTAGTTTGATATTTTTTTTTTCGAATTTTGAATTAATAAAAAATAAAAGCTCGAAAGTCGGATGAATAAATTCAATTTTAAAATTCAAGATAATAAATTTTTTAGTTGATGGCAGATGTCAAAAATGGATATGAACATTCGCACAATATTTAAGAGTTATAATTAAAACAATGTGAGACAGATATAGATACTTGATTCAGTGTTGTTTCCTTCTGGTATTCTGTTGAATATTCTCTCGTGAATTGCAGGAAGGGTTGTTGTACTCTGCTGAGTTGTATTAGCAACATCCTGAGATGAAACAGTATAAACGAAAAGCAGGGTGACGAGAATAGATTTCAATCCAAATCTTCCCCTGAAATATTGAAATTTTATTGCTCTGTTTCATAAATTTTTCACAAATCCCGATAATTTATACTGTCGCATTGTATTTTAAAAAAGAACAAAGCCATAGTTTAAGCAATTTTGGTGTCTATTCCTAAACTTTACTCTTCCTAGAAGCTTAATATCGATATCATATTGCTGTTGCTCTCTGCTATTATCGGGTCACGAACCCAACACAATATCGTAGGCTATAAATTACGGCCCTCGCTCCGATCGACATCACAAATTTCTAATGGCTTTATGTTATCCTCATCAGTTTCCAATGTTTATGGGGTGCATACAATGCCAAATTAAAACAAAGTGTACGGCAATTAGATGGTGAAAGAGTGTTTGATTAAACGACATACATGCCATGAAAACGTTGCTTTAAAAAGGGAGCATATATCAATAACGTTACCTTATTTGAAATCTTTGATAATATATACCAAAAAACAAAGGAATTCACGAAATGAAAAATGTTACAAAATGAAATATATTTTTGAAATCTTACAGTAAGTGAATGAAAATAAAACTCCAAATACTCATCTAAATGGCTAATCATAAGCCTCAACGCAACATTGTTTGATTGTGACAACCTGACAGTCAATGCATTAAGTTTTAACACTATAGTTTAAAGTAAAGCAGTAAGCAGCGCCAGTATGCTGTGGGATTTGAACATTTCATTAGTAATTAAAATCCTAGTAAAAGTACTATTGCTGGTATTTTGCAAGGTTTCTTCAAAGCAATTAAAGATTAACATCATTAACAATTATAAATACTATCATATTTATATTTACCAGAAGGCAGTAACTTTCATGTTGTTTTAAATTATATATTGTGTAGACTGGACATAGTACATGTCTGAGAATGACTAAAATCCAACAGTACAGTCACCCGATATGTTGAGGCTTCTCCATTACTTTTTAGTAATTAACGTTCATTTTCTGATTCTTAACAAATTTCGAGATCATGGTTTTGTTAGCCCCATTGTTTACTATATAAATCAGTCCCATGTTTCGAACATTTGATAAGTTGCGCATCCAATACTTTTATGGCAGTTTTCTAGTAAAGTTTTTAATTCTATTAAGATAACACAACTCATTATCTACGTGAAATTAGTAAATAAATATACCATTGATATTTGTGAATCGCTATGAGTGAGTCACAATCTTTTTGATATATTTCTCCAAGCGACTTTTTTTGATATATTACAAAGAGAAATATATACAATCAATTTAAGAATCCATTTACTCCCACTTCCATATCAATGGCATATCTATCTACTTCACATAGCTTCTAAATAACGATGTACAGTAGAATCTCATTTTAAATCGAAACCGTGGCCGTTTGTTCATATCCAATTCAATATAATTTAACTATGTAAACTTTTCTTTAGAAATCTATGTTGTATGCTTTCTTTACCTAAACTTTGATTTTTATGTGTGAATTATCCAACAGAAATAAAGCAATTAGATGTCTTTTCAACATACTCCACAAGTAACGACTCATACATATTTTTAATATACTATTGTTTGAACTAGTCTTAAGCCTAAACTAATTCGTGTAAATTTTGCTTCAGTAAAAGTGCAAGTATTGCGTGAGTTGTCGTATAGGCCAATGAAACATGAATAATGCATATGGCAAAGCCGTTCATTTATCGTAGCGTAGTTAACTTCCCAACAGGAATATATTTCAGAAATAAATTGAAAGATGTCTACATTAAATATGTGAGAAAAATTTCAAATTAACTGTAGATATTCACCCTCATTATTCGGTTTTGGAAAATTTTTGTTTCGTTTCTTTCGACATAGAAAATCTCGTTAATTGTAAATTAGAAACTTTTCATTATATAAGTCGAAATGGATGATATTATTTGTGCATTTGTTTGATTTGCACTTAGCTATACTGAACTTTCAAACAAACTTTATTAGAATCTATGATAGTCATATACTAAGATGTAAGTTTATGAACTTAATGCCACACCAATAATTTGATAAAACGTTAACAAGCACAGTGTATTAGATTTAGAATCACAAATTGATGTATTATTTGAAGTCGATCCCAATAGTTAGCATGACATCGGACAACACACATATATATGTTGTTGAATTGGCTTATATGAAAGTAGCAAGAAAAATATAATCTTACCTCATGAGCGGACTTTCTAAATACGCCATGAAGAACACCCTCGTAAATATGTCAAACACACCCGGTTTCGATAGCTAAAACGACTATTCTCTAAATGCACCTATGAATAAATAATGAATTAACTTATAATACCAAAAATTAGATAATATGATTGTATGTTTGTAATATTATTTATAATTTTTTATTATACACTGTTCCGAGAAAATTATTTCTATTTATGTGTACTCAAAGCAACGTTGCCAGTTTTCAGCAATAAGTGATTCGGTTTCTACTAATGAGCTGTACAGAGATATTCACATTTGTGTTTGAGCATATAACTGTTAAATAACTTAAAACTAGAATACTGGGTGTTCAATCACAACTAGAAGGTTTGCACTGGGAAAATATTTGAAAATTTGCTAATATTGACTTTATCTGAAACATCTTAAAGTTGCTATATAACAAGTAATCCTTAACATCTTTTTCATTCATTCGGTGTGTCTATCTGCTCAGTTAAAAATGCGCATAGTATTGCGATAAATTTGATAAGATATTATTTGTCCCGTTCCGACAAAAATATGAAATATTATCTCAAATTTACTTATTCGCCGCCGGGTATATACGCGACATTAAACTAAATATTACGAAATACGTAATAGGTATTTCTCCCTGTGTATCATTGATGTAACCAAAGAATGAATATATTGTAAAAGTAGATATATATATACTGGGAATTTAAATCATCAATAGATTGGAAGAGAACGAAACAAAACTCTTACTAACATTATTGTTCTCTCTAATTTCCAAAATTTCGTTTTCAATGAATTAAATGGGGGTAGAAACAGATAGCCGAACATACCCTTCATTTTTTGATGGTTGATCAGGTGCCGAAGCTCTATCGGTTCCAGCCCTTAACCCAGCACTTCTTCCGATCTCGACAAAAATGTAAATGATATATATGCGATTAGATTGGATTTTTTCATTAAAATAATTTTGCTTTAGTTTATGATTTTCTAGTTTACGCTTATGTTTTTGATATAAAGCAAAGTAAAGAAAATCTTCAAACAAATGCCAATCGACAGTAAAAAACAATAAAAAGAGAGCAATGCTTGAATATATAGACAAGGCGGTCCAATGGCTAACCGTCGTACCTGTATTTAGTCCAAGTCAAGTTGCTTCAAACAATCGCAAAATTATCTTCGTCAATAAGGAGCGACTCAACAACAGCAATTTACAACAGCTGAGTGCCGGCATTTCGTTTCAGGACAAATATAACGAAGTATTGTGTTTTCAGTGGAAAGTAAATGTGTAGCCTACCTATGGCTATAAATGAAAAATCGGGATGAAATATGAGGTACTATAGGACTCATAAGATTTGAAAAAATTCACCAATAGCCATCCTGTGGCTTTATTCTAACTTTAAACACTAGGACTTAGAAAAAGCGCCAGATTTCGTCATTTTTCTCAAAAACAACAATCTCCTCGACAACAGCAACAAGAATTGCCAGAAAGACTTATAGGTTCATTTTGTGTTCGAAATTACATGTAGTATTACAATTATAAGTTTTAACATATCAGAACATGAAGCTAGTCAACATGTTCTAGGAAAGCTCAGTGGGAGAAAATTCCATAATACAGACATTCTTGGAAAAAAACTTTCAGCTTGAAATTTCGTTGTCACACAGACATTACTACATTGATTATGCGAGTTAATTTCCTATGTATCAACTCGGCCATTACGCTTAGCATAAACATGCTTTGTTTTGTGCTTTTATATCAAAGAATGATTATTGAAGGACCGACATCAGTAGGACTTAAGCGTGCTGTTTATTAATACTTTGATTGGTTTTTATAGTTAGTTCCCGATTTGTCCTTTGGCGAGATATCCAGAACTAGTGAAATCTCGTATGCACTCAGCGGAGAAATTATATAGCCTTGTGAAACGCCCCCGATTCCTGCCTCGTTTGGGGCGTATACTGAATCTTCTGTGGGACCTATATGAGAGGTTTCGTAGTGTCATGAACAGGTGATCTTGTATAGCTACTCATGCGCATGTGTAAGCGCGGTATAATCCTTTATTTTCTTCAGTAACATCAATACCACATATCCCTGGATTGTTATTATAGATAATGTAAGTGATTTATAGAAAGGGTCAGAGATTTTGAACTTTGTATTTGACACCAGGGTTATTCGTTGTAATGTTCACAAAACAGAAAAAGTCGAATTTTGTCGATGTAAAACATTTTGTGATCCAGAAGTCAATTTTGTGGCAATTATAATTCTTTTTCATTTTATATTCAGTCGGCAAAGTTCAGAACAAGCACACCATCCTATGTGAGGAAGTAACGAGTTGGTATACCAATTCGTATGTTGTGTATTACGAAATAATGAGCCTGATCATCATGAGGACTGGTCTTCCGAATTAAATAATTTTTCAATTTTCATTTTAATTTAGTTTGATGGCAATGTTTCTTTATTGAATGAGTGGATTTTGTTAGGTGATGAGAATGTGGTGGTTTGTGACTTTGTGTGTAAAATCCCACACACAACCGAATTTCGGTAAAGTTAAACTCGAACTGCTCATTTTTCATACTGATTCTTGACACTCCAGCAACGAACCCCCGGCTTTTGGTTCCGAGGTCTTTCGCAATCGGTAAAAAGACCGGTAAAAATTAAGACAATGTACTCACGGGCAAGCAACGACATATTAAAATGATTGGAACATAAATGTGTTGCCATGAAAAATATAAATATTTTGCATCAAAGGTTTAGGTATATACTGTTCAATAGGATTCTTCACGATAGCATAAAATTCAAGCCCAGGAAAATTGAACATGAGTCACCTGAAGTCGCGGATCCGTTGTTGACAACGCAGAATTATGGGTTCTATATTTTACCGCAAAGACATGTGAAATTAACGAGTAGTGGACGGTGATTTTTGTTTTGTCACTTGTTGACTATATTTTACTAACGTGAGACAGTTGCCAATTCTACTTTGTATTGGATCGAAATATTGTATCTTTGTTTCGCAATCTCTTGACGGTATAAGTCGGAGGACATTGCTCGTTTAGCAGATGAACCGAGCGAATAACAAGTTCATAGAGTTTCATGGATTCGGAAAGCTGTGCCATACTAATCTCCTAAAACTAAACCATCCGATAAAAGTCACATGCTTGAAAAATTGTTCAAAATATTGGCGTTTTCAAATATGGGAATGGAGGAGATAAAAAAGGATAAAGGTGATCATAGTTATTATCACTTTGAGACACCGGAAGAGTACTATAGGCAGTCGTCATTCAACATGGCAATAAACAGCATTCAAGTGCAAACAGGCACTTGACAGTACGGTTGCTTCATCGTTTATCCTGTGCCTTTTTTTCACACATCTGGATAAATGACTTTTTGCTTATCTGCAACTGATTGACATATCGTATCAGGTTACGTTTCATTAAATCGTGTCAACAAGTTCCACGCCCCTGAATATGATTGACCCAAAGGGCCACGCCCCCAGGTTAAGAACCATTACTGTAGGTCAGTGTTTCTTAACTTGGGTCCGATCGAACTCCTGTGGTTCGGTGGAGCTGCTCTAGGGGTTTGACGAAGGTCCTCTGAAGCAGTTGCAATTTATGAAGACTTTTTTATTACCTAGCCTTGTAATTATTCAAAAATAACTTTTAAAGTTTCTCGCAGATACTCAAACTTAAACGTTCAGCAACTATCCCCCAATTATAAGTTCGACTGGAGACAATTAATTAAAATACTTCGTATTTGTGTTCCCCGTGACTCATGACTATCAGACTGTGGTCACCTGTTATTATATAAGTTAGATGCAGGTATCTGATACTACTGTGATTTACTTATGGTGTCTTGCAGAAAATATCACATATATTTTTGAGAGTATGACGTATTGATTACGGCAAAATTATACCAATGGGAACACTTTCTGATTATCTTAAAATCAGAATTTGATTCAGTTTATATGCGAATCTTTGTGCGAGGTTGGATTGGGAACAATGCTGGTATCACGTGCTTTAGTATTTTCGCCGTATTGCAGAGGGGGCGTTTGCGGCAATCAATGCAGTGGTTTTACTTTGTGCTTTGAGCTAGGTTACTCGCATAGGCATATCAAAATGGAGGAGTTTGAAGGAGAAATTAACAATGACATTGAGTGCGTCGATAATTCTTCAAGTGAAGAAGGAGAATCTTATTATGATAACTTTTTAGGGCCAAGAGGTTCACCAAATTGGTCTAATTCCTCCGTGTCTACCACTCCAATCTAGGTAGGACGAGCAAAAAATTTGGGATTGGATTTATTTGTCTAGTCGTTTCATCAAACTCAGATGAAAAGTTGACACCGCTTCAACCTATTCTGCCTGCATCATACAGTCATGCAATGCATGCATATGAATTTTCTCCCACTGAGCTTTTCTAGAACATGTTGACTTGGCTTCATGTTCTGATATGTTAATATATACTTATATTTGCAATACTACATGTAATTTTGAACTCCAAATGGACCTATAAATGCATATGCATTTGTTGAACAGCAACGGAGCCCACAGCCGCAATTCAATGTTACCACCATCCACCCTTCTTCTGACATGCCTTCAACATTTACGACTAGGCAAGTGCAGGAAAGGCCACCTTCGAGATCATGGCGGCCAAGTCCACTTATGCAAATGTCCACCAGCCACAACCCCTTCAGTTTCCAGCCCATTGACAGTCCTGCCATCTACACCAAAATCGCCATCTCTATTTTGGAATGAATCCGCACATCCTACACCACCCATTCCATTCTCAAGTCAGTCTCACCATCACCTGGAAGAAGCAATTTCTTCTGTTCTGTTGTAGTTTTTGGACGCCCCCGCCCCACGCCATTGGTTGGTGGCAGCTAAAAAATCAACCGCCATGGTTTGACCATAGCGGCTGTGGTTTATAAATCCCGCCATGGTTTTGAGCCAGCTTCAGACGCCATAAAATACTTAAAACTGCACTTTGCAGGAGGAGGAAAGGAGATGCAGCCTCACGCAGTTATATTAGCGAATGGAAACGAGTGGCAGTGGGTGAAATGAAAGTCTTCATTAGCATCATATTGTCCATGGGGCTAGTAAAATAGCCACTGTTGAAGAACTATTGGTCGAAAGGCCAACATATGCCTCCAGTTTCTATTCAGGCCTGATGCCAAGAGATCACGTCTCAGTGACAATGCACAATGGGTGCATTTCTGCGTACGAGGGTATTTTCACTTGGTCTGTGCGGTAAATGTAACGGATTTTATGGGCGTTTAAGCATTTTTAAATTTGGGCATTTTCCCGAGAGCAGTTATTTCAGCCCCCGACCTCCGCCCTGAAAAAGTTTTAAATTCGTTTGATGTCATTTGTGGTCCATTATCAGTGATTAAAAGTCTCGGATATCCTAATCTGTAAAATAAATTCTTCAAATATTTTATTAAGGATTTAGTAGTCGCTGTATTGGTATCTGCAATTCCAGGCCATTTGGAGTAGCCTCCAAGTTATATACCACCACTAAGAAGGAACTTTGCTGCGGAGCTGCTTGAATTTTACCAAAAATATCTAATTCTATCTTTTGCCAAGGACCATCAGGATATTTCAAAGGTTTTAACGGAGGTTTGATAAATTTCAACGATTTCTGATAACAAACAAGATTCACAATTCTTCGCATAATTTTAATATATATATTTGTCGATTTGTCCAGGCCACCGAACCAAATTTCTTTGTTTCATTTTAACGATACCTGGATCGCCAACATATGTCATATTTGAAACTGAACGTTTTAATGACTCTGGTATTACTGCTCTAATATCTCTGTAAATACAATATTCATTTCATGTGGATAACTCGTCGCGAACATTTCGAAACTTTGAAAAATCTCCACTCACATTTATAGGCTAGCTTTCGTGTATAAATATGGATAATTTAACAAAATGTCCATCAGTGAGTTGTAAGACGTCAAGATTTTCCTCTACGACCGACTCTTCTTTAGAATCGTTTTGTATAAATCTGCTCAACATATCTGCAACTTGATGATTCTTTCCAGAAATAGTTATATTGTAGTAGGCGGCCTGCCCATCCACGAAAACGCAATGGTTTATGTCCCGAACCAGTCGTTTGCATAAGCTTAGTAATTGACATATGATCAGTTTTCAAGATAAATTTACGACCATAATATACATGCCAGTGTCCACCAGCAAAAACATATCGTCACGCTAATAACCGAATTGCGTAGGTCATTTTAAGCAGTTTTGAGAAAAACGTAAAAATCTCCCTAATGATATTGCTATGCCATTGAGAGTCAATAATTTGCCGTAGTTCAATTTTTTGATCGTAGCCGGATTTAAGTTAATTTGTATGACGCAGTCATGTGACATCATAATGGCGCACTGTGACTGAGGCAGAAATGTGTTTATGCCTAGGGGACATACGCAATTTTGCAACTTGACTACAGTATATGTACCAGTCCTGAAAACCAACCTTTCCAAAAACGAATGTAATTCTTAGTATATACGATGTCTAATCCCCAAAATAGCTAATCTGTTCCAATTACATTATTTTTTATGCTTAAAAATATATATTTCATCAATATAACACGCTCTGCACATCCACCGAAATAAGACTAAGGTTAAATATAAAGAATAAAACAGCAATGTACCCTTATATAAAAGCCAACCAAGGTGAATTGGATTCAGACAGTGAATATCACAAGTGCACGCCTTCCTATACTGTAGTATAAGTTGAAATTTATAAGCGCTAAGCTAGAATCTGAGATGCAAAAACTCTAAAACCTTCGCAGAGGTTATTTCGACTTTGTGACGTCACAATAGTCCTACGTTAACAATGATAATTCATTATGACGAAACAATTGAACAAATTTGCATATCATACAAAATCTCTATTTTTATGGGTTTTGGAATTCTTAAAATAAAATCTGAGTTAACAGGCAGGTGCGCAGCATTACATAAATACATAATTTATGGAAAAAACATCGCTCATATGCAAATTGGTAATTTCCGGGCCGGTATGGTAATTTTCAAAATCGCCAATCTCGGACGCATGTACGCACCGCTGCGTACCAAAATTGGCTCGGACAACGTTTGTGAAATAACGCTGCAATTGATCTGTTCATTTCTCGCAACGTCTTGTCTCTTTTGGAAGTGCATCTGCGGACTGTTTTAGGGGTTATACGAGAACTAGAGGCTCCTTTGCATTTTATTTTAATTTCTCGCCTAATGAAGAGAAAACAAAATCTTCCAGACTTGAAATAAAAACATAGAAATCTGAAATAACAATGGGGCAGTGTAAAAGTGCCTTGATGTGGTTGAAAGCTGATCGAAAAGTATATACTACTATCAGAGTGGAATTTCCTCCAAACTCTTTAGAACCGTACAATATTTTACCGCATCATCCTGACCTAAACGTTTTTGGTAATTCATATGCGTGTTTTCGTACTCTAGTTTCATAAAATCGAGTGCCATAAAAAGTCCGTGATAGAAGTGCTGCATAAGTAAAGCCCAAAACTACACCAACACTAACAGAAGCTTATAAGATTTGTTTCAGAAGTTTCTTATAGATCAAAATATTGATTAAATACCACTCTCTTCTGCACCGCGATAAAAAATATAATTTACGACCAATTCATTGAAAAAGGTTCGCCATCTCTGCCCTAGTCGGTGCGCTTACCGATCTTCGTTTTAGTTTAATAAAACTCTTTTATTCATTGAACATCCATTTAAATTCAGCTTCAGATCTCAATAGCTCTCTCATTGGCTCTGAAATACCAGCATACGGTAGTTAGGCACAAATTTCAAGTAAAAGTTTACACTTGAAATTTAGCAACTTTTTTTTTTTATAAATTTAGGAATTGATAAATACGGATCGCTTTCACATTAGATATTAGTGCTTTCACCCCATCGCCATTCCACCCCATTCCTGCTAGCTTACTTAACTAAGCGCGCAAGTCAAACTGTAGAATGTGGATGTCTTGTTTACAAATCCGCGGCACAGATGCGAATCTCTGGCAGCTCAAAGAAACCTTCGTTTTTTGTGTGCAGTGACGTCATCAAATGAAAGTTGCGCTTCTTGTGGCCGTTTCGTGATTATTGCGATTTTGCCCGCGTCTGCACTGTTTCGTTTTAGCTTTTCAGTCTATATATTCAAATATTTGATCATTTCTCTTGTTTATCAACAAGGGAGAGATATTTATTGAGGTGATTGGAACAGCGTGCCAGAATATTTGTAATAAAATTCTAGCTAATTATGTGAAAACTTTCAACTAATAACGTCATAACTTGTGATGAAGAGGCGGAATTTACATCACATTTTTTTGGAATTGCTCATACCAGCATACAGTCATAATGCTAGTCATGTTGTTTCTATCTAAGTATAGAGCCTGATGTTTGCATAATAAATAAGCATTTCAGAGGTCTCCTGAGGTGTGCGCCGTCAAGTAGTCTACTTCTAGTTGGCGTATAATAACGATTTTATTAATATAATATTCCTAACCCCCACCTGAGTACAGTACGTCACGCAAAAATTACATCACTGCGACGTCACAATCGCGTCATAGAGCTTGCTGACATACCGGTAGCCTATAGCTACAGAGCTATGATCCTCCGAAATGCTGAAATGGCATCTGTGCCGACTATAATGAACTCACTAACGTCAGCGATCTTTCTCGCATCTCTACCGGTAGTCTATCTATTTCTGTATTTGTTGAATCCACATAGCCTAATTATTGTGTCTTAAATGTAATGACTGAATGATATACAAGTGTTATAGATAAGTAAATAGTCTATTCTATCAAGTCCAGGGTCTTACTACTTACTGAATACAGCGCGAAACACCGCAAAGAGCGCAAAACAGCGCGAAACAGCGCAAAAGAGCGCGAAACAGCGCAAAATAGCGCGAAACAGCGCAAAAAAGAGGAAAACAGCGCGAAACAGAAGGAAACCAGCGCAAAACAGAGGGAAACAGCGCAAAACAGGAGACGCAGTCATTACCATCTCCTGCCACGAAAGAACCACGGCGCCTCTCGCCATGGTTTTATGGCGCTATTTCCGGCATATTTACAAGGTTTTGTACCGGATTATAGGTCATCATGCGAAATTTTATCTACCTTTTTGGTGCTCCAGAAGTATGTGCAGCAATATGTCGCACAACCTGAATCCGCTACACACACATACTATTTTCCAGGTTGTGCGCCATCTTGGTACACATACTTCTGGAGGTCCCTTTTTACCTAACCCTAACCCTAAAGCCAACCATATCCATGTGGAAAATGTTCTAAATTATGGTACCCAAAATGTGTCACCAGCAGGGGCAGACCTGCCATTACAGCATTACTGGCTACATACGTTGGTTTGTGTTTTTAATTTGCTGCCGTGGTACTCCAACTCAAAACAAGGTGCCCCGAACTCATTGCAAAATTTTTTTCTGCTTCACCCTGTTTCCCTCTGTTTTGCGCTCTTTCGCGCTGTTTCCGCACTGTTTTGCGCTGTTTCCCTCTGTTTTGCGCTGTTTCGCGCTGTTTTGCGCTGTTTCGCGCTGTTTTGCGCTCTTTGCGGTGTTTCGCGCTGTATTCAGTAAGTAGTAAGACCGATCAAGTCCATGCTTCTGTAAACAAAATACAGAAATAACTGACTAGCTAATCCCACCGTACCCAACGCTGCGACATGGACTGGCTGACTGTTGACCGAACAAGAGGCCGCGGTTCTGATTATCGGCTTTCTCCTCCCCCACAATAAATATGTAAATCCATCCTATTAAGTTATCTCTGTCAGTCTGTTAGTTATTTTCATTATAATAGAAGAAACATATTTATCATGAATAAGTGGAATCAGATTCTAATTCTCAAAATCATGCAATACATTGGATAAATGTAAATGGCATTTTGGGATTCGGTTCAATATTATTTATGGATTGGTATGTTTCATCTGTATGTAATGATTTATATTATTATTTTTTTATTATCTTAAAAATAATAGTACTTGCTAATAGCCTGATACTACTGTCGGACTGTAGTACTAGTAACCTAACAGTTGTGCGAAGTTGAAACAGGAATTGGAGATTGAAGCGTGATAAATCAATTGTGTGGCATAAGTTATATTTTTATCATTCAGTCATTGTTGTGACTCAAGGTGTTGCCAATCTTAGCCTAAATCAATTAAGCAAATTTCAATATCACAAAAGATATAGGCTGACAAGCGTCAGCGATCGGAGATTTGACCAACTCAGTTACGAAGTTACTGCAATACTGCACGAATTCTGAAGATGGAAAATCAAGGTGAGTTTTTGAGTAACTTCTCAGTTTTATAGGCAAGTTACATGTTCTAGTAATATATGAAATAAGTAGTAACCGGCAATATCAAAATGCCCGGCTATAGCTGTGTGTTATAAAACAGCAAAGGTTTATTACGGTAAATATGATAAGAAAAACAGGTTGTGACATATTTCACAATGCTTTCAAAGTATTTTGAAAGAGCTGTGCTGATAGTGTCACAGTGTTACATCCCTTCAGTGCTTCTATTTGTTGTTCACACCTCTGCGTGTAAATATATCTTCTTGAAAATAGAACTGTTTTATTTTAAGGTGTCCCTTCTGATTCAGCACCTGATGACAAGTTGAGAAATAATTCGAATACATCTGATTCTTCATCCAGTTCTTCTGATAAGGTTGGCTAATTATAAAACGAGTGCTGTTGTATGATTTTTTCAATGATGTTTTATTAACACATTTTTAAAATATTAGGTATGAATACCATATTTGAGCATACTTTTCAACATTAGTTGTATATTCTGCCATGAAACTATTTTGCCTTTAGACCTAGTAGTCTAGCCAGTGGTGCCCAATGCTAGAAATTGTTACGGTAACTGTTTACTGTACTTACTGCAGTACTGATAAGTGGTATTAGTAAATCAAACTATATAATGTCAATAGTCATTTTGGTCAGTGGTTCCAAAAGCTGATTCTCTTACCCGCTTGCAACAATGTTTAGTTCTTTGCAGCTTCATTCTTAGTAAAATTTAATACAATATTGTTTCGATTGATAAGATCATTGATATCAAAACAATTCTTTGTTAAATGTAGTTAAAAAGAACTAAAATTTGAATAGCTGAGTGTCAATATTAATCATGAACCACTAGCATTAGTGTTGCAAAATACTATATCGGGTCGTTCAATGACCCTTTCATTTAGTAAAAAAAATTTTATACGGCCTTAGCATAATAGTAGTTTTGAAGGCAATTTTAGGTATTCAAAATACTCAATTTTTCATTTTACTTGAAATTTGAAAAGCAACTTAGTTTGAAAACTTATGCTTAGTCTGTTTGATAAATTTTTTTTGAATTAATTGTCTTTGTATATGTGTTCTTTTCGTTTACCTACATGTATAATAGACAAACAAAAACCTGATGGCTCCCAAATTTTTTAGTTAATGAATTACCTATAGATTTTGTGTACTGAAATTGTGGTTTTGAAATGTTATAATATCACAAACATGACACAAAATTATTCATGAATATAACAAATATTTATGACAATTGCAAACTCAGCTTTGATGTCCATTGACAACTGACAATCAGTGAATCAACATTCGTCATTCAAGTCTATCGGAAGAATAATCAGGTGATTCGATGTGAGACAGAGTCTTAGTGAAGAAATGATGGATAAAAGCGTCAATTACAGATTACATACAGCTTGTTTTAATAAAATATTGTCATAATATTACATAGAATATCCCCTTATGAATGCAAATTGAATTTGAGCTATTGGTGTTTTTGGTAAAAAAAATTCATTAATAAATTTCCTTCGCTGGAATATTTGCATTCCAAAGGATTGTAATTTCAAAGTATTGCTATTTGTTTACATGCATAATGTTTATTTTTTCTGATACTCCTAAAAAATGCCACCATCTTGCAGTTCCCCTTAAAGTCCTAATAGAAATTATAAGATATGATTGACTGATTGTCTCGCACAAAACTAAATTTCAAATGATTTCATGGCTGCATAAACACTGTCGCAATTGGTTTAGAAGACACTAAAACTGTTCCATCCTTTATTTTCAGCTTAACAAATGACTGAATATGGATTTCATCGATCGAACAATCTTCTAATTTAATATAAATATGTTTACAATACAATCGATTGTAATCGTGTTCACATCAACAAAAATATCCATTTGTAATGCAGCTTGTATGATTTATAATTTATGTGGTGTAATGACATTCACTTAATGGTTAGAAAGTTTTCTTGCAAATTTGGCGTCTTAGATTGTGGGTAAATCAATGTTTGCTAATGCCACTGATAATAAAAATATGTCATTATATGGACTGAGATTTATGGATGTTTTTAGGCAAGAAGTCCGACACCACAGAAAAAACAACATTCACCTAAGAATGAAGATAGAAGAAATAAAAGTAGAAATCATATAAGAAGGTTATTTTTTTTAAATACTATTAATAACTAGGGATTACCTAATACACCTACATTTGAATCTGAGTGAGCATAACTTATACTTAGACTACCATCAAGACAAATTGTTTGTTTGGAGGAACATAAATTTAAATTTTTTTATATTTGTTGTTAATAATAAGAGCATTTGCTGTTATACATCTGATTTATTAATATTTGTTGAAACTCCAAGGAGCAAAGTTCGATAGATTTGTCATTGTACTGAATTTGGTTTTACAATATAGCTAGCTGTTTAATTGGATTTCAGATCTTAATTTAATATTGTTTCAATTTAATGTCATAATTTGTTTGTTACAGACGTAGAAGCAGGTCAAACAGTGAATCATCTGAGGATGAACATCACAGAAAACATTCACACCGACACAGGGAGTCTAGTAAAAAGTTCGTTATAGTTTTATTTTTTTAAGTATAAAACTAGATTTGCTGTGACCTGGTTGATTACAGTTATATTAATAAACAATGATGTATATAATTAATTTGGATAAATTATTGTTCATTTGAAAATGGACTTTTATCTTCTATTTAAACTTCTTTGTTTGCATTGGGAAAGTTAATTATCATTTGCATATTAGATATTATACATGAGTGAACTGTATACCAGGGGAGGATGGTCTAACGGTGGGCAAATTACGGCCCACATGCTGGATTCGGCCCTTCTGTGCCTGCTGAAATTATGACTATAGGTTTTATATAGACCTAAAGTTCCGCTTTACCCCAATGTAATGTGCAAAGTGAGCCACATATACCTCAAACTTGTGCTTCGCTGTGTTCGAAATTATTTATATTCAAGCATATCAACCTCTCTATTTACAACTCAGTTACAACCTCTCAACATATTAAGCTAAATCCGGTGCTAGACATTATAAAATATTTACAAACAGTCATTTTAAATAAACAACACATTTTTTGTTTTATAGATCTCATCACCACAGACATAGGCATTCAAGCAGGGAAAGGAGAAGAAAGCATCGCTCAAGGTAATTATATGTATGGTCCACAACTAATAAATAAGCCCAAAGTTACAGTTTGAAAACCTTGTTTCGTGGCATTTTAGCAAAGAGTTTATTGAAATTCGATGAAGTTTTTCACTTTGTTTGTTTTTGATCACTTGCCACTGATACTAACTAATTTTTTATACCAAATTTTAATGACATTAATCTTTAAAACCACATTATTTTCAAAATAAATATCACTGCAACGAGTCTTCTCCACTCACACAAGTCTTCAGTTTCTCTATTATAATTTTTCTATTCATTTTCAATTGATTCCAGGTCACCAAGGAGAAGACAACATAATTCTTATGGGAAAAGGTCACCAAGGAACTCAGGGTAACTGGTTATTGAAATATTATTGGTTTATGCTTTAAGATTTTTGCATTTTGCACACTCCCTAGGTCCCTAATCCTTTTCTTCTAATTGATATATATATAGGTATACAACATAAATGGCAATTGTAGCAGTAAAATTGAATTAGTTTGACTGCATTTGAAATCAATAATGCAATTAGATTTTTAATACATTAGAAGCCTGCAACATAGACTGATCAATTCTCCAACCATAATCATGAAATTATAAAACTTATGGCTATTTGAATATTTTGTATTCTAGTGATGAGGAATCAGAATCAAGACGTAGAAGATCAAGATCCAGAGATGGATCAAGATCGAACCGAAGGTAACTATATAATTTTTTTTAGCTTATTACTGAATTTTTAGATAATATAAAATATAATGAAAAAAGATGTAAAATGTGTATAGTATTCGAAATTTTAGCATACTTTTATAATTTTTTTATGCAATAAAATATTTCTCAATAGATGAGGTGTACTCAGTTCGGATATCCATATTTTGGCATATTACTGAATTTTTACATAACATAGAACAGGGTGGTCCAAGGTTGTCGACTCCGGGGGCCACAAAATTATTTTTGCATTGGTCGCTGTCACTCGCTGGCCACAATAGTGCCAAGAATAGGTAAGTGCAATACAAAACAAACACTTTTATTGTGGAAACACATTGAGTTAACAAGCCAGTTAAAAATTTAGACTGCCAAGCACAGCATTCAATATTGCTAGTTTCCTCAGCTAGCCATAACACTAGTCAATTCAGTGACATTAGTGATGTAACAATATGTCAAAAGATTTTTCTGGTTAATTTTATGACGAAATAACACCATATGCGATTTTTTGTTCACTCTCCGAATGCGACGTGGGCCACAGATAATGAAGCTGCCGGCTACATGTGGCTTGCGGGCCTGGGTTTGGACCACCCTGATATAGAATATAATGAATAACGATTTAAAATGTGTTTATTATTATAAGTTCATTCAAATATTCAGCATACTTTCAGAATTTTTTGAAGTTTGACTATTGGCAATATTGCTCCATAGATGAGGTGTACTAATTTCGGAAAAATACTGAATAGGTGGAAACTTTGATATACAGTATAATTTTAAACAAGAATGCATGAAATTTCATTTCAAAAAATCCATTCTCTGAAATTTATTACACTTAGATAACTTTTTATAGACTACATACACGTTGTCGTCATTAACATGGATGCCAATATATTGTTGGTTTGAGATTTTGTAACATTTGTAGAAAAAAAAATTGATTTACAATTCTTCTGATGCTTAAAAAGCCTTTCCAAAACATTTTTACTTGATGTTGCAGTTGTTCTGCAATTATCATTTTATCACAATTGTTATTGTTTATTACTGTTTAAACAAAATTTATGTTTAAAATGAAGACTAGTGTTAAGGTGCCACGATCGTATCAGCTTGGCTCATAATCTGTCGACAGTTAATGTGATTTGTGAATACAGTGTTAATCTATTATATTCCATATCCTTATCCTGTTTGAAAAAATAGGTCAATGTTATGTAATGTGCTCAGTCCCGATGAGCACTATTTTATATCTACTTATATAAAATATAGAATGTTTAGTGTTAGACTTTTTAATATTCCCCAATTATTAGTGTTATTATTCATTCATTGTGTCCATATCTTGTTAGAGTCTTCAGTATTAAGATCTGAGTTTTTTTTTAAATGTAATTGGGGTGAACAATTTTAAATTTTTCCAAAAATGTATTTTTTACTTTTCTCTCGTTTTTTAATGAAAATAAAATTGTTTATTTGTATAATTTCAGCAGCTATATATTGCATGCTATTCAAATAAGATAGCGTTGATTTGATATTATTTATGGTTCTAGATAAATTCATCGCCGGAAATTTTGCCACATGAAAAATCGCTGCAAGAGCATTTTGCTGTAAAACAAGTATTTGTGGTAAAAACAGTTAGGTTTTTGAAGTATCTTTTTATTTAAAAAAGATTCGTTATTTGAGAGCATACCCTATAACCCTCTTCGGCAAGATATACTGCGGCGAATTTTCCTGACACGATTATTTGTAGCTGCTTAATACAACTGTCTACTTTATTTAATTCTAGGTCTTCTCGTGAACGTCGCCATCGATCATCCCGACATAGAAGATCGCGATCTCCTAAGCATAGTCGCAGGTATTTATTTTCTTCTTGGGCAAGATTTCATAAAAATCAATCAACAGCCTCTTTGCTGGATCTTTATTTAATTTATTCTTACTATCCTTCCTTTTTGTTCTCGGTATGCTCTTAGAAACGGCCTCCATAGTAAAGTTGAGGCTGACAAAATGAAAGACGCTTCTGGTAAATCAGCGTCAACTCATAGGAAAAACAGGTAAAATATGCAAGTATGTGGAGTGTTGTATTTCATTGTTCATTCCACGTTTTTTCTGGACAGGTTAGACGTCGGAGTTTCACATCAGGTTTTATAGTGATACCCGTAGTGAAAAAAAAAACCAAATGTATAAAGACTGGAATAGCAATAGGCTATACCAGATTTTTATCTGCATTAATGAAGTTATTAACGATGATTGGGGGAGGGTCTTTCAGAATTGTTCAAAGTCTAATTGGAGTAATTCTATTTACTTTAATTCTGAGTCCTGGAACTTAAACCTCTAGCTGTGGTTCATACATTCTCAGACACCTGAGTTCCATTTCTTTTTACGAGGGTTAGGAATTTTACACTCTAGCCCTGACATGGGTAAACTGCGGCTCGTTGGGTAGTTCAATCTGGCCCGCCTGATACTGCCACAATCAAACTAAAACCAAATTTTGATGTTTTAGCCAAAAAATAGCTCAAATAATTTGTTGAGATTGCGATTGAATTTAGTTTTGGCACGTGGCTTCTTGTTTTCCACTTTTACTTTTGTAACACTTTAAATATTGTGCATAGAATATAACTTTTATTTCACACTTACATGGCCCGCCAGTCAAGTGGGCAAAATTCTTGACCCCTGGCCTAAAAACCTTGACCCCCCCTGCTCTAGCCGATTTGTATTGCCCTGTTACTTTGTTGGGGTTGAGATTGGAACCTGGTACTGGCATTAGGTTTATGTGCTAGCTAGTAGACCATCACAGCTATAAATTCATTTTCCTTTATATTTTGTATGAATTTTTTTTTTACAGTTGGAGCAGGTCTCCTTCGCCTCCGACAGGTTACGATAGAGCAATGGATGCTCAGGAGCGATTAGCGAGGAGGTTGGAGCGGGCAAGAGAATTAATGAGAAGAAAAAATGAACTGAGTAAGAAAGAAAATACAGATGCAAAAAACATGAGTGGCCTCTCAGCCCTTGATAAAGTTCAAGGTATCTTGTTTTGAATATTCGTTAAATAATTAGTTATTTACACAACTTTAGAGTGGTTAACAACATTTTATTAAGCAGTAACCATCGCAACAATTATTGCTTGCATACACCATCTTTTGGTAATAATTTCATTCGAGTTATATCATTCGAGAAATCTTTTCTGCAATGAAATTGCAATTCAAAACTTATTCCTAATTCTTCCACTCATCTGCGTTCCCATATGCAACCTATTTTAACATTCATTTTTCCCTTGTATGCAAATGTATATTATAGGCCAGGGATGGCGAACCACTGACCCGCGGGTCACATAGTGACCCACCGCGTTTTATTCGTGACCCGCCAAGGCACAGATAAAATACTAACATATCAGTGATGAAAATTGTCTGGTTAACGTCTGGTCTGGAAGTGCATCCATCTTCAGACTGTTTCACGAGTTATACGAGAACCAAATGCTACTTTGTATTTTATTAGTTACTCGCTTACAATGTCGTTGAGAAAACAAAATCTTTCAGAATTTAAATAAAAACCTAGAGATCTGAAATAACAATGGGGCAGTGTGAGAGTGCCTTAAATGTGGTTGAAAGCTGATCGAAAAATATAACTTTATCAAAGTCGAATTCCCTCCAACTCTTTGTAACAATAAAATAATTTGCTGCATCATCCTGAACATTTTTGGTAATTAATATGCATGTTTTCGTACTCATAATTTCATAAAATCGCGTGCCATAAAAACTCCCTGATAGAAGTACTGCATAAGTAAAGCACAAAACTACACCAACAGAAGCTTTGAGATTTGTTTCAAAAGTTAACTATAGATGAAAACATTGAACAAATTTTCATGACCCACTCTCTTCTGTTCCGCGATAAAAATATAATTTTTGACCCAATCATTGGGAAAGGTTCGCCATCCCTGTTATAGGCCATACTATAGTAACACCAATAGTGGTGGTTTGTAATAATATCTGTATTATTGATCTTTTTAATTTTATAATTTTGTCAAATAATATTACTACATTATCTTTTCATTAATTTTATCTATTGTATTCTGTTTTATTTTATATTTCAATTCATTCTACAGAAGCTGTTAAACGTGCTAGTCAGATAGTTTCTGGTGATTCGACTGTGAACACATCTCAAGAGGGAATTAGTGCTGTGGTATGTAATAATATTTTACAGTTTGTTGCTTGTTTGTAATTGCAATTTTCAAATCATAATTACAAACTTCAGGACACATCCTTTCTTACATTCATTGTAATAGTAATCGACACTTATTTCATTTCATCATTGTCTATCTTGAGGTCTGAAAAACTCATCATTTGATCATTGCTTTGTTCTTAAATATTGGACCTAATTTATTTTGCTTATTATCAGGTACTCCCGTTCCCGTAGTGAGTGTACCAGGTTAGGGTTGGGCCCATATTCTGATTTTCCCTATATTATTTTCTATTACGAGTCGAGGACTGTCTGTGTTAGCGAAGTGGATATACCCCCTGCCCATAGGTTTCAGTCCCTTTACACAACTTGAAGTAAGTAAGCGAACAAAATTAGTTACCTCCAAATTGCTACACATACTTCTGGAGATTGCATTTTATGTTATAGTTTCTTTGCATTTAGATTTGGTGTTCAATAACAAAGTATTTTCACTTCATACTAGGCATCTGCTCAAATCGAAGCTCTCAAAGCAAAAGCTCTGGCTGAAACTGGAATTGAAGTTCCGTCATATTATAATCCACTTGCCGTTAACCCAATGAGTTATGCACATCAAGCTATGAAGCGAAAAATGCTTTGGTCCAAGAAAGATGTAAGTAATATTGCATATTGTTTGTTGAACCCTCATTTTATTTTTATATGGAAATCTTGTATATATATATATATATAGGTTTTGCTTCAAGCAAAATAAGTCATAATTACCTAATAACATTAAGTTTAATTAATTACAGTTGACTGTGATATTTATTTTGAAGATTTTACCTAGCCCTGTATCGTATTGGCCAATATTTTTCTCAAGTAAAGTTATTTAATGATTTTGAATATTTCTAATGTATTTGATTGCCAAATTTGTTTATTTTTTTTTCATCATATTGTATGTTTAAATTAATGATTTATGAGTTGATAAATAAAATATTTTTGAACTCGATATGCTCAGATATGGGAATTATTCTTGGGCATTGTATATTATCTTGGCACAGCAAGCTGATACTATTATCGAAATTATTTTTACACCCATGATGATCGACTGTATCCTTAAGTTTTTTTTTTAAACTATTAATTTTTTTCTTGGAATATCATTCAATAAAATATTTCACAAAGATACTTGAGTAGCATTATTGTTAATTATCTTGCATTGATTCGCTGACTAGTGGTTTACATAAAATATTGAAAACCTAGCTTTCAACAAAACCACTCAGATTAAATCTTAGGTCCGACAGGTCTGTTCTATGTTTTACATCTTTGCTTGAACAGGATAATGAGAAAGACAAAGAGAAACAAACTTCAACTATCCCAGGAAAGACTGCATTGTGGAGTAGTGTTAAGTTCGGTGATGATAAATCAAATGAAAAGTTTGCAAAACTAATGGGAATCAAAGGAGATCAGGTACTTAAACACCTAGCAAGTAGTGTATCTATGCTACCTATATGATATGTTGTTTAAGTGCTTGAGTATGGATGCTGTCTAGTTACATTTGTTCATTTCAACTCTGTAACATTGAACATAAATGCTTTTTAGGGTAACGGATCCGAAGATGCTGAGGCAAATGCAATAATTAAGAAGCAAGCAGAAGTTTTTCAGAACCTTGATATGCAATATCAACAAGCGAGGATTACAACACATACACAGGTACATGATTACTGAGACGAGACTTCATGAAACTTTTTCGAACTTGCTATTTGTGTTCATTAATAACAACTTTTTGTGTTTTAGTTTATTACTTTGAAAAATATTTTTCGATGCTTGCTCATCAACAATAATATTCTCTTTACAGAGAGGACTTGGTCTTGGATTTTCAACATCGATGATAAACCCTAATACATCAACACAACAACCAACTTCTACGACTTAATGAGTTTGCTGTATTGTTTTTGCTCTATTTTTTATGATTTAATTATTAGCATTCTGTGCAACATCGATCATTATGATCATAAAACACTGATGGTATAAATTTGAATGAACAGACATGCCATTGTCCAGGATGCTCATAAAAGTATGTTTGAATTTCGGGATGTTTTGGTTATCTTGTTGAATATTTATGCTTACAACAACGATAGAAAAACTTATAAATATATGGTATAAAGTATTGAAATAATTTTGAAAAAAATCATTTTGGAAAATTTTCTCTCCAAATTAGATTATGGGAAATCCATGTTGTGGCGCAAGATTTTCAAATCGCTGAACTTGGAATGAAATAAAAGTTTCTAGCGGACACATCCCTATTCCAGTACTTGATATTTGAAGGCGATTGGTACTGTATTTCCAGAGAGTGACCAGTTTTTTTCAGCAGCATGGAAAAAACCCATAATTAAGAAAAACGAACAAAAAGAATGTATTAAATCGAGTACATGCAACTGAAACAAATCGCTGGCTAACTAATTCCATACCCGACATGGACTGGTAACCGGACGAGGGACCGTGGTACGCCATATGATTAAGCCGTCTTATCGGCTTCACTCTCCCCTGGATAAATATTTAAATCTTATCATTGAGTGCAGCACGGTTTAAATAATGTGAATAGTATTAATTTAGCAAACCTTGATCACCTAGACAAGTAACTTGCCGAGGATGGGATTGCATTCAAGGATTGTTCACTGTAATTCATCTTGTGTGTTGAAAATTTAAGACAAAAGACAACTACTGGTACTTTGCAGTTCAAATAAAAATCTTAATGTTTTCCCAGTGCGATTTTACCGATTCTAAAAACGTTTGATGTTGCCGCTTCATTTGTTTATATATTTTTTTCAGTCTGTTTATATTTAAATTTATCTCTGATAAAGTTGTATATATGTATCACAGAAACTTCAAAAGAGTCATGTTGAGTTGTTGTTTTCTGTCAAATTCCAATCGTATTCTGCTTGACTTGGTTTTTACTCTGATTCTTGACACCCAATCTAGTTTTTTTCTTTTATTTGCCATCTCTGAATTTTCATTTATTGTAATCCATGTATATAAAAAACAAGTTTTGTATTTTGGTTGTTTGTAAACCCGAACCGTGGGCGAATTGATTAATCGATATCGCTTTGAATGGCAGTTTGAACTCCTGATGTATCATTGTCGTCTGTCTGTGCGAGTGTACTGGTTAGGAATGGGCCGAGATTCGAGTCGAATCCACGCATTTTTTGGACTCTGATTTGATTTCGAGTCCACGTCATTTTTAACAAGTCTATAATCAATTTTGTTTTTACTAATTTCCGCCTATGTTTGTACTTTTACCTCTATAAATCTCAGTACATACCCTGACTCATTAAAATTCAAGGTTAGATCTGTAAGAATATCCCTCGTGTGTATTATAAACACTCTTGATAAAAACGACGACAGATATATAACGCATGTTGAAAACTGTTGATCGCTTATAAGAATGATGTCGCTTCAAAACTATCTATTCTATACATGTGAACAATAAAATATGTGTTAGCGCAATATTTTTGAGTTTTCGATTCACGAAAAAATGAAACATGCTCGGAGTCTGGATCGACCCAAAGGGGAATTTCATCTGTATATCTTTTAAATCGAATTTATTAGGTACCTCTACTACTAAAATTGCAAGCAGATGTACCACATTGTATTGACGAGTGGCATTTGCGCACGCGACATAGAAAGTTTGCGGCTGGAATTATGTAAAAGCATTGTAGTCAAAAGCTTTTTTATTTTCCATATTGACATGTAAGAATTTCTAAATAGCCGCCCAGAATTAACGTAGGGTGGCGGGCTGGAAATCCAGTTCACAGCCAAGGCGCACATTGACCCACGTTTACGTTTGTATTATGGCCGCCAACGAGGAAAAATATATTTCTAAGATGATTCGACAGCTACCTGCGGAACCATTAGGCAAAAAAAGATGAGCTACGACGTATGTTTGTGAGCGTACGTTGCTGTAGCATGGTCAAAAACGTGTTTTTCTGCTATTCCATTGTGACGTCACGGACTTGGAAGATTCGGTTTGAGTCCTTGACTTATTACTCGGATTCGTCGTATCTCTGTAAAACTGGACTCGTCCCATCCCTAGTACTGGTTTCAAATTGAGATTTGAAATGATTTACCTTTGGCAGATAACGTTCAAGAAGTCATGAAATTGACGGATTTTAATTACTGTGTTCAGTCAGTCTTCTTATTTTCCACCCCATGATTGAATAAAACGTTCGCCTACCGACAATAGCACGTTACCATATCCAGAATACATCTGAATCAAATGTCGATGGGTTTATCGTTTGTTTCAGCGGAGGGATATCTCATCCGGTTCCATTACATTTGAACCCACGTACATTTGAACCCATGGCAATTGCACCTGTATGCTATTGCACCTAAGGAATTTTTTTTGTTTTTCGGATAGTTGAACCCACACTAACCCTAACCCATGGGTTTTAGCACCCGCATATAGATTGAAGCCGTGGATATACACATGGGTTCAAATGTACGGTCACCATCTCATCCGTGTTTTCCTCTAGTTAGGCGGGAGAACGTTGGTGATTGCATGTTGGATTGTTGATGCGATGTCTCTTATTAGCGCGGGAGGATTTACCACCCCCATAATTAGATAAAGCATTCGTCTTTCGGGAATAACACGTTACCATATCAAGGATACCACGAAACAAATGTCAATGGATTTGTCGTTTGTTTCGGCGGAGGGGGAATCTCAATAATGTTTTTCTTGTATAGGTAGGAGATTGCATTTTAGATTGTTGGTGTGATGTATGTATTGATCCCTAATCAGCGCGGGGGGATTTCCTCGCTCGTTGACTGAATGAGGTATCCCATACTCGCAAGCAGCCCACTTGAACCAGTCTCAGAAATATTTTGGTCGTTGGCAGATATGGACATACGTTGAAATTTTCTGATCGTGATTTTCAGAGGCCCTAAGGCTTAAGCGCTTGAGACTTTTGTGTCCCATATAAAAATATAATAATAATGTAACTAGTGTTCCATGTTTTCTGAAACTGATCAAGTAAGTTTCAGTAAGAATATTTCCACGATGATCGATTTCTTGACCTATTTCCGTAACAATGACGAAACAATTAAAATTTGTCCAACCGCCCAGACAAATATCCAGACATCATTACTCATCGATCTCGATCGGTAAATATGTTGATAGGTATCTATCTGTTTGTTTGTCTGTCTGTCTGTTAGACACTTTCCTATGTTACGCGATATCTCACGAAAGCGAGGTTAAATCTGTCCAAATTTTGCACGTGCATTCATCATATCTCGGAAGCCTATTGGTTTTGGATGAGTTATGTCGTATAATTAGCGATTTATTTATTAATTAGTGATGGGACACGCGGTGTCGCTATTGAGTCAGAGTGAAGGATACACGCCGTTAGATCGATAAGTCTGCGGTCTCTGATCGATATCTCTCGTTGTAAACATTGCTTCGTTGTTTTGCGTTACTTGCCAGTTTCAATTGTGTTTCCAAAAATTAGTTCTAAGCCAAACAACTTGATAGTTATTATGCCTTCCGAGGAGCTTTAGTTTAGTTGCAATAATCAAATATTAGTCCCACAAAATTGCGACAGACTAGACCAGTGGTCGGCAAACTTTATGTACACGCGGGCCAAATATGCACATTTCCGGTAGCGTGCGGGCCGCATTAATTTCCGCCTGCGAACAATTACGACATTAAACTTCAAATTATGGCGCACTCCACAATCTAATCTGTGCCACAGTGAAACGTGTATGTTGACTTTCTTGATATATATATATATATTATCAAACAATACATTGTTTCAATTCACTTATTATCAATTATAAGGATGATGTTTTTTCTTTGTCATGGCGAAAGCGTTGAAATCAAATGGCAAGTCCTCCAAATGACCGTTCGACAAGCGAGTACGAAACCTATTCTTAGTATGATACATTTTAGATAAAGCTGCTCACAGCAATATACGCTTCCGAACGTGCACATTACACGTTTTGCACTGTCGCACAGCTTAGCAGTGGTGCAGCTCGGGGTCGAATTTCGTATTTGCAATAACACGTTTCGTAATGACGTTTAACATTGAATAACTTAATAAATAACTGCGATGTTGACGCGGTATATCAAGCTGGTTTTGAAATGCGCAAAAGAAAAAAATATTTTCCGTCCAAGCACTTCGGAATGTTCGGCTCGACCCTTATTGCAAACTTCCCTCCGTTCCGGGACGTTTTTATATTTTTAGAATTTAAAATAAACTCAACTTATAATTACTACCATCAGGTAAACGACATACACATACAACTGACGTTACTTACGACAAAAAGCGCCGTACAACAGCACTCGTTACCACGTAAATCCGTGTAGAGACAATAATAAATTTATAATGAAATCCTTGTTTTATGCATTAAAAGTCGGGACGTTCGAGGGCTGCAAAAAATTAGTTCGCGGACCGCATTTGGCCCGCGGGCCACAGTTTGCCGACCCCTGTACTACACCAACGGCACGTAGTCAAATAGTTTTACTAAAATTTATGTTTTTGAACATGTAAACCATATTTTAAGCGCCAACTCTCCGAACAAGCAAATTCTGTTTTGTTTTATGTTTTTCTATATTTTATTAAAAAAAAGTTTAGTCTATTTAAAAGCCTGTCCATGCTTTATTATTCTCTCTTAAGTGGCCGAAAGGAATCAATGTAAATTAGAAACACACGATATTGGCAACCGTCACCTTTGTTTTGAACAAAATTTCTCCTCATTCTCTTTTCTTCTTTTGTAGTCTACCAGTCAGTAAAACTCCACAACAACGCACACGTTCAAATACCGCACATACAAATAATTCGTTCGTTTTCAGCGTTGTGCTTTGCTGTTTTATCTTTGATCAATCGTGTATCCAATAAACAACCAATGAATTGCGTGATTGATTTTAATGCATAAACGTGGAGCTAATATCGTTTAGGTCTGTACCAAATACGCAAACGGCTGATGGGCTTATAACTGCGGAAAATGCAAAGTCCATGAATATTCTTCAATATTCCGAAATTTTAATCGCTCATGAGATTGATAAAAGCGAATTAAAGTGGCCTAAGGGAAAAGTAACAAACATTCATTAATTCAACTACAAAATGAATAAAAAAAACGCGCAGTGGAGCCGAGCATTTTTTAATCTTCCATGTATACCTCAATCGACAATAGGATTTATGTTCTTTTTGCAACAACAGACAAATAACTATTCTTTTGATATGCACTGATAATGATTTTAATGAGAATTTCATGTTCACCGTATATCGATGAATCGTATTCATTCTATGCTCAAACTACCATCGGTTCGCATGGAATGTCAAAAATTAAGAAGAAATTTTTCCGACACTATATAAGAAGCTTTTCCTTCCGCTTAATTGTTATGGTATATCCCATCATCTGACACAATTCTATGTGCGGCAACAATATGTCATCTTTATATATAGGAAGAAGGCATCAGAACACACCATATGCAAAATGCAGTCGGTAAGATGATCCCGCACCATACACACCAGTATTCAATACAGAGAAGTAGTACTCGTCGAGTAAGAAGGGGGTTATAAAGGCTGATAAAATTGGCGAATATGTTTTTGATTACATACTCGTATATCAGTTTGTATAGATTTTATACGAACAGAATTGGCTAGATCAGATATTGCTTTTTAAAATGAAATGAAAATAGAGTATCGAATTATATAAATCATTACAAACTGCTAAGAATCTGAAAAAAAAAACAGAAAATATAGAAATAATCTAAATATATCAATATCATGGCGAAGACATGTGGAGCTGGAGTATTGAAATGTCTGATTCTCGTAATAAACACCATTATGTTCCTCGGAGGCCTGTGCCTTGCTGCAGTATGTAAGTATTTATAGCGACAAATTTTCTAGAAAATTGATAACCGACAATGTATATATAGCAAGCTTTCCAATCCGCTTACGGTTGACGACAAAAATTCAAATGTTCTGAACTAAATGTCTATTATTGTGAAAAGAACACTAAGTCATGACTTTTGAAGCATTTTTTTTATAATTTTCATTGATCAATGTATTTTCAAAGTCGCTGTGTGTCGTTTTGAACGTGTACTAATATTCCATAATTTTTGCACGTAAAAATTGAAATCTTCATAATTTGTTTAGCTGGATATACTGCATTCAACAAGGAAAGTTTTTTACATCAGATGATATACGGAGCCAAAATACAAAATGCAATGACGGGAATCTATATTCTGTTCGCAGTCGGAATCGTGATGGCTTTAGTTTCGTATGTATATACTCATTTAACGCATTACAAAATTCGGTGACGACATTTCTAATATGTTTTTCTCTGGCTTACATTCTCATTGATGTTGATAATTAGACTGCTTATTCACTGTAAAAATCATGGATATTATTATCTAAAATAGTGACAAATTCTATATCGTTTTTTAAACCCTAAGGTTGTTGAAAAAATTTTGTATTAGATATTCTTTGTCCGACGTAATCTTTATAGTTAATCCTCATTCAAAATTTTACAAACGTATTGCAGAATTCTCGGATGTGTTGGAGCTGCAAATGAAAATAAATTGCTCTTATGGATAAATTTCTTCTTTATTCTTCTCATATTCATTATGGAACTTGTGGCTACTATATTATGCTTTTACAAGTACAAAGCTGTCGAGGTAAAACATGTTATTGTATGATTCCGAGTTTTGTTTTATTATGTAGAACACAGTAATTGTGGATTACCAAATAAAATATATCGGTAGAATATAGTACCGAGAACTGTAGTTTTTATTCAGATTATATGTATATTTCTCAACAACAGAAACATTTGAATTTCATACGTATAAATATGAATCATTTAAAATAGCCTCTCCGCGCCACAGTTCATTCTAAGAATTATTTTCATCCAAACTTAAAAATGGGAAACTAAACACGGTCGTGACCATTTAAAGGAAGTAGATTTTTTATTAAAAATGTAGAAACGGTTCCCATTTACTGTAATTGTTGATAGCTTTAACCCGGTGTTTAAATCCAAAATGATATTACGCAACATCGAACAAGAATCTAAGTTTCCAAATGGCAGTGCTAAGTTTCGCTTTATCGTGGGGCATTCAGTTCAGCTTCTAGCAAAGGTACATACTTAAATTACGCACCCGGTTCAGATTAATTATCCGTACTTCATTTTATAATGTGTATTGTGATCTTATTTTTAATATCATTCCTGAATATTTTATTACAACTTCCGAATTACGTTTACCTGTTTTTACAGAAAGATGTCTTGTCTACAATCAAAGATAGTTCTCGACTACATGCAAATGAAACATCTGCCTTGGCTCTCGTGAGTAAACAAGTTATTTATAAAATTATCTAACACCCAGAGACATGGCAGGTAGATTTGGGGAAGGGGCAACGTTATATTGAAATGTCAAATCAATTTGTCTAGATCATTTTTGACCGCTTTCTTTAATAGTATATAAATCAACTGAGATATTCTGTCTGTAAAGTTAATACATATAACCATGGCTCCACGGTCAGATGAGTTGAATATGCCAATTGCCAAGTATAATCATTTCATCGTTACATATTCCATCAGCGTCAATGAAAATTTGGGATATTCGACTGACAACCATATTATATAAAATCATCCCACGTTTCCTTGGTTCACTTCCGTATGGTAGGTTTCAGTGTTGTGTCAAAACAATATTGTGAGTTTAACAAGTTACATAAATATACGTTATATGTTGATGCATTTTGGCAACTGGTCAAACAGTAATAATATTCATTACTTTAGAATAAATACACGGCAAAGTATACACAAATAGGAAAAATCCCAGGAATAAATGTAATTCAGTCCTGAATCCCTTAACTAAACAATTTTCACATACATTTGTGTTTTCCAATCAAGTCAGTATAAACAATTGCTCAAATGTAATCACAACTGCGTTGCCATGAAAAATAATATTCAGTTTATATCATGTTTGCTTCTGATTCTGCATAAAAATAAATAATGTAACTATTTTCACAGGTGAGAACAGTTTTGTCGCATATTGAATCGTCTGGAAAATGTTGTGGACTGCATGGTCCCAAGGACTACGGGGACAAAATTCCTCAGTCCTGCTACGCACCCGCACCTGTGACAAGCAGAACTGAAAACAGAAAGTCATCTTTGGCTGATTCAGAGTATGTAGCAATAATAGTATTCATAGGTAGTTGATACACCTGCTTAAAATTGGTGCATTCGATTAAACTACATCAGACAACATGAGTTATGCTTCGTGTAAGTTTTACATAAATTGTAACACTTGTATCGTTTACCTCGACAATAAAGTAACTTCGTACGAAACGCATTTCTGGGTAAATCGTGGAGCTCGACATATATATGTCTTATTGTCGATGATTCAACCGCAAATAAAACTCAGAGTGCTAAGCTTCAGGAAGACAGACAACAATGTTCTGGTAATATATCTGTTAATTTGATTTTCTTTTAACCCAACAGAATCGATTTGTGTCATACATAACATCATCCATGTTATTTGTACCACCGGCCATTTTATCCGTAAATTGTTTTCATTCTTAGTAACCCATCAAATGACGCACCTGTGGAATCAGGAGGTGAATTAGGAAGTAACCCGGTAGCGGCAAACGGTAAGCAACAAGTAAACCTTTAGTACCACTGCTACATCAAATAAAAATAAGTTGTCATAATTATTTTTCATACATATCAGCACCATTGTCCATGTCTGCATCGCCTTCTTCTACAAGCTCTACTGCTTCTTCAACCTCGACCACTAGTTCCCCTGGAAGCCCAATTTCTTCCTCCACAACAACTACTCCTACTACAACAACTATTCCTACAACAACAACTATTCCTACTACAACAACTATTCCTACTACAACAACTATTCCTACTACAACAACTATTGCTACTACAACACCAACTCCAGCTTCAAGTTCGCGAGCTGCAGAAACTCCAACAACAGAAATTTCTGAGCCTATACCGGGTTTGATCGGCGCAAGTACTACAAGTGCAAGAAATAACGTGACAGTCCCGTCACCGACGGAAATCATTACCAAATTGAGAATACTAACAACAGCTGTCGAAGAACTATCAAACGCCACTGTATTACAAACTACAGGTAAAGTTTCAACTGTGATTTCACACCTAATCGTGACACATAACTACTGGGCTATTGCTTTGGCTAAAGCTTGTTGCTGTCGCTAGTAGGTTATTTACTTTTACTTATTTCAAAAATATATGTGTGCTCTATTCATGGGATTCGTTTATCACTTCGAAGTTTTGTGTGATGGCGTCATCAAAATTAAAAAATTCGCGCCGTGCCATGATTCCTCGATCACATCTCAGTGATCTGGTGGTTTGACTACTTACTGGTACTGTAAAATATTTGATACTGCGGTAGGCCTACTTTGTTTTGGTCGTCGTGTCCATATATTTGAGCATTGCTCTCTTTAATGTTTCACAGCTCTCATATTAATAGGGATTTCAGAAATAAAGGTCAATTTTCGTCCTTTTAACTTTGGTAAAGGACAAGGGCAAAAAAGCTCAATAAAGGATGGTCCTTTTAAATGAAGGTTGCTTGGCAACCCTGGTTTATGTTGGGCACTTTTTTACATGGGTCCCTACTTTCTATTGTTACGTCATAATGGTATTTGTTTCTGCTAGTTTCACAATTTAAATGCCGATGCAAAAAACAGTTGAAAGAGTCGTACTCAACACTAAACTACGTTCGTTTATTCATGTAATTTTTTATTTAAATTGAGATCAAATTTTTTTGTGTTGCTGAGCTCTGCAACTGACATTAACTTAACAATAAAAGACTGAATTTGGTGAAGGTTGATTCAAGTCTAGAAATATTTGGTAATATACGTACCAAATGCTTAATTTAATTCATCACTTAAAAGTACTCTCAGGTGGAGTTCAACATCGTTCAGATTGTTGCAGAAGGTGTGCCCCTTCTATGCGCTATTGGGCATGGAACAAACATGTTTCAACTGCTGACTCTCGGTTTATATTTTATAGGAAGCAACGGTTTGCAGCCAATCAAAACCAATCAACGTCCATACACCGTGGGATGTGCGGCAAAATTGAAGCCATATGTATACGCCGCCGGTGGTATAGCAATCGGCATTTTGGTTCTCGAATTACTTCTTCTGATATGCATAGGATGTCTTCTCTGTGAAATTGGAACTGGATATGAATCTCTGGCCTGATAGTGACATTGCAATGATGACGATTCAGTGAAAAGAATTTCTATTACACTTTAAAAATATTTTGTAAATAAGGATTTCATTTTACCCTTTTGCTTTAGTTAAGTTTCCATTGCACATATTACACAAGTAAGAGAGTAATCAATGTAACAAATAAAGATGCCCTGAAATTTCTGCATTTGCTTTATCTCCGACGTCAACATTTCATTTATGTATTAGACAAATCCTCCCACACGTTTATTGACGAAATATGCGGTGACAGGTGATAGGCCTACTACCAAAAGCCTGAAGCAATAGTAAAACCCCATAATAGTCAATTTTGCGAAGAATTCAAGTTAACGAATGTGAACGTATCAGAGCAATTAGACCTGATATTATATTAAACTATTTTACAAAAAGCAGGTTTCTGCACAACCTGTATACAGGTTCATATCGCCAAATAGAGAAATGCCTGATTAAGCTATAACTTGAAAAGACATCACGTATGTCATTTTCATGGCATATGTGTTCTTACAATATCTTTCGTGTGTTTTACTAAAGTCACTAAAATATGACACAGGGCGTGTCTGTTTATTAACAAATTTCGTGCACGCGAGGCGAGTAACTGTTGTAAAGAACAAAGTTGTCAAAAAATTGTTCAGTTTGTCGATCACCTTACAGTTACAATGCCAATAAGAAGGAATCGGACATGTTTTTGAAAAGCTAGGGACAGTTTTGGCGGTTTAAAGGTGGACAGTGTTATGCGCGAACATTACTGTATATTATCCTAGTTAGTGAATTCGATTTATTTAGTGGGTACGGTAATTTGAGTTTACGGCCCAGTTTAAAACGTTAAAAACCGATAATTGCTTTTAATTTTTTAATCGGGTAACTATTCCTGCTTCAAATATTTCCCATTTCAAAAATAAAAAAATAAATACGGTCGAATGAATAAATTTGTCTTAATATATATGAAAAACTGCCATTTTAACCTTAATAATGACGACATACATGTATCCATGAAATTCATCACGTCTATATCATTATGTCGCCCAGTCTGTCTGGAGTTTAAAATTCAAAAGTATCCTAATGAGACCGACTTCCTCGTGGTCTGAGTGTCTCGTTTTCGCATACTCTATATGGTGACCGTACATTTGAACCCATGTCTATATCCGCGGCTTCAATCAATATGCGGGTGCTGAAACCCATGGGTTAGGGTTAGTATGCAATAGTATGCAGGTGCAATTGTCATGGGTTCAAATGTACGTGGGTTCAAATGTAATGGAACCACTCTATATATATATATATTACATCTTTCGTAGCATTACAGGTGAATAATATATCATTCCTCTCATTAAAATAAACAGGTTTGCGATAAATAAAAGATTTTTAAATGGCAATAAAAAATATAATTCTCAGATTGGTTGTTGTTTCGATAAATCAGGTTGTGTACCAGGTGATGGTTCAGGTTATGCGACATTTTGGTGCGCATACTTTAGGAGTACCAAAAAAAACTTTGGTTGGGAATTACTGCGTTTGTAATAGACATCTTTGTCCAGTGAGCCCAAGTAATGTGTTGAGTTAGAATCTTGGTGAATATATAATATTTTGGAAGAGTTTAATATCAGCAAAGCGTAACCATGAAGCGTCAGTAGTGGAGTTGCGATCCTGGGAAATTCCGATCCCGGGAATTTCGGCTTTTTTCCTAACCGGCTGAATCCCACCACTGACTTGAAGTAGAGTTGTTCCAAAACGTCGTCAAAAAATTGGGGACTTGGCGACAAATACCCATCAAAGATTGGTATGTGCTGAAAAATACGATCGAGACACCAATAAAAAAGCTGAATATTTGACCAAAAAAGATAGTAACCACGATTGAGACACTCAAACGACGTTGGCGCAAGAGCTTTATACGCGATGACATCGGAGATAAACGGCGGTGGCGGAGAAAGCAATGCTGCCGTATGGGACAAGCAGGAGAGGCCAGAAAGGATGGAAAAGTTGTATGACGCACTAAAAACAATCAAACCTACGCCAGTTGAGGCTGAGTGTGTATTTTCAGCTCTTGGATTTTTTAAATCAGAAATCGTCTTAATGATGGCACTCTCGATGCTCCCATGTTTTTGCGGCAGTTTCATAATAAATAAACATGACTGCTTATAATATTTTTTGTGTGTGTTTATTTTTTTTAATTCTACTAATCCCGGGTAATCAATGCTTTGGCGAAACATAAACAGAATAGCTAAAACGTGGTGGATTGTGAGGAAGCGTGGGATATACTTGGAATGGTAGGAATTATTCTAATTGTGGATAAATTCAAATCCTGTTTATTTCAGTGTGTTTATTTTTTTAACTAATATTAATAAAATATATATTACTCCACTAATAATTTAAAACTAAACATAAAAAAAAAATGGGGAAAGCAAGAATGGGGTCTGATCTTATTGAGTGCCTCTTATTTTGCTTGAATTTGTTTTTGTATCGTTTTTGACTGCGTGAAACGCTACGAAAGTACAAAATAGGACACTCTGTCAGCCTTTGTTGTCCTCAGTTTTCGGCTTGGGTCTGAATATAGATGTTCGACTCAGTATTTTCCTTTCGAAATAAAAGCGTCCTCAAGAATGATAAGCGACTGATAGTTATTTAGCGTGGTTTCCAAAACAGTACCGGATAATTAGATAGTTCTATTAATAAATTAGCCCTTCTGAAACGAAATTTGTAAAATCATATGCCCAATGAATATATATCAACAGGTAGCGTTGCGGCAGAAGGTTGCCGAAATTGCCTTTTTGGACTCAAAATTCAATCGCAGATCTGAAGTTACACCTTCCACAACAACGCATTTTTACGCTTCAGTGAAGCATGCGAAGTAAACAATTAATTCCTCCCAGACTCTGTGGAAGCTCGTGTCGCTTTCCAGAAAAATATGAAGTTCACCCTATTTCCCACCAAAATTGTTGACGTCATACGTTCTTTACTGTTTTGTTATATGTATATATAAGACCGATGCACATTTATACTACATTTTTTCATGTGATTTGGGGTGAGGAGGATTATCATGCGACACTGCTAAAAAATATATATGCATATATATAAAGAAAATAAACATTGAAATCATAAATAGTCTTTGTTCGCATTCAAGTGAAAATACTCTATCAATACGCTATCAAGCGCACATCTGGGTGACACAGACAAAATGTCAAATAAATCATTTGACATTGACAGTATTTTTCCGATTCAAATTTAAATGCAATTTTCAATTAGTATTTAGTGGTAATATTGATTTTTTAAATAATCTTTTCCCTTTTATTTTTTGAATATATATATATATATATACTATTTAATTTTTATTCATGGGCGATGTGGACTAAAACATGTATGTGTATATTTTGGATTCGGTGCTCCCGAAGTATGCGAATCAAGATGGCGGACATCGGAACGTAACATGGGTAACAGGTTAGAGTTAGGCGATAATTTTTTTCCAATTTTCCTTATTTTAGTCCTATTATCAGTTCGAAGACTAGCCAAGAGCCCCCCGTAGTATTTATAGCTAAAATTATGGCCTAACCCTAACCTAGTACACATATTACATTCCGATGTCCGCCATCTTGGTTCGCATACTTCGGGAGCCCCTTGGATTCTTGCCTGAATTGACGAAACGCTTCCGCGACGGATCCTATTCATACAAGATCGGCCACAATCATTACCAAAGCAAGACGGAAGGCATATCGGCTAATAGAACAACTAAGCGGTCACGCCGGCAATAATTCACAAATCATCTCGTGGATCGGGACGAGAACCATACATCTACTCTACAACACGATTGCGTACTCTTTTTGACTCGACGCTCATTTATGCCCAGCATATGTACTCACCAAACTTGGCAAAAAGATTCATTCACCAACCCTTCATTTCCTATAACTCGCAATCTCTCACCCAGGTGCAATGTTCCAGCAAGGGGAATGAGTTCTCATGCCTGGCAGTGAATGCTGGAACCGTATTCACATTTGAGATGTACCGATGTATCGGTAATATCGGCCAATTTTTCGGTATCAGCTAAATTTAGACCGATATATTTAGCTTTTCAATATGATCCAGAATGTTTTAAAAATTAGGTTAGAACACTGATCTTAAAATTATTTTTTCTTGGGTAGATCGTGAACTATGAGCCATGGACGTCCCCAACCCCGCTAATAGAAACAGGAATCGTATTCTGGTCTGTTTCTAGCCATTTATCAGCTAAACCGGCTCAATCGATTTGAGTATTTTCGCTGCCAAATTTTTACATTAAAATTTTCAATACTACATGGTAATTATGGAAAAATATATCAATCTTATATTAGTGGATGATCCGATGTGTAAAATATAAAATACGACGTTATAGTGGTCCAAAATCCTGCGCACGTAACTCAATGTATCAGTCCCATACGATGAGTAGGCTAAACATTTATTTATTTTACCACCAACGGTAGCCAAATCCTATTAGTTTTCTAATTGAACACCGAGATTACTACTAGCGCTAGTGCTCAATGCATCTGAATCAGTTAACGCATTTGGATCCCAAAAGTCTACTTCTCAATAAATATGTATGTGTGTGATGTTTCTTTTTTTATACGGAAATAATGTGCACTATTAATAATGCTCAAAGACTATTGCTTTAAACCGTCTGGCACACTTGAGGTAATAATTACATAGTATCGAAATATCGGCGTTTTCAGCTGGTATCGGCGAAAAAAGTGGTATCGGTACATCTCTAATTTATGGTACATATCACGTTAGTAGTCAATGTCCAATTTTCGATTTATTTTGAAAGAACACTAAAGAATGTCTTTATAATCAATTGTATCTCGAATACACTGTTTTTATTTTCCACAAAGAATATATTCTGAGTAAGATTATGACATACAAACAGGTTCAACAAAGCAATTGAATGATTCAAATTGAGACTGAATTGGGGGAAATATCAACTCTTCTATTGCACATGAAGTTGTGTAGAAAATTGAGTGTAAAAGAAATATAAATAAATTTACAATCCTTCAAATATCAATAGTTTATTAATGGCTATTTACGACGGTTTGAAGGTCCAAGCTCTTTCTAAATCCTGGTAGCCCACTACCAAAAAGTGGCCATGCCTCTCTAACAGGGTTAATATTACAAAAATTCTGAACACAATTTATTTTCACATATTTGTCTCTCTCATTTAAGCCCCAGCAGAAATTGTTGTAAGAAAATGTGTGACTGGGTTCTTGGTAGATCTTAATTCATTATTTTCCTAAAAGCTATGTCTAGCATAAATATCAACTAAATTTCAGAGGGTTAGACATGATAGTCAGTGAGCTTGAGGTTTGTGAACTACTAATCTCAGTTTTGTTTAATGAATGTGTGTGTGTGAAAACTCCCACAATTACAAATTTTTCTCTACAATGTAGAGGCTCACTTTATAACCAGTAAACTGAATAACAGCATTTGGAATGTCGAGTGTTTAATAGACACAAAATTCTGATTCTAATGTTTCGGCCATTACTTACTGTCACTATGGAGGGGTGAAACCATAGAAGTATTCATGCCGCAAGGCCTCATCAGCTAGCATCCTGTGATTAGGAATCACAACAACCAATTTGCGAAGCAAGTCACGTCCTTCAGCTGACAGTTTAGGAACTACATGATACCAAAGCGGGTTTGCTGGATATAAGGGAAAGGGTTTGTAGTCAGGAAGTTTGGTAATACCTGGCCATGTGTGCTCTGTAGGCGTACCCAATAATTTGAAGATTCTTTTTAACTGGTCATCGACATCATTACCAGGGAAAAGTGGAACTCCTGCATTTGACAATTCTGCAAAAATACATCCCGCACTCCATGTATCAATAGATGTTGAATATAACTTTGCTCCAAACAAAACATCGGGTGGTCTGTACCACAATGTAACAACTTCCGCTGAATAACATCGAACAGGAATACCGAATGCCCTGGCAAGCCCAAAATCAGCGAGTTTGAGTTCTCCATTTTTGTTTATCAATAAATTCTGAGGCTTGAGATCTCGGTGAAGAATATTGTGGCTGTGACAATATGATAAGCCTTTGAGAAGTTGATACATGAATGATTTGACAACTAATTGATCAATTTCACCACCGCATGTGTCGAAATATTTTTTTAAATCCTGATCACAGTATTCAAATACAAGTGTAATTTTCCGTTCACTGTGTAATACATCATGTAATCTCACAATATTTTTGTGCTTAAGCTCTTTCAACAAGCAGATTTCGCGCAATGCTGAACTTGGAACACCTTCGTCGTCATCATCTAGTCGTACACGCTTCAAAGCAACAATATCCAAGGTCTCTTGATTTTTTGCTTTGAAAACTGTACCATAGGTTCCCTCGCCAATCTTCTCAATCTTTTCATATTTATGCATAGTATAAATTCCTAACCAAATACTAAACAAGAATTATACAAAATGATAAAGTATTATTTACAAACAATTTGTACTACTATTTCCATCTATCTAATGAATTAAGTAAATCAGTTACAACTTCTAATAGAAGAATGTTTTGATATGATGTATCTTTTTCATCTTTATTTCCAGAATCTGTGCTGATTTCATCTCCACCAGATGCCTTTTTGCTCAAATTTGCTTTTTTATTCTCCTCAGTACTTGAGTATTCATCATCCTTATTATCAATTGTGGACACCGTGCATTGCACTTTGGCCTTATGACAAACATCAGCTATATATACTTTTTCATCATCAGACACTTCATTAAAAAAGGTAGAGTCTTTGTCGATTGATGATATGTCCAATATAAAATTAATGATTGCGAGGCAGCTTGCTACAGTGACATCAGTTGGATTCGTCCCAACTTTAAAATCCACCATCGTACTCCATTTTTGACAACAGTTCGAAGCCATGTGGAAAACATTAGATTGGTCTATAAATAGTTCTTTACTTTTACTTTCTTCAGTAGTCAAAATATATAGAGTGTGTAAACAGTTCTCAAGACCCCGTATTGAGCTATCATCCTTAGATAACTGCAGTCCTGCCTCAGCGAGAGCATTGACAAAATTAAGTTTTGAAAACTTTGATATTAAACTAGGCTTGGAGTCTAAACATATATCTAATACTTGAAGAATATTTTTCAGAAGGTCGCAATTACTAGAACTATTAAGTATGAAACTTAAATCATCCATATATTGTAATAATGATGATTCCATCAAGTCAAGCCATACAGGCCTGGATTCTTCATCTGCAAGACATGTGTTTATGAGACGTCCCATCTCAACAAGGGTAGGAGAATCACGACACGAGAACAGTGACAATACAGCCACCTTGAGTTCATCATCATTCGAAATATGGGAGCATGCTTCTCGAGTGCAAGCCATGTTACCCAAGACACCAACAGTTATCTCAGTCAACCTTGGAGATTTACTGTCGATGATAACATCACGAAGAAGTTTGGTTGCATCAATTTCAACAAGGAAGAGTGCAAGCTGCTTTTCAACACATAAATCCCAGAGTCGGCATGACTCATCCTGTAAGTCTTCAGGTATATCCATTGTATCATTATCACCACTCTGCTTTTCGACTTCTTTGCACATATTGACTATTGTCTGATAAACCCACTTTTTACTGATAGCCGTGTCTGCAACCATGTCTTGACGAAAAATGTCTTGTTCCTCTTCAAATTCATGGGGAGGAGAAGGATTTCTTTCCACCATAATATCAAATTATAAAACTTGTGACTTGGCCTGCCGAGACAACAGCTAACCTGGATGCCAAAAAATTCAGTTTGAATGAAATCGACTTAATTTATAAAATATCATTTTTGAAAATTCAGAGAAATAACTTTATTTGTTCCCACCACACCCTTGCCCAGTTCGGTATTCGAAGAAATAGCTGGCACTGGTGTATTCCTAACTCTGCCCTGTATAAATACATATACCGGTATATCTTTTTTTTTTTTTTTTTTTTTTTTTTTAAACGCTCACAAATGTGTTAAATGTGATACAGTAATAATCATAGAAATAATGGGAAATAAAATTTTTACAATCATTATTATCTCAAATTGTAATCCATAATATCCGACGTAGTTTCCATTTTTCAGTATTCCAATGTTCAATAATCCATGTATAATCTGTAATATCAATTCAGTGATAACAAGATGTTTTCTAGTTAATAATACATTAGTTAAGCATTATTTGTTATACATAATATCTTTTTTAATTGAACCTCTCCCACGGCAAAGCGACTAAAATTAATTACTGGGATAATTTTTACTATCCGAACAGCGGATATATCCGTATATTTCGTGTTTTAAATATCCGGTTAACCGATCGAATCGATTTTACGTGATTTTTGTGGTAAATTGATCAAAAATCAGTTTTATTGCAAATATATACACATACAATCAATGTAAGAGCATATATATAAATGAAATCATGAAGATAAAGAAAATCATGATTTTTTGGTTAGAAGTATCCAGAAAAGGCTAGTATACAGCGGAGACAAAGTCCACGAAAAGTCGACAGGGTGGTATGATAAAAAATAAATGAAGAATGGAAAAATAAAGAAATTGTCTCCTGCTCTCCGGTGGTGAAAACTGTTTAAGCCACCGAGAAGGTTTTCAGAAGAGCGAGATTTATTACTGTTTCTCCAATGCATACTGTATGAAGCACATCAATTGTGGAGTCGGATGCACTGGATGTTCTTTCTGCTTCAACAGTGGTAGGTTGGAGGACCCTGAAGCTTCAAAGACTGCACATTCCTTTTGAATCGTTATTTTGTTTAGATTTGCAGTACTGTATGGACGGATTTGAGATGCTGACTTGATGGCTCGCTCTAGTTCCTGTTTGGGAAATTTACATGTTGTTTCTTCACGTACTACAGTCGAAACTAGTGGAGGGAGAGATATTTATTATTAAAGCAATTACAACACTAATATAAACATAAGCCAATAAAGAAAATATTTTAACAGTAATAACAGTGGTTGAGAATCGTTTTGATCGGATCGTTGTGCAGGGCAGATAAAGGTTATCTAGGTTGCCAACTCTTGTATATACTGTATGCTGTATATGAGCTCACCAATTACCATGGCATAGTATTTGTACCTTAGATTAAAGAAAATGAGATAAAACATAAATAAGATGAAGAAATGAGAAGAATTGCAAAAATCCTAAAAGATGTTCAAATTTTCTTTCCTTAAAAATAACCTAATAAATCATTGGACACGTACCAGGATCGAAAATAAGGGTAATAAAATAATATCATCATAGATTCGGTGATAGAAAGCATTGTCATGATAAGTGATCATGTTAGGTCAAAGGTCACTGAAGATGACCTTCACGCTAGTGATGTTCTCTGTAGACATGCCGTGACGAGTATTCTGTGTTTGTGTTAGGCTGTGTTGGTTGTATGTTAATCAGACTGTTTCTGTTGACTGAGAATTAATCCGTAGTAAATGCTTGCTGAATAATATATAAAGTATCATTAAATACCTATATTAGTTAATAATTTAAGAAAACGAAGCACGAAAAACAGTAACAATCACTAAATAATTCTTCCGGGTCTACGTCAAGCAACTTTTGCATTAGGTTCGCTGCCAGAGCGTACGGCTTGTTTTTGTTTCCATAATTCTCCAAATGTATCAAGTTTATTTCCCGTCAGAAAACTCCGACAATATACCCGAATACCAATGGCAAAAATAGACATCACCAAAACCACCATCCTCCAGACTGCCCCATCCATACCCTTTTAAACTGAATTCGTTCACAGCCTTGATTATACATCCAGCCTTACTGTATAAAGCGAATGAGCTCTTTTATTACATAATAATCACATTTGTTTTGCGTATTTTGAAATAGTGAAGTTCACTCCAGCATTTTACGGGTTTGGACTCACGCAGGGTAATCAGAGGTGCGTTGGCGAGCGTACTAATGTTTAGCACGATGCGCCACACCTGAGTCGATCCATGTAACTGATGGTTGGTCACGGCGAAACGAGTGAGTAACTGGCTATCTAATCCCATGCCCAACCTCATTGGCCCCAAATAGACTGGTGGTGATGACCGCGATGAGATTATCCCACTGAACTGGAAATATATATATCTGTGGATTATAGTGATTGGTCTGTTTTCCACTTGTGGATGAGCCTGAATAGGTTGTTGGTAATTCTCACAGTGTTCGAATGCGGTTGCCTGGTTGTAGTATCGACGACTGATTCAAAACCCATTCCGTCGGGATTTCAGGGCGATGAATATGTATTTTTGAACTCCTATGAAAATCATGGCTGCGGCTTTTATATGATATATAAACTAATCAATGTGAAGTATGTTCAAGCAATTTATTGATTGTAACAAAATAAATTTTACATTTTATGGTAAATCTTGGAATTTTTCAAAGAACGATAGCTTAAAAATAAGTGGCAGTCAATATTGTCAAAACTTATTATAAACGGGCATTACACCACTCAGTTTAAGACCTTCGAGTGCTGCAGTATTTTAGAATAAATATGCTTTTATTTTGTCTAATAAGTAGAAGCAAATGCAAGATATCATGTGCAAATTTAAATTAATATTATAAGACTCATGAAATGCTCTCACTGGAGTGAATTGAATATATTACATAACAGAAAAATCATTATCCGTTGAAAAGTTCGGCTTTTTTAAGAGTGGTGTAATTGTGGCCGCTATTTCAGAATCCGTTACATGGAAATTTCCAATTCTGATTTTGACCTCCACACTCCCCTTTGAAAATCTTGGCTATTATGGCTCTTGGTGCCACCAATGACATTAAACAACATGATGCGCAACTCCAGCATTTTTGTCCGAAGATCGTATTCGATAGCACGCTCCAATGCACATACTTGACGAGACGAAAACGAGCGGATGTGTGCTGCTTTCAAGGCGTAGCACGAATGGTGTTCGTGCCTGCTTTGACAGTTGTTGTCGATTTTAATGATATTTTGGAAAGTTAAGGTAAAAAGAAATCGGAAAAAGGTAAGGTAAATACTATTGTTGTATATCACACTCGGGCATCGCACTGTTAAGTACATGGTGGGAAAGACAGCCTTTGTCAAATACTACGAAGTTATTAATTCAGTACGGTACGTAGTTGCCCATTTGCCGAAATTACATATTTACTTACCCCTTATGGTTTCAAATAGTTCATGCACCTCCAGTTAGATTTTTTTAATCAGTGAGGATATATACTCATTGTTGATTGCTGCTCATTGTAACATACTATTGCGCATTCACTTTTATTTGCGTATTGAATCAAAGTGTTAACAAGTTCACCTAACATTTCACTCATACCGGTCTATATTGTATAGTCTGATCTCTCAAGTATTTGGAGCCACGAATGCTTGTAATTTTCTGACTAAACCCTTTTATTAGTTGGTTTATATACCAAGTTCAGTAAAATATTTTTTACATAAAACATGAGATATTGGATTTATTAGCTTTTCCATTCTAAATCATATAGACTGCTTTATTTATTCTTAACGAAAATTAATAAATCTCCTCTCTTTCTTCAGATGTGAAAGTTGTGGACAAACCTATCTAAGCATTGTGAGACTCCTGCAGCACAAGAGGCAATAGCAGAAATAGTAAGTATATCAATCAAGAAATTAAGCCGACATAAAGCAAAACTTTCAACTATTCGTCTAATCTCAATTTCCTATTATTTATTCACAGGACAACTATAGCAGAAGGGGAGATATCAGAAGTCTGGCGACATATCAGTGACAGTGTGATTCCAAGAAATATAATTAGAGTACTCTGCAATAGAAAAACAACCTATGGAGGCATGCAAAGACATTTGACCCTCCGGTAGAGTTGTGTATGGCCCCCACATCCTGCAGGGCTTGAGGAAAATAACTAAAAATTCCAAAGCGTAAAATTGCATACTCGGTCTTATTTGTAAAAAGGCACAAAACACGCCAGACATACTTAAAACAGCTTTGGAAAATGAGGATTACGGGTAACACACTGCACCTGTGTTATATTTGGTTCATCAACTTTTGGTAGTACTATAGAGGAAATTCCGGAAGGGGTATAATCATCATTCATGATAAAATACTATCATATATTTTTTGGACAACTTCAATCTAGACCAGGGATCTCAAACTCGCGGCCCCAGAGAACTTCCAGTGCGGCCCTCGAACGCTTAACAATAATTGTAATAGTATTTTGGAACTTTTTTTTATCTAAATATAATAGATTTTTCAAACCTTCTAAAGTGAAATTGATTATTCACACTGAAAACAATTTACTGAAAGTAGTTTTGGAATATTAATTTTTTTTGTCCACATTTTGACCCAATTAGGAATACACATCAAGCTTGCAAAGGAATACTTGAATAAAACACTTGAGTGATTAAATTAAACGTAAAGTACATGAAGAAGGTGGCATTTTCGAAGAAAATGGCATTTGTAACATTTCTGCTTTTCACAAAATTCTGAAGCACATTGTTTAATTTGTCATATTTCCATCAATACAATGAAAAAACACAATAAGCTCAGCAGTCAATATGACAAATTCGAAGACCAACTTCGAACAGAAAATTTTCATGTGTTTGTATATTAATATTATTAGACAACGATTTAGTTACTAAAAATCAATATCAATAATAATTCAAGCAATCCTATGTCACGCAATGTGGTGCGAAATGTCTTGTCGAAAAAATCTGTCATTTGTTTTTTTACTGATCTATACATGAAATGATAAAAGTAACTTTTTTTGCATTACTGGAATTAATTAAACATTCGCAAACATCCAGATTAACCCATGATCATGTGGCCTCGTTAGTTAGAGTTGGTACTATAAAATCATTTCAGTCATTTTTTATAATAAATACAGTAACTTGCAAATGTTGCAATAATAGTGGAATGCAAATATTAATATGTAATTGCATTTGAAATTGAAGAAAATAATAAAACTTAATCCAACTGTTTAGTTGCATCACAATATATGTCACAAACTAAAACTATCTTAAAAATATCTTTTAAGTATACATTATCAAAAACTGTTTGCGGCTCTTTTTACAATTTCCAAAATGCAATGCGGCTCTCGAAAACCCATAAGTTTGACACCACTGATCTATTCTAGACGATTCAAGCATTGCTTTGGAAAATAATATCACTTCAATTAATTGGAATAATCTCGCTATATTAAATACAAAATCGTTGCTATCATAAAGGTATACCAATTCAGCCACTCGAAATATATTGGCCTTCACAAAGCAATGGGAGCAAAATTGAGAGTTCATGAGCTATGAACATTTGTTCTTTTCTTTGTCTTGAACTTTTCATACTCCACAGCCCCTATTAGTTTTTTTTAATTTCAATTACCATGTGATGGTCATACATATCTTTAACTCGTATTTTCTGTCATGATGTATTATCTCAATGTGCCAAACTATTAATTAATGTGCATATTTTGCTTCCAGATGACATAAATGTATTGTCTTGTTTATTACCTCAGCTTGGAGTATTGACAAGAAAAAGGTGCCAGTAAATTAGATAAAAAAAATTTTAACTCTTTGTTATAATCAGAATTTACAATCGATAGGAGTTATAAACAGCCAACAATCAATGAGAATTATATGCGAAATTCCTCAGAATAAATTTGTCTAAAATCGGAGGAAGGCAAAAAATAAAGGTAGTTTCCATCCACACAAGCATTTCAAGAAGACTTGCTCGAGCCAATCTAAATGAGCATCGCCAGGTGGTCGGTAAGGCTGCAAGTTGAATTCAGCCCTGCAACCTCCCGCATAGAAGATAATATTAATTAGTGGGCTATGAGCTAAATTCCTAAATTTAAATAAACCTATCTACGATGCATTATGTACCAGCAATGTTACCTACGATTAACTGAATATGTAATATGTCTAATAAATTCACCTACAAAAGCAAGTTCGATAGGTGCAAACTTTGTGTTATGGAATTGTATCACAGCACAGTTTTGTATGACACCCTCTTTAAATGAAATTGCAATGATTAAGCGCAAACATTAAAATTACTAACTTTGAACTTTGTCATTATCTGCAAAATGTTCCACACAAATCTTTCCGCTATCGCGTTTGTAATCTTTTCTGATAAAAAAACGTCTATGATGTCCAGAATTGCTCTTTACAGCTTGCCTGCCATTCCAGCTTTCCAAGTGAGCAAAACTTCTCAGATATAGAGATTATTTTGTTTCGTTACAGGCGCAAAAAGGCAGGTACTACACGTAAAAAAGACGCCGAGTAGCAAAAGCGAGCGGAAAACGGACGCGAAAGGCGACGAGAAATATGTGTATTGGAGCGTATCATGAAATACAATCTTTCGCCTGTAGTCTTATGGAGTGACGTCAGAGTTGCCTATCATGTTGTTTAATGTCATTGGTGCCACTGAAAGCATGTATCCTATGGACCTTTCCCCGACCTTTGACCCCCGGAAAATTCTTCCTATACTTTACCATTGCAAAATTTTCGGGGCTATTTTAAGAGTGCTTTTGCGAGTTGGTGCCTGTAAAATGGGGTATGTGTTTCTAACCCTCATTATGATTCATCGCATACAACAATCTGTTTTTTTAAAGTACCGGTACAGAATTTCAGGCTAGTCTATCACAGCTATTTCTACACTAATTTTTATTACTGTAATTAAATTAAAACTCCTAGGAAGACAGAGTGATCATTGAATTATCTGATTTATATTCAAGTTTCCGAAACACATCTAAAAACTGACGAATAGAGTTCAAACCCGCGAAAACGAGGTAATGTTTACAACCACGCTTGAAAATCTGTCCGAGTGAGAAAAGTGTCTGAGCGGATGCGAAAATGGGGCATAGTTACGTCACTTTTTGCATCTTGCTGATTGGCCAATGTCACGAAGTAAACAAGGAAGTTGATGCTCGGGGAAAGGTCCATTGTAACGAGAGTCTAATCGTCTTCCTTTATGACATTTTGTGTCGGAATAATATGCAAAATTCTGATTAATCACACCCAAGATAAGTACTTCGCAGGCCTTCGAATAAGAAAAAGTTATGAAAAAATCTACCCTCTACTAAGGATTAATCTAGTTTTACATGTTTACGGTTTTACGACTACTGATTCTTTTCAAGATCTCTCAATGGCTTAATCATTGAGCGTATAATGCATTGACATACAAAATCAATTAATTCAAATTTTATGCATAACTGGCTAATAATTCTCACATATATTGGTCATAAGTCTTTCAATTTCATTTGGCAAAGTCTGTTAGAATCGGATCATGGTTGTTTCGAAAAAAGCATACCCAGCTCAACAGGAATTCGGCGGTAATAAATGTAGGAAGGGTCCTAAACAATCCATTAACTCAAGCGCTGGAAAAAAGCGAATTAAAAGTGATAAGAACGCGCTTTACATCCGGTGATATTACTGGTGTCATTGTCACTGTTCGGTCGTGCCGCCAAATCGAAAAAACTTTAAGGCCATAAATCACTTTATGTCACTCAAATTAGCGACCGGAAGTTTCTCTTTGAAGTGCAGCGTCTGAAAACACGTTATGACCTCGGCCTATCAAAAGATCAAATACCAATGTGATAGTTAGACCGTTAGGCGACAAAACATAGTTATAAGACAACATAATAATTCAGAGACATAGTTAACAAAAATTAGACAGAATGTCTGAAACACTTCGGCGAAAGAAAACACTCATAACGCAAAAGAGAAATAGAACCCCGCCGTGCGCATGGATGTTTCACCGACCCTTACCCCAGAAAAATTATCCCATACTTTACTATTGCAAAATATTGGATGCTTATTTTGCGAGTGTTGGTGCTTACAAACTGAATTGCATGATCAAAGCCATCATTTTTATCAAAATATACAACCAGGTACTGATAACTAATTTTAGCATAACGCGGCGTAGTCTATCCCAGTTTTTTTGGAACTAAACTGAAGCTCGTCGGAAGATATAATGACAATTAAATTTCTTTATTTACAACAATTTTTTGGAAACACAACTAAAATCTGACAAGTAATACGCAAAACCACGAAAACGAGGCAATGTTTACAACAATGCTTGGATATCTGTCTCAGCCAACGAAGTGTCTGAGTCAAAATTGCCATTGTTACGTCATCGTTTACTTCTTGCTAATTGGCCTTTGTGACAGATATGAACAAGGAAATCGATGCTCGGGGTAACATCCATTATGTATGAAGATTGGGAATTTCTGGTGACCCACGTGCTAAAATACATCAATGAAATTACACTCGCGTATTACGTGGTGCAAATTATGCACGGAGAACTACGGTCCCTCAAATAAAATAATTTTAAATGAAACTTCACTATATTATTTCTGAAATGAAGGTTTTACGATAAGGACTATACCTAATATCAAATCTTTTTGGTTAAGCAATGTTACATTGGTTTAAGGACTACATTATTTTCGTAGTGGTTTAATGGTTTAATCGTAAATATATACTACTACGGTTTAATGTGCTGGCATTGCCATGTGGCATGTTTCATGGGTGTTTTGTACCGTATCTTGGGGAAGTAACGAATAAATTTATCTTTTATATTGTCTTTATTCATACCTTTATAAATACATTAACCCCCAAAAAATAATCTGGCTTGCACCACAGAATATGATGGTTTTCTATTTGAAAGATACAAGAAAGTACGAGCTAGCAAGAAGGTAAATGGTACCTAGTTTTATGCGAAAATCTTGCGCGAGCATGCTTGCGTTTCAAACGCCACTGCAGAATTTGCTTTCCTTCCTGTTTGTTTTCGAGAATATCCCGTTTGGTAACTTGGTCTGTCTGTCTGTAGGTAGTTTAGTGCTATGTTCCACGTAAATCCTGAAATCAGCCGCTTGGTAAAAATCCAAGCAAAAGTACCGTGAGATACCGTACCGGTATTTCATGAGGGATATTTTAGAAAAGAGGTATATTACAGTATTAGGGTGTCACGGCCAAGACCAAGGTGGCATAATTCATCATTTATTTAAAATTCATACCGGTAATAAAGTAACCTATCTGACTATTGTCAAATATTCAAGGTTAAGATCATCAGTACTTTTTTCATGAGAGAATTGCTTTAACACACGATTTGCATGAAGTTGCAATGAACAATGCGTTTGTTGTATTTTAAAAATAAATTAAAGTTCTGGGGATGTGATACCGGTACCTTGTATGACTGTATGATGATATCCATGGTGTCACTGTCATAAATGCATATACTGTATACAGGATATAGTCCTATTGCTGTACGGTATTGGGAAATGGGAGGGAGGCTCAGTAGTTTTTTTTTACTTTTGGTACTAACATCAGAACTTAGTACTGTACTGTGGCTGTGTGGTACCGTAGGCGTATTGCACATTTGATAGTGTTTTGGTTTTGCATAGTACAGTAGTATCACTCTATCATCTGATCATGCAGTCATGGTACAGTTATTTATGTTTATTTTTTTAATAATTCTAGTTAACAGTATTTAAAAATTGATAACCTGAAAAAACTGCTAAAGCTGTTGAAAAACAAAAGAACACTGGATTTTCAGTTGAAATGGATGTTAATATACATTCAATATCATCTGTTAAGGAGCATTTAAATAACCTTCTCCAAATTTATAATCAATTCAAGTTTCTGACGGACTCTTACATCATTGAGTTTTTTATAGAAAAACACTGGATGAAACTTCCATTAAGATGGAGGGAAATTCTGGATAGAATGAGCCCAAGCGGATTTGCTAAAGAGATCTTTGTCTCATCAAGTTGTGTTTCAACTGTTTTGCCATTATCTCTAATTGCGTTTAAAGCATGTTGTTTAAAATTATCACTGTCAAGATCATACAATACTGAACAAGATACTGGAGAATTTTGTCATTCAAATCCAAGTCAAAATAAACTTTTGAAGCATATATTCAGAAAACACGTTAATCCGAAAAAGCAGCATGAAATAAGGAAACTATCAAAGATAATAACTGATGTTGCATCCAAAGCAAAAGTTTCAAAAGTTGCCGACATTGGTTCAGGCCAAGGGCATCTTTCAAGATTACTTGCCATTGGACATGGATTTGATATTACATCAATTGAATCAGTTGAGAAGAATGTTGATAAAGCTAAACAATTTGATGTAGAGTGTATTAAACAAGTGTTGAAAGACAATCCAAATCATTATCAGACATTGCCTAATCATGTATTACATCATATCGATCCTTTTATATCTGAAGATTCTTTTTTCAAATTGTTTATTCCAGAGCCAAATACTAGCAATGATCCTCCTATTTTACTGTCAGGACTTCATGCTTGTGGAGATCTTAGTTCAACAATGTTACATAGTTATGTTGGAAGCGAAAAAATAACTGCATTAGTTTCGGTTGCCTGTTGTTATATGAAATTAACTCAGGATGTCGAAAGATGTAGTGTAAAATCAAACCGAATCGAGTCAAAATCTGGTTATCCATTAAGCAAGTTTGTTCAATGTATAAAGGATCATAATCTTTCTTACAAAAGCAGAGAGATATCATGTCATGCCAATGAAGTCTTTGCACAAAGGCTTCAAACAAATTGTGATCATTTAAAAATTCATTGTTATCGAGCAGTTTTAGAGCATATATTACGACAAAAACATGCGGATATGATTAGAATTGGAGTGCAAATATCTAAGAAGGCATATCTGAAAACTTTTCAAGAATATCTTGATCTATCATGCGCAAAATTAAGTCTTTCCCCTATATCTATAGCTAATAATATTGAAGTTTCATCAATGCTATCAGATTGGGGTAAAGTTGTTCTTTACTATGGTTTATGTTTAATGTTAGCACCTATAATTGAATCTATAATATTGCTGGATAGGGCTGTTTATTTGTTTGAAAATGGCTTGGATTCATCGATACCATGTATTTTCAACCCAGAACTGTCGCCAAGGTGCTTTGCCTTGATTTCAACTAAATCTGTGAAATACGATCAAGGATAAATTCACAACTAGTTTATATATGTGATCGCGAATCAAGAACACATGCTTCTCAGAAAGTTGGGAGATATATTGGCTGTCACTTATCAGAGGGTGTGTTCTGATCCTAATTTTATTGTTTTTTATTACATAAAGATCCTAATAACTATGCAAATAAACTCTGACTCCATTTTAGCAGTGAAGAGGCATTTGGAAGCCCTGCTAAGAATAACGAATTATTATCAAAACTTCACCGATACTTATGTTGTTGAATTTTTTGTCGAAGATCTTTGGAGCAGGGTTCCTGACAAATGGAGAGAAGTTTTGGATGAAATGACTTCATGCGAATTTGCCGAAGAGATATTTCAACCTACATTGAATTCTATATATTCTAGAGTTTATCCACTGTCCTTACTTTCGTTTAAAGCTTGTTGCAACAAACTGCAAATACCCAGACAAGTAGTTGGTCTTGATAATTCAACCACAAGCCGACAGCAACATAGTAAATTGTTCAATTATGCTATGAAGAAGCATATTAATATGAAAAAACAGCATGAATTAAAGCAACTTTGTGAAGTGATTGTTAACGAGGCTGCAAAATCTGGTTCTTTACATGTGGTGGATGTTGGATCTGGCCGTGGTCATCTGTCCAGATTACTCTCTATTGAGCATAACTTTAAAGTAACATCTATTGAATCTGATGATAAAAATGTTGAAAGGGCAAGAGTCTTTGATAAGCAATGTCTTGAATTTGTTTCAAAAACTGACTCGAATGCAATTAAAATTTTGCCCACGCACATAACACACCATGTTAAACGTTATATATCGGGAGATGAATTTGTGACTCTGATCAAAACAGATTCCTCTATCAACAATGATCGTATATTACTCTCAGGACTCCATGCATGTGGTGATCTAAGTCCAACTATGATATACACATTCGTTAACTGCAAGGAAATTGCCTGCCTAATTTCAGTCGCTTGCTGCTATATGAAATTAAGTGTCGATGAATTGGGAACCCAAAAGGCAGAACCTCATTATAGCGTCGAAGGGGATAAATTAGGATATCCAATGAGCAAATATGTGGCTTCTATGCAAAACCATCAAATCAAATTCACCAGCCGGAAAATTTCATGTCATAGCAATGAGGCATTGTCTGAAAAGATGCTCAGTGATGGAGGACATTTGAAAGTTCAATGTTATCGGGCTGTATTAGAATATATTTTACGCAAAAAAAATCCCAATATGATAAGACCTGGGGTACATAACAATAACAAAAAATCGACAAAGAAAACATGCTTGTCAAAGTTTGCAGACTATTTGGAGCTTGCATTTAATAAACTTGATATTCCTGTGCCAACTAACAAAGAATTTGACAATATTCACATTAATCAAATGTTGTCCAAAAATCATAGAGTTGTAATATTTTATGCTTTGTGTTCAATGTTGGCTCCTTTAATTGAAAATATCATTCTTCTTGATAGAGCTGTTTATTTGTATGAAAATGGATTTGATTCTTCAGTTCAATGTATATTTGAACCCAAAATTTCTCCAAGATGTTTTGCTCTTTTCGCAAGTAAATCATGAATGTTTATGCTTTTCACTGTTGACATTGTTGCTAATCATTTTATGAACAGTTATTTGTTTTTACTTCCTTGTTGGCTACTTTATCTTATCATGAATATATATATATTTTTAATATTTATATGCAATCTTGAAATAGATGAAATTTTTAACAACATTAACAAGGATTTTAATACAAAATTATAAGCCAGTAGTGGTATAAATATTACAAGGTTACACGGTACATCATAAGCACTGAAAGGGTTGATTGTCATTGTTGACGTAAACAAGCAATATTATTTCTACATACTGGAAGAGTTACGGTATTTGGTTTCAAATTGAATTTTTTCTTGATTACAGATCCATAGAAACATAGAATTGTTACAACTTTCATGAAAAATTATCAGTCCATGGGCCATGGCAGACGATCCGGAGCAACGAAGATTGCAAGGTACAATTTATTGTTACTTAACACCTTTGATTTCCAATAAATCCTGCACTGAAAATATGCTGCATATTATCTTCACCTTGGAGGCATGGATGCATATCTCCCTTAGCCTTGATGTATAACGCTGCCTGTTGACTATATAATAATATTATGTGCATAAAATAAAAATTAACATGGTAATTTCAATTGCCATTGAAAGAGAATGGTCTTTTCTGCAGGATCCATATGGATGGTAAATTAGGATGGAATCCACATATTAGTAGGAAACACTGACCGATATAAAGTCTGTAATTTTATTCATTTAAATACTGTGCCTAAAACCAGGCCATATTGAAAATTCTTCAGGAGAACAATCTGTTTGAATGCATATATATATGCACAACAATATTGTACTCTTCAAAAAAATTCTTCATTTTCACAGCCCTACTCCGTTTTGCCACTGAAGCTGGAAGTCATGGCAGTGAACCGGTATCTGGAGCAGACAACGATCCAGCAGATAGAGCGTGGTTAAATGAAGCTCTCCAAGATTATGCTTCAGGTATATTTGACCCGGTAAGTATCAAGACTGAATTTACTAACCTACTGTTGAGAAGAACATACTGAGGTGATTTCTGCATTATAGGGTAGAATAATATTACCAAATTTGCAAATGGTTGTATTCCTTTTCAAATTCATTCATAAAAACACTGATTCACTTATTTAAAATGTGATGTCAAGGTCAAATACATGAAGCAGCAACTGTCCATCGTGTACAGATATTTGCAAAGTGGAGAGAATGCAGATTCATCAAATAGGCACAGTGACATAAAGTTAGAAGATGTACACCACTCATTAGAAGAGGTATCAGATAACTGTGATCGATATGATTTAGCTTCAGACCTTCATAAAATTGGCGGATTTGATGTTTTGCTCCAGTGCCTTAAATACAAAGAATCAGGTATATGGTAGGTGGAAATTTGTATCAAGTGTTCATATTGGACAATCATACTAATTCAAGATGTCGCAATCGCTTGTCATTGAAATTTCTATGCTAGAAGCTTGTAAGCAAGAATCTTCATTTGAACAAATTTTCTACAATGCTTATTCACATCTTTTGCTTTAAACAAGGCCAATCCTCTGTTCACTTTGCCATTTGGTTGAATCCATGATAGTGTGGACTGAAGGTCCCCTATCAGTGGGTACATGCAACTCTTCTTTCAGTACTCTTTCCTCTTCACATCTGGTTGGGGACTCGCTTTGTATTGAAAAATCATATTTAGAAAACGAAACTGAATTTATTAAAGCATTTCTACCTGAATATAAATGTCATGAATTGTAGGCTAAAATATTATAGTTTTTCACATTTCCTTTGCTGTCCCATCTAAGTAATACATTATATACAGCTGGAGAGCATGTGATGTCATTGCAACTGCTGCTCAGAATCATGAATATTGTCAGAATGCTCTTGTGGAAATGAAATTTCTCCCAGTATTGTTACGACTGATTGATGACACATCAGCAGGTTAGCTAGCGGTCTTGGAGATGTCAACGTCTATGAAAATAATATACCTTTCAGGATTTATTCCATCCTACAGTCAGCAAGATTGAATTATTAGTTGTTCCCAAATCCAGTTTTATTGACTAAATCAGTGACATGCCTTGTAATAGAGCAAAGTGAATCGAAAATCAAGGTAAAGCTTAATGTTATATCGACTTCAGAGTACCAGTTTTTCATGTGTTGAAGATTGTGTTAACCTATAGGCAATGATATCCACTGACTAAAACCAGAAGTTTAAAATGTATAGATATATGTTTTCATGTTCATAAATTTTCAGCTATGAGTCAAAAACTTCAGTCTCGCTTTTTAGGTGACAAAGTGAGGGAAAAGGCTTTTTATGCTCTGTCCTGTACATTACGTGGCAATGATGATGCTGTGGATCATCTCGAAAACAATGATGGATTTTCAGTATTAGTTCGAGCAATGCAAAGTGAAGTTCCAAAACTCAAAATGAAATGTGTGTTCTTTGTTAAGTCATTATGTGAAGATGACACTAAGTATGCCAGGTATATTTTATTTAATTGTATCATCTCCTACTTAAATTTGAGAAATAGCTCTGAAATTGCTGATCACATACTGGAATATCTAGATCGACATTCATATTATCTAAGTCAGTGGTTCTCAAACGGTGGGGCGCGCCGCACAAGGGGAGATTTACATTTATTTATTGTTATTAGACTGCAAGGAGCTGTTGTGACAAATTTTGCTTGTTTTTGAACCTTTTCATTCATTTCATTATTTGCGTTCCATTCACGTATTTTCAATGTGATTTTTTAATAAACCATACTGTTATTGTTAGCTAGGTATTAATGAGGTGGGGCGCGAGCCTTGGCAGATTCCAAGAAGGGGCGCGGCTTAAAAAGTTTGTGAACCACTGATCTTAGTGTTTCTCAAAAATGTAGTCCAAGCTCTCATTTATTCATTCATTTGTATATGGTCCAACTCCACACTCTTGTTCTATAATTTGCTGCCTGTTTACATGTCTATTTCTTACTATTTCATTTCTATCATTTTCTATTCCAAAATTCCACTAATGCTGATTTTTTCATTTCAGGATTTTTCATGAGCGAGGAATAGAACAGCAAATCGTCGGAATGTTGAGGGATCATAACATCGAGAAAGATGATCCGGAAAATTTAAATATCGTTGAAAATGTCCTTGGATGTCTTTGTTCTTTAATACTAACTTTCGAAAAATCAAAGAAAGAATGCCAAGATACAAGGCAAGCTTTAATACATTTTTGATATTACAGTCTTTTAAGTTTAAGACCTAGGAGTTTCCAGAAGTAGTGTGGATGACTCAATCAATTAATAGTTGCTTCAGTAATTATGTAATGGAGATGGAGAAAATTCAACACTCACTATGTCGCCTTCATTAAGGCTTGTATTGAACTAGGAAAATGGTCACACATACTATACACATATGGGTCAATAGAAAAGTAGCATGAGAATAATCAATTTGCAACCAGCTGGTGATCTTGATCAATATTGTTTCTAAATTTCGGCACCAGGCACTAACTAATTTTTTTTCACAGCTTTGGTCTGGCTCCACTTTTACGTCAAATGAAGGAAAAGTTTAAATCTGGTACTGGAGAGTTTGACGAATGCATACGATTCTGTGATTTGATATCAGAAGCTTGTTTTAATGATGATGATACAGGCGAAGACCGTTGAAGTGGCATTAAATGGTGTAACACCAGAGGAGTAAAGTAATAACAGCAGCAAGGGGAAAATGATGACAACAGTTACTCAAGGCAGAGACTAGATTACTGCGAACTTTCTATATTAATAAATGAGTAAATGGACAATTTTGCTTTCTTTCCAGTTCGTGCTAAAATAGCATTTGAGGAACCGTGATAAATTGAGGCATAAAGGTCTGTTCGGATTTTTAGTCAAAATGCACATTGCTATATCTACTTTCTTTGGCATAGAAAGCTATGGTAATGAATTGAAAGATAGAAGAAGTCAGTTCAGTGGAGAATTCATGATACTCTTAAAGCTGTAGCCAGTGCTTTGTTCGTGTGATATACCAGTGGTATATAATTGCGAAGGATGATTTAGAGTTGAAAATTCATAAGAGTAAATAATCATTTATTGGGAATGGAAAGAAATTGCCAACCGTGCTTTATTGCTTGCCCTTTATTAAAATTATAAACTAAGCAATCATGTGTCGCAGTCGTTTGTTACAAACACATTTAATGATCCGAAAGAACGACTCCCGAAGTTCTTCAAGAACAGTTGAGATGTTGGCAGTGGCGAGACATCAGGGCGCGAATCATTGGGACGAACAAATCCTATAACATAAATATCTGAACTCGATAATTCATGAAATTTTTATCGGACATACATACAACTTCAAAAATGACAGTCTTTTCCCAAACCTAAACGAAAGAGAAGAAACCACAAAAACAGCAAAGCGTGTGCGGGACCATGTCACATCGTTTAGGATCCGTGTACATATACCACGGAAACACGCTCGCCACGGCACCTCAGATTACCTACCCTGCGTGATGGTTTCGCAGGTTCGAATTTCCTAGGGCAGGGGTGTGCAACCTTTGTCACAAGAGGGCCAGATACGAGTATCTGGGTGAAGCCAAAGTGAATATAATTATAGTCACTTAGGGTGAAGCCGCGGGCCGCACCCAGAAACTCTATCCGCGAAAGGCGATGGATACGAAAAATCCAACCAACGAAAATTTTTCTCGCAAAAATATCGCTTCGGCTAACGTCGGATTTTCTACATACGAAAGGTCGAAAACTTGAAAATCGCCTGTATTGATCTTTGTTCATTTCAGGTTAATTTAATGCAGTGCTTGAGGAAGGGATTCCAATCTGAATTTAATATTCGAATATCGCGACCTTCGAATATCGTTTTTCGTGTTTATAGGAATATCGAATATGGCACACATATCCTAGTGCCACCGTCCACGTTTCGATTTACCACATTTTACAATTATTTTATTTTTTATCGTAATCGAAGGCAGCCGTGTGCGGAGCGGCAATAAATTATCTGGCATCTTATTGGCCAGTTTGTTTCCCGCGGGTACGTGCAGTGTGTTGCTAGCGAAATTCAGTGAGAATACGATGATACGACGAAATAATACATAAAAAAAATGAATTTTATATGTGTGTGCTCATTTTCGTACATTACGTTCTCTTTCAGTGGTCAACTTTTGCCGCAACCTCCGACCGCCGTCCCATTCTCCGCGGTCTTCGTTTAGCCTAGCCTAGTCGGCCAACGCCAAAGGTAAGCAAACATGCCGCTCGTAGTTTTTATTCGTTATTTCTCTATTCTTTCTTCACTCCATTTATACAGAAGTTCGTTCCCTCCATTTTCTACTTATTATGCAGTAATTTAATTATCGTTTTAACCATTATCATAATTTATAAAAATGTTATGTCCAAGTTTTGTGGGGGTAAAAACGGACTAGGGAATTACAGGTAAAAAATATGTCCCTACTTACAGAATTTTTTACCTCCGAAGTAGCCTCCGAAACGAAATAATTGTGTAGGTTGAGTTTCTACTTTAGTTGCAAGCAGAAATTTTCAAATTGCCATTTCTCCACGGGTTGCACCACTTGTCTTTGCAGGCAGCAGTTTGCACACCCCTGCCCTAGGGGATAATTCTGTTCAAGATGATAGCTGAAATCCTCTTCGCTGCAGGGTGGTTTACGTAACCACTGGTCGGTTACCGACACGGCTTATGTCATTATGTCCATTCATCTGAACAATTAAATGACTGACCAACTAATATAATATCCGACATTAACTCGTAACCGGACGAAAGGGCTTGGTTCGCCATATGATCGTCGTCTTATCTTCTCTTCAACAGGATAAATATTTGAATCCTACCCATATGTTATAGTGCCATCGCTCTCTAGTTGTTAACGGCATTTTTTAGTTTTATTCCTGTCAACGAAATGATAAACCTTCCTAACAATGACCGCCACCCAAGATATTCATTGTGCCGTTTAACTTCGTTCTAATTGGCGATTATGCTACCTTAAACTTTCTTTTTAATCCAACCCGTCTTGTATCATCTTAGAACAGTCCTAAATACCCTTCTTAAAGCATCAATTCAGATCATACAGATTACATTTCTGATTATAATTAGGTTTTAAATGCAGAAAATATTAAGCATTAAGTAAACACTTTACTTCAATGAATGCCATGCAACAGAAAGAAAGAATCAACATATATCATGATCATGTAACAGTGATTTTCTAATGAAAAAAAGTTAAAAAATATTCAAGATTCCACGCTGGAATACTCGGTGGAATGCCATTCAGCTGTTTGCTCATGAACAACGATATCCGGTTCCCCACCTTCCCCTTCTGCCATAGGTTCGGTCACTGTAAATCAATAGGTTGAAATGGTATTACACATGACTCCATGAGGCTGCAAGACCCACAATAAGGATTCCGACACGAAAATATGACAATGTGGGATTAAAAAGAGAGAATAAACCCTTAATGTGTCGCTAACATTTACTGAATGTACAGAAGGATTAGTATTTACTTGCGGGTCATTTAGTTAGACCATTATTTTGAAACTTTTGAAAGGGTATTTTTCTTTTGCTAACCGTGATGCACTCCATGAGCATATTATCGCAAGTACCAGTAATTCTTAACTTGGGAATGATTAAATACAACTAGAAATTCTAACGTTTACACACTGAAGTATTAAAACACAATTTAGCTCAAACAAAACTGCAACATGATTATAATTACCAAATTGTTTTCAACTCAAACAGTAAACCTTTACCTTGAGATATTACAGTTGATGCAGGAACCATGACAGGCACAGTTTGCATTTGTGTGAAAGCTGTGAGCATTTGAGGCAATTGAGCAGCATCCATATGGAATTGCACTGAAATAATAAACATCCTTGTCAAACTTTTTTCAATTTAAAAAATATCAAACTAAATAGCATTCCCAGAGTCTGAAAATTGAAAAGGATTTGCTAACAGCAAGGTCGCCAGACTCAGCACTCACCCAGAAGTAAAGGAGATCTATTTCTGAGCAAAGTTATGGTTAAATATTGAAATATAGAGAGTTGCTGAAACTATATAAAATTATGGTAGTGCAGTGTTCACCAGTGAATTCGGATTGTTGAGAGACTCGAATCAGATCAAGTCAATAAAATCATGTGGTTCCATTACATTTGAACCCACGTACATTTGAACCCATGACAATTGCACCTGTATGCTATTGCACCTATGGAATTTTTTTTTTTGTTTCACGGATAGTTAAACCCATACTAACCCTAGGCCTAACCCATGGGTTTTAGCACCCGCATATAGATTGAACCCGTGGATATACGCATGGGTTCAAATGTACATGGGTTCAAATGTACGGTCACCAAATCATGTAAACATCACTGTATAGTGCAATATAGCCCTTAATAATCCCAAATTTTCATACTACCAATTAATTACTTTATAATAAACACTCCGCAACAGGAAATGCAGCCACAAACAACAATACAAAACAACAACGTCGCATTAGTTGGTACACATCTTTCACAGGCCAAGTCTCACGCCCATTCAAATTTCAAAAAAGGTTCACCAAAACGCTGTATTATGTTAAAAATATTGAAACGAAATTCCCTGTTATGAAAAAAACGACTAAAAGGAAACTACAAAAAAATTCTCTTCTGGTGGCAGCATTTCCCAAAAGAGCTGATGTTAAAATTGCTTTGTTAATTAATGACACTTTTATTTTGAGATGAGTTTTGAAAGGCTAAAGTCTATTGATGACAACACTTTACCTGGCTGAAATGTATGCATTCCTGGCAAGGACGATACCGGAGTAGTTGTTGTCTGAAAGGTTGACTCAGAATTGACTGGATCTGATATAATAGGACCAACCTTACGTCTGAAGGTAGACATAGGTGGGACTGATGCAGATCTTGACATTTGTGTTGTGTTGCTCAACCCTTCTGTAATAAGTTTGAACATGAAAAGGGAATAGAGGTTAAGCATTGCAAAAAAATATTCAATCTAATCAAAATTTGATGACTTTCACCATTGCGTTTTAAGACGGTACCAAGAAAAACGTCTTCCTTCTTCAAAAACGTGCCTCCAATACATGCCAGAATATAAAAATGTCTCTTTTGAGTCAAATGGATAGAGTGTATGGAACCGTTTTATGCTGAGTAAAAGGCCACCAAATCTAATAACATATATGATAAATATGAAAAAAAAAACGGAACACTGGTTAAATCACTGACACTGACAAAATACACACGGTTTTACAATGAGCATAATAAAACCAGAACTTCAACATATTTCAAGTGTGCTTTGTATCATTATATGTTATTATTCCCATCATACCTGTTATTGCGACTGGACTGATACTTGTTGTTTCACCAACCATCTAAAAAAATTGGATTTCATATGAATGCTTGGCAATGCCTTGTATTACACAGGGTTAAAAAACGAATCACATCATCATCTGTTAAAAAGTTATGAATCTCATCCCCAAAGTGCTGTTTGTTGCTTACAGGAAAATTTTCTCAACACTTATTCCATCAAATTTTCAACTTTTTGCTTCTTGGGGAGACATTTAACAATGAATGTGTATAAACTGTGATAACTTGGACATCTATTTTTAAATTCATCGCATTAAACATGTCACATTTTGACCAGGCTAAACTATGATATATTATATGAAGAATGCTTATCATCTCTCTCTTGAAACTTCAAACTGGGCCCGATAGTCTGACGGTATAAGTGTTAGACTTAAGTAAAATGGCAACACAGGTGTGAAACACCACAACAATAATAAATTGGCTATGTAATTATGAACTGAAAAGACTCCGGTTCTTCCAAACTATGCTGTATTGTAAAGTAGTTATTGGCCAACCTGTTGAGGCAACACACATGTGACCATCATTCCTGAAGGAATATGGCTGACTCCTCCTATAGTTACTTGTTCACCTATGACTGGGATAGCAGAGTTTGTACTGACATTCAGAGGAACAACAAAAGTGGGTTGACCCTGCATCGCTGGTTGATATGTTGGCAAAACTGTGCCGTGACTGATTTTCGTTAAAGTGGATGCCGGTGGTAACGCCTTTTCTGTATAGTTTGATCCTTCTATTATAGTAGTATATTGAATATTTTGATATTCAGTTGCAACAGGCATCGAATAGGTGAAATGTTGCGGGCCATGTTGAGATTCAACCGTCGTCAGTGATATAGATGTAGAAGGATCAGGACTTTTCTCTTCAGTTTCATCTGTATTTAGATAAAGCAAGATTGTTTGTGGATACAACAAAATATCAAAGAACTTGGGCAATATGTATTTTGAACTCGAACTTGATACAAAAGATTACAATACACAACAACAATGTACAGGAAAGAATTCAGGAAAATTGCCAAAACTTAGAATAAAGTTCAAATCATGAAGCATAAAGAGTGGAACACATAATATCAAAGTAGGTTGAAAACCCTATAAATATCTTCTTAGCATGAATGAAGCATATATGCTGTGCTTAGGCAATGAACTCATATGAATTAATATCTGGCTGTGTAATGGCCTAGCGGTTTAAAGCGCTAGACTAAACTGTGTTGGCAACGCAGGCTACACATGTTGAGTTTAAATTCCATGTGTTCTACCTAGGGTGCAGTAGTTTTTAAAAATAGAAACATATAAGTGGGAGCTTGTACAGGGCGTTGTTCAGGAAGGAAGGAGTGATATCGTCGTATATAAAATATTTAAACAGATATCGCAATTTTTTATTTTTGACAAAGTGCAATATGGAATTTGCAACTTGATTCAATTATTTAGTCCACCCTAAATAGATATAATACAAAGAAATATGAGCCAAACAAAGATGAATGAGGTACCGGTTGAAATGATATCAACTTCCTTCGCAATATTATTGATTATATTTTCTTCTTCTGCATTTGCATCTTCAACAATATTTTTTATTTCGTCTGGATCAGGAACAGGAAAACTGAATGTTGCTGTTACCTTAACCTGGAGTAGAGTGATTGAAATACTTTGCTTTGCCAATTTATTTTCCCTTCTCACATAAACTTTTAAATTAGACTGGTAAAATACCAATGAGGTGGAATATTGTTGTTTCCGCAAGTTGATTCAAAATATTATAAAATACCACAATTTTGATTATGATAAATTCTCTATAAGATACCGAGATCACAAATTGTGATTATAATATGAGTTCTTATTGAACAACAAAAAAATTTGAAATATACATAAATATAAAGATAGAAAACCAATCATTGGCACAGTTGATTACATATATTCATTATGTGATGAGATAATGTACCGGTAACTCCGAAAATTAAATAAAATTAAACATTCCAGCAATGAATATATGTCGACTCGACATTTACTAATTTGACAAGGTTCAGAAAATTGCCAGAAGCAACAAGTACAAGTATGAGATTCGTAATGGAAAATCGCTTCAACTGCAACTAGGGCTTGGGAGCTGGTTAGAAATTGAAATGGATCCAATCCAACCAAGCCACAGTAGGCTTGTATAGGGCATGAGGAAAGTATAAATGTGAAAAAAGTATTAGATGGTTAGAAGTCAGAGTCAGCCTCCCAAAGTTCTGGTAGCTCAGGATCACTCTCATACATTATGGTAAGCCTGGCTCCTGCTCCAACAAACTAACATCGACTCCCCAGTCCCCATGCACGATTGTAACAGTAACTCATAAATTTTCAACTGTGTGTTTGTTAGAATTCTACTAATGAACAATTAGTTGTAAAAATACTTGTCATCACCATACACATCCATAGCTTTACACTACACAGAGCTACTTACCTTTCGTTTCTTTCTCATTGGTAGAGGCTTCTTCATTTCGGCAGGAGGTATTCCATTCCTCCATATACCAACTTCATAATCGTTTACTACTAATTTATGTGTCTTTTTCTTGTGTTCTTTCAAACTCCTGTTTGCTTTATATCTTGCTCCACACAACCCACATATGTAGGGCTTCTCACCTAGTAATATTTTGCAGCATATGATAGAGTAGAACAGTCAAAATAGTAGGCATGCTATGTTATTAAATTTATATTGCAATAAAATTTGATATCTCCATTAAGAAATGATATTTTTTATTTTGAGACTTGCTAATGATATAGGAAAAAAAAGTCTACCTATTCCAGAATCGGATTTTTAGTATTTATCCCAGAGAAATATGAAGGCGGAATAAGAAGGCTTAATTAGCCTAATTAGGGTGAACAATAACCCGCACCTGTCTGAGCAATTGAAGCAATTCGATAGGTGTTATTTCTAAAAAAAAATCATCAAAAAAATATATACCTGTATGACTTCTTGTATGTTCAACGAGTTTTGTTTTTCTTGGAAAACTTTTTCCGCATTGATCACATACATATGGTCTGCTTTTATAATGAATATCAGCAATATGTCTTGATAATCCACATTTATGAGCAAACATCTTCATACACAATTCACACTGAAATCTAAGTTTACAATCGGTCGTTTGTTATATAATATTTGTAGCAAAAAATATCACTGCTGTCCAAAACTCTTCCTATTATGTGAATATTGCAAAAAGTGAAAATGATATTTGTGTGTTACAAGGCAAAGGCAGTTAAAGCTAAACTTTATAAATCTAACTGTGTTGTCATATCGAATTTCACATCTTGGGCCAAATCCCCATGCTTACCACTTTACCAGGCGCTCCATAACTATGTGTATCAATATTGAGGTAACTAATTTTGTTCGCATATTTTACATCAAGATGTACAAAGAAACTGAAACCAATGGGCAGGGGGGATATTCACTCAGCTAACACAAACAGTCAATATATCATTACATGACAGTGGCTGCATATACAGAGCCTTGTTGGGAGCGAAAGGCACAAATCACAAATAAGCGTCATATAGAGAAATTGGCTAACTCACAAATCCCCAATAGAATGTCTTGTAAAGATACCAAATTACTACAAAAAATACCTTCGTATTCCAGCATGTTGTAATTCATGTTCTTTTGCATGAATTTTTTGCACAAAACATTTTCCACAAACAGAGCAGATGTAAGGTCTTTCCCCTATGAAACAAATGGAGCATCCATTTAAAAATTTTATGACAATAAAACTTTACAAATTCAGCAAGTTTGGTTGCCCAGTGGTTAGTTAAATCGTTCGACTGAACTATGAAGGCGTCACAGGTGAAGGCGTGCTGTAATAGACACTTTTATGTAACGTTTTATCCATACTATAAAAAAAATACAGTATGTTTTTTACACCTAACAGAACAAACCAAATAATCGTTGGAAGTTTGATCTTTGTAAATGAAATCGGGATTCTATACATAGCATTTTCTATGAATAAGATCTTTTACTCCTTACCCGTGTGAAGCCTCATATGCATTTTCAAACTGCTCTTATATGGAAATTTCTTCCCACAAAAATCGCAAACAAATAATTCATCACCACTGTGAGTTCGCATATGAAGCTGCAATAAACAAGAAGTCAAATGATAAGTAATAAATAGGAATACAAATTTCAAACCAAATTGAGCATCTCGAAAAAATTGCGAGTGTAAAGCAAATTTAATTCCTAGTATAAATTGAAGACGACCCATTTAAAATAATATTTTAGAATCTTTCCTGAATTCTGTATTCTGTAGATTATTCGTTTTTGGCCATCTCTACTTAAAAATTATTATTTTTATACTAATAACATGGTGTGATATTTAATACACTATGCAATGTCGCTGTTCAGAATATTACTTGCTGAAGAAATGTTGTCCTGAAGTCCTGAATAGATTATCATATTTTGGCCATGAGTAGTTAAAATAGGCGCTCTAGAAGTATGTATACCATTATGGAGGTAACTAATTTTGTTCGCCTATTTAACATCAAGCTGTGTAAGTAAAGGGACGGAAGCCTATGGGCAAGGGGATATTTACTTGGCTACCACAGACAGTCCCCGAACTCGTAATAGAACTAAAATAAGAAAAATCGCAATATAATTATGGCCTACCCTAACCTGGTACACATACTGCAGGATGACCGTTAAAATATACATACAAACTTCCAACACAAGACATACCTGCATCACATATAAACTTGTAAATGATTTCTGACATAATGTACATTGTGTTCTCATTTTTTTAACATTGTGAGATGATAAATGTTGAGTCATTTCTTGTTGAGTATGAATAACTTTGTTACAAACATGACAATTCTGTCCTTCTCCTGTGTGCCAACGTTGATGACGCTTCAATGCCGATCTTAAACACAAATATCGTAATTGAATTGACAGATTTTATTTAGTCATGTATTTCCTAGTTTGTAATACAAGAGTTTCAACACATGAGAGACAGTGTTGGAATTTAAAAAAAAAACATTTGAAAAAAAATTACAAAAAAATGGATGCTTTTTGAGCCGGTTTTCAAATAAAAATTTGAAGCGATATTTAGAAACCCAATAACTAGGGCTTCAACATGAAACGATGAAACTTGAAGTTGTATTGAGAAAATGAAAAACACATATATTTTTTATCCAGTAATTCCAGTAATATTTTATCAAAAAACTTTGGTGGATATCGCTTCAAACTTTGATAGGAAAACCAGTCTAGAGAGCATTTGCTATTGTCATTTTTCGAATAAAATTTGTTCAAAATTTTTTCACACACTCTGCCGTGAAACCCCAAACCTATTTTACTTAACAAGTTTTTGAAAAATAAATTCGCTAAAAGAATTTACTTGATTTTTGATATATTTCAGATGGGATTTACAAATCTGACGTAATTGAGGAATGCTAGTTTGAATAATTCAACTTTAGAAATATCATTTCAAATAATAATTTTTCTTCTTATTAAATACACAAAAAGATTCGTTGAACTTACCGATATTTAAACTTTTGATTGCAATAAGAACATGTCAACTCTTCTCGGTTATGAGATCTCATGTGACTCTGTAATGATGACATGATTAGTCAATTGAATATGATGTCTAAAAATTTTGCTAAAACAATAGCCTTTTATGAAAAGTAAGATAGCCGGTAAGAAGAAAATGGAAAAGCCGCATTATTATCAATTAGGCACACCTACTGAAATGAAATTATTTTGAAACAACACAGCACAAGGAAAATCAAAAAATAAAACACAAGTTCTATTTGCTACATGCTACATAATAAAAAATTGGTGTATCAGACTTACACTATCAGTTTATTTTACAAATTTCTACACTTTTTAAAACAAACTCCATCAACTATAAAAGCATATTAAAGTTTAAACCAGCAGTATTGAATATATACCATCATGTTTTTTGCATTTGAAGTAATTTTGCCACAAAGGTCGCAAGCTTGGGATTCTGGAGTGATATTTTCTTCAGAATCTTTCTTTTTTCCCTGGTGAAAAATAGTAAGATTGCATCAAATATTTTGTCTTAACAATAAGTTAACATATTACAAAGTGTACAAACTGGTTGAGTGCACATAAAATTAATGAAGCGGGCTCGCGCTGGTGCATAGATGTCAAACCAATTGAATATCCAAACAGATTCAAACTTGATTTTATGAAATATTCGGTTTTAGACAAATATATATGGGATATATATGTTTCATGACTAGCAAAATAAGCGTATGAGCAGTTAGAATTTTGACACCACACATTGAAGTTACAACGTTCACAGCCAATACTATTTCACATGACTAAACTAATAAATAGCTTGTGGCAGCGTAAAAATTTAGGTAGGTTAAAATACATTATGTAGCATTTCCAGTTTGGTGAAATTATTTTTTAGGTTAGCTTTAGTATACCTTCTTCCTTTTTGCTTTCATGCTTCTTTTTGTTCTAACATATTCTGAATCATCATCATTGCTTTCATCATCATACTGTAATGAATAATAGAATTTTGATCATCATGTCTTGACCCTTGACCCAAATTCAAATTGTGGAGGAAAACTCATAAAAATGCAATTGGTCACTGACATTCTCAGAGCCATATATAGGCTTATCTGTAAGACACAGATTTTAGTAATTTGTGCTTGATTCAAGATTTCAAGTGAACAGTATCAGGGAAACAGTTGGGTGGAGGAAAATTCCACAAGGAAAATGTTCTTGAAAACAAAACTTACAGTATAAAAATTTTGCTGATATTAGTAAATTCAACAATGAATGATTTGCAATTGGCGGCTTAGAACGCGGAGCAATGCAAACACTTTTTGTGAGTATCAAGGAAAGGTTATCTATAGACAATAGATCTGTGAGTTATGATACAAAATAAACTTATATAACATGGAATGACATTTGAGGTCATTTATTCTGTCATACTAGAACTCGATTAAAGAAAAACTTTGAGTTTTCAACAATAACATACTTCAATATCCTGGTTTTGCTCTAGAATGACAGCACGTTCTTCAACGGGTTCCTGCTGATTTCCAATTGCATCCTTAAAAAAAGATAGAACAGACTGTAAATTTTTATATTTAAATAATGCATTATAAAGTCTTCACCTAGAATTAGTGGAAACATTTTGAAAATGACTAACTCTGAAAGGGTGATATCTGATCATCTAATCCAGGGGTCACCAAACTTATTTGACCGCGGGCCAGGTATGACTCAAACTGTGTTGAAACGGGCCGGACAAAAATTTTTGTCAATAATGCAATACAATAAATTCACAAAAGTTGGGAAATCCATTCACTTCTTTCAACAATATAAATTCTACATTTCTGAAGATTTGAATATCAAATTCTTTATCGCAGAACATATATCGATTAAGAACATCATAGCAAAACAAATATACAAGATGTCTAGATCTAGAAAACTATCCCAAGGTTAGCTATTAGAAAAACATTGCTGTCATGCATAGCCGCATGTAAGCAGTGAGCTACAAAAGTTAATGAGCAGTGCACAAGAGATTACAGTACTATAAGCACAAAATGCACGTTCGACATTCATTTTAGTACAAGGAACGTACGAAAATGTTGCGTTCCGGTAGAGAATTTCAGCCTATTATATCACAGCTATTCCTAGTATAATTTTGGATTACTGCAATTACACTATTGACTTATTGACTTATTGATTGACTTATTTGATTCATACTTAAATTTTCGAAACACAACCAAAAACTAACGAATTGCATACAAAATCGCAAAAACGAGGTATTGTTTACAAATACAACTGAAAATCTATCTTTGAATGTGAATAGGCTTGTTACGTCACTTTTTGCATCTTGCTGATTAGACAATGTTACGAAATAAACAAGAAAGTCAATTCTCGAAACATCTCCTGGAAACAAAATTTCGGACAAATTCCTGTTCATGTTATTGCGGGCCAGATGAAAGGACTCCGGATCCGACTTGCAGGCCGTAGTTTGGTGACCTCTGATCTAATCTAACATTCAAATAACTTGAGAAGAGTCTAGAAAAGGGTTGTGCAACCTTTAATACAGGGGGAGCCAGATACAAAGAACTGAGTCAAACCGTGGGCCACACCTTCATTTAACATAGGCTTTCTAGTAGTTACATGCACAAAAATTTTGGTTATTGACCTTGTGCGCTGTTCGCTTCGCATAAGCCTAGGTATAGGCTTTGTAACGCAAAGTGATTGGAATTACTCGCACATACTAGATTAAATTGAAAAAAATCCCCCGCAGGTTGCACACCCCTGGTCTAGGACACCAGTTTTTAAACCACCTGTTTGATTTGACTGGCTGTGATCAGAATGTCTTGCACCCTCCTGGCTCGATGTGAACAAATATACAATGGACAACTCAGAAAATATTTAAGTAAGATTGACTACTAGATTACATATAAAAAGCAAGATAAAGTGCTTACATTAGAGTATCCAGTACCAGTGATTGTATAATCTTGAATCACTCCGCTACTATTCAATTCTTGTGAATTCTCAGTATTATGCTGTTAAATGTAAATATTGTAATGAAGTAGAAAACGAACAGGATGATTATCAAACTCACTCATTTTTATGCTTACCCCAACCATTCCAATTCCATCATTAGTCACAGGTTCTAATATCTGGTATTCCATTGCAACTTCTTCTTCAGAAACTAAATTCAAATTACTCACAATGGAGTCATCTCTTATTTCTGGTACTACACTAGCCATTGTTTCTGATGAGATTAGTTGCATATTCATCGCTTGTTCTGATTCTGGATACAAGTTTACAGATTCAGATGATATCTGTTCTTTTTTCTTAGATTTCTGATTATTTTTCGCAGTTTTTATATCACTGATAGATTCGTTAATCTCAATAGCAAAAGTACTTCTCATCATATCTTGGAATTTTTTTGCGGATGCCCGTTGCGGAGGTCTGGTTGGACTCAGAACTTTAGAAGATGTTGTTGTCTGGTTTTTATCTGCCTGGTGAAGCTGTTTAGTTGATTGTTTGTTCGAAACTGTAAAAACCACATATATTGAAATTTTAGTTTATATAGGTTGGACATCTAGATTACGAAGCTTGGTTACTGATTGATCATGATAAAGCTGGCCACCTCACAAAGGGTATAAGAAATGGGTTGGGTTAAGAGAAATTCAGGCCCAGCTAAATGTAGTATATAATATTGATTTCTATACATAACATTATCAATAGATGAGAAGTGGGTGGTACGGGATCTCATAACAATCTACATAGCGCAAATTAATAAATTGAAAGCTTATTAAGCATACCAGTCTCTTCTGCCACTTGTTCACCTCTTTTCTCTTCTGTTTCATGTTTTTTCATGTGAAGCTACAAAACAAAGCAGACGAATGATAATAACTTACAAAATGAAGTAAATATTTGCATATAGAGCATAACCAACACAATCAAAGATTAATCCACTGATCAAATTTCTCTGGGTTTTAACACATAGAAAAACAAAATTGATGACAATAGCCTGCCAAAAACATGCTTCATTTTTTTTATCTCAGAGGTATTTTTTTTCAGGACAGTTTCACTGTCCCAAAATTTTTTGTGTTGGGACATGAGCTAAAATGTATTTAGCATTCATATTGTAACACTAACCTTCATAACATAAATACTTGTAAATTTTTTGTTACATACAGAACAGGACATTTGTTCAGTGTTTTGCGCTCGCATAGGAAAACTATCAACTTGTTGGACTTGTTCATCACTCGTATGCTGTGACAAATGTCTTTTCAGAGCAGATCTAAATTGAAAAAAAATATTGAAGCTCTTCCTAAATACCACTGTTCGAGTTTGTTTGGTGTTCAATTTGGATACAGTAATCAGGCATTTGGCTATGATTATTAGTTTATTACAATAGTTATAGAAGTCAATTTTATACACAAGTTAGGGCACAAGATATAAGTCTGGTTCATATGATGGTCTGGTGATGACAAGGGACGAATTTTGTTATTTTGGAGAGAAATTATTAGTACTTGGTGTAGTTTCACTAATATTGTTTAACACACAATGTAAACTGTTCAGATTGCGCAAGAGCTAAGAATCCATTAAATGGTTTTCATACATAGTGAGGGATGAATAAAAAGATCCAAAATAAACAAAAAGAGGAATTTGTCAAAAAAGTTTGGTGTATTGAGCCTAAATAATGTTGAGATCTCAAGTTAGATTTCACACGATGCCCACCAAACTTAGAATCAAAAGATCAATTTTGCAGGCTCTGTTAAACCAGGAAGATTCTGAACCTTTCGAAGCATATTAAATACATCTCAATATCAATAACTAGTTCACCAGAGTAACATGTACAGGATTACTATTATCTGTATAATTAAATAGTATTAGTTATTAGAGTTGTACCAAAATAGCTCCAGTCATTGACAATTTCAACAATCAAGCTCCATATGACATACCTGCTCTTGAAGGTTTCTTGGCATTTGTTACAAAAAAATTCAGAAGATGAATTGTCAGCAATTGTAGACTGCAAAGTAAGAAAAAAAACTTGAAATGCTAATGTGGATAGGATCTACTAAAAATATACTTCCATCAAAACTAAGATTTCAAAATACACTTACATGTCCCACCTGCTCATCAAAAGTCTCCTCATTCTCTTCCAAGTCTTTTTTGAATTTTCGGTCGCTGAGTTTCTTACCAGACTTTTCGATGTTTAACATTAGGTCATTACTTTCATCGTTTTCCAAAGAAAGGTGTTTCTTTTTCTTGGCTTTATGATTTCTGCTAGAGGACGAGGACGCTAAAGGACGAACTTCCTGAGATTTTTTATTACTTTTGCTCTTACTTTTCTTTGTTCCACCCAGAACAGCAGGGGTATTATCAGATGAGGAGGAGGAGGATTTTGAAGAATCAAATTTAGAAACAGAAGACCTTTGTGGTCTTTCAGGGCTCTGTACCTCAGTCATTTTCATTTCTGTAAGTGTAACAGCAGACTCAAGATGCTCTGTTAAAGTTTTGATTTCCAGACATCTTGAAGCTTTCAAAAAGGCATTAAGCAATGATGAATCTATACTTGTATCATCTACGGCTGTTGATGATGCTGGAACAAATACAATAATTGTTTTAACAAAAAAAATAAAAATACTACTTCTAATAAATACATTATAAGTTAAACCTAGTGTTCCGAGTGTTGGACTCAGAGGTTACTGATATCGGGCTAAAGCATGATGACCGCCACCTCACCCACAGTACTTTGAATAGAGTAGGCAACGACGAACCATAAAGATTCTTCTTTTCCAAAAATGGTAGCTCATTACATATTTGTGACTTCTTGTGCAAGGCCTTGTTCAGAGTAAAGGGAGAAAAAAAAATCGTATGAATTTGCAGCATACCTTCAACATGTTTAATCTTTGATGATGAAATCCTCTTTGATTTTCTAACGCTGGATATGATCTTACCTAAATAAGCAATTGCAATATAACACTAATTTCATTTGTAAAACATTAGTTTGAGCAACAAAACATTGATAAAATGCAGTGCATTTAATATTTCAGTATTCATCTTGAAAAACTGCATGCAGATCAGCCTCTACAAATGTATAATTTCATTTCATAACTAAGACTCATAAAACGAAAATAACTTTCAACCTACAATATTCTGAAGGAATTTGCCTTACCTTTTTGAGGGGATTTTGTTTGGAATAAATCAACATTGCCACTGTATATGTAATTCAGAAGGCTGTCCATACATGAGCTCACAACATCTTTTGGAAGTAAAACAAAAATCTTTCCAATCGAGCCCTCAGGGGAGGTGACCTAAGAAAATTGCCTTTTGTTATAAATGGATAGAGATAACAAATATGCATTACAAAATTCATAACAGCTAAAATTTAGTTTGGTTTGTAAAGGAAAATATAAATAAAAAAGCAGTACGCATGAAAAAAAGGGAAAAAACATCTGGCTAGTTTTCGGCTATACAAATTGAAACGAGTGAATATAATAAGCCATGCATACAATGGTCTTCAAAACTTATATCTGCAACAAATAACTGGTTAATTATTCCCATACCCATGGACTGAAAACTAAACAAGAGGATGTGGTGTGCTATATGTTTAAGTCATGTCATCGACATTCTTCTATTTCGAAATCCTACATTTAAGTAGATTTTTTGGTGTTTTTTTCATTTGTTACATCTAATTGAATACATGCAGTAAACGAAGCATGAACGGACATGTGTTTCCTGGTCTTATCCCGCGAAACACTAAACAGGCAAACATCGCTTGTTTGCATATGGCCTCATCAGCTTACAAGCGTCAGCTTGATATTGCTTGTGCACAAATTCCGGATATTAAAAAATCAATTTTGTGGCACGAAGTCTTGAAACTAGTCAGTTCTCATTATGTCATTTATGTGTGATTGATAAACATTGAGTGAAGTGGGAAAAATAACTACATAACTTTGCAAAAATTGTTCAAACAGTAACTGATACATGCTTTCATCCTTTATTAGCTTAGCAATCAATAAAATATTCTTTACTTGTAACTTTCCATCCATCGAATCTTGGAGCAATTTGTCAAGAACAGATGAAGCGGAAGATAAAACACAACTATGAGCATTGAATGTTTGATCAGAGTCTATGCATTTGAGCACAACATCACAGTATTTTCCTTGCTTTTGTTTTTCATGGAGGCTAGAAAACATTGTCGTCTGATGTTCACTCCAGTTATCTCGGTGAGTGGTTGATACCATCATTTTGCACCTGCATAGATTTACATTAACCATTATATCAATATTTTAGTAGCCAATTTATTAAGAAAAAATGTCTGAGTTCTTTTGAAGACTTGGTAATTTCTTATTTTTTGTGTTAGACGGTCAGGTCAATAATTTTAAAAATTTGTCGCAGTCCAAAATATTGAGGGAAGAAATTTATCATCGTTTTTTTGAATGCATTCTTTAGTGAGAGAAGGGAATAGATCATTTTGACTTAAATGCCAGATACCCAATAACAAAATTTGGCCAAAAATTATTTAATTATCACTTACACGAATTATAACATAAATGAAAAAAATACCCAAAATAAACATCCAAATACAGAAATATAAAAATTAACAATCAAGTGCATTTAATTGGACTATTCATTTAGCTCATCACCTATCAAATCACAATTAAACAGTATCAGAGTATGCTGATATTATTTGTTTTGATGAAAATGAGCTATTGGGCAACAAAACTACAGTCATCTCCTAATCGTTTGCAAGGACTAGCAAGGCGCGTGAGTTTTTATCTTATAAGATTTGTTTTGAATACGGGTGCCGTATCTAAATTCTAACCCTGCACTCCAACCATCAGCTGAAAGACGCCATTACCACAGGGTTAAACTGAACCTCACAATGCGGATTCCTAAATCTGAAATACTGGTTGCAATCTGCCTGACATTTATGAAAATTCTAAAAGTACGTGAAGTTATATAGACTATATTTATATATATAATTAATTGATACTACCTTTCCGTAATCCTTCGGGCGAACTTCACTATATAAAATCAGCAAAGAACACGAGGCGTGAATGGCTTATAAATTGCTTTTTTTCTCAAACCCTCTATTTTTGTGTGACGTTTGGGCGGTGCGAAACCACGTGATCGGCAGCCCATTCGTGTGTATCGTAAACAGATGCAAAGATATCCGGGATAAAAAATTCAATATTCGATAATTTCTGCGTTTCTATTCAACTACAATCAGCGCGGCGTTACAGCAGTGATTGGCATTTACAGATTTAGCCTGCAGTCAAATGAGTGCGGATTTGGTAATGCTGTAATGGAAACAAATGGCAAGTTTTTATCCATTATTTTATCGTCTTTTATGCTGATTATGGAGTCAAAATAAACTTTACGCATATGAAAAAAATAAATATGTAGCATTATGGCCTTACCGTACCGGTAGTTCTCAACCAATCACAGAATGAGCCATGGCACACTGCTCGGCCACAAAATATGAAAAATTACTTAAATACAGAAATAATAAATTTAGTTCATTTGTGTCACTATACACAGGTCAGCAGATAGATACATCATACAGCTATAGTTAAATTTTGATTGTAGTAGCAATGAATAATGATGGTGCTTCTAATTATTAAAGTTGAAGTGCCCGTTTTTTCAAAGAGTATTTTTTTGTTTGTAGTTTTCCCTGGCATGAAAATGTTAATGGGCCACAAAAGAAATCGGTTGAGAACCATTGGCCAGATTTTTATTTATTTATAGGACTCATTGGTATTGAGCTGGACCAGTGGTTCCCAAAGTGGGGTCCGCGGATCTTGCAGGACCTCCTGTGGCCGGGAATCATTAAAAAAATTACAAGGGGTCCGTCATGGATTTTTTTTAAAAAGTTTGGGAACCCCTGGGCTGGTCCTTCGGCCAACATAGTCAACACTAATATAGGGTTGAACTCTGATCTGCTTAAAGTTGTTTATCTGGACAATTCAATATCAATGGGATGGGACCACAGTTTCACATTGTGGAGAGAATTTTGTTAGAATTTATTCAAAAATGTATTTAACATACTGATATATGTATATACGGTACATATTGCAGTATTGGATGTAAAATGGCATTGGGGCCACTTTATTTCCTGTGTGCTGTTTTTTAGACAAAACAAATAACAGTTATTTGGAAAGTATAGCTTGTAGTTCAGTAGTTGTATACTATGATTTTTATCGATAATGTATGCATTGTTATTTTTTATGATACAGTTTAATTATAAACTGATGCAATAGTTACCGAAAAGATGACAACTTGTATGTGCTGTCCTGCTTTTCGTCCTCGTTACAAAAGGCTTGTTGATAATATATTCCCAACTACGCATGATGGAGGACTTGTTCGTAGTGAAATGGAAAAATTGACTTACTATGCAGTTTCGGCTCCTGAAAAACTTGATAGAATAGGAGAATATCTTGCCCACAGACTAACAAGAAGCATCAGCCGCAAACGAGATGCATCTGTTTTCATAGCAATGGAAGCTCTTGATCAACTTCTTTTAGCTTGTCATGCTCAGCAGATTAACTCCTTTGTTGAAAGCTTTTTAAGAATGGTTGCCAATCTTCTAGAATCTGACAACCTTGATTTCCAAGCAGTCGGAACAAATTCTTTCATCAAATTTTCTATGATAGAAGAGGATACTGCATCTTATTACAGACGCTATGACTTTTTTGTATCAAAATTCAGTGCAATGTGTCATTCTAACTTAGATAATATGAGAGATAGAAAAAAGATACAAAGCCATGGCGTTCGCGGTATTCATGGTGTGATTCGAAAAACTGTAGCAGATGAGCTTCAAGTCAATATATGGCAAAAACAACACATGGACAAAATTGTGCCATCATTACTTTATGTAATGATGCAAGAACAGACACAAGAACCAAGTCCTGGGAGACGAGAATCTTTTGCACACAATAAAGACACAGTAGAAAATATTGGCATCAATGCCGGAGATTGCTTACGAGAGCTGTTATCAAGAGCAGCATATGGTAATGTCGGCTCTGCTCTACGTCCAGCCCTTGCTCATCTCGATGCCCACAAAAAGTGGAATCCAGTGAATACATTTGCAATCAAATGTTTCAAGGTGTTCATGTTTGCGATTCAAGCTCAATATACTCACGTCATTGTAAAAATGCTGCTTGACCATTTGGATGATCAAGATATTGATCAAGGAAAATTGAAAGCGAGTATGCTAGAGGTTCTTTGTGCTGTAGTTGTTATTCCATCTTCATCACCTATAGGGCCAGCAGTAGTTGAAGTTTTCAGTCAACTTTCGCGCCATCTCAGATATTCAATTGAAAGTAAAAATCACAAGGAGCAAGAAATTTTTCAAAAGGCTTTTATAAACACTATTGGGGTTTTATGCAATGTTCTACCAGACTTTCAAAAGTTAGAAGCTATGGTGTTTTTTGTAACCAAAGCAAAAGAGATTATAAATAAAAACTTACACATTCCGGATTCCAGTGACAAGAAGCATCAACGACTGCTGAATTTAACCCTAAAAAGTTTATATCGGATCACCGAAAACTATAAAAGTAAAAATCTGTCGGGCCTCAGCTCAAGTTTACTGGACCCACTCATTAAAGTGTCAACTGCTTCATCACCCAGTAATAGATTGATTATACAAAATGTTCTTATACGTTTACTCGATAGAGAAAAGAATTCTGATTCGTTAATTGTTTCTAATTCAATTTCTGGTGTGGAAAATATGAACCTAAATATCACAGAAGTAGGAGTGACAGATACAGACTTCATAGAACGAAAAGTTCCCACTTTGCTGCAATATATATTTGAAAGCTCTTGTCAATATGATAACATCACAGCAAACTATGTGGCTTTATACAAATGTGCTAGTATGATATGTATTAGCCTTTCTTCACCTGATATTCTTGTTGATGCATGTCGAGTCATGCTCGCTTTGCAAAATGAAGCGGTGGGCTCACATCCAAGTATGGAAGAACAAGAAATGGATGGAAAAAACAAAACATTACTACTAAATATGATATCAGCAAGCATGTGTGTTTTTGCATTTTCATCGAAAGTTTCTGGATTTGTGAAATATGTAACTAGTGTAATGCAGGCACGGCTGAAGGATGACAAACTAGAATATTTAGATCCATGTTTCACATTCAATGAAGAAGGTGACATTATCCCACTGCCTGCAAATATCAATGATAATTTGCTGTTTTCAGCAAAGGCAATCCAAGCATCTCTAAATGATTCAAGCATGTACAAATCGGAAAGACTGGCACAAACTTTTATCCCAACATACCCAGGTGAAGCTGAAAGTGTTCAATTAAAAAAGAGCTTTGTTGATGCAGACTCTGTTAGAATTGAAATTCCTGGGCCAGCTGATGATCAACCAGATTCAGATGATGGTAGAGTGACATCCAAAATGATAACTTTTGATTATCTGAAAAGAAAACTAATGGAGCCAGCACCATCACCCTCTGATGTGGAAGAGGCTAGACGGAAAGCAGCACACCATATTATGACATCCACCTTTGAGCAGTTGGTTTCTGAAGTGCAATCAAAGACCCCATCGAGTCAACATCTTATTGATCTGATTAACAAGAGCTGCTCTTCACAAAATGAAAATAACATTACTATGCTGCCCTATGCCATGCCGGAAGATTGTAGACCTGGGTCTAATAATCTAGTTTTTCCTTCCATATGTGTGTTGTAAATTGGGTGCTACAGAAGTATGTGTACCAATATGGAAGTAACTAATTTTGTACGCCTATTTCACGTCAACTTGTGTAAAGGGACTGAAACCTATGGGCAGTCAGACATTCTTGCGATAGAACTAAAATAAGAATAAAATTATGGCCTAACCTGGTACACATACTACGGGAGTACTGTAAATTGTAATATGTCATCACAAACTTGCAGGACTGAGAGATTGTAAAGATGAAATATATAACTGCACATATTCCATTAAAACTTGTCAGACTGAACATATTTATATAAAATTCCTGGCTCTGTCACTGTGTCGCATTTTAAATCAGGAAACTTTGATTGCTCTTAGGCTTTAGTATAAACTACCAGCACAATTTAATATAAATTTGTTGATTTGTGTTTAATAACAAAACTTACTATTTATTCAAATTTATTCAAATGTTGATAATCACTGATATAGAGTATTATTTTAGTTGTTTATAACATGAAAGTCGTAAATATAATTGTAGGACCTGATCGGAGTTTTTTTGCATTGGGTAAGATGAGGTAGGAAAAAGCAACCACTATAATTGTTTCGGTGAAGTCAAAATGTGGGATTGATAATAAATAATTAGAACATTATTATATATATATATATATATACAATTACATTAATAATAAAAAGATGCAGGGTGACATATCACTGCTCAGCCATATATATCATAAAAAACTGGCATTTCCTATTGATGACACCTTTGCATAGATCCTTCAATTATTGTTGCTGATAATTATAGATTAGCTGACATCTTGACCCAAGCCTTTTGAAGCTGATGTGCGATGGCATGCTTTGGGGGAACTAGGAGGCCTTTATCTTTCGTAAAGCCCCCTGCAAGTGCTTCTGCAACTTCCGATCTCGTGAACCACTTTGCATCTTCAAGCTCTTCTTGATCTACAGTTATTTTCTCTGAGACTGCATACCCAACAAGACCTATCATTAGCTGTCCCGGAAATGGCCATGGCTGGGATGAATGATATTCCAAACGACCAACTTCAACACCACTTTCCTCATGTACTTCACGCCTTGCCGCATCCTCAACAGATTCCCCTGGTTCCATGAATCCTGCTAAGCAAGAATACATACGAGGTGGAAACCTTGCTTGTCTACCAAGCAAGCATTTCGTTCCATCTGGTGACACAACCAGAACGATTACCACTGGGTCAATTCTTGGGAAACATGTGTTGTGGACACCATTATGGCTTCTACATTCTGAATTTAAGCAACTTCTTTTGTATCCAGATTCAGCCATTTTAGTTTTACTTCCACATGTTGGACAAAATCTGTATCGATCATGCCACGCTAAAATTGAGCGAGCTTGGGCAACTAGTCCAGATTCTTCGACTGGTAACATCATCATTCTGGTCGCATATCCTTTTCCAGAAAATTCACCGCCAAATTCCTTCGCAGGAAAGCCTTCTTCACTGGGAAAATGTCGGTAGTTAATTGCAAAATAAGCAATAGTATCTGGTTCAATACCAGAATCATCACTATTTTTTCCCAAGCAACCTTTGCCAATGTAAATGACATCATATTCTTTATCAGCCACTGCATTCAACTGGTCATATGACAGAAACAACACTGATGGTTTACTAGACTTGTTTGTTGAGATCAATAATTCCAATTCAGCAAAAACTGCATATCGAGTTGATCTCAAAGTTTTAAGAGACTCAATGTATTGAACATCTTTCCGCTGATAAGACTGTCTATTGGCTGCATTGGTTCCGAAATAGTTGACATGTTCCAAACGAGATGATGAGGGTTTTAAAAACTTATAAAGAGTGTCAACAACACCTTTTTGATTCCAGAATGTTCCAATGTCAGTGACACTTTGGCCAGTCCTAGTAGTTAAACTAGGATCCGCACCATTCTCTAGCAGAAACTTCACTATTTCTTTATGACCATTTCTTGCAGCGAGCATTAGTGCGGTCCAGCCATGATCATTTCTATGATCTATCGAGACTGAACGAAAGAAGCTGAGCGTGTTTCGGATGGCATTCACATCGCCATCCGACGCAGCCCTAAAAAAGCGTTCGGTGAGTTCAGCTTGCGCATTGCTTCCCCGCAAATTCGAAACATCTTCCAAAGCATTGTTCATGCCAAAATTAACAAACGAAAAATGAGTTTACTAGACCTGTAATTTGCAAGTTGAAAAATCACTCATAATTATATTTCCATACCAAAAATTGCACCAACAAGCAGGGAGAACAGGGAACAAGTCAACAATGCTGTATTTATGAAAGGTAAATGTTGTTAATATTGCAGTGTGACGCATCATGCTACAGTCAGACAGTGCTAAGCGTCAGGAATACACTCGCCACCGCACCTCTGATTACCCTGCGTGGATTCGAATGCCATGTGGGGATAGTTATGTGCGAGAGGATTGCTAGACTCTTCGCCGACATAGCGTGGATAGGATAGAATTTACAGGATTACCCTGCGTCAGTACGTGGGTTCTAGTCCCATGCGGGGATAGGCCTAGTAGTGTGCGAGAGGATTGCTGGACTCTTCGCCGACATAGGGTGGTTCACAGTTTCCTCCCCCATCAATTCCACGCTTCGGAAAACAAATAACTGGCTAAATAATCTCATGTCATATCGCCACCGAGGCCGTGGTTCGACATATTACTGTATTAGGAATTTTCGTCTCCCCTGGGAATTGGGATAAATATGTAAATCATATTCTGTACTAATACAGATACCACCAATACATATCTCTATGGCGCGGCGGTGTGGCTCATCCTGCTAAGCGTTAGGAGTACGCTCGCCACGGCATCTCCTATTACCCTGCGTGGGTTCGCATGTTCGAGTCCCATGCGGGGTAGTTATGTGCGAGAGGATTGCTGGACTCCTCGCCGTCGTAGGGTGGTTCACGTAACCGCTGGTCGGTTACGGTACGGCTTCCTCCACCATCAAGTCCATGCTTCCGAAGAAACAAATAACTAAAACTAATCCCATACCCGACATGGACTGGTAACCGGACGAAGGGCCTTGATTAGCCATATGGTTAAGCCGGCTTTCCTCTCCCCGGGATAAATATGTAAATCCTATCCTATGTCAATCAGAGGTGTGGTTGTGAGTCCCTCAAAACAGAATCCGCCCGAATATATTTCTCTCATTTCAGAATTCCGGATTCCTTGAGGAATAGATACCTCCCTACAGGAGTGGTGACTCCTCTACGGCCCATGGGCTGGGGCCACGGCCCATCTAATTGGGCCACATGGGCCGTGGCCCATAGCTTGATGGGCCGCGGCCCCATCAAGAAAAATTCAATTATCTTAACAAAATTTTCAATTTTTACCAAATTGTCAATATTCGAACCAAAAAAATATACTCCTGTAGTATGTGTACCAGGTTAGGGTTAGGACAAAAAAAATTCAGATTTTTTACATTATAGTTCTATTATGAGTTCGGGGACTGTCTGTGTTAGCCAAGTGAATAGTTTCTTTACACAACTTGATGGGCCGCGGCCCATAGCCTGATGGGCCGAGGCCCAATTCGATGGGCCGTGGCCCCGGCCCATGGGCCGCAGAGCGGTCACCACTCCCACTCTACCTCCAAGCCTCAGTGAACAGGTTATTATTTTTATTTCAATATTGTTCCCATTAGATTGAACTCATTAAAATTGATTGCTATACTTCGTTGTGGGGTCGCGAAGAAAAAAGTTTGGAAACCACTGATTAAGGCCATAGTCTCTCAGAGTGATCCAGATAGTGCCCCAGGACTCCATGCAGGGCCGGATTTGGACGATGGAAAAGGTTATATATTGGTTTTATGAAAGGCCTTTTGGGTGTGCAACCCCTAGCATGCGTGAGGGTTCCGAAAACTATTCGGTTAGGTTACTCATTAAAATAATGACTTGGCTAATTCTGTAACTGTCCAAAAAAGCAATAACAGCATCAATAAAATTTAACAACGGTAGCGTCGAAACAACAAGGCGGTAATTAACCCCTCCCCAAATTACAATTTCAAACACCCCCGGTAACACCGGTATCTTTTGTATACGTACCAGCATTAGGATTACATACGACAGTATTTTATCCGCCAAACAAAAACTTGACACTGAAAACAGACGTTTTTTAGATGAATGTCAGCGTTCTTATTTCTTTATTGAATAGAATCAAACTTCAGCGATTTGTCCTGTCCAACAAAATATTCCAGTTCTGAAGGAATACATTAATACAACATTAGCCGTCATTATGAGACTAGGCATTCTTCAGATTATGATCAGTTGACGCGCGTATTTAATTCATTGCTAAATTCATACAGACGTCAAACAAACATGTTCAAAGAAATATCAAGAGAAAGTGAATCTACGTTATTGGCCAGTTATATTGTAGCCCGCAACATCGCTAAAAAGATTCGCTCGTTTGTTGAAGGGGAATTTTTCCGCGAATTTATGCTGCAAGTTTTGGAAGTCATTTCTCCTAATATAAAAAGTAACCTTTCCAGCATCAAGCATCCTAACAACACAATTATGAATCTAACAAATCAAAATTTCAGTTCAGACTGACAGACAATCTTTTGAATGCGTTATTCGTTTTTTTATATATGTAAACTTGGAATGTTTTTTGTGTAAAAAAGCAAGCCACAAGTAGCCATTTATACGGGGCCGCATGCTAGTTCAGCAAATAACTTCATTAGTCACTATCAGTTGCAAATTTATTGTTGAAAGTTGTGCTTGTTATTCCTCGGTTGTTCTATCACCTTACTATTATAATTATTAATTTTATTACATAACAAACTGCGATGCTGAGTGTATCTAAAATCAATCTTGTAGCCTATTTTAATGCCTGTTTCAAAATTTTCTCCGGGCGCTTGAGCGCGCTCGGAACCCCAGCCGTGCCGTTGGGCCCTTTTTGTCGCACCCCTTTCCTGGCCCCCGAATATTCTTCTGCTTCAATTTTTGGTCCGCGATCATATCAACTTTCGGAACCACCTGGTGTAGATCGTTTGCCAAATGCATAGCCAATTTTTATAATTTACAAAATATTTACCACCCCCTGAATTTCAAAACACCCCCTAAAATGAAAAGCTGGGGAACATACTGTCTATAACAGTGGTTTCCAACCGCCGTGCCAGAATTATTATTGGTGTGCGACCAAAAGATTTCATTTTTGAATATATTTCAAATGATTCCAATAGGCAGTTGAAAGCGAAAGTTAGCATATCGGCTTTTTTAATTTAAATCTTGATGATGGGGAAAATGTTCAAGTTTTGTGACAGGTATGCCGCGAATATTTGCAGACCTCAATAATGTGCCGCGATATAAAAAAGGTTGCGAACCAATGATCTATAAGTCCCAATAAATAATGCCATATTTCAATTACCACCTGCTGCCATTATTTGTTATTTTCAAAATACAAAGCAGCAAGCAAATACATCCGCGTCATCAAATAAAGTAATTTTAATTTTTTCAGAAACATTAATCGGTAAGTAGCAATGTGGATTTTTTTCTATTATATATTAGAAATTTTTTCGTGGAGCTCCGTAAATAATAGTCAACATCTTCACGGGCTCCATAACACCAAAAGTTTGAGAATCCCTGCTTTACTATAGTGGTGGTAGCAAAAAAATGCAAAAAAGGCCAGAATGTCAACATAAGGATGGCGAACTGCGGTCGATGCGTGCCATGCGGTAGCCCACATGCGTGTCAGTTTAGGAATGGCGAAACAACGCCGTTTATAAATCCAAAATTGAGCACAAGGTTAGCATGCAGTTTGAAGTTATAGGGACTATCGTATGCTATCTACCCCAATCGACCATATTTTGACATACCCTTTTTGGCTCGACCCCATATCGCTATCCCTATTTGACTCGCATTGACCGCATTTTGACAAGCCCAATGTGACTTTTACGCTAACATGTACCACCTCCTCTTGCTCTACGGCAATCTCGACTAGTCCTTGTATCTCGTTTGTGTTTACCACAGCACTCAGATCACTGAATTGGAAATATTTATCCTTGTTCTGTGGCTCGGCCCACAGATATATAGAGTGTGCTTCTGTCTCATTGCTGCGGGATCTATCGAAGGCTTTCTCGTTTGACGATAGACTTCAAATTTCCGTGGCGCGTAATGCATTTCTTGTGGTATTTGACAGAAATTATTTATTCGCCTGATCTTGATTCGTTTCTGTATGAAAGTATGGAACGCAAATAGCTCCCCCGCCCATCACAGCGTTCTAATTTCGGCTTTTTTAAAATTTGCGTAGGTCGTGGATGAATAATTATGGCTAATGTATCAGTGAAAAAGCGAACATTAACGACCACGGAATATTATCCAATGTGACTTATCGGAATCGCTTCCCCATTTACATGTACTTGGCCATATTCTATTGCCTGACTCCAAATTTGCGTGGTTATCTGGATTTCATTGCGCGGCCTTGCTATGCAGTACCAATGTTATACAAATAAATAGAACTAGAGTGCGCTTCGCTCTCGTTTCGCGAGATCAACTGAAAACTTTGGTGAAATCTCTCCAGTGAAAGTTTTTTTTTATGAGATTAGTCAAAAACATTTGTCTCCACTTTTATCCATAGTGTAATCGCCCAAACCACCACGCTTTTTCATAAACGAGATCCACATCAGGCTCTAAATTCCAAACTTGAATATAATAGTATTTGAACAATCATAAAGTGTCGCATGTATCAGTGCAGATGGTAGATCAAAAAGGTAACACCCTTTTTATGGGTTACAACTAGCAAAATAATTACCACCCCTAAGCCATGAAATTTATTATATTTGATATATTATGGTAGCTTCTTTGATTTCAGAAAAATTTTAAAATGTCCGAATTTGCGAATTGTCGATTTTGAGACCTAAATTTGGCATCAACCAAGCAGGGCAAAGCATAGTTTCATCAGATGCATGTAAATGAAATGTGAAAACAATGTTCCTAATATTTGTGCTATTTCAAATAGAATCAAAGCAAAGATACAGAATATTGTAATTTTTTGAATAAAGTTGTTTCCAGTTTAGAATATATATGGGAATTTTTCATCAGCAATATGAGACTTGAAGAAAGAAACCAAAGTCAACCTTGTCTTCTCGGGAAACGTTTCTTTCAATGTAATTCATTGCTCAATCGTCATTCTGCAATTGAACCCCCTATCGCCAAAAAACTCAATCAGATCTCGCACGGCAATTTTTTTTTCAACAAGCAATTAATCACATTCACCTATGGCTCCTAAAGAGCAAAAATAATTGCGATATTGTGTCAAAAAAGCTGTTGAACAAAGAACACATATTACACCACACTGTAAAAGTGTTGATTACCAATGGTTAATCGTGTTGCGCAATCTGTGACGTCAGTCTCGTTTCTTTTTAGCCACACCTCGTATGTTCCGCCTGCTATTAAATTCAATTCAATTTGCAATTCTTCTGTTGTGGTGTAATTTATATTTTATTTATTATATGAAATTATACACTTTTCTTCGATTGCGATTAGAATGGAGTAATACATGAGCGATTATCTCGATATTGCGACAAGCAAGCAATTAATCAGAATAAAAAAAAACTGAGTGTTGAAACAATTAAATCACTATATAAGAATACTTGTATACCTTTGATGAAGTTTAGGGCAAAACATTTCAACTTTTGCCGCCAATACGTTTGAGTTTGGCTATTTTGATCCGGTGGTATTGAAATAATCGCTTTTTTCAAGTGCGTTAGCTAACGACATAAAATATCTTTATTTGTGACGTCGCAATAAATATATTTATTAGCCAACAATCGTAAATACGGCAATATTAAATTTGACAAAATGACAGTTTTATTAGTAACTAGACTTTGACTTGTATCAACAGGTCAAAATGTCGCAAATGCTCGCGTTTTTACTCGCGCTCTTGCGTGAGCGAATCAAGCACTTCATCAGCAGCGATTTCCCTACCCCCCGCCTAATTTTAAGGTGCGATTCCACACTGTAACCCCTAACTCAAGTATAATTGTATTCAAATATAACGACTATGGCATATTTATCAGTGTAGATGAGAGTGTTCCAAACCGCGGTCTGCGGTCCAATTACGGCCCGCGTAACGATTTAAAATGGCCCGCCGGACTTGAGTCAAATAGTTTACCACCTCCTGTGGGACTTTTTATGTTTTAGATACCGTCTATCGTTACATCATTATCACAGTTTAAGCACGTTTATTTCGTAATATTTGAATTATACCGGTATCTTACGTATTATACACTGCAATATTTTAGATATCAGTCGTATATTAAGAAAGGTTAAAGATGTCACAAAACGAAAACTAGGCACTGAAAACAGACATTTTTTAGATGAATGGCAGCGTTTTCATTTCTTCATTGGAAAGAATCAAACTTCAGCGATTTGTCTTCCTTGCCAACAAAATATTTTAGTTCTGAAGTAATACAACATTATGCGCCATTATGATCAGTTGACTCGCGTATTTCAAAATTTAATTTATTGCTTAATTCATACAAAAGTCAAACAAACATGTTCAAAAAACAATGTGAAATGTGTAACAAAACAAGCCATAGGTAGCCATTCATACGATGCCATATGTTAGATAAGCAAGTAACTAAATTAGTCACTGTATCAGTTGCAAATTACTTGATGAAAGCCGTGCTTGTTATTTATTTCTCGGGAATTCTATCAACTAAATACATAACAAACTGCGATGCTAGGTGTATCTAAAATCAAGCTTAGAGCCTATTTCTCAAAATTTTCTTCAGACACGACCCCAGCCGTGTCGTCGCGCACTTTTCCTCGCTACCGTTTTCTGGCCCTAAAATTTTATTCTGCTGTGTATTTCGGCTCGCCGTCAATCAACTTGGGGTACCCATCATGCACATCGTTTCTTAAATACATACCAATTTTTTAGGAATACAAATAGTTTTACCGCTAATAGCAAATTACTTACTGTTATATATTATGTTGAGCTTACTATCATAGCTTGTTTACTACTCTATCTGCTTGTGTGCTATATTGTTACGTCACAATGCTGTCTAGTGCCGTAAGTTGTTTTTCCTCTGTTTAGAGGTCTTTTGTTCTGAACTAAGTTGACGGACGGATGTCCAAATAAATCGCGTGCAGTTTTGTAATGAGTCTGTATTCATTACTTGTTATAAAGATATAACAAATTGGCGACGAGGATTAAAAAGCCTTTTTGTGCCGTTTTGTAGCCATTTCTTGGGGAAGGAAGGAAAATATATCGAAGTTACAGCTTAATTTCGAGGATAGATAAGAGAACAGTCGCTGGACTGCGACGGAGTTAGAACTGATTATTGCAGCATAATCAGTGACTTTGGATATTCATAGTGAACAGCATTCACTGGACTGGGAACCCAAGGCCTGTTATTATATTGAATTAAACGGCAGTAAATTATTTGAGCATCGTTGAAGCACGATTGCTACTGTTAACAAAATAATGACGTCAGCATCATTGGAAGTTGCGCAATTCAACATTAATCGCCCAGACGAATGGCAACAATGGCTGCGACGATTTGAAAACATGTGCCTCGCCATGTCGATTGACAACGCAGAGAGAAAGAAAGCGTTATTATTACATTTTGCGGGACCTGAAGTTTTTGACCTGAATGAGAATTTGCCCGCACCGCCGAATGCAGATGAAAATGATAATGTTTATGCCAACACCGTTAAGAAATTGGATAATTATTTCGTGCCAAAGATAAACATTGATTTTGAATGTGATGTTTTCAGGAATGCAAAACAGAAATTTGGCGAAAATATTGATACTTATGTGGCACGTTTGCGTAAATTAGCTGTTACCTGTGATTTTACGGATGCTGATCGTGAAATAAAACAGCAAGTTATTTCTGGTGGATGTGATTCTAGAGTTAGGGAAAAGCTCTACAGCAGCGTATGTCTCTTCGAGAACTTCTGGATTATGCAAAAAGTCTAGAACAAGCAAAGCAACAAACAAAACAAATTGAACAACGTCACACGAGACCAGAGAAATTATATGAAATTGATGTGCAGCGTGAAAAGAATTCCGATAGCAAATCCAAGCCTAGAACACCACAGCTTTCTTCGGCTAGAGGGGGTAAGTCTCTTAGATGTTTTCGCTGCGATAGTTCTAAGCACTTTGCCTGTGAATGTCCATTTAAAGATGCCAAGTGTTTTTGTTGTGGTAAAAAGGGCCATACCAAGAGTGTGTGTCGATTCAAGAAATCAAGTCAGTATACCCACGGCCAGAGAAGTAAGCAATGTAATTCTCAATGTTGTATCGCTGGTGATAAGAATACGCCGGGCGAAAGTGAAACGAATGAAAACTCTGGTTCATCATACGAATTACATCATACAGTGTCGTCCGTGCAAAATAACAATGTGGGTGTGAAATGCAATCCAATCTATCTTGATCTTGACATCGATGGCAAAAACATTTCTTGGGAAGTAGATACAGGGGCTACACTATCTGTCATGTCTTTAGTGCAATATAAAAAGTTGTGGCCAAAAGCAGAATTGAACCACACCGATGTTAAACTGTCTACATACACGGGGGAGTCTATTCCAGTAGAGGGAGAAAGGGATGTTACTGTAACGTATCAAAATGGTAACCCAATGGTATTGCCAATCACTGTGGTAAGAAATAGTAACCGCTGTAAACCATTGCTGGGGAGAAATTGGTTGAAACATATCAAACTTGATTGGAATTCAATTTTCAAAATTAACTATTCTGATGTTAAAATCAGTACACTGCTTGATAAGTATCCTGAATTGTCTTCACCTGGATTAGGTTGTGCAAAAACTGAAGCTAAATTGGAGATTGATGACAGCGTTAAGCCTAAATTTTATAAACCACGACCTGTACCTCTTGCACTCAAAGAATTGGTCGAAGCTGAACTTGATAGACAAGTTGAAATCGGTGTTTTGAAGCCATGTAAAACATCCGATTGGGCTGCACCTATGGTTACCGTATTAAAAGCTGATCAGAAGTCAGTTCGGCTCTGTGGAAGTTATGACTTGACTGTAAATAAAGCAAGTCGTCTTGAGCAGTATCCATTGCCAAAGGTGGATGAATTATTGACTAAATTTGCTGGTGGGGAAAAATTCTCTGTTATTGATCTGAAAGAGGCATATCTGCAGATACCATTGGCAGAAGAGAGTCAAAAGTACACAGTAGTTAATACACATAAGGGATTATTCACGACAAATCGTCTTGTTTATGGAATATCAAGTGCCCCAGCTATATTCCAGAGATATCTTGAAACACTGCTGGGTGACATAGCAGGTGTAGGTGTTTTCCAAGACGATATTGGAGTAACCGGTTCTTCTGATAAAGAACACATAGCCAGATTGGAAGAAGTTTTCAAGCGTCTTACAAATGAAGGTCTAAAAATTAATCCAAACAAATGTAAATGGATGGTTTCAGAAATTACTTATCTTGGATATCGTATAAATAAACTTGGAGTTCAACCAACTGAAGATAATCTGAGAGCTGTTCTGGATGCCCCAGAACCACAAAATATACATCAGTTGCGCTCATATCTGGGGATGCTTAATTATTATGGTAAATTCATTAAAAATTTATCAACTGTTGCTGCTCCTTTGTATGAACTTCTTCGTTCGAATGTTCGATGGCACTGGAATAAAAGGCAAGTGGAAGCTTTTAAGAAAACGAAATCGCTATTGTGTAATGCTCCATGCCTTGCTCATTTTGACGGAAATGCCGCCGTCATTGTTTCTGCAGATGCCAGTCCTTATGGAATCGGAGCAGTTTTATCTGTAATAACGCAGGAAGGAGAACGTCCTGTGGCTTTTGCATCCAGATCTTTGTCAAAACCAGAGCGTAATTATAGCCAATTGGATAGAGAGGGATTAGCTCTAGTATTCGCTGTTACAAAGTTCCATTCATTTTTATATGGAAGACCGTTTGTTTTGGAAACTGATCACAAGCCACTTCTCGGTTTACTTGGGAAGAATAAGCCACTTCCTGATGCAGCTCCACCGAGAATGATCCGTTGGAAAGTATTACTTGATGGATATCAATACGAATTAGTGTATGTTCCAGGTAAAAACCAAGCCAATAGCGATGCACTAAGTCGTTTGCCTTTGCCTGTTAAACCGGATTATATACCGCCTTGTGGTGATGTAGTGAATCTTCTTGAAGCAGTCGATTCTACCCTTGTTAAAGTTGATGCAATTCAGTCTTGGACGAGAAGAGATCCTGTACTGTCCGCAGTTATGCATCATACTCAAATGGGCTGGCCAAAATCTTCTGACATAGACCCAGAATTACAAATTTATAGAAGCAAAGAGACGGAACTAAGTGTCCATGAAAATTGTTTATTTTGGGGTTGTCGAGTAATTATTCCGCCACAAGGAAGACAGAAAGTGTTGCAATTACTTCACGATGGTCATTGGTATTTGTTCTATGAAAAGAATTGCTCGTAATCATAGTTTGGTGGCCTGGGGTTGAGTGGCTGGATATTGAAGAGTTGGTGAAATCCTTTGCCAGTTGTGTCAACAGTTACTTCCCAGTGCACCTCAAAGTTCCTGCTAGCCATGGTCTTTATCCTAATGGTCCATGGCAAAGAATACATATGGACTATGCCGGTCCAGTTGATGGGAAAATGCTTCTTGTTATTGTTGATGCGTTTAGCAAATGGCCAGATGTGTGGATTACATGCGTCAGTTTCTGCTCATGAAACTATTGAAAAAGTCAGACTTTCATTTGCTACACATGGATTGCCACTAGTTGTAGTCACTGACAACGCTGGTTGTTTTGCAGGAGACGAATTTGCAACATTTCTTAAAGCAAAATGGAGTGAAGCACTTGTTTTCACCACCGAGACATCCGGCTTCTAATGGCCAAGCTGAATCAATGGTAAAACAAGTTAAACTTGGATTGAAGAAACAAGCACCAGCATCTTTGTCAGTCAGACTTGTTCGGTGGTTATTTAAATACCGAACTACACCACATACAACGACTGGTCAGACTCCGTCGGAATTACTTTTTCGTCGTAAGATTAGAACGCATCTTGATCTAATCGCACCTTCATCACGTTTGAAGAAGTCAGCAGAGAATGTTCCAAGTGGAATAATAAGAACTTTTCACATTGATGACCCAGTTTTTATTACAGAAGTCGTTGGATCTCGTTTCAAATGGTTACCTGCCACAGTAACTGAAGTTATGGGTCAAATGTGTCGTGTTTGTTTGAACGATGGAAGAATTTTTAGACGTCATCTTGATCATATTCGACATCGATTTTCTGCTGATGATGTAATGGTACGTGAAGGGAATCAAGATTTTAGAATGAGTGAGAGAATACCAGCTGCAATTCCAACAGGAATACCTGATGTTGATGTGGGAGATAGAAATTCAACTCCTACCTCTACTGCTATTGAAGAGACTGATGAATCTCAAAATGACAGAGACAATGTAGACCCAGTTCCTAATTTTCCAGAATCGTCCAGTAATTCAAACATACCTTATAAAACAAGATCTGGCAGAATATCAAAACCGCCAGAAAAACTATCTCTATAAGAAGTTTTATAATTTTGTACTGGACAGAATTATAGTTGTAAAAGTTTTTTTGAATTTCTTAGTTTCTTTGTGAAATTCTGTACGTTGCTTGTATATTTGTTTTTGCAATATTTTATACCATTTGATTGGGAATGTTGGAATTCGGGTAATTGTGTTGTACATTCATTTTTAATATTTGGTTCTTGAATTTGTACAATATTTCCAAAAAGGGGGGAAGGAGTGTTATATATTATGTTGAGCTTACTATCATAGCTTGTTTACTACTCTATCTGCTTGTGTGCTATTTGTTACGTCACAATGCTGTCTAGTGCCGTAAGTTGTTTTTCCTCTGTTTAGAGGTCTTTTGTTCTGAACTAAGTTGACGGACGGATGTCCAAATAAATCGCGTGCAGTTTTGTAATGAGTCTGTATTCATTACTTGTTATAAAGATATAACACTTACCACCCCCTAAATTTCGAAACACGCCCCCTAGAATGAAAAGCTGGGGAACATACTGTTCCCCAGTGCGTTACAAGTTTTGCTGCCATTCGTTAATTTTGTATCTGAAGTATTATTCTTCACCGACGTTAATCACCCGAGAAAAGAAAACAATCTGTATGTTGGAGCAGAATTATTTTCGGGCAACATCGGAATTCCTCATGACGATTACATACTGGAAAATTCTGTGAATAGTAAGGACATTGGTGGATTTTTGCATCATCTGTTCAAAGAGCCCAGGAATTGGTTATTTTGGCTGGTAACATTTCCTTTAACTAAAAAGATAGCGTTGCTTTTAACCGCAATACTTAGACATGATAAATTCTCGATCTCGTTCATTGTTCAACTGCTAGGACAAACTGTTGAGGCTATAAAGAGTCTAAAAATCAGAAAAAGATTTCATAAGACTTTTATTATGCGTTTGACAATACGTATGTATACTCATCCTGAGGAATGCTTCAGAAAACATTAAAAAAACTAGCTATTAAAAAAAATCAGCAAGAAAATTTATTTGTCAGGCAGTGAAACGTCATGACAACATCGCTTCAGAAAGTCTGAGACTACGAGAAAAAGAACAAATGCTATCGTATATGACTGAGAAACAGTTTTGATCGCTCTGAAACAAATCGTAATTACCCGAATAATAAATCTAAGGACAACAGCATCAAATTCAGGCCCGATGATAGACCGTCGAACGGCAATGTTGTAAATGCAAATCTACCGCGTCAGCAAGGAAGCATTCATCCGCGACCTGGAGAAGAAAATCTTCATCCACCCACTAAAAGCGAAACATATTCGTGAATCATCATATTACATCACCATGGCGACCGCGGCCTGTCGTGTCTGGAGTTGCTTTCTTTCGTTATTATCCGGGTTAACGGGTCGCTTAATGGCGTCTCAAGTCCGGCTTTTGTTAGTATTTTATGTTTGACTTCTTTCTCATTATGATTTAATATTAGACTCACTGCCTCAAAGGTGACGCTGCTCGATAACCTTCTCTGGTTTATCGCGTCTCCCTTCACACTGAAATGTAATTTTTCATTTTTTCAATTTTGTTCGTCAATGTTTACATTCGGTTTTTGATAAAATAAACTACTGACTGACATCAAGTTACCAAAGACTTTCCGGTTAATTAATAGAGAGAATCTACCACAAATGTATGAAACCAACTCGAGTCCTGAAATCTATGAGAAAGACGCCGAAAGGGAACTTTCTGCAACAGAATACGATGTGCTTGCTGGGAATACAAGATTAACGTCAGTGTCTTTTAAAAATGTGATCGATGGAGTTCATTTTGATATTTTAGATGTACCGCCAATAAGAGAACCAACTCTATACTGCAGCTAAAAAGCCGTATATATATATAGCTAGAAATGTGAAAAAAAGTGATGAAGGTTCGAAAACAGTTGAAAAACAACCAGAACAATTCGGATTTGATCAGTAATTTTAATGAATGTGCTTCTGGATTCCATGTTACAGATATTTGCCAAGAATATTTACTCAAAATTGAAAATCCAAAAAGGCGAAATATCTCCATCATCTTATTTTCCCGAGGATTACAGCGTTCAGCCATCTTCTGTAGTAGGATATTCGGGTCATTTTCGTCTTCAGTCTCACTGTATACAAAGTGTTATGCAGCTTCAATCATTTGAGCACCTGCGCAATATAAAATTATGGCTTATTGTTCTTTATTCAACTTGCTAGTAGATTTGCTGACTGACATGGAAAAAAACATCTTTCTCTTCCATTTCTTAAATATTTCTGCTAAATTTTCATCATGCAGATCAAGAGTCGATGGTAAGTAAATTCAGACACCGCTGCCACCATGTTACTTATGTCTTGGAGAATAAAGGTCGAACGGAATATGTTACACTTCTTTATTGCACCAGCATAACACACAACTTAGTTGCTCACGACAACAGTAGGCTACAAACTAGCGAGTGACGCGACTGCGATAGGTTAACGCCAGGCAGATAGCACAATCAATTATTAGGGACATTACTCGACAAGGCATTATTATTGGTCATCATCAACAATTAAGTAAGAATATTACCCCATCCTTCTATTAATTTGATTTTAACGATGTGATAAAGATAGTACCCACACTAAACCTGACTAGATTTTGTCGGTGAATAAAGATAGTGGATAAAACAACATTAACTAAGGACAATATACAGGGTGGCATGGGATCCTAAAAACCTATTCCGAGAAACATAAACAAAACCCTTAGTCTATTTACTTATATTTTTGTGTAATGTCAATATTTTGCTGATATACGTAATATTGTTTAATTCAATTATGACCATGACCGTCATCTCATACCAGAAATGATCCCAAAACTTAGACGTTCCCGGCGTGTGTTTTTCTTTGGACGACGAATGAATAGCACGATTAGATTTTCTGACACAGTTCACCTAACCTGATCGAGCAACGCAATGGTAATACATTGTCAGTTGTAAACATCAATTAAATGTTATACTAACCCGTAAAAATGAGAAGATTTATCAACAAATCTAGTGTGGGCGGATAGTTGGAATGAAATTACATGTGCATAAAACCTAATCCCATCGTAGACGTTCTACTTATCTTGAAATTAGATTCGATGTTGAACGTATCAAACAACAATGTCGAGAAAACAATTTATGTTGTCATGGATTGACGCAGGATACCTTGTACTTATACCCGAATACAGGGGCGTAGCCAGAAATTTTCAAAGAGGGGGGGGGTCTGAAATTTATTTGCCAAGTTAGATCGAAACAGCTAGCGGGTCCGGCCGAACGCCGGAAGATAATGTGATTCGCTTTATAAGATTTCTAAAAACATACGTACATATATCACAAGCTCCTAATCAATCAATCATCATTTTATTCGTCAACACAAAATGAACGTATCATAAGAAAAAAACATTTCAAACACAATAGGAACTTAACTTAAGTTGTGTGACAGGAGTCGCGAGGGACCTCATAAGGTCTTCAGGCAGCGACACCTTAAAAGCTCGCTGATTCAGGTTAGTGAACACAAAAAGTTAATGAAACACCAAAACACTTCAAAAAATATTATAAGAAAAAAAGCAGCATTTCGGAAAACAAAATATTAACAAATATGTTTCACGAGTGGTTTGTAAAAGCAACTTAACGCACTGTATAAATTCATCAGATATTTAGAAAGGAAAATAAATATAAAATAATATACTGTATTAATTACTCAAACGGGATCAGCCATTGTCCTGATCACTGGCATGGCGTAAGCAAGCAATTAAAAATTTGATTCTCAGAAAGTCCGACTCCAGACAAATTTCCCCCGTTTCGTCACTAATAACCTCATCTCAATGAAACATCAAGGCTCTTATAAATTACTCTTCATACACAAAATAGAAAGAAAAGCACCCCAAGGGAAAATTTATTAACATGTTTTTAGATATTCCATGAAGTGTAATCCACATTAGCGTTGGAACGAATCTAAGGTGGTAATGAAATCATGAAGGCTCGGGTTCAGAATTTGCTATCGATACATGCGGCTACATTTGAAGGAGTTTTCCACGGTAACACGTTTTTCAATTACATTTTATAGCGCGCAATTTCCTTTCTGAAACGTATAGAAAGCTAACAGCAACAAAATAATGCTCAAATCAAGTTAATGACTTAACTTGAAAGAAAAGAAACAGCAACATGTAGCATTGAATGGACGAATAACAACTGAGTGCTACTTGCAAAGAAAAACTTTATAGCTAAAAGCAATCATACAGACGTATCGTAGTCAAAATTGAATTTCTTTGGATTGACATGTATGAATGTTAAAATTTCGACGTTTTTTGGCTTCAGACGGTTGCGTAACGGCGTTGTTACAACGCTAGCTGTGCTAAAAAGACGTTCAGAATTAACTGAAGCAGGAAGCATGAGAGCAAGCTTATGGCCAAGGCAAACATCGCTTGTTATTCGTTTCTGTATTGTGGTCAGAAAACAAGTTGGAGACTTGTGGGTCGTTTAAGAGTATGTGCCGCATGATATTGTCTGACAGCAGTTACGATATCAACATCCACATGCACCTGTTCCCTGACAAAACCACCGTTTTCAGGTGCAACGAAGACAACACTATCTTTGGCTTCTGCTAAAGTACACAATTGTCAAGAAGATACGGTAGACGACGTTCGCTGCTGACCGTGCACCATTTTCAATGGTTGCAACGGAGTCTAAAATGAGTTTTTTGCGTTTACATTGTGACGTCACGGACTCGGCTCGACTCCTTCACCTCAATCAATCAATCATTTATTTCGGTACTCTGACATGAAAATAAAAACAGCACAAAAGTATACGGACAAACAAAATGCAGATATACCCGGAAGGATTCGCCGAATCTCTATAAGACTCGTCCCGTAGTAGTATATATTTACGATTTACGCCTTAACAAGTCATCGGTATGTTAGTCGTTGCAAGTCATCGATAGTCCGATTCTGCGAATTATCCCTGACCCTTGACCCCCTGAAATTCTTGTTTGGGATACGGTAGGATATTTCTGTATTTAGCATATGAATTTTGTAGTTCAGTATTTATTCCGGGGAAATTTAGGACGAAAGTTTTTAGATTTTGCCTACTTTCCTCATTTTTGATATACCGTATGCCTTTCTTTTGCCCTTTGTTTCTTCTTGGTTTTGTCCAACGAAAATCGAAATAAATTTGCTTACTTACCGGTACCGTACCAGCTATTAGCTGTATAAAGTTATAAGTTAGCTGTATAAGTTAATCATGTACGGTACCGGTACCGGTAAGCATGTTCCGGTAGTTAATCGTGTACGGTAACATGTTAATCACATGAGGCTCGGCGGTGTGGCGTATCGTGCTAAGCGTTAGGAATACGCTCGCCACCGCATCTCTGATTACCCTTCGTGGGATCGCAGGTTTGAATCCCATGCGTCCTGCGGGGATGATCATGTGCGAGAGGATTGCCGGTGGATTGTCTGGTATAGTTTAGTACCACATGTACTTCTAGTTGACCTGGCTCAACAATTTTTGCATATGTCAATCCTAACCCCCACCTGACTACGTCACCGAAAAATTACGTCATTTCGACGTCACAGTGGTGTAATAACTAATAAGGCCCACCGAAGTATGCGGATGGTCGTCCAAAACGCGCAAACGATCACCCAAAATCGAGCAAGCAATTTCTCTCGTTTTCTCGTCACAACGATCACTACAGGAGAGAGATTGCCGGCTTTAGCAAGTTTGTTATCGGCGGCGCAAATGTCATTTCGGGCGATCGTAATTATACTTTGGCAATCCCTATGACGTGATGGTGACGTCGTAGTGACGTAATTTTTGGATGGAATAGTCAGAAGTGTTGATTTCAAACACAATAGGAACTTAACTTAAGTTGTGTGACAGGAGTCGCGAGGGACCTCATAAGGTCTTCGGCAGCGACACCTTAAAAGCTCGCTGATTCAGGTTAGTGAACACAAAAAGTTAATGAAACACCAAAACACTTCCCACACAGTAACAATCATAATGTTTCCACTGATTTATTGTCAGAACTGTATGAAGTGTATCGTTATATTTTCATCAATCACTCTAAGATGACCGTGATTACTGAATTACCAATATATTATTTCCCATACTAACTGGTAGTACAGCAGCAGCCAATGCTTTATTTCAATTTTATGATTTTTATCCGCATGTATTCAACTGTTTTATAGTATTCAGTGTATTCTGATATTTTTTAGTAAAATAAAATTTGAATACTGTATAAGAATGTGTGGAAGAACAGCTTGCACATTGAATCCTCATGAAATATCAAAGTCAACCCGATATGTAAATTCAAATGGAAAACAGGTCGATCCAAAATGGCGGAAAGGTGACGAGGACAAATATAGACCGAGCTATAACAAAGCACCAATGTCATTTTGTCCTGTTTTAATACATTCAGATCATCTTAAGAAAAAAATGACTAAAAAAGATGATGATTCAGATGAACAAGGTCATGAAGGAGTGATTACCTTGATGAAGTGGGGTCTGGTGCCTCTGTGGGTAAAAGATCCAAAGCAAGCTCAATATAAAATGAACAATGCAAGAAGTGATACAATGCTATCTAAAGCTTCTTATAAAAAGCCACTAGAAAAAGGGCAGAGATGTGTTGTTTTGGCAGATGGATTTTATGAGTGGAACACAACAAAAACAGAGAAACAACCATATTTTATTTATTTCAAAAATAAGGATGATTATAAAGTAAAATCAGAGATCAAACAAGAGAATAACGATAGCAAGTATGACCTTGAAGAAAAAAATAATAATGTTGATGCCGATCTCAAAGAATCAAATGATCTCCAACCTGAAACAAAGGATAAGGAAGAAGGTAGCAACAAAATAAACTGCCAAATCATTAGAATGGCTGGCATATTTGAACGTCGAAAATCAGAAAATGATGAAGAAGATGAATTGTTTACTTTTTCTGTCATAACTGTCGACTCACACCCCGCATTTGGTTGGTTACATCACAGGATGCCAGCAATGTTAGAAAATGATGATCAGGTTCGAAGATGGCTTGACTATGGTAATGTACCATTGAAAGAAGCAATAGATCTTATTGCACCTAAAGACTGCTTGGAATGGCATCCAGTATCTAAATTAGTCAATAATTCCAGGAATAATTCACCAGAGTGTATGGTAAAAATTGACCTCACCAAACCTGAAGTTAAAAAATTATCCAATGAAAGTAAGAGAATGGCCAAATGGCTTTCAGGATCAATAACCAAAGTTAAGAAAGAATCTGAAACACCCATTAGTGAAGATGAAAGTCAGACAAATGAGAACATTGTTAATAATAGTAGCAATGATGATGTCATACTAAAGAAAGAAAATGTACCATTGATAGCTCAAATACTTGGTCGCCCAGAAAAGAAGTTACTCCACGAAAACAAGAATTCAACCAGTCATAAGTCCCCAAAAAAGGTGTGAAACGTCCAAGCAATGGTTCTATAAATTTAATGGACACATGGCTGAAAAAGGCAAAAAGGATTGAATAGATATGGGTGAACTGTTTCTGTTTTTTGTTATGTTGACCACAAGTTTATCATTGTAATTTACATACATTCATATTACATTATCATCACATGGTAAATTAATTTTTTGTTCCATTGTCGATTACCTTAAGTTTGTTGAGAATAGCACATTCTACTGATATACATTTCCTACATCAACAAATTTGAGTTTAAATTTCCATTTCATAATATTGTCATTTAAATTTAATGGTGCTACATATCTACGAAAATAATTTGATTCTTGGATTCATAGTGTTAACGAAATTCATTTCAAAAAGAGGTTTTACAGCAATGGAAACTGTAAAAATATCATTCATATATTTCTACAATCTTACTATTCAATCATATTACTAATTTTGTTTTGTTCAATTTCTTTTTAAGGTTTTATTGTTATGCGTAATAGTTGAATAGTATTATCATTTATTTGAGAATGAAGAGCATTTATGAATATGACTCATGAATTTCTTCAAGCGGAAATCTCGTCGTACGACATTGACAATATCTGATCAGACCAAATCATCCAAGGCTTCACTATCTAGTGGTGACGGAAAAGCATCACAACAAGGCTCAACAGGAAATTTGAGGAAAACAAATAAAGACTATCACACAGCTGAAACAATAGAGTTTAAGGTTTGGTTATTCATTTTTGGTAGCCAAAAATAGTAATCTAGGACAGTTTAACAAAAGTTATGTTCTGTCTAGAACAGGGATATCGAGCCACCATGTTTTTTCAGTGACGTCGAAGTCACAAATTAATACAAAGAACGGTCAGTGTTGCAACAGGGCTGCTATTTCTCACATCCCCCCTCTAAATTCTAGGTTGACTGAAAAAGTCGCTATTGGTGCGTTTAGGCCTAATTTTGTTTTAAATCGCATGAACACTTTTGTCTGCGTGACAGCCTGGTCTAGAATGTGTTCAAACGACTTTCTTGTCTGTTTATTTTTGGTCAGACTTTATTACCTAAAAAACAACTGTTATTAATATCTGTATGTAATCAATCATTTTTCCACCTCACTTAATTGAATTTTAAATCATTGATACACAATGTAAAAAATACACTATAATTATTTGGCATATCTTTGATGCGTGATATTCAATGATTGGCCCAAGTGTGTTGAGTTATTAGTTGAGCCACAATCCCACACAAATTTGAAGTATATTTAATTACTTGACAGGAGAATAATGCCATCAAAAATTCTTCAAAGTTACCACAAAGAATCAAACAGACCCGCTTCTCAGATGACACAAGTGAGTATTAATTTCACTATGGATGAGTTCTTCTGTTTTATAATGCTTTCAATTATGATTTTCATCAAGGAAATATGTATTCATAAGGAGATTTAATTAGTACATATTAGAATCTTTAAATCATTTGTGCCAGTTGATGCAATTTTATTTCGATCAATGCTTGTATGGCGTAAAGGCTGAACTGCTTTGATTTGTTTATATTAGTATGACAGCTTCAGGTTAGTGGGAGTTTTTTTAATATTATAGATTGGCATAATTTTAGTGTCTGCTAATTTGCTCTGTTTTTATTGTTACTGTTACAAAAGGAGTCAGTTCTTTGAGAACTGGTGCGCTTTATTATTTGAAATATAGTTTTGGTCCCCAGAAATCCAGAATTTTTTTCAGTCTGCCCGATATTACGAATCTATGTCGTTGTATAGAAACTGGAGTAGATTTATTTTTTCCAAGGAATGTCTGATTATAGAAAGGATTTATAACTTTTGATTAAAAATAATAATCTTGGATTGTTCAATTCAATATAAAAAAAAAAAAAGTTTCATTGCTTTGAAAGCATTTTTCATCTCAATATCATAAATTCAATATCTTCAATGGGGAAAGTTTTTGCAACAACATAATAGATCATGCCAGAATTTTACTTTTTCCATTATAATATACGGGTAATGCACCTCAAAATGCCTTTGTGTTTCAGTTTGGAGCTGTGGGTAATTATGGATGTATCGTTATATAATTGGATGCGACTATCTTAAGCATAACTACCATATTTTTTAGATGAGAACAACAATTCATCAGCAATTGCCAATGGCCATGACTTTGACAACAATAATGAAGCCCCATATTTAGGATCACCTGGACAAAGAGACAATAATATGCCTCTACTTGCTCACCCTGTGCCCAACCTTGTTCAAGATAATTCTGCAGATGATAATTCTGGAACTCCAATGTCACTCTATGCTTCTGTCATTAAAGGAGATAAAGCTGAACTCAAGAAAATTGTTTCTGGTATTTATAAAATATATCTACTGGTAATTTCAATAATATCCGTGATTTACTTACTCATAGCTATCATACGTTTTATAATTCTTGTGGCCAATAATTTCTCAACTTTAGGACAATGAAAACAAGTAATAATTTTTTTGCATGTTTTTTTTTATATGTATTTATATCACAGTATTTTGAAATCTGTTAATTAAAAAACAAAAGTTTGAATCGACAAAAATTTTTTACAAATTTTTGTGATATTTTTAGAAATATGATGTATTTTTCAATTAGGACGATACAAGAATTTAGTTACTTACCCATCAAGATTTCTTTTCATATCTTTCTATCTGAATAAGGCCCTATGCCAGGGCCACTGATATCCACAATATGTAAAAAGTTACTATTGTTTAGAAGGCTCGGTGCATTTAAATTTTTTTTTTTTAGATTACTCGCCAATTATTTGTGAAGTCCTAATTTATGTTAGTATGCTTTTATGAATGTTTTCCAACCAGATTCAAACATAATGCTTTTTATATTTTGACAGACCATGTCATTAGTTGGGATTTAAATCATTTTGTTAAGTTAAAATAATATCAATCTTCCATTGTAGTGATTCACTCTTCTATTACTTATGCTATATACTTATTCCTATCTTTATTTCATTGCTTCTCCAATTCTCCTTTTAATTTATAGACATTTAAATGATCAAGTTTCATATAAAGAATGGACAAAAAACTAATTAACTCTGCGGAATGTTTTTTGTTGCTGAGCAGACATTTAATATCATAAGAGTAGATTTTTTGTATTCATACTAGGAGAGAACAGTCGTTAAGATTGCCTAATCATATGGCGAACCACAATCTCTCATTCGGCTACCAGTCCATGTCTGGTATGGAATAAGAAACCAGTCATTTATTTTAGATGCATACTTGATGATGGAGAAGGCTTTAATTCAAAGTATTCTATGACAAAGAGAAGTCTAGAAATCCTCATGATTATCCTCCAAACCAGTAAACCTGCACAATGGCGCGGCATGCGGTGTTGCTCACCGTGCTAAGCGGTAGGAATACAATCGCCACCGCACCTCTGATTACTCAGCGGGGGTTCACAGGTTCGAATCCCATGCGGGGAGGGTTATGTGCAGTAGCAGTAGTAGGGTGGTTCACGTAACTGCTGGTCGGTCACGGCTTCCTCCACCATTAAGTACGTGCTTCCAGGAACAAATAATCCCATACCCGACATGGAAGCCGTCTTAAAGGCTTTCCTCTGCCCCGATATAAATATGTAAATCCTATCCTATGTAATCAGAGATGTGGTGCCGTGTTCCTAACTATGCACCAACCACTGGTTTGTAATAATCTATATATGTATCGAATTTCAGCAAATCCTGAGTTGTTAGACACTGCAGATAATTTTGGAAGAACGCCACTTATGTACTGTGTGCTTGCAGATAGACTTGATTGTGCAAAATTTCTCATAAACATGGGCTGCAATCTTGATCAGGTTGACAATGCAGGGCGCAGTGCTATACACTCTGCTGCTCATAAGGTGGGATTATCAACATATATGTGGTGTAATTGACCAGAAAAATGAGCCTCGCCTATTTTGGGTTTAGTAATCTGTCATGTTTATCAAAAGCTGTGACCCTGCTATTTGTGCTTGTTAGGTGCACAATTGGTTTATACCTGGATTTCTTTATACAAGCACTTAACAATATTCCAAACCACTGTTTAGAATTAATCTTGCATGATCTAAATTGATCCATTGTTATTTCCTAATTATAAATATAATCCAAATTTTACTCATGAAATTCATGTAAATTGTTTTTCTACTTCATGAATATGCACAAAATATTTAGTAATTCTCATTAAAATTATCTAAACTTGGGTCAAATTTCGGGTGAAGCGTTGTTTGATAATATAGAAATATGGCTTGCTAATATAAGTAAAAATATCATAACATATCAATTCCACAGTTAATCATGTTTTGTGTGTTATAACCAAAATACCATAATTTTCTTTCCTGTTTTTCCATGATTGAGGTATTATATTCATATTTGTGCAACAAACATATTAAATTCATTATTTTAGGGAAGTTATAAATTTCTTGAACTATTACACAATCGTGGTGCAAGTCTTGATATAAAAGATAACGATGGTCAAACTGCACTTCATCTTGCAACTAGAATCAGAACGCCGAAATGCTTGGAATTCTTACTGAGAAATTTAGGACCTGGAATGGTAGATGTGCCTGACAATCAAATGGTATTGTACAGTTCTCGCCGTTTTTTGTAACATTATCTTATTGCTCTTTAACTTAACACTCTGCTTATGTATTCTAATGTGAATTGACTGAATATATTTGAAGCAATCCAAATTGTGGCAACAAGGAATATTGTATAATCTATTGGGACTTATAGGTAATGTCATATTTGAATTAATGCCTTGTTGCTGCATTTCCACGCTACGTTTGTAGAATTTAATTATTGCCATTATTGCTTCTTTGGAATGTTGCAAAATTAGCCAAGTCAGATAGTAGGCTATGTTAATAAGTAAACGAATAATTGGCGGAGCCCCTATGTTTCTCTTACAGAACCCTGGGGGCTTTGTACTGAGCACTTTTTGAAGCTATGCACTAATGCACAAAAAGTGTCACTCACAGTCACAGAATTCTTTATCGAAATAAATTAAATTAGCTGCTGGTTGTCAATAGGGCCAATTGCCTAACTTCAACAGTCTCAAACCTTATTACATCATCTTGTTCAAATAGTTTTCATTTTTTCACAGAGGACGGCACTTCATTGGGGTGCTGCATTTAACAACACTGAATGTGTAAAACTCTTGATAAAATATGGAATAAATATTGCAATACCCGATGGTGATGGCAAAACTCCTTTACACTGGGCAGCAAACAATCATGATCCATCTGCAGTTCATACCATGGCAGCATTGCTGGTAAATTTTTTGTTTTATGTTGTATTTTAAATCAGTAATTTATCAGAAGTGTAAAGGTGATTATGGCATAAATAACACGCCACATTAATAAAGGAAAACAATGTGTGATTTTCACAGAATGCAATCACAAGCGTTATTAGAGACTTTATCATTCCTCTAATAATTATTAATGGATGAGGGGGGAGGGGGGGATTCAAAATTATAAAAAAATCGGGGTGTTCGATTTCGAACCCTGGCTGAGCTAATGGTCGGACTAAAGACTGGGTGGATCTTCAAAAGAATTCTGGTATATTCAAAGTTTAAGTGTTTTCGCTGGTTTGTTAAAAAAATCGCAAACTAAAAATTACTCTATCACTTAATGACTTTGTTCATGATATGCCTGTGTTATTGTGAGATTTTGTCTTGCAGGAACGTTCACCTGGTGTACTGAATTGGCAAGATTATGAAGGTCGAACTGCTTTACATTTTGCTGTTGCTGATGGAACAGTGCCGCTGTTGAATTTCTTGTCAATTTTGAAACAGTTGAATACTCAGAACCATATATTTGTGACGTAGACAGATCTGATAATACTTTTCGTACCCCATTGCACTGGGCCGCTCAATTAGGTAAGGAAGCAGTAGAATAAGGCATTGAAGCCTTGCATTGCTAAATTAACATGCGAATGCTCAAATATACAGACACAAAGGTCAGAAAGGTTTATCATATAAAACTGTTCCTATATGTCATATAATAGTGTTTTTATGAATTCAACAACATTTTTATGAAATTTCGGACCTCGCAGAACTTAGAGAAATTTATAAAAAAAGCTAAGTAACAGATATACGATTACAAGAGAAATTGATATCGACTGTTCCATTCATTGTGACGAAAAGTGATCCAACAAGCCCAAGATTCCCCAAAAAAATATCAATTAACAAAACGATATATAGGAGCGCTCCTGGTCTAAAACATAAGATTAATCCGCACATTGAGATTTAATTCTGAAGCAGAAATAAAAATAAAATCTTCTCTGTTATTTTGATAAAATACAGTTCTTAAAAACCTTTTTCTTTTCTCTATCTTTACTTATTGCTATTAAGTTTGTTCCAGGTGTTGCCCACAAAATAATTTTTTCAATTGAGACATATACAACATTTGATGATGATCAAATAATTTTTTCAGCCACTTTATATTTACATGGTCATTTCATTACAAGTCCAAAGATATAAACAAAAAACATGATCTTTTATTTCAGGTCACACTCATATAGTGAGGTTGTTACTTCAAGGTATTGATAAAATTGCAAAGAAAAAAGTAGAAGAATCAACAGAAAATAAAAGTAAAAGTGAAGGGAGTAGAGATGGGGATGAAAAAAATCTTAAAAATATATCATCAGATGGAAATGGTGCTACACCGTTTTTATATGCAGCTCTAAGCGACCATCATGTAAGACATGTTTTAAAAATCTGTCTCTAATGAATCTAATATCTTATATAAAGGGTTGAATACGCTTTCAACAACTTAATATTACTTATTTTTACTGAAAAGTGTTCACTTATAGACTTATGAGTTCAACAATGTTTTTAATTTTCAACTCATTTACTTAATTATTATCCTATTGTCAATGTGAAGTCAATAACCACAGTACATAATTAAAAATGTATTTTAATAGTATATCTAGACCCCACTTGACAGTTCACAGATCAGTCATTTGTGACTAATGATATTACTTACATACTAAGCCATTTGTAAAGATGTGGTTGCCATAGATTAATTTTTTCAAGTCTTTTAATTTCCTAAAATCAGGAATTAATTTCATTTGCTGCTTGTTCTCGCCTTTTGCTACAAACAAGTGGCCACTGATAAATGACAATAGTAAGGTGTGTAAGCGCTATTTTTGAAAGGACCAAAATGTTACCGGTCCGGCATTGGGACGTCATCTGGTTGGCTTGGGATTTTAACCCAAGATTGTGATGCCCAGAAAAAAAACAAATGCTAATCAATGGAAATGTTTATTATTATTGTACAGAGCGTTGTTGAACAATGATCGTGCATGATCCAACCGTGACAGAACAAGAAGACATAGAAGCAAGAAACGCTCTGATGTGGGCTGCTGGAAAAGGGTCAAACAATGTGATCAGAATATTGCTAGGAATGAAGAAAACATTCATACCGAGAACCCAACAGATTTGTCTGCAAAACAGGCATCTGGGAAAGTTGAAAATAGAAAAGCCACTCTGAAATTTTCCCCGATTGATATTGATAAACAGGATAGAAACGGAAATACTGGTGAGATGAATAATTTTAATTGAAGATGGTCTTTCTTTTTTTTTCGAAGTATCATTTCTGGCATTTTAATTATATGGCCTTAGTAGTTCTGATAGGAAATGCATGTGTATAAGACTACTAGTCTTGGCTTATTTGGCTAAAATTTTTTGTATGATGACCTCAACTGTTTCAGTGTCACATTCAGTGTTCATTCTAAGGAAATTATGAGTGCAAAGGTGCCTCACAAGTCACAAGCCAAAAATAAACTGTGGAAGTAATTTATTTCTTCATCGAATTATGTTGTGCATGATATCAAAGCCTCTCAACGAAGAGAATCTGTAAAACTTTCGCATATATTTTCAGACAGATATTTGCACTAGCGAATCGTGCTTAATATTCACATGCCCACTTTCTTTTATAGAAATAAAAGCCGCGCATTCCCAACATGGTCGTTGCGGCCGAGTGTTTTTGCAGGAGTATTAGAATCAAAGTCCTTGTAAAATAAAACATGATATTATAAACAAAATTTTGACGTAAATACATTATCTCAGATAGCTATATCCTTTTGTCTGCTTCGCATAACTTATTTGTCAACTTCAAATTTTTTCTTTTCAAAATCGCAAAAAAATGGTGATTTCGTAGTCTCTAAAAAACTGCAAAAGTGCCTCACAGTTTTCGCAAAAAAGTGGGTATATAAGGAACACTGGTCAGTGGTCACATTTTAATTTCATTTCAGCATCACTGGTCACTAATTAAATTTGGTAGCCGATATGCTGGACTAAAACAACGCTGGTCCTTCCAGATTTCTAAACTCGTACTTTTTCCGCATGCAAAGATATGGAGTAGGAATAGGAATTAAAAAAAATCAGTAATTGTATGTTTCACTCATTTCAATTTTTCATATGTTTTTATTTATCTTTTCAATTTTCCATCTTTTTCAGCCCTTCATGTTGCTGCATGGAATGGTCATGGCAGCTCTGTTGAACTTTTGCTGAGTCAAGGTGCTAGACATGACAAGACAAATAGTGTTGCTCATACTCCTATATTTGGCGCATGTGAAAAGGTAATTACGTTATTTATATATTCTAAGTCAGTGGTTCTCCACAAGGGGGGCATTATTTACATTCCATCCACGTATTTTTAACATGTTTTTTTGAATAAAACATACTTTCGCCTTACTACCTGTTATATGTAGCATTGTTAGCTAGTTATTTTTGAGGTGGCACGAGAATTGACAAATTCTAAGAGGGGACACGACTCAAAAGGTTTGAGAACCACTCTTTTTAGTATAGCTGAAGAAAAACAATTTTATGGTTTTTGTGAGTTGTATGACCTCAACTGGTATATATATAGACCTACCATACGTCCCGATTTGGCCGAGACAGTCCCGGTTTAAACGTCTGTCCCGGTTTCCCGTCCCGGTGAGCAAAATGTCCCGGAATTTTACTTTCGTGAAATTTTCAAAATTAACTCTAATCTGATGCAAAATTATGAATAATTTCGTCCCAAACGGCATAACTTTGCTTTAGCTCGAGGCTTATATCTTAATTGTTTTAGCTTATTAGGTTGAGTAAAATATCGCGCATAGCTTGAGAAATACTTTAGTTAGGGAATAATGAGTGGCGTTTAGTGCGTCATTATTCTATTGACTTCAATGAAACTACAGCAACTGCTGCATTAGAAGCCTTATTATGCTTGGAGTTGGAGAAGGCATAATAACTTTCATTGGGTTTTGTTTAAGTCATATTATGCTGAAAGTAATCTAGAACTTGAGATTCTGTAGACTGTAGAGTAATGCAATATTAAAGCTTATAAATATAAATATGGAATAAATATTTGCCAAGCGCAGGCCTTCGGCGTTTTGTCCAGTTATTTCATTCATAGTTTTGAGTTTGTCCCGAATTATGCCTAAGAAATTATGGTAAGTCTATATATATATGACTATATATAATATACAAGTAAAGATTTTGGTAGTTCACTTAAGATTAACAGGTTAAAATCTTGGGTTCTAATCACACGCCCACCACATCCCCCAGGGTGTAATAAATTGAGTAGGCAATGCCAAACCAAAAATATTTAAAATATTTTTCATACACTATGAAGTGTCTGAATTAATTGTCGCATGTCTTTCAGATTAAATTGTGCTCATGGTAATTCATTTTTAGGGTCATCTGAATGTTGTCAAATATCTTCTTGATTACAATGCCAGCATTGATCTTGTTGATTCTGAAAGTAGGACACCACTACATTGGGCAGCTCTTGGAGGTCATGCTGAAATCTGCGAACTTCTGATAAAAGAAGGTTGTTATATTACGTTTTTATTGTTTGTTTTAATATCATTTCATTTCTGCAGAAGGTGATCACTTATTATGCAATTTGAAGGCGTGATGGCTATGAATTTATAGCCTGTGTTCAACAAACATTGCCTTATTTTCAGATGTTTTCAAATTTAGGCTGTGCTATTAACCTGTTTCAGACGCTCAATCGAGCCCAATTTTGAATACATTTTTATTAATGTCATACGACCCCCAAAATTTACCCAATATACAATAATTATATACCATTGGAAAGGTATTTTAGAGTACTATACGCTAGATGTCACTGGAGGACCGTAAACTAAAACACCTCTTTCAAGAGGTCTCTCGTAACGTCAAAAAATAACAAAAATATTTACACTCTCTCATTCTATCAGCTGTTAGACGTCTATCGCTATTGTAAAGCTGAAATGTGACTATACAGTTGACTGCACATTGGTTTTCTCTTTCATATGATACTAAACGCTTTTCCATAGCGCGCGTTGTTCAGCCGTTTTGGAAATTTTCCGTTTGAGAAGTCACCACATCGAATCAGGCCAGGCTAAGCTTGATAGATCGATCGGTTGTTTGTTTGTGCTTTATCGCGTTGAAAGCTTTTGTGAGTCATAATAAAACATTTATTACGAATCATAAAAGCTTATAATCGTCAGACAAGGAGAATTTGCGAGATAAAACGCCTAACTTTTTTTCGGTGAGGCAGCTGCGATCAAAACGACTCGATATTTTATAACTTCCTGACGTTGTGAGATGTCCACTCTCCTATGTTATGTAGCATATAAAATGACCTCCAAAATAAGACCTTATCATACTAGCTTTGTTATTGGTTTGCGCGCAACGCCAAGGTTTATGGAATCATTTTCTTGTTGTGCGACGTTTTTATATCGCAGCGGGAAGTACACGCGTGATATGTAAGCGAAATTTTATCACTTCTAAATGTCATATAAGGTTCATTCTCATATCGTTGTGTGGGGAATAAGATTTCCTTTCAAGCAAGACCATAACAAACATTCCAGACCTCATGGTATACACACAGCATTGCAAAACGTCTGAAACGTCGCGCATGCGTCAAACCGGGAGGATTAGGTTAATAGAGATAGGATACCATTTTAATATCTATTCTGGGGAGATGGAAGCCAAAAGCTGGCTTCATCATATTGTGAACTGTGACCTTAATTCATGTTGGGTATGATCTGTTATTGTAGCACTATGCGCCAACTGCCTTATTGGCTTTTTCTGTTCCTGTATTATGTATAATCTTATCTTAATATACAAGTAGAGCTCGACCGATATATCGGCCAACCGATATATCGGGCCGATATTGCGTGTTTGCCGATATATCATATCGGCCCAACCGGCCGATATATCTGGCCGATATATATCAGTGTTAGTCGCTTTTCCACGTTCTAATAAATGAGTATTTTTGCCCGGGAAATATCTGCGGCCGAGCGTTTTCTTTTTTTCGCTTCTCTCATTTTGCCTTTCAGTGAACAGAGTTCTCTTCTATATTTCTCTCTCTCTTTTATCTCTTCGTGCGGCGCAAAATCCTCGCCTTCGAATATCTTGCGTCCCAACTAGGCTTGCACGTAATCGACAAAAATCAATTCCGTAATTACGGCAAAATTGATTACGTAATGACCCCGTAATTGCGATATTTTTTCACACATTTAAACCTATCATAACAACCATTTGAATCCATTTCTTTTCCGAACGGGACATCGAAATTGGTTTTCATATTACCGGTACCGACAGTACTACACGCCGGCGACAGATGTTAAAGACAAATACCAAGGAGTGAATTCAAATTAAATTTATTCTGATTTTTATCTTTTGTGTTGGCTGTGATTTTCCTTTATCATCTTCGCAAATTAACCGTCCCAATTTTATGTGATCAATTTTATCATTACCGACACTGGTATACGGATATTTATGAAACGATAGTTGGCTTTTTTAAAATCGACTTTCGTATTGAATAAAAATTTCGGGTTTCTAAGTTATTAATCAACGACAAGCGCATTCTCTCGTTTGATTATACCTGCGCTTGCCTCGCGACGAAGACTTGTTATTGCTACGTTTTTTACATTATCCGACTTTGCTACCTAGTTAGCATTTTATAATAATTATTGATGCTGAATTATTGACGATATTCCGATTACCAAGCTTCATTTTATATCAAATTATTTCGCCGCCTAAATGTTATAACATTATTTGCGATAAATTTAGATCAAATATTAATTATTTAGCCGGCGATAAATTCTTACCCGTAACTCGTTGTAAATTAATGCTAATAAATTCTATTTTGTTTTTTAATGCGCCGTGATTTGTATTAATAAAAGTGATTGAGTCGGGAAAAGAAAGTAGCCTTCTCTCCTTTTGAGGGCCCATAGCGGCAGTAAAATTCGTTTCATGTCTGTTTCACGGAGAGAAAGAAAAATACGCCTTCCGGAATTACAATCAACTATCACACATTCTTATTTATCATTATCAGCGCCGAATAAAAAAGATACCAAATCGTGAAGACAAAAAAGCCTGTCGGTGTTAATTGCGTTACGGTGATAACGCTCATAATAATATCGTTTTGACCGTGAAACCAAACGCTCAAACGGGGTGGCAACGCGTCATGCCTTCCCCCACCTGCGTAACAAGAGAAAGAAAAACGGAGCGAATACCGTAACTGTAACTTCTTCTACTTGTTAAACCTTCATTTTTACAATCGACGGAATTGACTGCTTTGAAGGAGTACGTTTCAAACGCGAAAGCGCTCAACCAATAATTACGACTTTACGTAATTTGTAACGTAATTTGTAACTCGAAATAATTACGTAATTCCGTAAATTACGTGCAAGCCTACTCCCCACCTACTACTGTATGGATTAAAATGGACTTTCAGAACCTTTTTACTGACTGCCTTTTTCCTTTTGTGCTTGGTTTTTTCGAACATTGCCTTCTGTGTGTGTTCTTATTATTTGCTGTGAAACTTTTATCAATGATGCAAGCACTGTGTAGGACTGCTTTATTTTTGAACATAAACTTTTGATTGATTGAAAGTTGAAACTGAATTTTTCTTACTAGTATTTACTGCGGGTTCAGGTTGTAGATATCGGTATGTCGATATCGGTTATCGGTCACTAGTTGGCCGATATATCGTTATCGGTATCGGTGCCAAAAAGTGATATCGGTCGAGCTCTATATACAAGTATCCCATTTTTATATTGTGTACAAAATAGCAAATTGTTTTATGCTGTCGCATTAAGCAAAACTGCATTTGCATGTCTTCAGCTTTAGTACTTGCTTCTTTGTAGTCGATTTTTATGTGTTGTTCAATGTTGTCAACTATGTTTTTTTCTAAGGTTTGCATGTTGATGTTCGTGATACACTTGATCGTACACCGTTACACTGTGCTGCATTTGGTGGTTTCATCAATTGTATGAACCTTTTGCTTGAAAATGGAGCCAATGTTGATCTACAAGATCAAGAGGTATGCATGATTGTTATTGCATAAGAAATGAATTAATGAGATACATAAATATTCCATATGATAATCTAGGGCAGGGCTGGGCAAGGTTTTTCGATCAGGGGCCAAATATTTGGCCCATCTAGACTGGCAGACCATGTTAGTGTGACATAAAAAGTTACATTTCAAGATATGAAAGTTATGATAATCAATGACTTTTATACGTCTGCCAGTACAGTCCCTAGGTTTCGCCAGTTTACATTTAAATCCGAACGCTAATATTACTTGTGGTAATATTACAAATATCACTTCGCCACTATTATCAAACATTTTGAAGTTCATTTTGTTTTGCGAGTATTAGTTTTGCTTTTTTATACATTTATAGTTTATACCAGCGGTTCCCAAACTATGGGCAGTGGGTCACAAAAGGAATCTTAGTGGGTCGTGAAAAGATGTAGAAAGCTTTGATTAATATTATACTGGTTATTAGGAAGAAACTTAAAGAAACTAAATTGAATTTAAATTCTAATCTGTGAAAGTTTCCTTTTTACGATCATCTCAAAGGAAAGACACACACTTTGCTACACAAAGAATGACCATGTGGCGTATTTACGCATAGCAGTTTTGTACACTGTACAGCACTTCTTCTCATATGTGACTTTTAGTGTCTTATTGCCAGTTTTGTTGTTACAGGGTCGTTCAGCTCTTCATTGGGCGGCTCAATCTGGACATCTGGATGCAACAAAGTTATTATTTCAATATGCTGTATTTCCTAACCCTATGGAATATACAGAGGAACGACTCACTCCCTTGGATCATGCTTTGCAAAAAGAAAAAGAAGATGTTCTTCAGTATCTAATTGAACAAGGTTTGTGATTAAAAGAGTTTCAAAATTATTATTATAAAGCATATGGTTAACAAATACAGGAAAATCTTGTTTCCTAATTTTTTTTTACGAGATGGATGTAGTTAGACATAGAATAGGGTTTTCATATTTATTTCGGGGAGAGGAAAGTGGATAAGACGACTTAATCATACGGTGAACCACAACCTCTCGTCCGGTTACGAGTCTATGTCGGGTATGTGATTAGTTAGCCAGTTATTACTTTTGGAAGCATTGAATTGATGGTGCGAGAGCCGTAACTGACCAGCGGTTATGTGAACCACCCTATGGCGACGAGGAGTCCAGCAATCCTCTCGCACATAACTATCCCCGCATTGGATACGAGGCCATGCAGGGTAATCAGAGGTGCGAGAATAGCAAGCTTATTCCTAATGCTTAGCACAATACGCCACACCGTCGAGCCATTTGACTGTGCGACTCTGTGATCTTTATTGTTGAATTGAATTCTTTGTGAATTTACGATATATGCCAAATCGGCATGCTACTCTTTACATAAAAAAGAAATGCAGCAGTTTAAACAAAGTCTGTTGAACATGCTTTTGTCTTCTGCTAGCACATAATAAGTAGAGTTACAATATAGCAAAAACAGCTTATATAAAGTTACTAATAATTGTCACAGGATCACATTTTTGCTGATGCATTGTGGTAAATGACTGTTATCTTGGTTATCTGCAGTAATTCAGTAGATTGATGTTCTCTTACACCGATAGGGTTCATGTGGGTTCATTTTTTAAATGTAATTTCATCCTATCATGTTTCGGTTTTATAGACAACATAATTTTGTTACAGGAGCGTTATCTGCCGAACACATCCGCAATATTGCTGCAACGAAAGTTCAAGCATATTTTCGAGGTTATCAAGTTCGAAAAACATTTCCAAAAGAAATTCTAATGAAAATGTTGATTCTCAGAAAGGAAAAGAAAAAGGAAATGGAAGAAAGGTAAGGAACATTGAAATAAATAATTGTTTTATTGTCGATTCATCTATATATCGAAAAAGAAGTTCATTAATTGAAAGTTGAATTCTAATTTCTGGTTAAATAATAGTATAGTAGGCTGGTAGCCATCCGTATGTGAAGAATACCATTTACAAATGTACTTGCACAGTTGAGGTTGATCCATATGGTAGTTAATTGCTCAATAAAAAGCTCATTGATGCATGAAAAAATTTAGCCTACCGGTACTTTTATTTTAAATATATTGATGATTTACCAGATCAGCTGAACAAATACGCAACAATGCTGCTATTAAAATCCAAGCACAGTTTCGAGGATACCAAGCAAGAAAATCTCGTAACATTAAGACAAAGAATGAATCACAAACACAAGAGGAAGAAGCTGATCTCAAAGAAGATCCCAAAAAACAAAATGATGGCGAATTGTGAGAAATTGTGTAACTTAAGTCTAGTCATTTTATCTCAGTGTTACAATTTATTATTTGGGTTTTTTTTTGATACAAGGCCTTCACTCAGAAGTAGAGGAGACTCATCTATGAGCAAAGTTACAAGCACCACTGAAATGCCAAGAGATACTAAAACTGTGTCTAATTACTAGGGATGCGACAAGATTCGGACTCGTGCTCGGATTCGTGGCCGAATCTCTCGTAATTTGATACTCGGATTCGGCCCGAGTCTTTGATGATTTTACCCGAGTCCGGGATATCATACGTCACGCGATAGTCAAGCGCAGACTGGTGGCGGATTCGACGAGAAATTCAACTTTTTCGTTCTGTTTTGCCACGAGACTGTCCAGTCTATTTTCTCTACGGTGAAATTAAAACTAGGCGCCAAAACTACAAATTCACGACCCCGTAAGAACAAAAAAATGTCAGCGAAAGTCAGCTGAATAAATTCCAGTGTTGCGCGTGTAGCTTGCCTTCCAGTGCCAGACGTCGTTTAGTGACTGTTTACCACGTCCTATTTCAAGCATTTACCACGTCCTATTTCAAGCGTATACTTGCTAATCCTCTAACAGTGATTAATCCGTAATCAGCGATAACCATGTCGCGCTGTTCGCCTTTTATCGTTCCATAAATGATCTAGCTATTTCCGGAGAGAAACAAATGATAGAAATAAAACGATAAAATGGTGAAAATTACGGTTCTTTTAAGAGAAAAGTACAACTCGCAGATGTCAGTGGCGTTACAATCGTATATATGTACAAAAACAATCTCGCAAGTCACATCGATTAAATGTGCATAAATTTGGAAACTATTACTCGTGGTAATTGGGATGTTAATCGGGCCGACTTTTTATTTTTATTCAATAATTATTTACATACACCGCGATTAGTGACGGGCAAAATTGAATTTTTCCTGATCGAATAATTCGACTACCGTATTTCTTTTAATTTACCGATAGTAGAAAATTACTAGAAGACTGGAGACTCGATAACAACGCGGCGTCTTTACTTCTTATCCGTAATTTTATCACAATCGTGAATTGTTTTTTTGTCACAGCGATCGGTTCGGCGACCGACATCCTAATTATGGTTGGTAAACTATATTTTTAAAGCACCCTTTTTCACTATCAGTTCTCACGCAACGCCGGACATCGAAGTTTCGTTTTTTATATTTCAGGCAGAAGTGTGAGTACAAATCGGCGAAGATATTAAAGACAGCTATTAATTAGTGAATTCATAAATATATTAATTTTATTCTGGCCTCATCTTCTGGATTTGATCTTCCATATCACAGTTTGTAAATCACGGTCCCTATTTTAAGCGAACAATACCTATCGTGGCTGTGTTATTTTAATATTAGATAATAAATAAAAACTCCGGAAATTTACCATTGCGTGCTATTTCGAGTTATGGCATTTCTACCTAATCGAAACAATATTTCCATATAATACATAATTTACCAGCCTCACTTAATCTGGTTTGACGTTTCTATATGTGAAAAGGTGTTGGCGCGCTCTATGCAAAATTGGGAATTGTTAAGATAACGATAGGCGCAGAAAGAAAACCATAATAATTCTCACATTTATCGTTTCTGACTGTTAGTGAGAGTCGTATGTGAATTCTTACTCGTAACTCTCACTTCTAAATTAATGTTAATAAATTTGATTTTGCTTTTCAAAGCGCCGTTATTTGTATTAATGAAAATGATTGTGTCATACAGCCGTAACTTAGCATATAACACATTTCGCCTTTTGCGTCTCTCTTATTGAACCAAAATCAACAATTACACATTCTTATTTTCCGCGGATTCGACAAACGCTATTGATGGTTTTCAAACGAAGAATAGCTAGCTATTTTGTTACGATATATTTATAAGATACATTTATTCGATGCTTCCACAGTTGGCTATTCTTTATTAATATCTCAATTATCACGGAGATGGGCGTCTGTATCAGCGCCGACTAAAAAAGATAACATATGAGTAAAAATTTCCCATAAAAAATTTGTTCCAAACGTGTGGGTTATGGCCCGTATTTATCGTGACAGGGCACGAGCGCGGCGTCTTCAGCAGTCGACACGGCGGTCGATCCGAGTTACGTAACAAAGTATTCCTTCGACAGGGGAAAATGACCTATTTATTCTAATTTAAACTAGTCGCTCAGAGAATGATTGTCTCGAAAGCAATAGTGTTTATGTGCAACGTTTTTAAATTACATAGTCTTTTCATACAGAATGTTTAATTTACGGCCAATATACGAGAACAACAGCATCACTTTAGGTATTTGTTTCGTAGCTATGTAAAAGTATTGGACTCGTACACAAGTCCAGCACAAATACTCGGGATTCGGCCGAGCCGAACCTTTTTGCATTTGTCGCATCCCTACTAATTACTATGGTACATTATGCGTCAGTAAATGTTGATTGACATGAGACTTGAAGCAGTTCAATTCAATATGGTTGGAGAAACAGCTATACATAGATCGTATGCCATTAGTCATTCAATTTCTTTGCAACATTTTGTTCATGCCAAATATTATCAAATATTTGAGCAAAGATAATACATCTGATTTAATATACCTCTACTCAATAACAAAATAAAAAACAGAACTTTTGGACTAAATTAACCCCATTGGTTGCTAAACAGGCTGTGATTTTTATTTTAGTCTCACCAAGCATGAGGCAGATAGTGGATCTCATTCACCAGACAATCTGTCATTGCCAGAAATTATGTCAAATTCGACTTCTTTCATCACTCAACAGCCAATATCAACTGATATGAACAATCCTCCATCCCATGATGAAGGTGTCATTTGTGATCAGATTTCTGTTGCATCTTCCTCTCATTCATCATTACATTCAACGCCTAAAATCAAGTTGAAAACATTGGAAGGAGAAATAAGAGAAGAAAATGAAGGTTGGCATTATTGTTTATGCGTTATAGTGCATATTGTACAAAAGTATCAACACAATTAATATGATTGATTGAATTGATTTATGTGAAAAACAAATCAAAAAGTATACTGGAAATGTATTTGCCTACTCATGTGACTGAATAAAATCTTTCAAAAGGATGTTTTTGTTCAAATGAATGCAGCCGCAGGAATATCCTTTTTTGTGTATGGAAATATTCTCATAAGCAAAAATCTAATATTTAGCTAATTTGAATAAATTCCAAATTATTATTTGCTGACAAGGAATGTATTCGAATTTCGGTTATGGGCATCACCAATGTCAAATGTGTTTTGGCAATTTCTTGTATTGGAGTCTTTTTCTTTTCTGATGCAATCATGTATCAATTGTTCATTATTTGATACATAAGCTGAAGATAATTTATTATTTCAACCTGATTTGATCAGAGTGACTTTTTAAAAAAAAGTATAATTCAGGGATTTAGTCTATCATGCTTTAATGGCTACACTTAGATTCTAAGCATAATATTTTTTTATATTGGTTCTGTAATCACTGTTTATTACAGGACTCGCTAAACAACATGCAGATGATCAGAAAACACAATCATTGAAAGAGCAAAAATCTCAAGTGATGGATGATAAAAATATCGAAAACACACAAAAATCAAACGAGAAGAAAAAACATAGAAAGACTAGAAAAACTCGTGCTCAATTATCAACTCGTCCAGAAGTCTCGGATACTGATTCATCAAAAGATAAATCCAGATCTCCTCGAACTCGGAAATCCTCATCTCCACTTCTCTCATTGAGAGGTTCCTCGACTTCTTCCGTTCATAACAAAAACACTCCTGCAGTAAAACCGAATTCTACCTCAAAAGAACGAAATCCAGTTCCACCAAATAAACCTAATAAGAAAGAACACAGAAGAAGGAGAAATACAAAACCAAACACAGACAGAGGGTATGTTCACGTATATCAACATTTGCGGAGTAATAAGTATTCCTATTTTGAAAACCTTGATACTTTTTGTTTTAGAACCTAACATGACTATATGAATCTTTTTTTTTTCAGTTTTTGTTGAGGCTGTGAAAAACAGCTTTTCATTGCCACTATTGGACCGAACAATTTCAAATTTTTAGAACCTAAAGATTGCTGGAGTCTTTCGGGGCATGATATTTTGCACCAGATTTTGCTGGTTTTCATGACTTGCAGGCACATAGGTTCATATGGCATTTGGTACAAACTTTTATAAACATTTAGCTGCAATTTTTCTAACATTGTGGCCGTATTAGTCATTCGACCTATGTGTTCTGTATATTTGAGCATTTCACCCTTGTTATTATGTGAAATACAAATAATAAAATGGCCCTCTACCCTGAATTAATTATTCCATTATTCAATATTGTTTTAATTAATAATTCATGATATAAGCTTATAAATTTTTTGTTCAGAACTCCAGATTATTCTGCGCTTGATAAGATTGGAGATGAAAATAATATTCAGAGTCAAACTGTCAAGGGTATAGCTTACAGATCACAACCACAGGACAATTCCTTTTTTAATGATGAAATGCCAAGTGTTCCGGATTGCCCTGTTGCAAGTCCAAGGTTCGGATTTGTTATAAATATATATAAAGTAGAGGTTTTTAAACAATCTCTGTATCCTTAGACCTGACATGGGCAAACTACGGCCCGCGGGCCAAATCAATTCAAATAAAATGTAACATTTCACACCACACTTACATAGCCCTCCAGTCCGAGTGGCAAAATCTTTGGCCCCTGGTTCAAAAACCTTGCCCAACCCTGTCTTAGACAGTGGTTCTCAAACTTTTATGATGTGCGGCTCCCTGTTCTTCAAAGGATTTGGTTCTAACGAGTTTCTATCACTTCTTTTATTCGCTGTGTTTAATAATAAAAATCTAATAACGGGTGTTAAAAAGAATAAAGCATTATGGTCAAAGAATTGAACAAATAATCAATTTATTTTAAATTATTATAGTCATTGCAAATGGTACCTAGTGTAGTCCTTTGCTTTTTACCCTTAAAGAATTCGTCTTTGACTTGCTAGGTTGCCAGAGCACAGTTTGAGAAACCCTGCTTTTAGATATGTAAATAGGCCTTTTCTGTCTCCATATGAATAAAATTGTCATCTTTTTTATTAAAATTGGCTGTGTTCTTTTCTAGAGTAATAAGATTGAAGTACTTTTTAATACTCGCCTTTTCTCTCCATAATATGTTACTTTCTTCCTAACAGTGCTAGTTTGAACATGTCAGAATATATTGAAAGTTTGATGAAGATGTCGGCAAAGGAACGAAAACTTTTAGTAGAACATCAAAACAAAAGAAAAGAAGCTTTTAAATGTGCTCAGCATTCTGCCAGGATCATTCAAAGAGCCTGGTTAAGGTATTTTATCCCATCAGATATTTAATATCTTTATGATGGCATTTTATGTTATTATGTGTCCGAGCTAATCCCAATAGGTCTAGGTTTGAATAAGGTGAACAAAAACTTCAAAACAAATCTTCCAGATAATAGCAGTCGAGATGTCAGGAGCCTCAGCTATTGCCTTTTATCATTTATCTAGTTTTTGATGCTAGTATAAAAAAATTAAGGACTGATAATAGTTTGATACATAATACTTAGCCGCTGCATCGGTGCTGGAGTATGTAACTTCTTTTTTTTTCAATGTGGCAACAATATCCCAAACTGATTTCTATTATTTTGTTGAAGATAAATACAAATTTCAAGCTTGTTTTAAGCATGATCTCTCGCTATGGCATTCAGGCTGAATTGCCAAAGGTGTGTTATAGGTATAACTGACGTCACCAGGTTGGAACTAATGCAGTGTGAAATGTAACCCCCGTTGTATTAACAGAAAATATTATTATGAGCACAACATCTCATATAGAAGGATGATCAATCTCAAAACATCATTGCTAAGGGTGGTTTGTCTTGAAGTTTGATTATTTTTCTATTGCAGATACCTACAAGCTGAGAATCCAACATTATATAGAAAATTTCAGTTTAACAAGAGACTAACACTTAAAAAATCACCAGTTGAAACGAAAATTGTAAAAGTCAAAGCAGATACATTGGAAAATGATACCTCTAAGAAAGAAACCACTTCTGGCGTTGTTACAAATGATTCACCAAAGCAAGAATCATCTTCAAGTATAAAATCAGCATTAAAACAACCCTCTGTTGAATCGAGTGTAGGAACCACTTCAGTTGCTTCATTCGCGCAGAACCGGAATTCTCGTTCTGAAGGTTCCAGATCTTCTATATTGTCAAGTTCTGATGCAAGATCTTCAGGGAGCAGAATTAGAAAAAGGTAAATTAGGATTAAGAATGGCTTAGTAAATCCCATTATCATGGGCATTGATCGGAACAAGTAATAGTATGTAATGTCCAGGGTTGTGGGGATTCAGGGTTAATGAGAGTTTTAACTTTCACTCCAGCTCTGATCTTAGAGAGAGTCAAATTTTGATAACAAAAACAACAGTGAATGCAAGCCGCATTTTTTAAACTATTAGCAAACTTGATCCATTTTTTTTCTGAAAAAAATTTTGACTTTTATTTGAAAGTATTAAACTCCTACTTTGGGGAATTCCAAGTCTCTATTGCCATTGAAATCTGAGCTCGAGTTATTTCTTTTAACTCCCCGGAATAAAAAATTCGAAATTGTTGGGAGTATGAATTTCAGATTGCTAATGGTAATTTGTTGATTCTTCTGGGAAGAATTTTTAAGTAAAAATATTTTATTAAAATTATTCTCTCTCTGGCACTTATGTTCTCTTCATAATGCAATCGTATCGCTGGAGGAAGTGATCCTAGAAGTTTATTTATGTTTTAATATTTTCTTTTAGTTCTAAAACGAGGAGACCAAAGACTGTTGGTTACCCCGATTCGAATGTTTACATTTCTGTAGAAAAATTAGAAGAACTTTCCAGGATATATGGTGAGTATGAGAACATTCAGAATGGAATGCTTATTTCAAGTCCAACGTATAGTGGAGTCCCTAAATCCGGGTCAAAGGTCAAGTCTGGCCACTTGCTATCCGAAAGTCGAGTCTGAGCTTGAAGTCAAGTCAATCACTGATTTAAGTTGGATTGGCTGGTGACAACTGAGTCATTTTATTTAGATTAGTATAGGATAAAATTCACATATTCATCCTGGGGGAGAGGAAAGGCGATGAGATGGCGTAATCATGTTTAGAACCTCGGTGTCTCATCCGGTTACTAGTCTAGGTCGGGTATAAGATTAGTTAGCCAGTTAGTCTAATTGTTTTTGGAAGCGTCATAAACCACAGATGAGGAGTCCAGCAATCCTCTTGCACATAACTATCCTCGTATGAGATTCGAACTTGCAAACCCATGCGGGGTAATCATAGGTGCGGTGGCGAGCGTATTCCTAACACTTTTTATGATGCGCCACACTGTTGAGCCCTACTCTCTTACTCTAGTCCAGGGTCGGCCAACCTTTTTGGCCGACGGGCCACATTAAGTTTACTAATAATTGCGCGGGCCACTTAACATGGTGATTATGTTCTAGTTTTGCTACACTGACCAAAAGTTAATGAAAAAACAAACAAAACCCCCGCACCAAACTTTCTCAATAATAAGAACTATAAAAAAACGAAGATATAGTAAAATCAACAAAGTTTTTTCTACACATAGACATTTTAATGTGAAGTTTGGCACTGTTTTTCGCTAACAAGTTTGTCAATATTCGCTGAAAAGGACGATTTAGCAATGCGAAGCGAATTTTCCATATGACTGTCAGAAATTAGTGATCTCACAGGGGATTTGACATGATTCATCTGTAAAAAAAATTGTACGAGTATGTGCTGTCAAATTATGGGGTCATTAAAACTGCCATTCTGCCCAAGTGTGTGAGCTACTATTTATGTATCGATATCTTCCAGTTGGTGATGGTACTCACGACTCGTTTGAACGGACTAGCAGAGCGCTTTTCAGAAAAATGAACAAATTGTTTGTATCAAATTTTCATATTTACTACATCTCTCGAAAAATAGAAGTTTTACTAATTTTTTTTTATTTAATTTCGAAAATACAGCGCGGGCCACTCTAAACTCCTCGGCGGGCCACGGGTTGGACGACCCTGCTCTAGTCACTTTGATAAATGGTGGCCCAAGTCGAACTAGAGTTGAATCAATAACTGAAGCCTCACTAACACTGTGTGAAACATTGGTGAATTACTTCTCAAGTCGTCATTCATCAATTGAATTGTATTGTTAATTCAGTGTCAGGACGTGCCAGTGCAACAAATTTAATAATAATGTAGTTGAAATAAATATACAGATGTCTCTTTCAGGTCACCCTAAAATAATGAGAGATATGTTGTCAGCTTATGGAAATAAATCTTCTACAGGGACAAGCTTACCATCAATTAATTCAAGTCCAACTAAATCAGCATCATCAAAACGATCTACTATCTCTATGTCAGAAAGTATAAGACAAAGATTTGAAGCTGATTTGCAGGGTAAATATTACATAGTTCGATATTTCTGAATTTTGTCAGCTCGTCCATTCGGGGAATACAAGCCCTGATTATTGTCTTATATAATCTCCAGTTGGCGTTGTTGGTTGGTTATGCCAATAGTAACAGTAAAACTGAAACTTACCGACCTTATAAATTTTCATTAGATATTAGAATTATTATTTGGTCTTGCTGCTTAATAACAAATTTTGGTTCTTCACGGCTTTCCTTCTCCAGTTGTGTGTTTGATCTCAATTTGATATGCTGTTTTTTTATGGACGGGTTTATTTATAAAATAAACTTGACTATGCTTATTGTGCTTTAAAGTTTTTGAAAAGCTGAATTATGAAGAATGGTTTTTGTATTCGCTTAAACTGAATTAGCACATCTGTGATTCAAAATCTTGATGTGGAATATGAGTCAGAAGTTAGCAGAAACTGCTAAAATTCTTAGAAATACAAAAATCTGACACATTTCCATGGAAAAGTAATGGTTCAATATCATAATTTGTGATTTATTTTCGTTTATTCAGGACCAATTCCTACTCATTCACCTAGAACATGGGCAAGTTCATCTAATGTTCAGAAAAACAGGTAATTTTTTTCATTTTAGTGCTGTCCTGTTTATAGGAACTTGTATGATTTATTGGTTATGATTCGCAGACTTTATTAAAGTCTGTTTTTGTTCTTATTGTTCTTGAGATCTAGAGCGGGTTTTTCGAACTGGGTGACCCTCAGTCCTCCAAGGAAACCACAGGGCTGCTCTATGGGGTTACATAACCTTTGCTAGGTATCATTCGCCATGACTACATGAATTTGGACTAAATTGACTGCAACACATTTATTCTTTTGGCTTATTATTAAAGATTGCACATAAAATAATTATGGAGAATCGTTAAAAACAAAGCTAGGTATATTTTTAGCTGAGTGGGGAGCTGCTTCAGATGTTGAGTTTTTCGAAGGGGCCCCATGAATCATGGAAGTTCGAGATCTAGAAAAAAATGTTAAAGCTACATAGGGTTTAAAGCTCAGTCAGTCCATCATTCAAGGCTTAGCTATATTGAACAATTTTGATTTTGGTAATTTGGAAAACAAAACAGCAGTGATTTATTGTGAATCCCTATGTTCAAAGAGAAAATATTATCTAACACCTCAACTCAAAAATTTGTAGAACAACTGATACTCCAATGGCGACTAGAACTCATCCGAGATCAAAGAGTGGACCACCAAATAAAAATATTGATCTTAGACTTCTACCACTGCAATGGCAAAGATTGTGTAAGTTCAGAAATCTCTTATAGTTCGTTTTTGATCATTTTTAAATTAACCGCCGAAAGTTGTCGACCACTAAAGAGTCTGACATGGGATTGCTTGCATCCTAATGAATTCACTGTCTTATAACAATGATATGTATAAGTGCTGGGCTTTTTCTTTCTTGGAATAAATAACAGAAACAATCTTAAGACGATTTTATTCATTTCAAATTATTCTAAAATAAAGTTTGTAATACATAACTAGTTCGGCTGGTGAACAGAATGTCAAATGGGTATATAGCTGCCTCATTCCGGCTGTTTAATGGCACCAGTTCATCTTCTAATATTTTTATAATTTGTTTTTCTCTGATTCTATTTCAAGATGGCGAACTACAAAATGCTAATGCTGCTGATGATGCAAGAAGAAAATATTCAACAAGGTTTTCATACAACATGGATCAATGATATTCAAATTACCAAAAAACTAAGCTTTCTCAAGTTTCCTCGTCCTAGCTGAAGGAATTGTTGAATTCAAAGATGCCTTCGTAGATTTGCATTCTACTCTGCATATTCATGGGATTAAGCAAATTCTTGTTGTTGATTTCAGGGAAACCACATTATTATGACACACAAAGAGTGGCTGTTTATCGTATATAAAATAGATTATTACTTATTAGTGCGTAGACTTTTTTATTTTGTCTTTCAAAAAAAACATCAGGTAAAATGTTTTCAACATAAAACAGAAATATTGCAAAACTGAACATATGGTATCCATCCAACATGCGATGTAGGGTCACACATAACTATTGAATTATTTTTATCTGTTATTGCTTGTTAAATTCAAGCACTTTACTTTTTTTAACTTGCCAAATTTTATTTTTTCACTGTGTATTTATAAAGATGTCATAATTTTATTAGATCTATCTATCATGTTGTGTCTTATCGTTGGTATATTGTCAAATGAAATATATTGCTGCAGAATAACTTGTGTTTAAATGTGAGGCTTCATGGTGATAGTTGTCAAATTGCACTCGCAGAATGTATTGGCAAAGTTGCCAGGAGTTTTCACTAGCGCCATCATTGAGAATTTTTATGTGTGTTCTGGCGTTTGGCACAGAAAGCATCCAAATTTCGTAACCTAGGGTGGGCAAAATTAAATCTTTTTTTAATCGAATAGTGCGAGTGTTTTTAACGAATGATCAATATTTTTATTATACAACACTAGTCTAGAACAGGGCTACTCAACTGGCGGTTCGAATCCGGACCTTTCGGGTATTCGATTCGGACCGCGCATAATTCTTTATTTTGGATCATTAGCCCCACTTTTGAATTTTCCTTTTATAAAATCACTTGTATAGATTTAGAAATATATATGAAAAGAATTATAAAGCCATAACGAACAATATTGATTATCTAATAATCATTAGTCGGCCGACGAATTGCGTGTTTAAAGATGCCCAAATATAATTTTTGGAAAGTCCGGACCCAAATATTTTTGAAGTTTTGTATGCGGACCTTCGGTAAAAATAGTTGAGTAGCCCTGGTCTAGATAATTACTAAAAGACTGAAATGTTGACAGCCAGAGGGTGTATTTACCTGGTAATTTTGTCATAAACGCTGACTGTATTTTGTCAATCGCGACATCTTATTCCTCCTTTTTAGAAGTTTTAAATCTTACGCAATCCCGGATATTCAAGTTTGAATTTCATATTTTTGGCAAAACTGTGTTGACATTAGCGACATATGTTTAAGACAACATTGAGAAGTTAATTTAGAACCAAGTATATATTTTATTTCGAGGCGACGATATTAACACTACTCGCACCGTTGGGCAACCATGAGGGGAAGTTTATGGGGCAGTTTATGTATGTCCAGAGATTGCCCTGGCATTTAAGAGTAGCAATAATTTTTGCAATCTGCAATAATAATTGCAAGACCTACCGTATATTGAATGGTCGCATCAGTCATGGATCGAATGATTACCGAGAGATGGTGCTGCAATATCTGGAATTGAGCATGCCTCATTACGGTGAGTGGCGATCACGACACCCAGAAAAGGTTTAAATACTACCTTACCTCCCAACGTAAAACGGCCTTTACTCTTCATATAAGTGCAAACCTAGCCCTAAACACAAGATGCTCTATTGTTGTGAATGGTGATCGAGCATTCATCACTTACAGCTTTCACAACTTCCTATAAAAACCTCACACATAACTAAAGAAACAGCTTTATGATTTTTCAGTTTATTTACAAATAACAAAAACAAGAATCAGGCTGTTTTCATCTTTTTTGATGTTTTCTTCTTCTCTTTATCAATCGCTTTTCTTTTTTCTGCCAATTCTTGTTTCTATAAGCAAAAAAATATTAGCTACTGTGAATTGTCCCCCATACTAAGGTTTCACAACCTGTGTGTGTTCTTCAAAGCAAGCTAATCAACCTATTATTGCTATGGGTAGCTGTAATCTCATTTGGTAAATTACATTTTTTTGTAAATATGTTCATGCAATAGGCACATTGTTTACCTGTCTATTTTTCCTTCTTTCCCCATATTTAATTTTCTTGTACAGATGCAATTTCTTTTTCGGAATCATCATAACAGCAAGTCTTTTCTCTTCAGCAGCAATCTTAAATATGCAATGGCAGGGAAAGTCAATACAAAAAATAGGCATAAAAAGTATTCAGCCACTTAATTTCATGTCTCTGTTTGGTTTACATGCTAATGCATGATCAGTATACTGTAAATTAACTATCCACTAGATTTGAGGTGGCAATATAAATGTTGAAAAAAACATATTCAGCAACGAAAGGATATAAAACTGTCAGAAAAGCATGGTATAAGAATCAAAATGTCGATATTGTTGGCTACGAACAATTGTCACATTGTATTTGAGATTAAAAAATAGCAAACAATAGGTAGATTTTTTGTTGGAGCTGAAGCTGTCATGTGTTGTCTAGCCAAACACATAAGGCATATTTAAAGAGGCTTTATATGTTATTAAGCAAGGAGATGACTTCTCAGTCAACAGAAACTGTCAGATTGGAACACAACTACAACAGCCAAGTGTGCCATGCTAGATGAAGCCAGAGCTGGTTCTTGCTTCAAACCCCATGAACTTTTTGAAATTTGAAAATCCTATATCATAATTGAGTCCTGCTTTTGTGAAACTTAATTTAAACAGATATTTCATGATAGTGGTCATACAAAAAAAATGACTCTACCCAGCTCCAAAATAAACACGAGTCGGGCCAGCCCTAATAGTAAAACCACAAGGTTTCATTTGTGGTTAGCAAAATTTGTCACTATCAGTGTAAACAAACTTCAAATACTCAAAACATATGAGCTTACTAATTTCATGGATATAACAACATAATTACCTGATCAGGTTGAGCTTTCCTGTCAAAATCTTTTTTCCCTGTTTTGACTGTGATTGCTGCAAGCTTTTTCTAAACAAATATAATTTGGTTTTAACAGACTATCACATAGAAAAAAATAGTCATACTCAGTTCAATTTGTACAGTATGTTTGGAGTACAATACGAATGGTATGTTGTATAGTATGTTTTTTGAAAGTCAGTTGAAGAAATATTTGCAAACCTAACCAACCTGTGTCGATTCTGTCAGTGATGTTGAATTGCTTTAGATTATTATAATTTAATTTAAATATATTAAGTATTATGTTACAGAGAACCCACAGCTTGTGGAACTTCGTTGCTGTTAAAAACTATCAACTACCTGTTTCTCCACAATTTTTTCATCTTCAGAATCTTCCACTTCCTCTTCATTGTCTCCCTCATCATCTTGCTCTGTATCTTCAACAACTTCCTCTTCTTCAGAATAATCAGAATCTTGATTATTCAAACCTGCGCAAATAAAAGTTTTATTTCTCATTAGAAATCTGTAGAATACTGTAGATCAATTGAAGACAAATGATGGAATATCTATGAAGATTTTTCAGCGCTCCATAAGTGTGTGTACCAATATGGAGGTAACTAATTTTGTTCGCCTACGTTACATCAAGTTGTGTAAAGGGGCTGAAACCTATGGGCAGGTGGTATATTTACTTGCTACTTAGCTAACACAGACAGTCCCAGACCTCGCAATAGAAATGAAATAAGAAAAATCAGAATAAAATTATGGCCTAACCCTAACCAGGTACACATAATACAGGTCACAGGAGTACCCATTTTTCATTCAGAATTATTGGTCTGTTTGCCTCATTTAGAAATATTTTCACAATGCATGAATGTATAGCTGTGAAATCAGATTGGCAGATTATACCAATTCAATTCTTCACTTGTGCAATGGATAGGTTGAATGAGTCTGTTCTTTGATAAAACTTATATAAATATTCCATATTTCCAACATGTTGAATACATATAACATTTGAACAAATGTTCTATTTATACCTGGATCTTCCCCCCTTTGCAAAGCTCGTAATCTTTCTTGTTCTGGAGGAATATATCCTTCACTGTCATCAACAAAGGGTGATAAATGAGGTGGTAACATGTCACCTGGCAAGTAACCAGTGACTGGCAGAAGCATGCGAGCGTTTATGCAGTCGAATACCCATTGTGGTTGGAGATAACGCCTGGATGCAGGAAGAAAACAGTAATTAATACAAAACTGAAATGATGTCAGTATATATACTGCTCAATGCAACGGTAAGTCTCCAGTTTCATATTTTACTCTGTTATAGATACCATATGCTGAAGCCTATTTTTCAAAAAGTTAGGATTTTTATTAAAAAGCAAGCACAAATAATCCTCAAACCACTTTGTGCTTGGTTTTAGAAATAATAATTACTGTCATGGCATCTGAAGCCTAAACAAAATTCATATCAAACGTGTTCTTCAGCGAGATTCTTCAATTAATTGCATGAGGAAAAGTTGCATGAATGATGAATATTAAAATATCAAGAAAGCTGAACAAGTTTTGAAAATGAAACATACATCTTCTGCCAAAGTGTTGCCATGAAAAATTTACCTCGTAATAAATTTCATGTTTGGATTTGGTCTATCTACAATTTGATGGGTAATTTTTTCATTATCTTCTGAATATGTTGAACCTAAACCTGCAGTTTTGTCCCAAGAAACAACTCCACCAAAACTCCTGAAATATTGTCATTAATGTTCAAGTTAAAACATATATAAATAACTAAAAGAAAACGTTTAATCGTTCTTTGCCACAATGATAAAATATTACTAAAAATGAATAAGCCCATATATTAATTTTCCTTGTTGATTAATAGTTAATTTTCCTTAGTTATGTCATTCAAGTACACTGTATTGTGTTCAATTTGGAATTATCAAAGAGTTTAGTTTAAAAGTTAGTAAAAATAATGTCTTTTTGAAATACAAGAAGTATAAATTACTGTTAAATTTGCCACTCTTCTTATAAAGCCAAATCACAATTTATGTTAAATTCAAAAAGATTGTATCAAGATTTTAGTGCAATGGAAATGGTGCTTCTCAATCATCCAAACTAATCCAGAGATGGAATTTAAGATCATTAAACTAATTGAATGTGGATATCACTATGATATAATATAAACCTATATTCTCAAAACTTTCAGACTAATTCAATTATGCTGCTCTAGATATATAAGCATTATCCAACATCAACATTATAGTACCTGATAACAAAGACCAGCGTTTCTTTGGGGACTTCTCTTCCAAGAAAAAATTTACAATTCGAAAAAAGATTCTGAAATTTTTTCAAAGCCTCATCTTCTTCTTTTTGCTTTGCAATTGATTCCGTATTTCCAGCAAGTAAGGCAACTTCCTCATCCTGGATCGCAGTAGATTGATCATCTATCTCTGTCCTTGCTAACGGTGTGTTAAGACTCGTAACTCTCTGTAAAAATAAACTTGATGTAATTGGTATAATATTAAAATAAATATTTTGAATTTAATTGTAAAAGAAATAATCTTGTTCAAGTATATTCACAAAATAAAATGAATTATTGCCAATAGCAAATACCAATATCAATTGCTGATGGAAAATATTTGTTGGCGTATTGGAGTTGAACAATTTACACCACAGATAACAGCAGCCTTTCAATGAGGAACTGAAGGTCTCTCTCATCAAAAATTTGACTAAAGTCCCTCATTTCATTGCATGTCAAAACTACAAAATTTTATCACGTTGTTGAAGAGAGAAATGTTGTAAGCCCCAATAATTCCACTCGATGGCAACATGTAGCATAATAATTCTAAATGTGACAAAAATGTTTAAGAATGACATTAACAAACCTCAAGGATAAATAAAGCATAACGGTTTTGCTGAACTGATTTAATTTGCAGAAGTTTCAAATTACTACGCAGAAAAACTTCAATTATTTCACGCCTTGATAATTTTCATGTTTTATACAAGCTAGTGTCTTTTTCCATATCACGCCTTAGTGAATTTTTTCTGTATAGTAATTCTAAATGTTGGTAAAATACATAGATTTGCTCCGGCTGGACCTTATTCATCCTCAGTATAAATATAGTTGGTGGCAAACCTCTGAATGAACTTCATTATCCATGCAAAACTTTGGCAGGTCTTTTAGATCTCCATCATCTCTCTTTTCGTCATCTTTTTCAGACTCTGCTGTGCTTGTTATCGATATCCGAGGAGGATAATGTAAATTGATGTCATTATATAATTTGAAAAGAACAAATCCAAGCATATTTCGAAAAAATTCTGTGAACGTCGACATCACTTTGAAATCAACATCTTCTGGGTGCTGAAATATTATTTTAAACGAACATAAAAATGAGATAACAGCCGTACGCAAACGCCATCAGTTCCAGCCAGATGGATCTTGTATTGGATAAAGTAAATTACCTTTTGTGGCAGCGCTGGAGACCAGCGAAGGAGCTTACCATGATAAATGAAGCTAGAGCCAGAGCTTCATAAAATTTCAGTGGTTCCAGCTCCGAACCATCTAATTATTTTTTACTCCATGAAAATAAAAAATTTTTCTTTTCAGATTGTTTTTATTAATTCAATTTCTAATATTAATACTAGTACTATTTTATGTAATATTTTATATTCGAGTTTAATTTTGTGATTTAAAACCATTGTATCATAATTTTGAGTCAGGAATCTGCAAAACTGCATTCGGGATGATGTTATGTTGTAGTGGTCATATTAACTTACATGATGTGAAAAATTATGTGGTGTAATCCATGTCACTGGCTGTCCCATTATCTCAGATTGAAAATATATTCCTTTGATTGAAATAAAGACTTTTCTCAGAGCTTTTGCTTCAATCACATAATGCATGAATTCCACTATGAGAAAAAATATTAATAAATCTAAACATGAGTATTATCTAATTAATATATACAAAAAAGTAGAAAAATAAAGGATGGCATGAGAAAATATACTAATTCTATAAGCCTATCCATAATGTTTGTCAAGCATAAATTACATATTGAACATCAAACACACCTAGTTCAAACAAGATTCATGAAAGAAATATTTTACTTAAAATACATGTAATCAAAATAAGCTCATTTTGCAAAGCCTTTTAATCGGGCTGTGTTCAATAACAAAATTACCTGTAAGCCTTCTACAAAGCTGAACTGTTTCAGAATGAATACTGTGTGATTTTGGTAGATTAGAAAACAAGAAACACATGCACAGAGCATCGTCCAAATCTTGGATAGCTCCTGTAAATGTTGGATATCTGAAAAATATCAATACACCCCTGTCACCAGCACTGTCATAGGAGACAAGTTAATCTAACCTATATTATATAACTCAAGACTGTGTGGGCACCATGTTCTAATGCAGTGGTTCCAAACTGCTGGTCTGCAGACCAGAACGAGCAAATTTCACTTTTCTCTCCCAGTGCAATCGCTTGGTCATCAAAAACATGCAGTTGCATTGCATTATTAGGCGAATTTTTCGGTCAGTGTTTCGGTAAGTGTGGTATCAGGCCCGGCGATGTCTTGGCTGCTGAGTTTCATGCAGTCAAGAACAATAAAAGAGCAAATTCAAGAAAAAAGGACACTCATTAAAATGAGACCTGGTTCATGTTTTTCCTATTTTAGTTTCATGTTTTGTGTCAGTCATTTCAATATTTGGTGCCGGTCCACAAGGTCATTTTTATTAGATGTCTGCCAAGGTGAAAAGGTTAGGAACCGCTGACCTAGAGTGTTAGACCTATTTTGACGTAGCAGTTCATCTCTGGTTCAATACCTCACCAAAGGTGTAATAAAATTGAGTGACTTATGGGGGCTCAAGAAATACAAACTGGTTTCTTAAGTAGCAAAGATTTGATAACACTCTATAAAAAGTGAGTGAGATGCTAATTCCAACAAAAACAAAAGACAAAATTAAAATGACGAGTATTTCAGTAATGCTTATTATGGAAATATCGTTACCTTTCCCTCACAATGTGATCAATCTTGTAAGTTGGTTTATTTTCTCTCAAGTATGCTGCTCTCGATTTTTCATCCTTTGCCGTTGCTTTTTTCAACTTTTTTATATAAGTCTAAAAAGAGACCAAACACTTACAGCGCTAGTAATTTTAAAATAAATCTGATATAAAAAAGGTTAACCAAGACTTACTTTATGTTCACGAAATTTGCTTATAACAGGTTCGTGTGCCAGAAATTGAATGTCTTTCAAGAAGTAGAATGTCCGATTTGCAGTGCTTCCTTTATTCACCTTAAAATAGAATTAGTATAAAAATAATATACAAATTTACAACCCATCAGAAATCCTGTATGATACAAATTTACCTTCATTTCATTTCAATTTTCTAACTCAACTATTGACCACATATGATTAGCTAACAAAAAATTCTCAGAATAAATTGGCTGCAGTCACATCACAAATATCAGAAGCAGAACTGACAAACAACCTATATCATCATTGAAGGGTATATGTCAAGTGAGTGTAAACTTCAATACAAAAGCATCAGATACAAATAACTGGGTGGAACCAGGACAGCAACTTTCATTCAACATAAACTTTCTAGAGCAGGAACAAACACCAATAATTTTACTTTACCGCAGGGGTGTGCAACCTGCGGCCCTCAAGTAAAAATTGGAGAAGTGCCAATTTTGAATGATGTGTTTAATTTAATTCGGTATGTGCGAGAATTTTCAATCCCTCTGCGATGCGAAGATATCAGTGTCTTAGCAGCTGGTTTGTCGCATGTCGTCTCGACGCATGTCACAAGATCCAATAACCAAAATTTTTGTGCCCACGCAACTACTAGATAGTCTATGTTAAAAAAAGGTGTGGCCCGCCGTTTCAGTCAGTTATTTCTATCTGTCCCTCCTCTATATAGATGAGTCAGTTGATTATAATTGAATAGTATAAAACAAGAATGTGACCTTATATTACTAAAGCTCATATATCAACGATTGTATCATTGTGACAAAAACATTTATCAATAACTGCAAAAAATACCATATTCAGATAATCTGGCGTCAATAAATTATAATCAACTATTGAAATTCTTTAGATGCTTGACAAAACAAAAATTCACCTTCTTTTTATGTGCTGGTTCATGAGGATAAATGCCCTTTAGAATACAAATTCGTCGAAAGTTGGCCAAACTGAGCTGAAGTCTCTTGCAAGCATGCTTTCGAGTTATGTATTGCGTTGCAGCTCCGGCTTCATGCTAAACAGATAACATAGTTTCACAGTGAATATGAGTGCTTGGTATATAAAAGTAAAAAGATAAGTCAAAAAATTATGTAATAATTATATAAATTATACATAAATACCTTCTTTTTTATTCTTCCCATGTCAGATAAGATGTTTGGTAGCAATAGATCACAGCGACGTTATTCCAAATCTCTACCAAAACGTGGATCTATCATAGAGGAGTCATACATCGGTGTTTCCCCTCTTATTCAGCACGTGGTTTGTGATCTGAAGCGTGAAATAAGGTTTGTCGTCAATGAATATTAAAAAGAAGAAGCGTTTATTGATTTCTAGTGTTATTCGTACTTTTCATAAAATTTAAATTGTCATTCCATATTTTATTCGATCTCATTAGTTTTTATTTCTTGACAGTTGTGGGACTCTCTAGCGGGACTTGTGGGCCGACTTGAACTGGTGAACACATTTTCCCTCAAGTTATTTGTTGTGTAGCAAATGACTTCTATTGTGCATGGGAGGTCGGTGTTGAGGTTCGAAATCAAAGTTCCCATGAAAAACGCTAAACATGCGTTGATTGCAAAGAATACTCTGATTGTAGACGTTGAGCCTCGAAGGCAATTGGTGGATAAAGTGATTGAAGTAAACAATAATTTACTCTGCGTATACTGGACCGCAGCTGAGGCGCGACTTTTACGAGTATCTGTGAATTCCTTATTGAATAATCTTCGGCTCATTGTTGACACAATTGAGGGGTTTAGCATAGACTAATTTGCTATTATGTCGACGATGTTTATTCGGAATATTTTGAAGCGCTTTCAGCCCCTCAGGAGTGGACGCTTCATTTGTCATTCATGTGAACTATGCAGCCCCACTTACAATCAATGTAATTCTACTGCCTATTATTCTCGTTCTCATGAGACTAGTGAAAACTTGGAAAGTCCACCAACATCTGGTTCAACAGTCTCGTGGGATACTATAAGACGACAAGATAAATCAGACTTTCTATCAAAAAAACGGGGGGTACTCGATCTAGATGAGGTCATTCAGTTTTTAAACGAGGAAGGCTCATTGGACATCGTTGTAATTGAAGTTCCCAAAAAAATGTGCTATGTTGACCACTTTATTATATGCACTGCAACGTCGGCAAGGCATGTTGCAAGCATTGCTGAAATGGCAAACAAGTTGTATAAGTCGAAACGAAGGGGTAAGCAACCTTTCACACTTATTGAAGGAAAAAGAATTAGTGATGATTGGCAGTGCATAGACATGGGAAATATGGTGATTCATATAATGCTTGAAGACACTCGTGAAAAGTATAACCTCGAAAAGTTATGGACTCTGGGTCATAAATATGATGACTTGATGAATGAGAAGCCTTCGGACGAAGAGATCATGAAAAGATTATCAATGGATGGTCTAAATTTAATGTCTATGAATGAAGATACTGTTAAAGCTTTGGGAAACCTTGAAGACCTCAACCCATGGGATAATCCACCAGAAGACTTTTTTGATATGTCATCAAAATCTGACAAGAATGAGTCAAATGTGGATGACACACTCGAGGATGACGATGCTTTCTTAGTTTAATGAGGAGAGTAGACAACAATCATTAGATGATATATCTCAATGTAGATATTATTTTTTTAACCAAGAAGAAAATGCACTCAAATGAACCTTTACCCCAAATTTTTTCCTGTTTCACTTTGTTGAACACAAGCTACTGTCGTTACAAATGAGTGGGAAGATTTTTAGAATCTTGGCTTTTACACATTGTACTAGAACCACACTTCTCACTATCAATAACCATACCCACTGATGTGAAACCTTATTGAGACTGTTCAATCTAAAATGATAAATTTGATTTTGTATGCTGGTCTACTCGAAAACATTCATAAAGCTCTTATTTTATCTGAGTAAATGCTTCAATTCCACAAACACTCAGCAAAAATTGAGCATTCAGACCAGACCTACAGGACGTGTGGGCCTTGAGGTGATTTAAATAACTCATGCATACAAAATATATAAGAGGGTGGGGCCAAAGACCAATTATAAGTCAATTCTATATAAATTCATTTAATTCTAAATGCTCAATTGACATCCAAGTTGGCCACTTTCATCGATTTTGGCACTACAATTCTTTGTTACAACATACTATCTCGTGCGCTTTAAGGGACAAATGTATGACAGCGTATGCAATAGAGATGTTCGGTTCCAGCATTTTTCAACATAACAACAATGACCGAACAAAAAGATACAACATTCCAACAAAAGATGGTTGTGTCGAATTGATCATGTGTTACACTGTTTACACATTACGAACAATATGACACGATACAAGTTATATGGTGATAATGATAACTTGCGTCCTGCAAACAATTGTTTCGTCTGTTGTAGCCCTTTCTTTTATTTGAGTTATGCAGGCCTGATTTTGACGAACAAAAAATATAGTTCACTGGCAAACTTGAATGTAACTTAAATCACTGGTCAAAAACATTTTTATAAATCAAGACTATGTGTATGGCCAAATCGTCAAAGGTAATGTGTGCATAACTTGCCTATGTTACGTAAGTCATTACCATTCTGTATTGATTTTTTTTATTTAATAAATATTTACAAACGAGTCTGAAATAAGTGAATTTTTAGCTTAGGACTGTAATTCACGAAAGATGGATTGAATCGATAAAAAAGGCTAAGTTTCCTTCAAAAGCATTCCATCATGTTGAAGTCACAAGTATTTTTGGCTCAATTCACATCATCATCTGAGATAAGATTCCAACCTTCAGCTAAACCCGACAAATTATGAAAAGCAAACACAAAGTCTTATTGTCCTCATAATACATCTTTCATGGGCTTTCTGCTTGCTACCTAATTGTAAATGTCCATAATATGCAACAAAAGATTTTTGTTTTGATATATAATGTAGATATACATAGTTAAAACTTTGCTTAGCATATGTAATGATATAGAGAAAATTGGTGAAATGCATACAATCAAGCAGTAATAGGGCAAGCGAGTCAGCAATATAGAAATAAGAATAGTGAGCTCTGATCTGCTAAAACATAAATTTAAAAAAATGGCTGTCAGGCATTGAAACACTGTTAATAAACACTTGTGCAGATTCTGTGGACCAGCCACAGGTTTGGCAACTGTATTGTATGGTTTGAACTTTCAAATACTAATTATATTTGCAGTGTAATATTCAACTGCAGTCTCAGGACTTCTTTATAAAAGCAATGGCATCAAAAAGTTCAGCTCAATAAAATAAAATGTTATAACTCCTAATTATCTGAAAAATTCAACCAATTAGCGGCTTATCCTAAAAATCAAAGCATTAAAATTATGGTATCTTAAGGATTGTCAACTAAAACTGATCGCTGTGCAATATTTCAACAACAAAAGACAGATTGCAAGAAAAATAATTACTGTCATGAAAATGGTGCAATGCTAATAAGGGTATTCGGACTATAGCCATTGGTGTAGGTATGACAATGATAGTACATGACTATATATGTCCCCTTCATAAATGCATGAAAATGTCAATTATTGGTGTTCTAAATAATGATGAAATGTGCAATACTAAATAAAAATTTATGTATATAAGCAACACATACGAAATGCGTATGGTCAGTACTATTTATCCTCATTTTTGGCCAATACAAAATTATCCATTTCTATGATTGCTCTAGCAAACAAATTTGTTTTATGAGTCAATGTCATTAAAGATAATATTTGTATCTTAAATCTTCACAACTCCAAATATAGAAAGTATTTATATATACAATGTTTAGAAGTCGTAGGGGTGAGTAGCCAGTCAATGATATGATTTATAGGGATACTTAATTTCATTTAGCTCATAAAAATATTAGTGAATCATGTATGAGTCATGTATTTTTATATATCTATGTAACGGAGGATGTGTTTTAAGTAGAAAACAATCATTCCTTATGATAAAATCAGTAACATAGTTTTTATTGCGTTCACTTTGTCTTAGCAGTATTTTCTTTGTCTGTTTTGCCTTTCTTGCTGAACATCTTCTTGACTTTATTCTTCTTTTTCTTTTTGCTTGGATTCTGTTGTAACCTTTTCATTTTTTCATACGCTGAATCTTCCTCTGCCTCTTTCACGCGTTCTTCTTCAATGGAATTAACAATTACATTCCTCCGTTCAACAACCTCAAGAAGTTTTTGCAGCAGATTTTCTTCATCGATTTTATCTTGATCAGTTTTAGTAGACTCCGGTTTGTTAAAAAGCTTCCGCAATTGAAATTCAATATCTGCATGCTCCTGTTCATGTTTTTGTTGTTGCATCTGAAACACAAGGTCAGACTCTTGCCTGAGCAATTGGTTTTTCTTATTAACCAGTTGAAACCACTCCTGCAGCAACTCATCTTCCTCTGATGTCCACTCACATTCACTATCCATTGCAAACCGCAACATTTCTTCTAACTTTACACCCTTTGTTTCATAATCAGTTAATTGAACATCGAGTAACTTCAATTCGTTAGCAATCTCTTGTTCCGACATTTTTATTTCTACTTTTCGCTTAACAAGTGGATATCCATACCCAGGTGCTGAACGGGCCTTGGGGCTTTTGTGCATGGCTCTAGCTTTTGAAGACGACTGTGGCTTGGTACTATTTTTAGTATAGTGTGGATCTTTTTCATTAGCCTTATTCAATTCAACCATTTTCTGACTTGATGTATCCTTCCATCCCGGTGGCCTAGATGGGGCAGCTGGTTTTTTGTGGGGTGATTGTGTTGATAGAAGAGCTGAAGTTGATTTTGGTGGTGCTGGAGCTGGCCGTTTCTTCTTTACTACTATCTTATCATCAAGTTTTGCAGAATTCTTATACACTTCAGTATTAAAAGGGTTGACTCTATCAACAGCTTTATTCTTAGGCTCTTCTTCATCTGCATCTCCAAATGGATTTCCTTCGTTATCCGACTGTTTATTGGAAACTTCTTCAGGCTGATCAATTTCTGGTGGATCACCAAAAGGATTGCCACCTTCATCTGCACTATTCTCATCATTGATGATCTCAGTAAGTTTATCTTCTGTTTTTTCATTTTTGGATGCATCTACCCTTCTCTCCTGTACTTTGGGGGTAATTTCAAACGGATTGCCATCTTCTTCTGAGGATGTAGAAGATAGAGTAGTGTCAGAATCTGACCCAGATTCCAATTCAAATGGATTCAACGATTTCCTATAGGATGCTTTAGAATTATCTTCGACTTGATTTGAGTCATTGCTAACATCTTTAGAACGAGGCCGTGCAACTGGAACTGGAGCAATTGGTTTTTCCTCATTAGAATGCAAAGTTCTTGCTCTGGGTTTCGGCTTTGTTGGTGAACTCTTGATTTCGCTCTGTTGTTTGTTAGTATGTCTGGCGACTGGTAACTCACTGACAAGAGATGGAGCTACATCATTAGGATTGTTTGGTAGTGGTTTATTTTCTGTGGTTGGTGAAGGTGTAATTTCTGCCATATTGACTGTTTTAACTTCGGCATCTGCTAGAGACTGAACCATATTTGGCAATTCTTCTAGTCGATTCGGTTTAGTGTAGTTTTCCCTTTCAGATACAACAGTGGGCACTGGCTTATGTACGACATTTTTGGTCGTCTCTTGCTCGACTGCAGTTTTCGCTTTCTCTTCATCATTTACATTTTTCTTAGGCGACTCTGGCTCATCTTGGTGTTTTATGAAGTAATTTTTACCTCTGATTTTTTCAAGAGAATCATTTCTGTGACATGTTCGATGGTAAAGCTTGCCTTCATCAAAGTATCTTTGAACCAAATGAACCCGTTTTCCACAAATACAACATATACTATCATCTGTTGATCTTCTCTGAGGAGAAGCTGTCTTACTTGGACTTCCAGCTGTAACGGGATTAAGTACTGGTGCATCTGGCTGTGTTGTTTCCTCTGGCTTGCAGTGACGGAAACAATTATAGTATTGAGCTAAATATGTCATAACACTGAGCCTGTCAGGGACTGCCATTTCGGCCATATCTTCAGCATCCAAAAGTGCGGCAATACCAAGCTCCTTCTCGGCTATTCCAAAAGCCAGCTGGTGGTTATAAAACACATTCTCTTTTGATAAGGATTCAAAATCAATCAAATCAGGGCGAAATCGGTGAAGAAGAGCACAAAAGCCCAACCCGCTACTCCAAGATGAAGTCATGTTTGTTATATTCACGTCTCTATATCCTTCTGTGTGCTTTTTGCACCAGGTCAATAAACCTTTCATCCCCTTATTAGCCATGACAACCTAATGGGGCTGATTAGAATAATATTATAAACTAAAAGTGAAATCAGAACAAACTTAGGTTAACCCTTACGTTAGATATTGACTGACATAAATAAACAAGGTCAATATTGCATGGCAAAGTAGCTGTAAAGCAAGAATAACATGAACACCTGAATGTAAAGCTGCAATAATTGAGAGTTCTAACACAGATGGCTATAAAATAAATTTACATCTTCACAACAATCTAAAATGTTAGTTAAGCAGTTCAGCATTAAGTATGTCGAATATACAACAATTAAGCGTATAGAATACAAAAATAAAAATTTCATAAATACCGTAGTTTTTTTAGATTTGGAACCCGTCAAAGGAAATTGATAAAATACAAATCATCATAATATACAATTACAATCCAATATAAACTTTACTGAACTCTTCAGGGGATATGATAAAATTCTTTCCAGTGGTAGCCTACAACATGGATAAAACAGATCATGAACATTTTCAGTATAAACTAAGCTTGATTGAAGACATAAAGATTGGTAAGTAACAATGTGTTGGCATTTTTATACACAATCCTATAAATATTAACCCAAAAAATTCTTCAGTGAAGGCACTCATATTATTTGGTTGATAAATCTAGTAAAGATTTTGAAATAGAAGTACTAGCGATATGACTGCTTGAATTGTCAGATATATTTGACAATTAATCCTCCTTTTCGTGAAGAATATGAATTTCTTATTTTCGAGTGCAGTTAATGTTATACACATTTGGCATAGTTGTTTTGAGTGAATAGAAATAACCAATGTTTTATGTAGGATTTGCATATCCCGGGGAAGAGGTAAGGGGATCGGGCATGAGATTGGTTAGCCAGTTATTCTTTTCAGATGCATGGATTCGATGGTGGAGGAATCCGTAACCGACCAGCAGTTAATTAAACCACTGTACGGTGGCGAGGAGTCCAGCAATCTTCTTGCAGAAAATTATCACCACAGGATTCGAACCTGCGAACCCACGTAGGGTAATCAGAGGCGCGGTGGCAGGCATACTCCTAATGCTTTGCACGATGCGCCACATATATGCGACATATATTGGTGGTGAATGAATGGACTTTTGGGAAAGATAATACTGAGTAAAATTTCGCTTGAGTATTGGTCAAATCCATTCCAGATCCAGAGCTACCACTACTAAAATACTGGACAAGGTAAAATTTATATATAGGCTACGGTGATACAAGAATATCCATATGATAATTCATATTACTATATTAATAATGAAACACAAGTTATTGCTAATTATGAGAACCGACAGCAACACGGTAAACACGGACGTTTAAGGCTGATTTGCCTCGCCTTCTATCAGACTGTGGCGCGCGCAAAACATTTTCAATTAAGTAAACCAGCAAGTTGGTTTTACGTATTATGATAATGGAAAAATTGCCTCGTCATCCTAACTCGTCTTTACAACTTATGGTAAAAGTTTCGCTTCTGACAAACAGACACGCATTTATGTTAGTCAGGGCGCTTGTTGCGTGATCAATAGCCGGAATACCTTCTTCAGTCAGGGTGACAGCGCTTTAATGCGATAAATTACAGGTACCATAAGAATATACGATGACTGATGCATTTTCCTAGTACTTAGAGGGCATCTGCGAAAACAACTTGAACTTGTATTTATATTATATTTATTTACGGCACAACTAGCGAGTACAGTTTAAGTTATACTTATACACGAGTTAGAAAACTGCCTGTCGCTCGTCAAACTGCAGAACTGCCAAAGGCTTAAAGGCGTTGGCCATTGCTGTATTGGTTTATGGCCTTCTGTTCTCTTCTTAACTCTGTTGTTTATCGACAGACTTGGCGATTTAACTAAGCTAATTAAATGTAACTTTGTTGATATCTTTATAGGACATTCAGTTCCCGGGAGCACCGATACTGCCTAAGCAAGAATAAGCGTACGTTTACGAAAATCTTTTTTAAAAATATGGTTTTGTGGGCAACCTTGTCAGTTGCCACATTGGAATTTTCTCCCATCCAATCCACCGTTTGTACGTACGGATGTACGGAAACAGACAGGTGAAAGGGAATTTTAAAAAGCATTAGTTAATAAAAAGAACATTTCATTTTTGAAGCCTAAAAGAGTATATGCACAAATGAAGGTGTTATTGTCTTCTAAACAAAATAGAATATGAACTGCTACTTGCCCTAAAAATGTACAATAATTTTGCTTGAATCCATCTCGCACCGCTGACTACTAAAATCGCCGCCAAACTTTTGTGTACAAGATAGTGATGTATTTACATCGTAGCGCCAAACTTAGTAATGCATAAATCTTGTGTGTATGTTATCAGACAACATACATGACGTGCTGCGTCGCCCCGTACTGATAGTGGGGGAAAGTATCGATGACAGCGCCGCTGCTGCGTGTAATTCGAGAACTTCCGTGTGAATTTGTCTGGCTTGATTAATTACGTTGGTAAATTTGTGCTGTCAATTTATTTTATGCTAATAAATGCGGGGTAATCGTATTCCATTGGTGGGCGAGTTCACCACGTAAACTCTGGTATTTCGTAACTATCTCGGTATGAATCACGCTGCGAAAGAGTTTTGTAATTCAGATAATAACCAAACCGTCGCGAACGGAAGATGAAAAACGCAGTATATTCAACTAGTAACTTGAGAATTACAATTTGGGTCCGTACCTTAATGGCCACAACTTGCAGTATTGGTGTACCTATGCAGATAAGAGTATTAATATTTTGATAAGCAGTCATCATGAATATTGATAAATGGCGTATTAAGATTTACATATTTATCTCGGATGAGAGGAAAGCCGATAAGACGGCTTAATCATATGGCGAACCACGGCCTCTCGTCCGGTTACCAGTCCAGGTCGGGTATGGGATTAGTTAGCCAATTATTTGTTTTCGGGAGCATGGACTTGACATGGTATTAGTAATAATATTAGTCGTTCAATTTTTTCATTATAAGAATTTTCATTAAACAAAAAAGGATGTCAGCTGAACAGTATTTCAATCTAAAAACAAGTTGTCAAAAAAAGTCGCCCGATTTTATAGTAATAATAATTAAAAATTGAATTGTCTTTGTTTATTAATAGTTTTTATTGTGATTGTAGTTCTCATTTATCATACAATAAAATGTATTTAAACTTACAATTGTACTTACTATAAAATCGGCGAAATTTGTTATTGCTATAAGATCGGGTGAAATTTTTTGGACATTCTCTATATATTATATATTAAAAGATAATTATAGGTTTTTGGGAAGACGGGCTAGAGAATTCTCAAATCAGGAAAATTTTCAACCTGAATGATGTCAGACGATCCAGAAATGGTAGAGGCTGTGGTATGTAACATGAAAGACTTGCCAGAAAAACAGGAATTTATGAAAGAGGTTGACGTGGGTTCTTCAGGCAAATGTCTTCTAATATTGTGAGTAATCGTGGCTAATATCCATATCATATACTTTTGTAATGCACAAGCACACATCTTGTATAATTTTATTTGCGAATTAGCGTATATATATCTCCAAAAGCTTTTGGATTCTTTGTTCCATTTGTATAGGTTGAGGTCCTTCGTATTTTCGACTATCTTTTGAAGTGAAATAGCTTGCATCGCATATATCTAAATTTCCATATGGGAGAAAGAGGCATGACACCGAGACTGACATAGATTTTTTATTCTTCAAGCGACAAACGTACTTCTATAATTAATCAAAGGCTCGGCGGTATGGCGCATCTTGTTAGCGTTTGGAATACGCTCGCCACCGCACCTTTGATTACCCTGCGAGGGGTCGCTGGTTCGTCATTCTTATTTGTTTACTTTAAGTTTAATTAAAGTCTGCGCAACAGCAGTTCCAGAATATCGCCAACTCGTATACCATTGTCTACTATCTCTTTATATATATATATATGTATAGAATATACCTTTCCCCCTTTTTAGGAACAAAAATGGAGATTTGACAGCGCTCGGTCATAAATGCACACATTATGGCGCGCCGCTTGCCAGGGGAGCGTTAAACAATGGTAGGATTCGGTGCCCGTGGCACGGAGCATGTTTTAGTGCAACGACTGGAGACATCGAAGATTACCCGGGACTCGATTCTCTGCCCAAATATCAGGTACTTGAAGGTTATTTCTAACCTGACTTACTTTCGCGCAATCAGAAATTTTTCGAATTAATTTGTGTATGTTGGTCCTTCGTTTCTGTGCGTGATTATACGATTCCATCATGTTTAAAAATTTGTAACAGGTCATAGTGGACGACGAGAGTGGGGATGTTAAAGTTAGGGCCAAACTTGAACACTTGAAGGTAGGAAAAAGAAATGCATGCATGGATACGGAAATTCGCTCGGGTAGGTATTACGATATTTCTCTTTTGTCGTAAATAAATGCAGCCGTTGCAGAGAATTAAACATGAACCACGTTATTTCACAAGTTAATATCTTAATATAAACGCATAATAATCATAGAGAGCGAAATCAGTTTAAAAATAACAACAGAAATGTATTCACAAAAGTGAATTTTGTTACTTGTGAAATTTAGACAAACACAATAGAACGAATTATCACATGACGTAATGTGCGAGGCAAGATGATTGACCGATCAATTCGTAATTGGAAATTTGGTTTGCTTGACAAATGAATTACATTTAGTCTTTGATTTACATTTGCTAGCCCATAAATTGTTCATAATAAAAGGACCACGGTAATTCTCATTAAGATGGACAGCAACATACCGAACAGAGAATAGTTATTATTGGAGGCGGCCCAGCGTCTATTGTCTGTGTGGAAACGTTACGCAAAGAAGGTTTCACTGGCAGCATAATCATTGTATGTAAAGAACCACATCCTCCATATGACCGCGCAAAACTGAGCAAGGCCCCCGATGCAATACCACAAGATGTTTATCTCAGGGGCGATTTGAAATATTACGACGACATAAAAGTGGATCTTCGATTAAACACGGTTTGTGACCTGAATTATTGAATAGTTATTTGTTTTGTTTCCAGATGACATAATAGTTTTATTCTTCTAATATATATTTACTGTTTTTATATTGTTTGCTCAGTCTCTTTTGAAGCGAGATACATGGCGTCTGTTAGACATTATTACACAAAGCGACTTAAAACAGACTGACGATAGGTTTTAATTCAATGAAAAATGAAATGTACATTCATTCACCAAATGTAAACTTTAAATAGTGAACTGAAAGAGTCAATATATAGATATCATTATATGCAGATGATTGTTGGGAAATCACACATAGCATAATGACAAAACTCAGACATGTGAAATCACGCCATATTATGAGGACCAAACAATATTCAATCAAAACAAAAAGTCCTAGCGCGAGGCGTTTATAACACGACAGTCGCGCAGATCAGCCTATATTCACATGAGCGGGCCAAGATGAAGTCAAACAATTTAACTTCAATTTAGTTAGTTTCAATCGAAAATACACAAATAGTTTGTTTCGTCATTTGTTAATTATTCTAGTCGAAACTGCAGACCACATGCGTCCGGACTGCAATAGAGTGACGTTTTGTACGTCTGCTGCTCTTGGAGAAATGTGTAAAGAAATTCTTATAACTACGTACAAAATTTTCATTTATTTTTAAACTTTTTTTTTAAATATCTAAACTATGAATTGTTAACTCTGGTCCAACAGTGTCAGCCGCCATTGACACTAAAGGTAACTATAGGATATGGTCTTTTCAATAAGTGCCTTTCTCACTGCGACGCTTTGCAGAATGATTTTCTTAATGTGGCCACTGCTCTAGAATATGTTCCAAATTACCTCCTTGGCATCAGGGTCAGATTTGCAGTCGTTGCACTAATTGGTTTCTCAGCAGCGCGCTGCTTTCATGATACGTCAATAGCAACAATATTGTTTACTGGGGCACAGCACCCCGAACGAAGGCACACATAGACATTTACACCTAGTGAAGTGCACAGAATGAGTAATCATTTCCAAACATGGCATCGTCGGTCCGTATTGGTTTAAAGACGAAAATGAAAGAGCTTAAACGGTGAATATGGAACGTTAAGGAACGGTGCCAAGGAAATTCTGGATATCACTCGGACGATGTGGAGAGATTGACTGAGATGACCTGGCAACACCCACATATCAAATGACACCCTTGACTGGATGGGAGAGCGATTTCAGCAACGGCTGATCGGCAGTGACTTTGAGTGGGCACTTCATCACCGGACTTGACCCCCCTCCCTTTCCACATTTTTATTTGGTAGAGTATTAGCAGGAAAATTTGTATCTGAAGAACGTTCAAACAATTGGTGAACTAAAGACTGCAACTGCAGCAAAAATCAGGGAAATCCCCACAGAGGAGTGTGTACAAGTGATTGACAACTTTGCGCAACTGATGCAAGTCTTCTCCAGCGCCGAGGACGGCATTTTGAAATTATTCTAGAATCTAGAGATAATATAACTTTTATGCGAAGCGTCCTATATTTCTGAAACTTGGATACAATCATACACAAACAAAAGTTCAAATGTAGGCAAAATTAAATGACTTACTCTATTTTTGTAGAAGTAATCAAAAAATTTAAGGGTTTTGTATTATTATCCTTTTGAGTAGAATTCCTAGTTGGAAAAATGTGTGCTTTGTTAGTACTAGTGCCAAAACCCACATTCGCCACCTTTTCTCTAATACCAGTCTAAAGTTGGAAGATCTGGCTCAGGGCAAGCTATTCACTGTGTGATAAAATAAGTTTATTAGAAAACAATGAGTATATTCAAAACATAATTTAATGCTTCGTGTTCGTATTACTTGATTGCTGTCAATTTTACAGGAAGCTCTTTCGGTAGACGCCGAACAAAAAAAAGTTGTTACCCGCGCTTGTGACGAGAATGAAGACCGATCAATTAGTTTCGATCGTCTGTTTATTGCTACAGGCGGAACACCACGGACGCTGCACCCCATGACTGGTTTCGATTGTAACAATATATTCGTTTTACGCACCGTGGACGACGCTAATAAATTAGCATCACAATGCAAGGGTGGGCGTATTTTATTTTATAAGACTTTTATAAATGACGTAAATAAGCCAATATGTTTTAAGTTGTCAAATTTGAAATGTTAATAGGTCATTAAATTTGAAGAAAATTTTTATGCAAACAGTAGTTAATTAACAAATAGATCTACGGATTTCAGTTTTTAAAATTATCTTCTACTTGTTATATATGAATACCAAAGTACTGTAACATATCAACCAAGTGCGTTTAGTTCAACATCGCTTATTTTAAGATAAAAGAGTGGCACTTGTTGGCTCCTCTTTCATTGCTATGGAGATAGCAGCGTTTCTGGCAAAGAAGAAAGAAAGCACATCTCTCTCCGTGATCTGCGGTCGAAGATCAAATGTAGGTTTTAATTTTTACGTCGCAGTCGTAGTCATAAACTAATGTCTGAGACAATTCTGATTTCAGGTTCCCTTTCAATCATCGTTGGGACCGGACATAGGTGGTCGCATAATGAAAATGCACGAGGAAAAGGGAATCAAATTCTATACATCTGTCGGAGTTGCAGAGTTGAAGTGCAATGACGAAAAGAACGTCACTCATATCCGGCTTTCCGACGACACGGTTCTCGAAGTAGACCTGGTGATTTTGGGAATCGGTAATATGAAATGATGAATTATTTTTTTACACCACATATCGCTATGCTATGGTGTTTAAGATTTTCATCAATTTTATACAGCTTCTTTAAGATTGACGCCAGTGACGTTTTTCCTGCCCCAAATATAAAAAAAAATTCATCTCCCCAAAACAAATATATATATACTGTAATATGTGATCATGTAATAAATGCATCGTCGTGTATCATGCATGTGTCATTTATAGTTATCTCAATAAACACATGAACTGCACTATAGTCCAGGGCTACTCAACTATTTTCCGTTCCGTTTACAAAACTTCAAAAATACTGGGGTCCGGACATTACAGAAAATTTAATTCATTAAATGAACGAAACTTCAAATGCAATGTTAAGTTAAATACAAGAGCAATGAATAACTCACAAAAATGGACACAAATGACGCACATCTGTACCAGTAGGACAAAATGTATAGCTTTGTATTAAAATTGTATCAAAATCATCTAAAACTATGGAACGATGCTTATGCTGCCAAAATAAACAAGCAAACGCGGCCCAAATTGAATAGTCGGAAGGTCACTCGGTGCGATAATTTTCCAAAAATGTGAAATAACTCTTCTTAATCATGGAATATAAACTTCAGGAGTCACACCTTCGACCAACTTCTTGCAATCAAGCAAAATTGAGTTGGACGATAAAGGTTTCATCCCGGTCGATGGAAATATGAAAACAAACGTAGACAGCGTGTATGCTGGAGGTGATGTTGTGACGTTTCCGCTTGGAATGAAAGGTGAAAACGCTTTAAAATATTGATAATATAATAATACATATTTTGTATTTCTCGCTAAAAGGAGGTTTTTTGTATTGTTGATTCTCTTGATATACGTTATATGTTTTTTAATAGTGTAGTATTTATTTAACAGCGTATGATAAGTTCAAATTATTTTAATTGTGTTTTACGTCATCTATTAATGAACACTTTTCGCCACCCACAAATCTAACAGAAATATTGTATGTCTATTTTATCAATTTTTTTTGTTTGGTTGTACAATATTTCTCACACGACTAGAATAAATAAAATATAAGAATCTGATATTACTTTTCAGGAGGCGAGCGTTGTAACGTACAGCATTGGCAAATGGCCCACAAACATGGAAGAATAGCAGCGTACAGTATCATTAAATCGTGTGAGGACTCTCAAGTCGGCGATAGTGAGTATAGAAATATCTACAATAGAACATTATACAAATATGAAGTTTACATCAGGGTCGTCCAACCTGTGGGCCATATATGGCCCACGGAAGCATTTCGAGTGGCCCGCGCTGTATTTTTTAGAAATGAATAAATAAATTGGAGTAAAACTATTTTTCGAGTGATGTAGTGTACAAATAAGTGATGCAAACCATTTGTTTATTTTCTTGAAATGCGCTCTGCCAGTCCTTTCGAACCGAAACCAACTGGGGGGGAGATATCGATAAATAAAGGTGCAATAGACGCTTACACACTTAGTCTTTTACTACTCTATATGACGTTATCGCAAAACAATCGAAGCCATTCTCAGATTAAAAATTCGTTAAGGAATGTATATTATGTATTGTTTGGGTTGCCAATGTTTTAAGTCCGGAAATAAGAGGTGTTCGCAAAAATAGCCTGTCAAGACAGACAAAACTCGTCATGTCGAAGAGCTTGAGAACTCTATAGCGGAAACTTTAATTCCTTTACCTGGGGGTAAATATGAAAATCTTACGGTATATTATTAAGCAGTTTGCATCCAATTATCTATCTTCAAGGTCACGAAAAGGATCAACATGTTCAGTCAATTCCCTTCTTCTGGACAGTCCAGTTTGGAATCAGTATAAGGTACGCGGGACACGGAGGAGGCTTCGATAATATCATAATCAAGGGCGTAGGAAAAAATGGAAAAATCGTTAAAGCTGCCGAGGCCCTATCATCTAAAAAATTTGTCGGGTTTTATGTGAAGAAGGACCATGTGATAGCGGTGGCAACAATGATGGCTGATCCAATAGCTGCAAGGTTTGCAGAGCATTTAAAAGACAAAGGCCCTCTGAAGGTAGATCAGATCGACAGTTTCTTGAAGGGTGACACTGGCGATGAAGGGAAGGGACACGCCGATAAATGCTCAATAAACTGATGCGAATTACACACGAAGTAAATATGAAAAACTTCAAGCGTATTTGAGGAGCGATTAAAACGTATAGAAACTTGTCAGTACAACGAAATGACAGTGCGAAGTGCAAGTTATTAGTTGTATTTTTAAACTGGCCTAAATTGAAGTTACAGTAATGCGTTTCATTTTTTTCGCTCATTCGCATTGTGCAATCGAAGAATTCCTGTACATATCATTCATATCAGATAATGATTGACATGTTTGTTTCCATTTATATTATTAATAAACAAGAATTGGAAATAAGACTTGTAAATCTCAAAAATTGACTGCCAATTACTGCTGGAAATCTCGAATGCCATTTAGCGAAATCACCAATGAACTGAACAGAGTCAGAGTAATATTTATTATGATGACAGTAAATTGCACAAAACATAAAAACATTATTATTTAATTTTTCAATCAATAAATATCTTGCCAGTAAATCAAGTTTAATCACAACAACATTTCCCCCCAAAAACAACACATACACAGAAAACTGGCACCCCCACTAATATAGTTTAATACAATAAATGTTCCAGTTTGCCCATATTACACAAATATACCTCACCAAGAGCCAACTGATGAGGTAGCAATAACTGAATTTAGCCTAACTTCTCAATTAGTTTGCAATATTGGATTGCTAAGTAATATTTATTTTATTAAACATAAAAGTACACAAACGAAGAATAGATAGCTGAAGTGAGAGTTGTGGGGGTCAGGTGTGGCAGCACTCCAGATATGTATAAATGAAAAAAATAATAAAACTAAACATTCACAAAAGTGTATACATATATTTCACAAGTCAAAGCTGATTGACTCATGTTTACTTGCATCCGCGGCATATTATAGACTGTTGTCTTATGTGGGGTCCATTACCTTGCTACGAGAAAATTTACCCCTAAATATAGTTAGCTTTTATAGGAATATCTCCACAAAATCTGACAAGATACATTAATCATATGGAGTGTAATCATCCACCCTTGTCTTATTTAACTTCTGGACAATTCTTTTAATACTTATAGGAAAATATTTTTAGCCTCCATACCCTGTTGTATATTCTCATCCATTTACTGTTATTACACCAGAGACAAAGAAATTTTTATGCTCAAATGGGATTTTCCTTCAGTTATATTAAATTTGCGGCGCTCCAGAAGTATGTGTAACAATATGGAGGCAAATAATCTTGTTTACATCAAGTGTAAAGGGACTGAAATCTATTCACTTGGGGCTAACACAGACAGTCCCCAAACTCGTAATATAACTAAAATAAGGAAAATCGAAATAAAATTATGCCCTAACCTGGTACACGTACTAAAGGAGTACCGAATTCACCACCATTTTACTGTCTTCCTGATAGTTTTGACTGAAACTGACTCGAGCCTCTTGTGGATTGACTACTGGCACATATTTAAGTATGGTTTTAGTATCTCTTGTGATTTCAGAGGCCACCTATAATTTTAATCGAGGTGACATACTGACTGATACTTCATAACTTCTGAGTGGGTGTGCATTTTCTGAAAGCAAAGAGCACATATTCATGTATGGTTTTAGTATCTCTTGACATTTTAGAGGCGAGAGAAGCAAATTTTAATTAAAAAAGACCCTCAAGGTGTCCTTTCTCATCTTAAAAATAGAGAAATTGTGAGACCCAACAATTCATATGCTAGAAAAACCTCCACTACATATTTTGAAAGTACAACATAAAAGAAAAGTTGGTCGTAATACATCACAGTACATGAGCTGAAGTTGACTTTTTCATTTTCACAATTGCAGCATTCGAAGTAGACTCTCGTAAAAGTTTTTCAATATTTGAAAATGCTTCACTGCTGTTAAATATGCTATCGATAGCATCTGTTGCATAATTAGCATCATACACAAGCCCCTACAAGAAATGTAGTTTTAAAAACTATTTAATATAAATAAATTTGACAAATAATGATTTTACCAACAATTGTATTTTGCAGTTCTTTATCATAGAAGTTCTCAATTTTGCGAGTAAATTGGTGACAATAGGTTGATTAATTCTGCACAAAAAATCCTTCTACTTGAAATGAAAAAGCTATTTTATTCATGCCAACAAGACGATGGCATCATTAATAGATAAACACTTATATACCTTGATTTGGTCATTTGTTTTCTTCATGTCATTGCTGGCATTAACTACCCTTGGAAGAGTCTTTTTTACATGTTGTTGTATGCGGTACAGTCCAAGTGAAGGTTCGTTTGCAATCATGTGTACAGTTTCATTAACTCCAACGGAGGCTCTTTTGACTTTCAAGTCTAACTCCCTCTCTGGCCTATGTTGCATTGAAGCAGCCATTGGCTATCAAAAGAAATGAGAGAGGATATTCATGGGAATTCCATATTTATTCCAGTTAGAAAAAAAATTTGATCGACAGTTTATTGATATAAAAACATATGGTACGCCAACCGAAGACAAAATGATATCGCAAAGAATTTTAAGCAGCTCAATTCTGTGACATGGGCCTATACTGATATAGTTGTAACTTGTAACCATGTTATTGTGGTAGTCAAGCATCAACTGTCTACCATCCTGGGCCAGAGAATGGCTTATATTGGAACTTTCAGAATAACATTTGGCAGTTTTCATGATAGCACAAAAGACATTTTATATTTTCCCATTGACTAGTAAAATTCAATTTTACGTCTTCTCGGATGCGGTGTGACAGTGTCAACTGTCAACGATTACAGATTCTAAACTACTCGTATGTATAATGGAAATATTATACATCAAACCGAGTACGTAGCGTTGTGGAAATGTAAAGAAAAGCTTGTAATACCTGAATCGAGCTGCTGTGCATGTCCAAAAAAATGCCGAGTGAAAATAACTGACTGGTTCCTACTGGACGTCAAGTATACTGCACCCGTACCGTACCAGGGGAATTCCCAGAACTTGTCAGCTAGTCTTTTAATGAAATCTTAGTCGTTGGTTCAAACTTAAAGTAGATGACATGTCAAGATGTGCCATATGAAAAATGTTGTGTGATTGCACTTGTTAATTATTAGTTACCGTATATTTTAAATTTTCGAAGAAAATTATAATAGCCACCACCGTTTGTGTTACTGTTGACTCGATTTTGCAGTTTTGGAATATATTTATAAGATTTCAGTTATGTTTATTCTAAAATAACAACAAACTGAAAATTTAGAAATTGTACGGTAGTAACTGCATAAACGGAATACGGTTCTACCGTGTTTCCTCGAAAATAAGACCTACCCTGAAAATAGGCCCTAGCCTGAATTTTAAAAATGATTTCAGTATAAGCCCTACCCTTAGAATATGAAAAATGTTGTGTGATTGCACTTGTTAATTATTAGTTACCGTATATTTTAAATTTTCGAAGAAAATTATAATAGCCACCACCGTTTGATTCGGGGAAACACGGTAGTTCAAGTGACGATAGGCCGAAGTCAAATTTTCTTGCCAGCGCCTTCTATTAGCAGATTTTTTAATATCAGAAAGTCGTAAATTTTAGAAATTTCAACTATTTTTCAGAAATATTAACGTAAAAGCTCTTAATAAAGCACAGTTAGAGCATAAATGTTATTACATACGGATTTGGTTTTCGAGAATCCCGCATGTTCCATTGTTAAGGGGGTGATAGGTCAGGTACTTATCTGAATGGATTAGGCTAGCAGTTATCTGAGCATTGACGACGACGTGCGAAGTCTGAAAGATAATTGCACGGAAGTTATAAGATTATCTATTCTAGACTGCGTTATGAACATAACATACCGTACCATAAATTATTTCTTCATCACCAAATGTTGGATTGTTGGTATTCATATGATGTTAAGTGGCCGGGTCATATTTCAGTATTTTGTTGCGTTAATTCTGTAATACAGTAATACTAATTATGCTGGCAGTTGCTAAAGTTCTTACCATATTACATGTATAACGCTACAGTATTAGTTACCGTACCGGTTGCTTGTAGTTTAATGTAAAACAAATTTCGTCCCCGTCATACCTACTGCAGTACTGTGAATATACCGGTAGTCTACCGGTACTTCATGCTGCCGAAAACAAATAACTAATCCCATACCCGACATGGAATGGTAACCGGACTGCTGTGGTTTGCCATATGTTTAAGCCGTCTTATCAACTTTCCTCTCCCCCAGGATAAATATGTAATTTTATCCTTATTTCTAGGCTTACCATACCTCAGTACCTCCCGCTTTTTAGCATCTTGTCCCGACAAGTCAGCCAAAAGTCCCACTTCGGCGTTCAGCCATCCAGCATAATACACGAACATGTTCCCATTACTGTTGTTGCTGTGTAGCGCAGCGCTAGCCTACTTACTGAAGGTGAATGCGAATCTGAAGTAGACACTTTAATTTCATTGCATCTTATCATAAGTTCGTGCAGATGGCTGAAAGTATGTCCAAAACAAATGTTTTCTGTTTAGTCATATTGCATATTTTCTGTTACGATGTTATATTACATAATGGTATGATAATTTTTCAGAAATTTGTTCAATACTGCAATAGCAAATACTTCTACCAGTCTACCAATTCTACCTAAAAAGTCGAATACATGCTATAGCCTATGATGTCTACTGAAAGTAAAGATATTGGACAGCTCGATGAAACAAAAAAGAAGGAAATAAAACATGACACAGTGGATAAAAAAATTCGATTTCCAAAGAAAAATGCTCAATATCGTGGAACTGGCAAACTTCCATGTCCAGATTTGGGAGATAACTGGAAAATGGAACAAATTGTTCGACAACAAGGAAAATCTGCAGGAAAATATGACACATATTATTACAGTCCTGATGGTATAAAAGTCCGATCGAAACTTAAGCTCCAACAATTTTTAAACAAAAGTCTGGATAATTTTGATTTCAACACTGGAAAATATATTGAAAAAAATGAAAAACTTGAAACATCACCATCGGGTAAAGGAAAAATGGATAAAATAAAGACAAGTGAATTGAAAGTTATTGACAGACCAGTGGGTCGTGCTAGTAATCCATTGAGCATTAAAAATCGTGTAAAAGGACCTTATTCTGCAACATTACAAATGCATGAAAGAAGAAGAAAACAGAAAGAGCTCAGTCATAGAACACAAGCTGTAAAATCTAAAGATATGAGCACAAGTGCTGCTATTCAGAGAGCAATCGAAATTGTTGAAAAAGATAACATTGATGAACAACCCTTCAGCCTTTTCAAGAATGAGGCCTTGCTCCTTGCTGACCATTTTACTGACATGGGATCAGAATTCGAAGATCTTGTTTTGTCTGCTTGGAAATGTCTCAGTGTCAAAAGCAAAAAGCAATTTGAACAATACAGTTTTTTCCGGGCATCAAGCAAAAAAACGAATGTTAGAAAATATAGACGTTTTAGTGAAATGAGAAGAAAACGATGCAGGCAATGTACTGGTTGCCTAACAAATAATTGTGGAATATGTGATGCTTGCAAAAATATGAAAAAATTTGGAGGGGATGGAAGTAAAAAGCAAAGTTGTGTATTACGTAGATGTGTGGCGATCCATTCGTCCAAAAACCCTTTAACAATGGTTCCCCAGCAATTACACAGTTTTTCTATTTCACAAACACTCTTGCCAAAAACAGTTCCACCATCTTGTAAAAGTTTCAGTGACGTATTAGATTACAGCCCACTTGTGCCACATTCTTACCACAGTGATGAATCAAGAGGAATACAGTCATATGGAACATTTTCTAATGAGCAATCAGCATTCACTGATTTTCAGGCAAGAACAGGACAGTTATGTTTGGACAATGATGGCCAATTTCCAGACATATCTAAAAGTCAGGTTATACCAGATTTACAGTATCAATCTTTTACCACCATTTCTGTTAATGATGAAATTATCAATAGCAATAATACCACAGATGCGCATGAGGATCATCCTGTTAATATGGACCAAAGCAACTCGCAGAAATTGCATAAAAGAAAGTCCAGAGTGCCTGTCTACATTAAGCAGGATAGTAAAGACAGGGAAATGGATATTTTTGTTTCATAAATGACCATTCAATTTGTGTGTTTTTTCCTCTTACTACATTGCCTTTGCTGTATTGTCTTCAATATTTCATCATGCTCACCTTGAAGTAAAATAGACACCTCATACTAATCACAAGTGACTAAAGCAGCTGGCTGAACAATTTTCCAAAATTAAAGTGAAAATGTAAACTGATGGAATTTACTGGATGTTTTGACTTTTGAGCCTAGTGCTTGAGACCCTTCAAATGTCCCTAAAGATCATTGAAGGACCAATAAAATTCTCAACGATCAATATAGAAGATGAAAAATATTTAACAGATTAAGAGTATTTTTGACCGCCTATCTTCTGAGTGCTCTTTTTGGACAAATCCAGTATTTCAAGAAAAAAAAATGCATTGCATTATTCTTCAATTTGTGCATTTACTACATTTATCAGAAATTATTTGTAAAATGATTTTTTGTTCATACTACTTATTTACGGACAGCGAAGGATCCCCGCATTTCAGTCTAATGAGGGTGATTGGGTGCCACAGGATTAAATGAATAATAATTAACAAATTTGTTAGCTAATTCAGGCAGGTTGTTTCTTTGGTTAGGTTCTCCCCCACCCCCCCCTCAAAAAAAAATCCAACATTTTTTAATGCAATTCTGCTGCATTGTTAATGAAATAATGAATAAAATAAATTCTTGCATATTTTTCAACATTTTAGTCCATTCTTAACGATTTACTGAAAACCATTTTTTCCTGACTCGCTACCAATAATCCTTTCTCAAAAAGAGCACAGATAGATGAAAATGCGCGCTCATGTGGCTTGATATATGGCATAATTAAGTTCAAAGATAATGGAACCCTTGAAACATTTCACGTAAAGAAAAACTGCCATATGTTTGCGTAATAAAATGCAGTGCTGGGGACCCATTATGCGTAAAAACATGCACAAGCCTAATCATGTAAAAACACAATTCACTCCAGTGGGAATTTTGCTGCTGTTTCGGTGCTAATATGGGATTGCAAACGAGGCTTCAAAGGAATTTCTGCAACATGTATCTCTGAAGCGGCGTTCAGTCGATTTCTTTACTTCTTTAATTAAAGCTGGTGATGAAAAAGTTATTTCGCGTAGGTAACTAGTTGAAAATACGGAAAACAGTTTGATAATACGAAAAGTGTGATTACTCGGCGCCAAGACGTCACCGCACTTATCAAACAGCAATCTGACGATGGAAGAGAAATTGCGTGATAAACCAACGCAACTTCGTTTTTACGGCTTCGGTGAAGCGATTGAGTCGGCAGAAAAACAACCAAATTTTTCGCGGACCGGAAATATGCTTCGCCGACCACTGCCTGTCCACGGACCAGCGGCTGGGAACCACTGGTCTACACGACAATCTCAAATAGTCATCACCGAGAAGATTTGGGCACCGTTGCCACTGGCCCGTGCCAGACCCACATTTATTCAGTTTGTGGCTGCTGCTTTGTCGCAAGGATTCGAATTTCTTTTAGAAGTCAGTGATTTATGCCCTGCTCGGTACTGTGCTGATCAGGTGTTGATTTTTTCGCAGTTGTCACTAGGATCCACTTATGGCCTTCTACTTGATATCATACTGTTAGTTTCGCGATTCGGATCCACCAGCTGTGGAATTTGTTGAGAACATGATTAAGCCCCGATTCATTTATGTTTTTGCTCATTGAGTGAATGTAAATTAAATAAATAATAATGCAAAGAAATACTACAAATTGAATTTATTTTGCAGTTTCATGATATTTTCCAATTTCTTTCAAACAGAATTGTTTATATACTTAATGTATTCATTATATTAACTAACGGATGCAAAATATATATATATGAATTCTTACAACCAGATGTCCAAATTCAATTTAGTTTCCATATAATTTCGAATCCCTCTTTCAAGGGTATTGTTTTTTTCTCCAACTTTCTATATGATTATCATTTTCACCTGTTTTTAGGAAAACAGCACCGGGTGTTTTATTTTATATATAAATACGTAAAAGTTGCTACATTACTTGATGAAGGATCATTAAAATTAGGGAATGTAATTGAATCACGTTTTTTTACAAAATAAATTTGGATCAGTTTTATAATAAATGAACATACAAAATCATCAAATACTTTTGAGTAAATTTGCAAAACTCGAAAAGTTGTGAGACAGATCCAAGTTCTTTATGCCAATTTATACATATTTCATTTCCTGCAATATTTTTAATTTCTCGTTTTGTGTTCAATAACAAGTTATCGCAAAATAGTGTAAACAAACTATACATAATTAAAGCTTTCATGGAATTCTTCAAAATTGTATTATATATATATATATAACTCTATTACGTAGTTAAACGGACCTGCCATAATTGCAGTACCTAAGCGGACGTCGTTCCTGTGACCGTATCATTGAATTTGAATACGTGCTCGGAGAGCGCGAGAGCCGTTGACAACTACGGAGAAAAAGAGTCAACACAATCCTATCGATAAAAGATATACAATTTTTGTCCGCTTAATTCGTCCACCTAATTCAGACCACCAAATGTTTTAGCCTATTTCGCCACTAAGCCGGACCCCTCTTATATGTCGCCCTGGATGTCTACATAAATGATGTTGCTTGTATAAATAACTTTTCAGTGCATAACGAACACTTATCCATTTGTGGGATTTGTTAATAATAGCAAATTGTTTATTTGACATCTATAAATGTAAACGGGTATTCGTGTTAGTACTACACATTTTAAAGTGTATGACCTCACTTAATTTTCCGATGGATTCGAACCATTTAGCAATATTTATCACAGTCACTATCTCCACATGGTAAATAATACTCAAAATGCGACGTGAAGGTAGACAAATCGATCCGAAAGTGGTATATATTTGAAACTGAGAAATACACAGAGCATATCACAAATGTTCGAGTAAGAATTATGGCATTCCAATAATATTGATGAACATTGCGCAAAATATATCTCAAAAACCTCTCATATCTATATGGCTAGTTATTAAGCGTGACATATAATTGAAAAACAAAATTTTGAAATGCTAATCATATTGAGAAACAATACACAAAATATATTTCAACGTATCACCATTCCGATTGCTTAGTGTGGATTATTATTTTGAAAAGGTAGTGTGGTATATAATGGTATAACTAAATATGAAAGTGCTAATAATATTGAGAAACAATAAAAAAATTTATATCTACGCAGAATGTAACCGCAAAATGAAATTCGGAAATGCCAATAATATTGAAAAAATATCACACGAACTTCATCTCAAATGTCCACCTATCCGGCCTTTCAAGTTATACTAATAAGTGTAAATGGGAATTCTGGTATGTCATTAATGAAGACAAACATCACACAAATTGGATTTCAAATGTTCATCTATCTGGTCACTCAAATGTGGCACGTAATTGAAAAATGAACACCAGCCCTATTGAGAAACATTACACAAAATGTATCTCAAAGGTCCACCTATCCGACCATCTAAGGGTGGCATACAACAATTGAAAGAAGATTCTTAAAGCATATTGAGAAACATTGCACAAAATATATTTCAAATGTTCACCTATCCGGCCATTTAAGTGTGGCATACAACAATTGAAAGAAAATTCCTAAATCATATTGAGAAACCATTACACGAAGAAAAATATCTCAAATGTCCACTTATCCGACCACCTATGTGTGGCATACAGCAATTGAAAGAAGATTCTTAAAGCATATTGAAAAACATTACACAAAATATATCTCAAATGTTCACTTATACGATCGCCTAAGTGTGGCACACAACAATTAAAATGAAAACTCTGAAATCATATTGAGAAACATTGCACAAAATATATTACAAATGTTCACCTATCCGGCCATTTAAGTGTGGCATACGACAATTGGAATGAAAATTTGGAAATCACATTGAGAAACATTATACAAATTATATCTCAAATGTCCACCTATCCGGCCACCTAAGTGTGGCAAAAGAGTGAAATGAAAATTCCGAAATCATGTCGAGAAACATTACACAGGGTATATCTCAAATATCCACCTATTCGACCACTTAAGCGTGGCATACAACAATTAAAATGAAAACTTTGAAATCATATTGAGAAACATTGCACAAATCATATCTCAAATGCCCACCTATCCGACCACCTAAGTGTGGCATAAAACAATTGAAATGAAAACTCTGAAATCATATTGAGAAACATTGCACAAAGTATATCCCAGATGTCCACCTATCCGGCCACCTAAGTGTGGCCTACAAAAATTGAAATGAAAATTCTGAAATCATATTGAGAAACATTATACAAATTATATCTCAAATGTCCACCTATCCAGCCACCTAAGTGTGGCAAAAAATTGAAATGAAAGTTCCGAAATCATGTTGACAAACATTACACAAGGTATATCTCAAATATCCACCTATCCGATCTCTTAAGTGTGGCATACAACATTAAAATAGAAACTCTGGAATCATATCGAAAAACATTGCACAAATCATATCTCAAATGCCCACCTATCCGACCACCTAGGTGTGGCATAAAACAATTGAAATGAAAACTCTGAAATCATATTGAGAAACATTGCACAAAGTATATCCCAGATGTCCACCTATCCGGCCACCTGAGTGTGGCCTACAAAAATTGAAATGAAAATTCTGAAATCATATTGAGAAACATTACATAAAGTGTATCTCAATAGTCCACCTATCCGACCACCTAAATGTGGCACAATATAATAAAATGAAAACTCTGGAATCATATTGAGAAACATTGCACAAAGGATATCCCAAATGCCCACTTATCCGGCCACCTAAGTGTCGCATACAAGAATTGAAATGAAAATTTTGAAATCATATTGAGAAACATTACACAAAATATATCTCAAATGTCCACCTATCCGACCACCTAAGTGTCGCATAAAACAATTAAAAGGAAAGCTCCGAAATCATATTGAGAAACATTACACAAAATACATACCTCAAATGTCCACCTATCCGACCATTCAAGTATGGCAAACAAAAAAAAAATTAAATAAAACTCAGAAATCATATTAAGATACATTACACAAAGTATATCTATATTGAGAAACAATACAGAAAATATATCGCAAATCGTTATCTACTCAGCTACGTATAAGTGTGTCATGTAAATGCAAAATGATATTTTGGAATGGCACTAATATTCAGCAGCATTCA